GGGTATATCGACATCATTCGGCTGTGACCAGAATGTGCGATCTGAATCGCAAACGCCAAAATTATTTTCATAAGGAACAGTTTCTACAGCGATAATTCTGCCTGTGGGCAAAAAAATTATTGTTTACGTCCTCTTATACGTTTTACAGGCTGGGAAAACTTTTCTGGACAGTTTTATTGTCGACAGGAAAGGGCAGAGTTTGCGTAGGTCAAGTTACAGATTAAAACACGAAACCAACTTACCCTTCCACCTTTTCTCTTCCATCTCTTTATTGAGACGCCTTACAGCTCCTTTTAACGTTTCACCAGTTTTTGGTAAACAATCCTTCTTGGAAAATTGCTCAACAGTATCCAACTTTTGCGGTTTTAACCATAATCTCAAGCAACGCCACTGGTAATTCCTTCCATCCTCCGAAACGTTATGAATTTGCAGAGTAGAATTTTCGAATAGGGCATCTTCATAAGTGTTCTCCTTCAGAAGCGTCTCGCAGGAATATAGAGAATATTCCCCGCTACTTTTTAACCATTCATTAGCACGTCTGACTAAGGATCTGTGACAAATGATGCTCTGATTAGAAATATTCTCTTCTCTATCCTTCAGGAATTGTTGAGATTTGGTAAAAGGGACAAGAAAAGGAGAACGATTGGGGTTTCGTTTCTCTTCCCCCTAAAACCCTTTCCCTAGAAGGCCTATTTGAAAGAGGCCTCGGAAACGAGGGAATCTCACGGGAGTCAACCTAATTTTGAACGGTCTTCTTATTTGCCCGTCTCATTTCTCATGTCGTACATAATTATACTCTTATAATTCAACAATCGTTTTTATTATTATGCGTTTAAGAATACTATTTAATGTTTCTATGAAAAGTATAAAACTTCTTTTTAAACAATATGTAAATATGAGCCTGTATGAATTTTCCAATGAAAAATTACTACAAACAAACATACTGCATTATATGTTAATTGAAAATACAACGATTTGCTGAAAAGTTGCAGAAGAGGCGACAGATGTTTAGTATTCCACGCGTATATTTTATATAAAAATGAAAAAAAATTCTACATCTATGTGTTTTATGAGTATTTGTAGGCTTATATATCTACATAAATATATGTGTGCTTATGTTTTGTATATATAAAATATAGCTAAATTGTAAATAAAGATATATATATATACAACACACATATTAGACGTAATGAAATTCCACTACTTGTTTATATTTATATATTTCAACAAATACATATTTATATAAAAACCGATATTTTATATATATAAAGTATATATATATACTGTATATTCATTGCATGTTTTATAGGTTTTATATTTTTTTATATTTATTACATTAGCTAGTTTAGAGCTGTTCAACATTTTTTTCTGTTTGTTTGTTTTTATGTTTACATTCAATAGAATACAAGCGAATAATGATAATATTAGATTTTTTTGCTTGTAACTGCGCAAAATTATAATGAAATATTTGATATATAAGTCAGGCTGTTTCACTATATTCGTTAGGTTTAATTAAATTAACAAAATAAATTTGAGGATAATACTTACGAGAAAGATTCAGTTGTACTTTGAGGTAGAACATCGTGATAATTAAGCTTAACCACAGATTTCACTCTTGTCGGCGCATGAATTTGAACATGTATGGAATCTGTTTTGAACGTCTTAGAAGATGATGAAGGTTGGAAATCATCATTCCTCAATAAACTTGTCGAAGCGCCGTCGTCCATTTCATAATAGTGCTAACCGATAATAGCCGTCGACTCGTTTGAAAGCCGCGTCACTTTTTTCCTCCACTCCAACCGAAATCCGACGCCATCTACAGGCGGCCAAGTGACAATGATATATTGATTTCTCGCTGACGCGTTCTAATTGGATTAGTGATTTCTCTGTTTGTTCAACGGAGGAGACGAAACAGGAGTTAAGGATAAAATTGAAAGTAATCATAGTGGATTTCTATATAACCAGGTCTCTAATAACGATATCTCTTACTACTAGTGTTTGTATGCCATACACGTTGGTCATAAACTGATCCCTTTTATAGTCACAGATAGTATGTGACAGGTAATAACTCGTCAGAAAACTAATTACATGCCTCATGTTGGACTTTTAGCAACAAATAATACTTGTACAAAATTCAGTATAATCCGTAAAGTATATATCACATACCATATCAACCTCATAAAATATCATACCATCCAGCAAGGTATAATCTCATTGTTGGCCTAAATTATAACTGCTTGATATAACCCTCATAAATAATTTCATGCAACATACAACACGTGTATAAGCTGTATATATACAATATAAAATGTATTTAAATAAAGATATGTTACATACATATATATATATATATATATATATTATATTTAAGAATTGGTCTATTACGCGAACATCGATAGAGACTTAGATTAGAAAAAAAACTATAAAAGTGCTTATAGCATAATGGGAATAGAGTAAACAAGATTATTTACCTCTATTACTCCAACTTTTTAAGAAAACACAACAGCTAAATGATATTAAATGTTTCTATTTCTATTATTTCACTTCAAAAAATGAAATATTTAATAATATCCGTTTTAAAAGACAGTTAATTATCTTTATTTCAAAAATCATTGTTTTAATACCAACATAAAAAAAGATATAATTGATATTACTTTTCCTATCATTATTTATGCTACCGCCCACACTGCCTTTTCCTTCTCGTCCTCCTCCCACTCCCTATTCTAATTAGGGAGAGAACGACCGAAACCGCTTAGATGGAAATTAATTTATCTTCTCACGAAAACTTTATATTTACACGATTCTTTTTTTTTTTACTCTTTTCATCCAGTTCCCTTGACAAGTAAACTCTTCCTTTATATATATATAAGTATTTATATACTTCTGAGGCCCAATATTCCCATGATTCTCAATAGCTTATCTTCTCATCTCAACAATTAATGTAAAACCTCGTCGTTTTGGAGTTTTGACAAATACTAACATGCTTGTTTCAATTTCTTTGAATTAATTATATATTCTTTATCTAATCGTTCTCTCTCGTTAAATAATTGATGAAGTAATCTCATTTTATTGTTATTGACCTTCAAAATAGTTGCCGTAAAGTGAAATGATTAACCATGGGAAAACGTTTGTTTTGGAATTAAAGAAAGATAAAAGAGTTTTAAATGACAAGAAAGGCTTTTTCCAATGACAAGCGCCATGTGGACAAAACAACATCGATATCTTTTTAATTATTTCTAAGAGATTTAGAAACTATTTTATGTCGCTTGTTATTTATTTGATAAATGAGAATAGAATAATAATGACACATTCTAACTTAAATTTCTTGACTTAAAGCGTTTACCTCTTTACATTTATTATATTTAAGTAGCTTATTGAATGATTATAATATACTCATTATAAGCGAAACTCTTTATTTACCTGGTGATGTAATTCAATATTTATTGAACAGGCTCTTCTTGCTTACTTGTTGCTATATTACATCTTTCTTTTTAGATCGTATAGCAATGGCCAGTGGTGAAAATATAAAAAAACCTTTATTGTATAAATTATTTGGCAAATGTTCTAAAAGCTCCTCGACAGAGCCGATCAATCCTTCGAAGAGGCTAAGTGGAACGTTCTCCTATGGATTTTTTTCTCCCAAGCCTTTCCGGTGAGTAAGAAATAGATCATTTGATATACTCTCAAGTATATCATTTTTTGTTGACTTTGCCTACTCTTTCTAGGCCTTGCCGAAAAAAAAGGATAAGGAGGGTTGATAGCCACAAAAGAGAACTGTATCGTTTAGGAAATTTCAAAAGGAGAAACGAGGATATTACGAAGAAGCGGGAAATCTTAGTTTTAATCATACATCTTGGGGGAAAATTGAATAAAATGCGAAAAACCTGAATTTTCCCAGAGAAGAAGTCTTTTCATGTGACATACTACGATTTACATGTAGAATTGAATTGGACTGTGTTGACCAGCCAGAGTTCAACAACCATTCAGAAAAGTATAGTAAAGTTATTTAATTTAAAATCAGGCAATGGGGACTTCAAAAGGAGGAAAAGAGGAAAAATGAAATTGTAAGCGCTTATTTATAGCTGAAAATCGTATTCATTCCATCATGCGCAAATTCCCTCAGATTATAATATAATAAAGAATAGAGAGGGAGAAAAAGTTACTGTCAAATCTGTCTTTAGACGCCATCTACCGATGAAACATAAACTACAATGTAATCTTGAATTAAATCTTGAGGTTTTTGCTTTATATTTCCAAATTGAATATAAAAGTTATTATGGCACTATAAATACAATGAACATATGCCTTTTTAGTAAATGATGCATATGTTAAAGTCTATCATACAAAAAAAACACAATTATCCTATGTATATAAGTAATGAAAGTTATAATAAACAAGTTAAAATAGACTGTTAAACAGCACCAATAAGGCAAACGAAGTAGTAAAATGAAAAGAAAACAGGAAAGAAAAAACAAAAGGTAACATAAAGCAATACCAATTTTAAATAATCAATATGAGAATGAAGGCTAACGCCTTTTCAACAGCTTCTCCTCTGCAAACTGACAAAGGCAGAGCGTGTGCTTGACATGCCGTACGTCCTCGGCCGGTTTGTCCATCTTTTTAACAAGTAATTTGGTGTATTCGGCGCTGAAAGATAACAATTTCTCTTCGGTTGTATCGTGTATCGTTGTTCCAGCTTCGTTATCTGATAGATTGCAGTTAGGCATTGAATTCAGTTCATGTTCGTCGTATTCGAAAGTTGGATTAGCATTTCCTGTTTGGCCGGATAATAAAACTTCTTGGAAATGACCCTGAAAGACGTTATTGATTAGTATTTAGTAGCAAATTGCTGGTGTTATATACTAACCAAACACGGCCCGACTTCGTAATAAAAGAAATGGATCTGTTTTAGTAATAGTTGAGGAAGATATATCGATTCTAGTTTGTATAAGAAATAAATATATCGGCTATATACTTAAATATATATAGAAGTCATCTGTCTAAGAGCTTACGTATAAAGATAATATCACATATATTTATACATAAATTTACCAATTTATATCTATATATAGCTGTAGATATAGATATAGATATGTACGTATACAGTATATCCATATTATTGTTTTATCTCTATGCTTAAAAATATCTATTATAATATATACATTTTAAGTATTGTTTAAATAAACGCTCTTAGTATTGTAAACAAAAAGGATACGTAATATTTATTGCAGTCGGCGATAGATAAATCCTCCATTCCTATTAGAACGTTATGTCTAACGAAAATGGAGTTGATGGACGATAATTCGGCAGCCATTAACCGGTTCATCTGTTGTATGAGTATTGAGGAAATAGAAAGAAAATTTTTTGTCTATTAATTTGAGCTAGTAAGCCTACTTACCCTCCTTCTTGACAAGTAAGAGACAACTAAATAGAAAGATAAGGATGTTAGCCATATTAAACAACCATGTATGTATTCCAATCCCGTATTAGCTGGTGCACTGCTAACGAACAACTGCACTTCGACGAATGGAATAATTGTTAAGCAGAGAACGAAGAAGGAAGTGAAGAAGACGGCGGCGGCAGGTGCCGAAAAACAACATAGATGGCAACGTGCCTTGAAAGACTGCATCAGATTACTGATAGCTTTAGCGTACTCATCGTTCGGTATTTGTAGTCCGTGCGCCATAAGCTCTTCGGGCAATTCCGATTCGATTTGTTCTCTACCACAACAGCCGCATCGTGATCTATAGCTTAGTAACAAGTGACCACTTTGTAGCGCCGGATTTACTCCAGCTAACCCTGGTGAATTCCTATTTGTATCTGTGCTTAATATGTGCACAGAATCTGTTGGAGTTAACCAATTGATTAATTTATTCCACCAACCAACAGTACTAGCATTTAAAGAAAAAACGTCAGTAAATATAAAAGGTAGTTCGACTTCTTGCACAATTAATAGCATAAAATCCGATTTAAATCCTTTAAAGTTCAATTCGGGTAAAACTTCCAATTCGCAAGCAGCCCATAAATCCGTTAGCATCATTGAACTTATTATAAATATTGTTTTCGCTGAATTACGAACACCTTGAACAACACACTCAGCTAATGATAAATCAGGATCTGCGTGGAAAAGGTCGTCTTGGTTAAAGCACTTAAAACCATATCTTGTCGATTCTAGGTGTTCCTGAACACTTTTTCCCATTTCCGAATCATGAACGTGCCATACCAAAAAGATCCTATTTTCGTTGTTCGTGTCCTTGAGCGAAACCTGCAAATCGATAGGAAATTCATTTTCGAAACGCATGACGCGTGTCGATCTCGAAAAAAATTGCTCTCGTTCCATATTTTAAATGCAATTAGAGAATTTACAATGAAAGCCTTGTAAAAATATAAAAGAGACCAATCTAGAAAGAAATTCTTAACGGTAATATTAAGTAAAAGTAACGTTAAGGTGAAGAATATAGAAAGGAAGAGAGGAGAGAGGTTAACGACAGTTGCGGTAATCGAATAACTAAATCTTCTTTTTGTAAAGTAGTCATTTCTTTAAATTACAAATACCTTCTAACTCTATTTATAAGTATTTTCCTTTCATTAGAGAGAGAGAAAAAAAAGGATCCATAAGTGAAAATTGAAAAAGGTTTATCTGTCTTTTCTCATTGCCTTCCCGTTTTACTCCGCTCATTTTCTCCGCCCCTTCGACAATAACTATTCCCCAACCATCTCACCCCTTCTATCTGAAAATTATGATATAAAAGAATCTACTATCCAATATTTTACAATTTACAATCAATCAAATCATTATCAAAATAGTAGTCAATATTTTACGGCAAGCGTTTATTTCCCAAAAGATCTATTATCGAATCGGCTTATGTATCGCCAAACTATATAGGCGGTTTAATTAGGCGTGTATGGTAATCGGTTTTTCTTTCTCTTCTTTCGCTTTTCTTTTATTCATAATACGAAGACAAATAGGAATATTAAATTTACGCTTTTTGTCTTTAATATTTATCCTTATCAACTTAGCACCAAGCTAGTAGAAATTACATTAAAGCTAGTCGCAGATGCGAACCCTCGTCCGTCTGTTTACAACTAGGCCTATGGATCTGTCTTGAGTCAATATAAAATGTACAGAATTGTAATAAATGAACGTAGAATAAGATGAAAAAAATTTTAGTATGCTGTAATGAGAATACAAAACACAGACGATGAAAGCTTGGACAAGACGGAAGCGTAATGTCAGGTAGGGCGCTTTCTTTTATTCGGTAGCCTACTAAGTGCGTAGCAATGAAGAGATTCGTAAAAATAGAAAATACTCTAACCTTAAAAACTTACATATACAAATTCTTATATTATTTTTAATATAACCACAGATATTTCTCTCTTTGGTAGTCATCCGTAAAAAAAGATAATAAGCTCTTCTCCCCTTTTTTTACTTAAATAACTAGAAGTTAAGATGGAGAAACAAATCCAAGATCGGGGAAGACAGCGAATAGATTAATCACACAAGTCGACCGTTCTAGAATCTCTCAGTCTAAGAACATACTCGTCAGACGTTCCATGAAACGTAAAGTTCGAGCAAAGCAAGAAAAGAAAATAGAAAAAACTGAACGTTTTAATTAATTCAATCGGGATAAACTTTCATCTATCGTAAACATTTAGAGTGTCTTTGACTGTTGAATATCGATAACTCATTAAAACCTACCCTATTAGTAAGTCCATCAAATTCATCATCGTCGGTTTCGGGCAATTCGCCGTAGTTCATCGTCTACCGTCATTTGCCACAGCGGCGTCTATTATTGGCGGCGCTGTAATTCGCGACGCCGATTTGCTCACCTCCCGTTTCTTAACGACTTTAATCGAATAATTTAAAATTCCCTTGTACAGATCACGTACGTCTATTCATTAGGAAATTTACGACATGCCAGCTTCATAAAACTTTATTCCTTTTTATTCTTCGATTTTATTTTTTTTTTTATTAATTTTTTCTAATTTTGACGTTTCTTTTCTTAGTTTCCTCTTCCCTGTCATTTTCCTGTCACATTTATGCATAATTTCCCTGAACTTGCCAACAACTTATCACTCATAGGAAGAAATACAGTATACAGTAAAGTATAAGCGTTCGATAAATAATATCGGCTAACTTTGCAGTCACTTTCGTAAATTCAATTTACGGGTAAACAGTTTAGCGAGATGATCGCCGAAGCTGCGGGCCGTTTTTCCTCGCTTCATTTGAAAAGCTTGTCAATTGAAATTAAGGAGAATTCACATAACCCACCCGTCTCATTTCTATCACTAGCAGGAATAATTTCCTACCCATTTTACCAGAAATCTTCATTCTCCCATACATTCTCTCAATCTATCATTTTCAGCTTTCTCTATTATTTGCAAACATAAAGAGAGAAAAAAATCTGTCATTTCTGTTATATCTACCCCGAAAGCGACATCTGCGGGCGACAAGGGCTCGCCGAAATTGTTACTTTTTCGCAGTAGGATTACGGTCTCGGCTAATTCGTTGACGTAATTTTCCCCCGTAAAAGCCCGGCGGTGAATAGTTGCAATTTAAAGGATTCTATCTACGTCGGTATTCTCCGTTCCGGCTAACTTCCTTTAACACTTCTTCGCCTATCGGAAACGTATGTCCTCCTTGCATGGCGAAATAGAATGAATTACATAGAGCGTTACGTTGTTTCTTAATCTATGTTACTTTATATGTATATGAAAAAGCTATTTAACAAAATATCGGAGCCTGAGGAGAACAAATCTATTAACTTTTCCTTTCGTGCAACAAGATTTCTAGGGGGTCTTTCATTGGTTTTTAAAGGTCTACATCTAGCTTATTCTTTTGTTCATTTAAACCCGTACTTATCCCATTCCAATTTGTTCATAAGTGAAATACTAAATCATCCTCAAAAAAACACACCCTTAATGGAACGACAAAATCTGCTAGTGACATGTGACGTCATCGGTCAATGTTTCCGATCGGTTTCCTCGCTTGGAAACTCAGTGGATGCCGATCAATACAGGACGGACGAACGGTGGGAACTTTCTATACTTTAAGCTCGACAAGCGGGATTAAAATTACGCCATCTATCGAGTTGAATTCTATATTAAAGCTAAAAGAGTTAAAGATGTCAATATACACATCTTTAATATTCGTATTGAATAATTTAAGTTTAAAAGTCGTAAATAATTAGTTAGAAACTGGGTCATATTGTAAAGAGGTCCTAAAAAACTCATTCATTTTTATCTCCTTTCATTAGTAGCGGGTAGTTTTGATGTAATCCGCTCAACTGTAATATTCTGTATTAGCAACACCGAAAAACGTTTCGTTGTTTTTTCAAATTTATATAGTAGAGATATATCCTTTTTGTTTATTTCCATTCTTTCCGTTCATCATAATGCGATTGCATTCCGTTCGATTCCGCTCTTTCTCCTTCGGGCGTCACGGGAATAGATTATTAGCATAAATTATAAACAGAAGACGAGCTATATATTCACAAGGGTGGGGATGTATACAGTAGATTCCAAAAAATTATTAATAATGCAACGAAATAGGAGAAGAATCATATTTAATTGTAGAAGAATTTCCCTATCGAAAAATTATTGTAAGAAACTTTCACTTCTGAATCCGGAGGCAGTCTTATCCAAAAAAAGGGAAACTTTACAACGAGCTGAATTGTCAATAAAGAATGAGGAAATTGGAATACTGATGATAAAACATAGGAAGAAAACTAGTCGCGCCTTCAGGGATTTTTAGAGTCTAAGAGAGCTTCTTTATCTTCTTCTCTACACACGTATTCATAATGCTACGATTTTCTGTCTAAATCTTAGTTTTCAAGTGTTAAAAGTTAAATTTGATTGATTCATATACTTCCATTTTTCTCTCAAAGGCTTTTACGTGTATTACTCTCAATTTTTAATATTGTACGTCTATAAATATTTATATACAATAAACCAGACTGACCATAATAACAACACAACCGTTAAATTCATCAGGAAATAAAATCCTTCCAGACGAATGGACTCTCATCTCTCAGAAATTTAACAATCAATTAATAAATGAGCCAAGTAAATAAATCAAGAGCAACTGGAGTAGCCTATTTTATACGTAAAAAAATATGATACAGATGACAGAGACAAAGACGAGATAAGCCGGTGATTGGAAAAAGAAAATCCAATAAGAAGATCCAATACGCCGAATTAATCCAACTGAGCACAAATTTTCTAAACTAAAAATGGTTGATCCCTAAGTCAGAATAGATACTCTCCAAAGAGACTTCTATCTAAAAGATGTGAACCCCGATTACTTAATACCCCAATTAATTCCATTTCATCGCACTTTCAAAGGGTATAAATTATTCGTTCTTGAAAGCTTTTTATTCCGTTTTACCTTATCTAAGCATTATTGAATAAATTATAATTTTAAGATAATGATAATCTTTATTCTATCACAGAATTCCCTTAAGTAGATACTTTTAGACGCCAAAGCGGTAAATAGACGAATCCTCTCAGTTGAAAAAAAAAGATACTGTACAAATTATTGTTCTTTTATGCGATATAGTAATAGTGAATGTTCCTATCAATCAAGTTGACATGGAACACCTCTACAAGAAAAATTCGCAATTAGGAGAAAATACCGGATATTTCAACCTTTTATATTAAAAAACATCCCTATAATCTCAAAATAAGAGATAGTATGCCAGAGGCTATTTAAATATGCGTAGAGTACTTAATGGACTTATTAAGTAAGATAATTTTGTCCTTCATCTAAAAGAACTCACTATGTTTTATTTGCATAATCAAAGAACATTTTTACTGCATTTCTCATTCTTTTTCCTCGATCTCTCTTTAGTATATATGCCTTCAAAAACTCTCTATATTTCGATTTTTCTATCATCTTATTTACAATTTTTGTTATGAGCATATATCCAATATAATTGCATTAGATAAGACAATTATACTTGCTGGTATTCCTTTAATAATTATTATACAGTATACTGCAAATTCTTTTCTATATACAAAATTCTAAACAATTTGTGTTTTGTTTCGTTAATACTAAACAGAGATATACGTTGGTTTAGTTCCCATCAAAATATTTTAGTACTCCATTAATAGAATGTCAAAGTGTTAAAAGGTAAAGAGAAACAGAGAATGATATGTAAAAGTAAACGACTATTTTCAAATAAATATGAATAAGATGGAAAGAAACGAAGAGAAAAAAAGAGGGAATTTTTTTTCTTTTCAATTAGTAATTTGATGTATGCTGTGTTTTTTTTTGTTCTTTTTTTTTTAATATACTTAACTAATATAAAACGGAAATAAAAAAAAAAAATCTGATTAGAAAGTACTTATTTAGCATGTAAACACTAAGTATATAAAAAATGTATATAAAAAATTGCTAACCTGTTTGATATTTTCGTCTTTTACTCCTCCCTCCTCCATCCTTTGCTCGTACGATTAGTAAACTGAAGTCAGTGGGCTTGAGGGACTTTAGCGCCACATATCCGCTGCTAAGAAATTCTTATATAATAAATAAGAAATATTTGCGATGACAGCTCTTTTTCTCTTTGTATATGTATTCGTTGGAGAAATAGATTGAGGTTTAATAGAGTGTTTTCTACTTTTTTTCTCGTATCATTTCACTCTTTCTTTATATCTTAATCATTCCAATGCCATTCCTTATCCTATTGGGGAATAACTAATAAAAAGAGAGTGAATAAATTACTTACAAGAATGGAATAGTTAAGTTGGCTACTAGAAAAGAGGATTTGACACTTCAATTAAGAATGCATCATTCTAAGTAAGCCTTGAGAGGATCGCGCTTTACGATTTACGGTTTGCGGGTACCCATCTGCAAGTTTTGCTCTAACAGTTAAGAGACAAATATTGCCAAACATCCCTTAGTAAATCATGTCACGAACAACCGTATAAACGGCAAGCAATACAACAAATCTTTTAAAAAGCTAGCAGATAAAGAAAAAGGAATTCTGACAAGTCTTATAATTCCTAATGAATAGCTATAAAACATTACAAATAGAAACAGAAAGAGACTTTGCTTCTTTTTTCAAAAATCTGAAATAGAAAGGTCGAATCGCTTTTATCTCTGTCAAACTTTTTTAAAGAGTAACAAATTAATGCGATAGTTCATCAATAACCTTATCCGTATTATTTATAGCCTCTTTCACAGTCCTAGGATGTGACCTGAATAAATAAATTTCAGTCAAATTTAGATAGTCCTACTATATTCTTTGACAATGTCTTTTATATTTGCAGTCTAATTAGTCGTTTTTTAGAAAGGGCGAATACAAAAAGAGCTTTTTTTGAGTGTTCTTTTCTCCTTTCCAATGTCATTTTCATTAAAAAAAAAACCACAGAAACTATATAAAGTCAATAAGCGACAGTCGTCGAATAGCTGTACAAACCCGTCAAATAACTTTCTCTTGGGAATATTCACGATTTGACAATCGAAAGTGTTTGTTATACTTCTGGGTCTAGTCCTCTTATATGAGCTTATATTAATATAATCTTCTTTTAAAATAAATTCAATTACATATGAAATCTGCGAATGATTTGATAGAAAAATGCAATACTACTACAGAGTAGCGTGTAATGTCAATTGCGCATCAGGATGAAAGTGGAATAGTAAATTACTAATATTTTAGTATTGTACTCTAAAGCTTTCAGCTGGCCGGAAAATATCGAATCGGGTAGTTTAAATGATTATATACAAAAACTACAAAAAGCCTTCAATTAGTTATCAAGTCGTTGAATCCAGAAACGAACCTTTGGTTAAATTGTAACAAATTTAATATAATTAATGAGCAAAAAGAAAGGCAAATTTTCTAATAGTATTATAGTATTAGCAGTATGCTTATTGAATCTACTCCTTTTCTCTTTCAGTTGCCTTTTAGTGTTTTTTTTTTAAATATATTTAATGAAGCTAATTATATAAGCTTTCCGCATTTAAGATTGTCTTTCCTGCGCTTTTAATGTATTAGGTAGATTCCTGTCATTTTCGAATACCTCTCATGTTATTATATATCGACTATTCTATAGTTCAGATGTCAGCACTTTCGATTACTTTGAGCTAAGTCTGTTGTTTATTAGCTGCTCTTTGTCAAAAATTTTCGTTGAAGATACGCTACTTGTAGTTGGTTGAATAAATAATGTATACGAGTAATTAATCAAACTTGCAGTAAAATGATTTATGGCTTATAGAATTCTATAACTTTCCTTCAAACTTAAAGAATTCCTGACAAGTCTAATAAGAATGAATTCCTTATTATATAACTTATTATGAATGTTATGACGAATGGCTCCAAATAACCCAAAGAAACTGATCATGGTCACGCTAGCCGCCTTATTACTTACTTCGATTATTGTAACATTGCTTCTTCTTACTGATGAATGATAAAACACAAAACAAGCAGCTGCAGCAAAAACAAAATTGTTTTGTTATTCGTACCTTTTAGAGATCATTGCACTTAGACAAGGTAAAAAATGCCAGCAATAATATAAATTAACTATTTAAATGCAATTTTCAATCTTTATTTTTAATAGCTTTCTTCTTTTTCAACTTTTTCTTTTTCTTCTTCTTCAACTTTTCTTCTACAGCTTTTTTTGCTTCATCAATATCGTCTTCTTCATCACTATGTGTTTGTTTAATACAAGCAACTTCGATATTTGAAGATTCTTCAATGTCTTCACCGTCTATTAATTTTCGAATACAAGGTACATTATATAAATTTAGAACTCTTATTTCATTATGGCCTCCAACAACAACTGTTGTTGGCTTTTCTGGACGAGAAGATAAACAATGCAGAGGCCCCATTCCCAAGTCCTATAAGTAAAAGAATCAAAATATAAAAGATATATATTATTTGTTTAAAAGATGTCTATTTTTCCAACCTTTTCGTACAATAAAGAAAACTCATTTTCCTGATTTCCAATACGGACGAAATTATCCTGCCCAACTGTCGCTAGTACGTTTTTCATAGGAATTGATAAACCAGTGACAGCCTTATCATGAATTTTTGAGCATAAGAGAGGTTTGTCACTTCTCACATCCATCCTATACACGTGGCCTGAATCTGAGGAGGCACACAGGTAAAATGGATCAAAAGTGTCCCAGCAAACCCTTTCAATTTCACCAGGCATTTTCCAACATTTATTTGCAGTCTTAGGATCTCTGCAGTCAAATAGTCTAACAGTTTTATCAAAAGATCCAGTCAATAAGCACTGTTGCTCCCTACAATGCCACTTTACAGCTTGTATTTTATCTTCGTGTGGTAAAGAGACGACAGTTTTTCCCTCGGTTAAATCCCATATACCAACAGTGCAATCAGCTGACGCACTCGCTAATATTTGACGTTGGTTGGTATTCCACGAGAGACCGAGCACAGCATCAGAGTGACCCTCTTGTGAGACTTTTTTCTTTTTGCCTTTACGCTTTTTCTCTACTTGACCCATAAGTGTAAAAGCGGGTTCCATTGTGTCAACGACATCAAGGTCCCAAATTTCAATGTGCGGTAGCATACTACCAACAGCGACTAAATTTCCAGGATTTGCCTCACCAGGATCGAAATTCAGCCATTCGGCACAAAGTGGAAAAGTAGGCAAAATGTAGTCGTGGTGACAAAACATATTTCCTTCTTTTTCATTATATAAGAATACTTCTAAACTAAATAGATCTCCTGAGACTTTGGGAACAATTATGAAATTATCGTCATCTTCAACTTTCATATCTTCATCACTTAATTCTTCTTCTGGTAAAATTGGCTCCGTCATATAAGGGTCCTTGTCATTATTGGTGTGATAGACGAAATCCTTCAAATCAAAGTGTTCTTTTTGCTCTTCATCTTCGTCATCTTCAAACTCATCATCTTCTTCAATTGTCTTTTCTTTTTTTTTCGTCGTCTTTAGAACACGTTTTCGCTTTCTATTACTATCCTCATTTATTTCATCTTCTAGTTCATCATTGCTATCTAAATTAGCTGATTTTGCAAATAAATTGCACAATTCTTCGCTGCTTGGTTTCAACTTGTCAGGTAGGGTCTTAGCAGCTCCTTGAGGAACCCATGCTATATCTGGTATTACATCCATGCTTGAGCGATATTAGGGAGTTGCGGAGATCCGAAATTGGGCTGATTAATATTTTCGTAAAAAAAATTAAAAACTTAATAAAAATGAAACATATGGTCATATTTAATATAAAATTTTAAAAAATTTATTCATCGAAAATATCTTGGGATTGGAAGTTACATGACCAGTTCGCTGCTGATTGGATAGGTTTGGTGGGGCGATGTTGTAAAACAAACATGGCTGACCCTCTGAATGGATGGACCACCGATAGTTTTTCAGATTTAAGCTCTAATTTAAATGTTTCTTCTGACTTAGATGGTTCATTTAATCCAGAAATTGATGGTAAGTTATAGGTGAAAAAATGGTGTTTCAACTTTAAAAGAAAATGAGGAAAATAGAGTGATTATTTGATGATTTCGAAATCAATATATTTCTCTGTTGTTTGTCTTAAGAAAATGAATGAACCATAGATAGCAAAGTGAATTTAGTGATGTCAAGTGTTTATATTAAATTGTTTAAATAAATCTGAATGAGTTTTATTAATTTTTATGCTAAAACATAACTTTTTAATGACTATTAATCATTATTTCAGAACTCGTATCATTCTTAAGCGAACAAAGTGATTTAATTGATGATCCGTTCGTATCAGCAACTGGAGTCAAAGCAGAAAATGAGAAATTCTTACCAAGGACTAACATAAAAAGTGAAAATACTTCATTTACCCAAGCGACGTCACCTGGAGGGGTGAAAACTGAGAGTAATGATTTTGAAAAGCCCACTCTTTTGAAATTGTTAACTCAGAATCCTGAACCTAAACAACCTAATCAAGTAAATACGAGCACACTTGTTAATCTACTGCAAAATGGCAGTAGTGTCCTTCAACCGCAACCTCAACCACAACAAATTCAAGAGCAAATTCTGCAGGCTTTACAAGTTTTAATAAATAAAGAAGCCGAAAAAAAGCAGCATGAGGAACAACAAAAAGCATCTCTGTTGCAATCGCAACTGGCCCGCCATCTTGCGGCTGACTCACCGCAACCTACCACAGCTGCTCAAACAAGTTCTACCCAAATTATAATAAAACAAGTGCCGGTAAGAAATTGTCCTATTAATTAATATGCTAACATACTTTCGAGAAAAACTAAACCTTAGCTGCTTTGTTGATTATCGCTTTCGTAGACTCAGGTTTCAACAATTAACCAAACGCCGCAAATTGTCTTAAATTCGGCGTCAACTGCTCAGACGGCGCCTCAAACAGCTAGCATTGTATCAAATAACGCAATCAATCTTCAGCAATTGCAGCAGGTGACTAACAAAAAGCTTGTAGTAAATCATTGATTAAAACTTCGATTTCAAAAAAAATTCTAAACAAATTTATAGATGCTATCGAAAACTCCTGTGGTCAAACAGGAAGCTCGCCCCAACGTTGTCTCTCTCAGCTCTAATGCGCCTACTAAGGTTACTAATTCAGGATCGACTATAGTAACTACTTTACCCGTTCAAGTTGTTGACACAACTGCAAATGAAAAAGTAAGTAAACTAATTTATCCCACCTTCTTCCCCTTCAGTGCAATAATAAGTATGTTTTACAAAAATTCTCAGTTGCCCATACACCGACTTCAAACATCTCACAAACCCGTATGTGTAAAAGGAGAGAAACGTACAGCGCATAATGCTATTGAAAAACGTTATAGATTGTCGATCAATGACAAAATTCTAGAATTGAAAGACTTAGTCGCTGGATCGGAAGCGAAGGTTAGTAATTTGTAATCTTTAGACGGAGGAGTGTACTTTAGAGCCGATAAAATAGATAAGACTGTTCTAAAAATTTTACGTAATCGCGAGATAATTTTCACTAAAAAACGTTCAATCAATTGTGATATTTAAGCATAAAGACCAGTTTTAAGTATTCTTGCGATATACTAACCAGAAGATAGCATAAATATACTAAAATTTGAAAATTGTTCTAGAACGATTGCAAGGTATAAAAATTATGGCCTATTCAGTGTTAAAAGTCCGCTTGGACTCTTTTAGAATCAGACCGGTGCAACTTCGTGTATCGTTAAAGTTGTTATCTTGTCGTTTTACTGCCAAGTTCTAAAGTGTCGCTAACTCAGTTGGCCAGTTATATGTTTGCGAGGTTGCCGTTTCAATTTGCATTTTGAACGTTGTCCATCTCTGATAACTTTGTTGAAGAACAACACTCGTGAACGTTTTATTTGAGTCATCTCACCGACGAATTAAATCATTCTAACAGCTTCACAAATCGGCTGTTCTACGGAAAGCTATTGATCACATAAGATGTTGCCATTCTCAAATCGAACGACTAAAGAAGGAAAATATGCAACTTCGTATGGCTACAGGCGGAACAAATGTAAGAGATTTATTGAAGGAGACTGAAATGGATTTGACTCCCCCTCCATCCGATGCAAGCTCTCCTTCTTATTATCCGTCATCCGGAATCGACTCTGGACCTGATAGTCCCATAAATCCCAACGAAGTTCACATGAAAAGCGAACCTTTGATAACCGGTATGCTAGACAGTTCTCGCCTGGTTCTCTGCGTTTTTATGCTAGCCATTATCGCTTTTAATCCTTTTGCTCCTTTTATTCAAACTCCAAAAAAATTTGGAACGGAATTTTCACCTGGCCATACTGGAGGAAAAACTTTAAAAGGAGCTGTAACAGATGGATGGTGGGATTGGATGTTCCCAACTTTATTAATGTGGTTTGTAAATGGTGTCGTTCTATCAGGCTTCCTTTTACATCTTTTTATATTTGGCGAACCTGTATCTACACCTGAATCTAACAGTGCCGCTTCCTATTTACGATTCAAGAAGCAAGCAGATTCTGATCTACGTAATGGTCGTTATAACGATGCCTCATGGCAATTAAGAAAATCCTTGGCGGCTTTGGGTCGTCCGATACCTGTTTCGAAAATAGACCTGGCTTCATCTTTAATATGGCATATTTTTAGACAGTTTTTGCACCGATTGTATATTGGACGATGGCTCTCTACATCAACAGCGACCATGTTCCGCTCGCATATCAAGGAAGAAGACGTACAATCGAGCGCCAGAGATGCAGCCTACGCTTATCATGAACTCTTAAAATTGCATATTAGCGGAAGAGCAAAGTGCATAAATCAATCGGAGGCCTTTAATCTGGCATTTTGCGCAGTTAATATGGCTGAAACCGCAGGCTATAAAGTTGTTGGGGGAGAATTCCTAATTAGCGTCCATTTGAATGCATCCATCTGTTTTCAAAAGAGTAATTGGGTAATATTAAGAAGCCACTTAAGCGTAAGTCATTAGTGTTTTAGTTTCAAATTTATCATTTTCTATCTTTCTTCCTTATTTAGAGCTACTTCCTCAACCTGGCAAAGAAAGTGTTAATGAGAACTAAAAATCCACCAAAAAATCTTGAATGGTTCACGACCCCAGCAGGCTCTGAATTCTTTTACAGTGGTGAATGGAACTGTCAACATCACAATACTTTATACGCCTTATCCGAAAGAAATTGCACTAATCCTTTGTCCTATGTTACGCAATCATTCCGAGAGCACTTGGTCGAAAAATTATTAATAAATCTAATGAGTGGACAACCTCTAGACGAACTCGACACTTTGATCGCAAGTGCCAAAGATGCCGGATTGAAAGAATGCTTTTTGTTGAAGAACTCTGATGGTGGAGACTTTGTTTCTCTTTGGTGGGGAAGCTTCTTCAAAGTTATTTCAAGTTGGAAACAAGGAAAGAAAGCAAATGAAGAAGACATTTCGATTGTTGAAGAACTACCATATCCGTTGTTAACTACACCTGTTCGCGCTTTACATTACATTTTTGAAGCAAATCGCATACTACATACGCCATCAGGTAGTTGGTTCAAGGTTCTCTCGAAATGCGAAAGTGCAAGTCGTCTGCTATCGTGTGATCATGGAAATCAAGTTAGCAAGTTTAATTTGTTACAACAATCATTTTAAATCGATAAGTTCATATCGCATTGTGAGTGTGCATTGTAGTTGCATTGCATTGTTTGAAATTATAGGTGCAATGTTCCTGCAATGCGATGCCCAAGATGCGTTTTTATTCACAATTATTATCGAATTTACGTAAATTCTGGTGCAATTGTACCAGTTACATTCAATTGTTAAATTTAAATTATCCTCTATTTATATGATCTTTATTATTCAGATTGTTACAACGGTGGCATATGATTGGTTGATAAGCACTAAGCTTATGGCCATTGAAATAGAATTGGGTGACTCCGAATCAGTTCATCCAGAGGATATATTTTCTTTGGAAAAAAATATTTATTCATTGCGCAATCACAATAAAATCACCAAATTTGTATCCAAAAAAATTAATGTATACGAGTGCGCACTGAGAATTTTGTCGAGGGTTAATCCATCAGTCACTCAAAAAATGTTAAAGCAGTTGAATCGCTATGATTTACCAGCTGGAGAGTACGCACAGTTGATGATACTTGCTGCTAAGGGAATCCAAAGGGAAGCTCAATGGCCATTCGTTGAAAAAGTACGTTCGGCATTGGACAAGAACGGAAGGGAGAATACCATAAATATGTTGATTTCTGACTATAATTAATCACTAATGTCCCGTATTATACTTTGTACATAACACTTATTTAGAAAGAGATGTTGTTTTCCTATATTATCAAAAATATATTTGATTTATGTTCTATTAAAATCAAGATTTGTTGGTGTAATTAAAAAGTAATTAGGAAAAAATATCAGCCCTTCAAGCGAGTCGTCTCTGCACAATTTTCCTTTCTTCTCTGCTTGTAACAATCTCTCTTTGGCTAAAACAATGCTAATTTTGAGTATACCAGCCAATTCCTCGGCGCTTAAACACTTCTTTTTAGATACAAAGTCATAAGTTTCTTCGATAAGATTTTCCTCCATCAATGAATGTAGTTTCAATACAATAACTCCAGACTCAAAAATTTCCATTCGAACAGGAAGTTTTAAGGCTTCCAACTGTTGACAGCCATTAATAAGATCTTCGGGAGACAATAGCTGTAACGATTTTATTTAGTCAGTTGTTCGTAAAACGATATAGCTCTAACCTCGATTCCTCTTGCTCTATTTATTCTACAGTAGGCATCCGTCATCGTCATTACACCTCCGCTCTCCTGTTAGGATAGCACGTGTATTCATAAATGAACAAGTAAAGTATTTTTATAATTTACCCTCAATGGCTTCTCAATTGCTTTTGAAACTTCTCTAGCCAGTTCTCTATAATATTTCAATCCTGTTCCATGAGTTTCTCTAGTAACTGGATCACTTATACCTAATGACAAAAGGTATGACTTGAATCGGACTGTTTCATCTTCACTTATTTCACCCTTCTGATCCTTTATCTTTCTCGAAATACTTTTAGATATTTCAACCATATCCTTAGCCTAAAAATGCAAATTTAATAAGCGTACATCTATGTGATCTATACTATTAATAATACCTTTACTATTAGACCATCAAGATCTTGAAAAGCAGCAGAGATGGTTTTATCGGTCGCCGCCCGCTGCTTTTGCATGGAACGTTCAATACCACCAATTCCAACAGCCTTTCCTTCCTTGATTAGGAAATGAACATATTTTTGAAAAATTTAACCCTATTTAAAATCGAAATATTTACTAAAATTGAAGATTTTTTTGGTTTTGCGACAACTTTCCATAATTTTCGTTGTAAAGTATCGTTCAAGCATCTATAAAACTGGATAAAATACATATAAATACATCTTTTATTGTAAAATTTATTATATAATTACGTACATCAATTTGACCTCCGCTTTTAAATGAAAACTTGATGAAATTGTATTTGCTTGTAGCGGATGGACCTTGGGAATGACCAGACTCCGTTTCGCTTAAATGAAGAATGATTTTTGCGCTGTTATGATACGATTTATACATCAAAATTGTGTTTTGAATAGTATGATTATATACAATTTTTGTTCCATACCTTTTCCCTAACCGGGATGACTCTTCTTCACAAAATACTATTTTAGATAGATGTAAAGCAATTACATAAGAAGGATTTTTGCTATCTCGCCATATTAACTGATGTGTAGTCAATAATAAGCGACCATTGTCAAACGAAGACTAAGGAAGTTTATATTTTTAAAATATATAATCATTAAATAACCAACTACCTTATCTTCCCCATCATAAATTCTGATAGCGGATTGTTGTGTCACTAACGTTTCATCTTGACCAAAAAAACCGTCAGACCATGTGAAACGATTCATGTCTCGTCTTTATGTACTGTGGTACCTATCCTAATTTCGCTTTAATTCGCATTCGAGCGAAAAAGTGAATTAATGCATTATTTTCGTACTCACTATTTTAATTATCTCAATCTCATAAATAAAAATACAATTCAATAAATAGTGTGGGAAAATATAGTAATTTTTAATACGAAACAGTCTTTGTTTACACCGGAAAAGGAAATAGTAAAATCCCAAAATTCAATGTCAGATAAGTAGTCGAGTTATAAGCAGGTCGGAAAATCACAAGTTTTTCCGACATCTAACGGAGTTTTAAACTGCCTAAGAAGTGTAGTCGTCTTTCTAAGATGTCTACAAGTAATAGTTGCAGTATAGTTTCTTTTCTGAGAAAGAGGGAAGCTGGAAAACGATGCGTGAAACGACGCCTTGAAGAGCTTGCCGAAAGAAAGGCTACTCTTCCGAATCTCAATCTAGCTTGTGAAAGCTCATTGAAAACTAAGTCAACGTTTTTACTCGTGTTCAGTCACGATAAATTGCGTTTAGCATCAGCGCATGGCGATCATACAGTAAGAGTCACAGAAATAATGAGTGGAAAAACCACTCACGTTTTGAGTGGATTAGAAAGGACGCCTTGGACTTTAGCCTTTCACCCATCGAACAGTGAGGTACTAGCAGGAGGATGCCTAGGCGGTGTGATTCATATCTGGTAAAGTATTCCTTTCTTTTGATTTACACTAAAACGGCCCAATTATCTAACCAACTTTCCCTTCCCATCCTTGTAGGGACTTAAAGCAAAACGGTGCTGTTTGTGACGTATGGCACACGCCAGACTATGCAGTAGTATCATCCGTCGCATTCCATCCTAACGACACTATTCTAGTCATCGCAACTGGCCAGTATATTTACTTCTGGGATTATAGCAGTAGTAAAGAGCCGTTCGCGCGCATATCAACGCCTGCCAGTTCGTTGAGAGTTCGATGGCTAAAGTTTGATCCTTTTGGTCATTATCTATACACAGGAATAAATAATCCAGTATTGACTCTCGCATCCGATAGCTCGGATGAAGAAGAAAACTTGATTGGTAGACGAGCAACTTTACAAAGAGCGAGACCTTATCGACTAGGAAGTCAAGCAGTAGCAGAACACAGTCGATCTCAGATGGCTCGAGATGAAAGACAAGTTGTTCGTGTTGTTAATGCAACCAGTACCGCCGAACATATTTCTCCACCGATTCCTTCTCAGAGAACAAACTCCGTAACATCTTCTTCCCAAGACACTCATCCCAGGGAATCAACTGCAACAGAAAACTTACATTTACATATCAGTGTCATTAATGATATTTTTAATAGGAGAATTAATTCAAGTACTACTAATGATCCTAGTTCCAGTGATGAGGAGGAAGGGGATGTAATAAACAGTGTTGGTGAGAGGAGAACTCCACATTTCCGACTTCTCGGACCTTTAAGTGATCGTTTTATGAATCAATCTCGATCAAGACATACTATTCAACTAAATGGACTTGATAGAATGCCACCATCATTCTCAATGACGATGTGGCCTGAGCATAATGTGCAAATCTCAACGACAATAAGGGAAACAACGTATAGAATAGACCGATGGGATCTACGGAATTATGTTCTTCCTGATATAGAAAAAATGGCCAAAAAGAAGCCTGTTTTTAGCAGGTGTAAATTGCATTTCGATGCCTCATTGTCCATGTCAGATGACGGTAGACGGTTAGCATTGCTCGTCCCAGGCAATCGAGTTAGCAGCGATGAACAGTCTATAAACATAATTTCTCTTCGTGATCAAGATCTGGGATGTGTTCTCGTCCACCAATCTGTATCTCCCAACGTTGTCAGTCTTTCGTTATCACCTCTCAGCAATTACATTGTGGTCGGCTTGAGTTCTAAGAGAATGCAATGGTTACCTCCTCCAAAACAACTTATTGCTCAAATATATAAAATTGAAAAGAATTCTTTAGAGCATGTTTGTGATATTTCCCATCCGTCGCATTCTCATCCACGGTTTTTAGTTAGTGTAAATGCCGTTTCGTGGCTCCCAGCTCCCGGTGATGGAATCGTCTATGGAACAAATAGAGGTCATTTGCATATATGTCGACCAGGATTAGATGAGCGGCATCCTCTAGAAGGGAGTTCAACCTCAGTTGGTGGCGCCCAACTAGTTCGTGTCCGGTTGTCAAAAGGAACCCAAACTGATTAGACTGAAGAGTGTATTTAAACATTCACCATTTATTTTGTTGGATAATGTTATAATTAATACAAATATTACTAAAACCCAAGGAGACTTTTCCTTTTTTGTTTAGGCCTAAAAGAGATAAATATAGTTTTACTTGACAAATAGTAATCTGTAAAAAATGTGATATTTGTTCTGTTAAGCCAACAGTAATTTTGTATCCAGTTTATATATTTAAGACGTTAAAATTGAGCTTATTCTGAACAAGATTGCTTCAACTCAATGTTAACTCTCAATGTTATGTCAGTATAAATCATTATTATTGACCTTTGAAGCTGTTTGCAGTTATTTATCAGTTACTGAAAAATGGATAAAAAACTACTGATTTCTCTTATTTTCGGAATTTTAGCCGTTATCGCTAGGGTAGCTTTTTTCGTTTTGACCCCACCATTTTTGGATTTCTTCAAGACGAATTCTTCGATATCGAATTCGACAAATTCCTCCCATCCCGGAACAGATACGAGATCAATAAGTGTTTTATTTCTTATGATTGGCCAATGGGCTATGTGCCTGGTTTTTGCGGCTATCTGTGTAGCAATTCAATACTGCTTTGATCGTCAGACAGTTGTTGATAGCCATAAAAATTACTCAAAGATTCGTTTTCTGTTTATTGGGTCAGCCCAAGGTATATCAACTGTGTTAGTTATCTACGCAGCAAGCGGCTCTCGAACTGCGCCGTATCTTCAAGCAATTCTAGGAAATTTTACAATTCCGATTCAATTTACAATAAGATTTTTAATTTTACGTTTGAGACCCACCTGCAGGAAACTGAGTTGTGCAATTGTTGTTGTATTTGCAGAGCTTATTTGTCTTATTCCTACAATATTTCCTCAATTAGAGAATTCGACTGCTCATCAAGATGAAGGTGGAGCAACTGGAGCTGGAAGAATTTTATGGCCAATATGCTTTGTCTCGTCCCAGATTCCCTTCGCAATTGCGAACTCCATAATGGAGTCCAGTGTTAAATCCAATACCGCTGGAAGGCATGTTAGCTCCATGTTTTTTCTATTCTGGTTCTCTTTAGCCTGTTTATCTGTTATTCTTCTTACTTTCTGGTTTGATATAATTCCGGGTTTTGGAACATCTGACTCGATAAAGATCTTGGGAGAAAGACTGAACTTCAACTTTAAATGTATACTTGGATTAGATGGGTGTAAAACTCAAGTTGCTCTCCTTGGTTGGTTTAGTTTTGTTGCCAACACTGTTGGGTCGACATCATTTGTTTTCCTTCTGAGATACTCAGAAGGAGCAAACTTTATCATGATTCTATTAGTAAGTGGGAATTTTTGAAATTTGCGAAAACGATTAATCTTGATTAAACTATTTTAGTGTTTACGAACTCCACTGGCATTCATTTTCTGGACACTGTTTGAAGAGCCTCCTCTTCGTTGGGCCCCTCATACAAGCCTAAGTACTTGGCTAAGTATAGGAACCATTGTAGTCATGCTACCAGCCATATACATTTATAATACGGGGTAAGACCTTTATTATCTATATACAAATAATCTTATTCTCGTTTGCTTATCCAGACCACCGGAAATTTACAGTCCATCGAGAAAAAGAGATCAGGATGCTGAACCCTTGCTTGACGATAGCCTAAGCGCTGATCAGAAAAATTTAGTAAATGATAGCCCAGCTACACAGAATGAAACAGATGTAATAACATAATCAATTTTGTTTGAATTTACTACTTTGGCTGTGAAAAAACTCCGTCTCAACGCTTTGTTTTCTTCCTCTAACTGTTTTGAGAGATACTAGCTTCAGAATAATGTCATTACTGGAAAACTTATTTGCTAGAATAAAAGGTTAAATAAAATATTTAAATCAAATTGTTACTTTAGACATTTCGCTGAAATTCTTTTGTTTTTTACTTTTTTAATTACCTTTTTGAAAGAATTTCTATAAATATTATATTATTATAGAATTTCCTATTGTTTATCTTTGTATTCATGTTTAAGACTTAACAAAATTTGTTGAGCTAACAGTTTTTGTCTTCTTTGTGTATTCCACAGCATTATTTACGTGTTTAACTATCAGTCCAGGGCTATTACCAATTACGTCATTCGTTTTAACTGGAACAAGTGTCGAGTTCCTATGACGTAGAGTCAATTTTTCTACGCATTTCTTTTGTATCTAAAGTAATATTTTAGATATAAGAGGATTATTTCAGATATTAATTAGTTAATGTAGAAAAAACCTTATGTAATTCCCCGTCAAAAGGTTCACCGTCTAGTAAAGTTACCATAATCTTGCTTGAAAAAGGTTTAATTTTGAACACAGAATCAATCTGATAAAAAGATGTGTGTATTAATTGCCGTTTGCATAAAAATGAATACTCACTTGACTCATTGAAGTATTAAAGTTAGCTATTTCATCAGATCCCGAAGCTAAATGACGTGGTTGACATAAAAGATGTTTATATCTTCTTTCCATATCTATATTAGCCGGAATTTCTGGTAATTTTATCAAATTCAAAAGTAATCCTAATCTTGTTAACCCTGAAGCAGCAGATAACTGCTTCATTCTTTGTTTAAATAAAACTTTTGTAACCCAATAGTCATTCCAAGATTTTTCATTGACCAACTCCTCGCTTAGAGGTGAAATTAATAACAGCGCCGCTACTTCCCTGAAAGGATTGTTCTTTCATTACATATTTACAAATAAAGTAATTTTTATACTAAACTCTTCAAACATTTGAGCATAAAATCTGGAAATGGAGGCCCCTAGACCAGCTCCTATTAAGTTAAGAAAAATCCTTATAATTTATACAAGTTTTTTTTCTTGCTTTGTACTTAACTAACTTCACATACCTACTAAAACAAAAGGCTTCGGTTGTTGACTACTTCCAGTTATAAGTTGATGTAAATCTAACGCCATTCTGGGAATTGCGAAATATTTATTGTTTTGAAATAAAAAAATATCTTTAAATGTTGTTTCCTCACCTTTCTACTGTAAATTGTTCATCTCTCTTCCATTCTTTTTTCTCATCGGTCATATTGATAGTCTATATTTAGAATTTTTATAATTAATGTCTATAATCTCCAGATTTATATTATTTTTATAAACCGAGTAAGGTCGCTCGCTAAATCCTAATCCTGCCCTATCGTACGAACAAACTGTGGTAACTTTTGAAATTTCCCTTTGTATACTGTGCCAAATATCACTAGATGTTGCTGCTGGAGCTTCTAATATAACTATATATAAATTTAAAAATTAATTACATTCAACAAAAGTATTGTAATAAATATTCTTATATTTCACCTGTTGGAGAACCTTTTCCTCTGCAGTAGAGATGCAACTTTTGGCCTCGCCCTATATCATACTGGATACCTTGAATAAATAAGTAAAAGAGTAAATAAGTGAACCATTAATTTTAGTTATAATATAATTATTTTGTTTATCTACCTGGTAGCTTAACAAATCTAATTTCATGTTGTAGAGCGGCATAGTTAAGGAAGGGTGGAATAAGCAAAACAATAATAATATATTTAAAAACTCTAAAGCAAGAGCCAAATACTGATACTTTTTTTTGTTGATTTGCTTTAGGCTGAAAAATTTGAAGGCGAAATGAGTTTACTATTTAAAACATAGTCTTAACTATACTTTATTCTCAGTTTGTGTGTCAGCTGCATCTTTTTCATCGTTATTAGCTGTTTTACGTTTTCTGACTGGCATAATGGGTTTTTTAAAAGTAACACAGAGAGCGATATTAAAGAATATTTTAGCGGCTCACAGGTGGCAGACGAAAGAGAGTTTATAGAGGATAATTTACTTGGATTAGAGCTTCATTTACGAGACCTGTGCAGCCACCTATGTGCAGTATATAAAAATTATTTATTTTGATTTATAGATTACAATAGCCTAAAAAATGACCTTGAACATTTTTTACATCACAAGACATTTCAATCAATTTCCAATGGTTTGAGCAAGCTCTAGCGGAAAATTATGGGACTACAATAAACACTATAACACATTCGATTCTCCACAGAGACACCTGACATTCCAAGGTGTTTTACAATACTACTCTAAAGGAGACATTCAATATTGAACTTTGACCAAATATTTCAATGCGTAGACGTTTGTATTAAATAGAAGATGATACTTAAATGGAAAAAATTATTAACAACATTATTAATATCTATATTAACTGTGCTATTTGTTTTGATTACAAGGATTAATTTATTAAATGTAACGCAAGCGTTAGAATACAAAAACTTACAGCATTTTTCCCATAACAAATCAACAAAAATTATTTTATATTGGACTCCTTGGAACAATGATTTGTGGGATAAACCAAAAGAAGGTATGTAAAATTTATATATCCAATTTTGATATTGATCCCTAGCATATTCTCCTCAGATGATTCAGATATTGGAAAATGCAAGTATAATTGTTTGCATACTAGTAATAGAAATCTGATTTCTCAAAGTGATCTCATAGTGTTTCGAATGCGAAATTTAAATTATCAAGATTTTCCATCTGTTAGGCATCCAGCTCAAATTTGGCTATTAGGAGAAATGGAATCTCCAGTCAATAATTATTTGAGAATCACAAACAGTATATTTCAGTTTTTTACTCCAGACTACTTAACTACAACTTTTAACAACACATTCAATTGGACGGCCACTTATAAGTCAACTTCGGATTTTCCAGTACCTTATTTAAAAACCTTTAAAAGAAAACACAGTAATGTTGACTTAAGCTTTCTAGAGACAAAGACAAAACGAGTGTTTTGGGTAGTTTCAAATTGTTGGAGTAAAACATCATCTTTTCGATGGCAATATGTAAAAGAGTTAAAGAAATATATCGATATAGACATATTTGGCCGATCTGGATCTTGCGGTAGTGTACCTTTGCCATGCGAAAAATCAAAAACTTGTATATTTGATTTAATGAGAAATGAGTATAAATTCTATTTGGCTTTTGAAAATTCAGTTTGCAAAGAATATAGTACAGAAAAACTGGGCAGATCTCTACAGAAAGGAGTTTTACCTATTGTATTCGGAAGTTTAATTGAAGATGTGAAAAGACTAACTCCTCCAAACTCTTTTATACACGTTGATAGTTTTTTATCCCCTTATCAACTAGCGGAATATCTAAAATATTTAGATCGAAATTTCACGGTAGAGTTTCATAATTATTTGTATATAAATAATATAGTAGTAACCTTAAGGGAGTCTCTTATTCTAATCATTTTTTTAGGCCTATAAAGAATATTTCGCATGGAGGAAAGACTACGAAGTAAAATATTTTATTAAGGAAGGAAAAACTTGTGAACTATGTCAACTTTTACACGAATCTTCGGGTAAAAGAAAAATATCGAGTCTAGCAAACTCTTTTAGTGTTGAATCTGATTGTGTTGATAGTCAACTTAGCAGTTCTAACTTGATTGAAAAAATAAGTGATGAAAATATATTCATCTTCGGCTGTATAATTTTTTTTATCGCCTGTGCAGTTTTAATAATCAAAAAGTATTTTGGAGTTTACAAAATGAAAACCCATTGTCAGAGGAAATGAAAATACCGTACAAAATTTTATACATGTTTTAGCATTCATATACGCTTTTAGTACTGTCAGCAATTGTGAATAAATTCTTTTTTTCAAGTTTTTTATTTACAGAATTTTCTTTTGTGAAATACATTTGATTATAAAGAGTATGGATGTAATAGAGCTTCCAAACTTTTACAAGCTTTATATTTACATTTAGATTGTGTTACTAAAGCTGCCAAATTTGCTTTTGCAGTCCATAACTGTATATTGAGCCTACCTTTTACATCCATTATTGCTCCCTCGTATGGTATACAGCACATTCGTCCAGAGATTATACTAATTACATGCAATCTACCATTTATCTCAGACGGAGGTGCTTGAAGAGTTAAGGTAACTCTATCGTTAAACTCTAACTCTCCACTAGTTGCAACATGAACTACACTACTCATCCAGATAATATTAGCAATAGATGGTTTTGTTATTTTTAACCTATCGAATTCTTTGGTGTTTGGTGTTTCAATTTGCACACTGACCATACTAGGCCTATCAACTGCTCCTGGTGGTACTGTTAGACTTACATGACTATCGGTTTGAGAGTGGAAAACTCCACCTGAAGGTGTAAGCCAGAAAGATTCTAACGGAGAAAGTACCATAACGCCAGATATCGAATCCTCTAGAGTGGTTTCAATCTCATATCTTAAAGATGCCCTGAAATCTGTAGGAGTGTTATGACTGTGATCGGAGTGCTGAGGCGATTCTGAAAGACCTCTTAATGTCCTTAGCGTATTTGTCTTGTTTATACTGTAATAAATAAGCCTGATAAATTACTACTACCCGGATTTTTTATTAAGATGCTTACCTTTTCCGAAAAATTCCTGTTCTGGGTGGAGGAGATGATTCATGTTCTTTTAACATATTTTCCATACTTTTAACAACCTTAGCCAATTGATCTTCAGTGTTTAAACTAACATCTGATGGATCTGGAACACTTTCACCAACATTTACAACTGTACTTCTCCTACTTAATTCATCAGCCACTAACCATTCTCTAGTGTAAGAACTCGGCGAAGATTTTTGAGATACTGGTCGCCAAATATGGAGCGATGTGTCATGAGCATATTGAACGGGGGTTCTCGGACGACTTTGCGGCTTCTGAATAGTTGGTGAATGAATCGAAGGTGTGGCAGGAGTTTGATGAATAGGTGATAAAGAAGCTCTTTCCGAATCATAGTTAATAGCACTATTATAGTCACTATCAGCTTCTGGCGATTTACTTTGAATAAACTCAGAACGACTTCGTCGAGTTGTATTTTGCTGATTTTCTATAGGATTCCCTCTTAAATCAAAAGATTTTAAGGAAGTTAGTTGGTCAATAATTAAAGGTTGTAATGTTATTCGATTCTGAGATACATCCAATACTTCTAAATTGTTTAAAACTGTAATTTCTTGAGGAAGATATGTTAATTTGTTTTGTTTCAATCTTAGATCTATTAATTTAAGACATCTAAAGAGACCCCTTGGTAAGGCAGCTAATGAATTATTACTCAAGTCCAGATGGGTTAATTTATTCATTGAATGGATATTTGTTTGGCTACTATTTAGATAGTTATTAGCAGCCGCCAATCTCTCGATATTTTCCAAGCCGTTCGGCAACGATTGTAGTCTATTATTTGATATTAATAATACCTTAAGATGCTGTTAATAATAATTCATTCAACTATAAGATCAATGATATCGATAAAAAGTAATTAATTATAACATATATCACACCTTCAGGCGAGCTATTCTAGATGGAAGAGATCGAAGTTTATTCTTCGTTAAATCTAAACCACGTAACGATTTCAGGCAACTAATTGCATGTGGCATACTCTCAAACTCATTCTCGGCCAAACTTTTTCAAATTTAGTACTTTATTATAAAGTAATTAAACTTTAATATAATTGTTAAAAAACCTACCTTACATGCTGTAATTTAGTAAGATTTTCAAAGGAGGAAGGCAAAGTTAATAGCCTGTTTGCCTTAAAGCTTATTCCTTCCAAATTTACAAGGGTACACACACTTGGTGGAATATGTTCAAATTTATTATTCGCTAGATGGAGCTGCTTGAGCCTCTGTTTTCGACATTCTACCATTAATAATGCATATACGAATGCATATATAATAATAATAATAATGAAAACAAGAAAAGAAAATATTAAGTGCCTGTAAATTCTCAAAACTATGGGGCAGATTCCATATAGAATTACAATTTAGGTATAACTCTTTTAATTCGCTTAGATCGCCAATTTCAGACGGTAAATTCTCAAGTCGGTTGTTGCTTTGAGATATGAAAAGTATTGTCAGATATATTAACTTTTTTATTAATAATAACAATTCAACAATAAACAAACTTGAGTTTTAATATTCTAAGATGTCTCAAAGATGCTATATTCGGAATTAAAGTAGTTATTCTATTAAAACATACATCCAATTCTATAAGATGAGAACATTGGGTAACTGGATAGGGAATTATATTAAGAATATTATGATCCAACTGCAAAATTTTTAATCTATAGAATATCGAAAAATCTGATGGTAAATTGCTGAGCTTGTTGTCACTCAAATTTAGATGTTCCAATCTTGCGAAACGAAATAATTCCGATGGCAACTTTCTTAGATCCCTCTTTGAAATGTCCAAAGAAATGAAACCTTGACTATTTACTTGAATATTCGTTTTTAGACGCCTTTGCCTAACTGTAGCTGTTGTAAACGAGTTTTTTTTTAATTTCGTTTACTAACCAATTTATTATTTTTACCAGTAGAAGCTTTCGAATTTCTCTTCATTAAAGATTCTGCGAGAGCCGCACTGACGCTCATGGCTGAACGACGTCGATTGATTTGTTTTAATTTGCTTTTATTTTCATGCAAATTTTACCTATTCCCAAATGACTTAAATACGAGTTCTCTATTTAAATTATAGATCAGGCGCAAAAATGAAATTCTTAATCACGTGATCGGTCACCTGATTTGTTTTATCATGTGATCGGTTTTATCATGTGATCAAAAGATATGGCTCGTCAGCCTTAAGATTATTGTATTGTTAATTGATCACGTGTTAAAAAACACCTCATGAGATAAATCGTCTTATAAATTTTGTACACCATATAACTTTATTTCAATTCTTTGTGAAGGATAACGCCATGCAAAAGCTTTTAGAAGTCATATCCATATGTAATATGAAGAGCAATAGTTAACAGTTTTTTCCTTTCACAGTATTCAATTACTTACCTTTCAGGTGCCTTAATTGGCTTGGTCTCGGGTAGCAGATTCAGTCTGGGAGTTGGCAAATCTATGGATTATTCTCTTTCTGTCGGACAGAAACAATGGTTAATCAGCAATAATACTTGGGTTGTTTACAAGCATCGATTATATCAAACAAGCGATCATAGCCTTGAAGTAATTAACGTTATAATTAATTCTAGCATTCTACAAGATTATTGAACGTATGTCAAACGTAATTTTAGCTAATAGATCGTTTGACAAAGCGAGGGGAAGACGCACTAGGATCCTTTACATCATTCATTTATGTATTTAAACCAAAAGGACATGATGTTATTTACATAAATATTATCAATTCCTACGAGGGTGAACGTCCCTTTGTCCTCTTTGGTCAATATTTTGAAAATGAGTTCTTAGGAACTGATTTAAATGGCAAAGATGGTGTTGCAAGTGGTTTTCCAACATTTAACGTTCAAAAATCGGCAAATTTGGGATTTTTAGCGATGGGAGGTATCATGTTCGGAGATATAAATAAAAAACTGGGTACTTGGGGAACGTCTGATACAAAGGATATAAGTTCAGGTCTCGATTCTGGCCCATTAGTTTTATTTAGAGAAGACTCCGACGATGCAATGATATTAACTCGATTTAAGTTAATATTTCTATCATTAATTAATGTCATTACTATAAATCACCTCTTTCCAGTGGTTTTATGGACACATCGGCACATTATAATTTAGATAACACAGGGCAGGGCTCTGTCTCATGGGGAGTAATGGGGGGAGTAAAAAAGATCCCCAAAGATTATACGTGTTGGTTCATCGCTTATCATTCAGAGCATGGAATAAAAGAAGTATTTTATTACTAATCTTTCTACATATATATAGCTAATAGATTTGAAAAATTAGGCCATAGAAGGATGGGGCGATATCATGCGTATGAAATATAAGAAAACACCAGCATATAGAGAAAGTGACTTGACAAACAACTATATAGGCTATTGGACGGATAATGGCGCTTATTACTATTATAAAACAGAAGATGGAAAGAATTATCAACAAACTATGCTTGATATTAAGAAATACGCTGATGATATGAAAATACCATACAGGTAATTTCTGTAATACAAGTAACAGATGTGAAATGTGTTGATTCTGTTATCAATACCAGGTATATTCAATACGATTCCTGGTTTTATAAGAAGGGACCAAACAGAGGAGGTGTGATTGAGTGGTATAATACACCTGACATCTATCCAAATGGTATGCAATATATCTTTAATCAGACCACCTGGACAGTTTCGGCTCATAATAGATGGTGGTAGGTAAACATTTGCTTGAAATTAACTAGATTTGTTGAATATCGTTTGCACGAAAGGTCATCAAAGACGGTCTATGCTAAAGAGAACGGCGGAAAATACAACTTCCATCTGGAGCCTTATCACGATCTCGCTATACCTCTTGATCAACAATTCTGGACAGATTTGTTTTCATTCTCAAAAACTTGGGGCCTAACTGTCTATGAACAAGACTGGTTAAATAAAGAATTTAACACCTTAAATATTACAACAGAGAATGTTCGTGTTGGTGAAACATGGTTAAAACAAATGGGAAAAGGCGCTAGAGAGGCCGGTGTAAATATTCAATACTGCATGAGCCCTTCTAGAGTGGCTTTACAAGGAGTTGAAATACCAGTAGTTACTCAAGCCAGAGCTAGTAATGATTACCTCTCTACACCTGATCAGTGGAGAATAGGAATTTCCTCTCATATCGCTGATGCTGTCGGTATTGCACCTTTTAAAGATAATTTCTGGACTGCTTCCGTTCAGCCTGGAAATCCTTACGGTACGTTTGCTACGATAAAGTTAATTACCCTCCACATGTGGTTTAATTTTTTTCTTTAGATAAAACCGAACCTCACCCGGCCTTACAATCAATTGTAGCTACCCTTAGCACTGGACCAGTTGGACCATCTGATAAAATCGGACTATCAAATGTATCGCTTATCATGAGAACCTGTAATGCAGATGGTTTAATATTAAAACCAAGTTTTCCTGCCAAAGCTATAGATTTACAGATAAAAAAAGTTTGTCAAGACTCCCAAACAAGTCGTAGATTAATCGTTATTTAATTAATGTTTTATTATAATAGGCAGCCTTTAAAGGATGGGGCAAAGAAGAGATATGGACTACTCAGTCTATCATTTCAGGTCATCGTTTTGGAATTATCTTAGGAGCGGGACTACAGCATACATATACAATCAATTCTAAATCTGCTAAACTTGAAAAATTGCCATTAAGCGTTTTATATAAATACAATAGTGATAGGATTGAGAAGTTTGGTTCTACCGAATCATTAACACTTGATAACAATTGTACACTAGAAAACTTTTGCTTATACTATACGAGTCCTATTATCCAGGATGGGTAAGTTTACTGATAAATATCGCATAAACTCCCTGAGTTTATTAAAAAAAATAACCTTTACACTATATCACCAGATCGAATACGTTGGCTATCCTTGGAGAATTAAATAAATGGGTTCCCATTTCTCCGAAAAGACTACGAGAGATCGCGTTTGTTGGAAGTATTCCTTACCTAATCATAGAAGGGGCTGTTGGAGAGAAAGTTACATATTCATTCTTAATAAACAATAAACTAATTTCATTGGACTGCGTAATACCACCCAGTGGAGTGGCAAGAATGGATCTTAGAAAACAGATATGCATTTCATAAGAACCAAGGAGAACGATTACAGAACATATTGAAAAAATTCAATAGATAGTGACACTGATAACAAATTCAATAGATAAAAAATTATGCTTTATAGATAAAAACATAAATACATATGTAGTAAATACTTTAAACTTTGGTCTACTTTTTAATATTTATGCAATGAAGATTATATTTATTTTGTTTACCCTAACCAGTAAATCATTTTATTTACTTGTCCGTTAAAGAAAATAATCAGAACAAGCTGTTCAAATAATAAGATTAGCTTGCAATATAATTAATGATAATTGCAGATTTTTGCGGGGCTGGACAATTGAAAGTGCAAATATCTATTGACGGTAGCTATTCTATTAATATTGGTAAAGATGTGTGGTTGAGGAGTTCCCCAACTGAAGTTGCTTTCAATGGACAAATGCATAGCGTGGAAAATGGCCGTTTGAGCGTAAAAAAGAATAATGATTCTCTAACATAAATAAACTACTGCTTGTGGATAAACTCAGCAATATAAGATTATTTTCTTTCTAGACACCCGATGTCCGAACATCATTTGGGAAAGATAGTTTGGGTCGTTACACTATTGATATATTTAGCTATCGCATAAAAGATCATCAATTATACTATAAAGTTTTTATTAAATCATATACGCAATCATCCTTTTACTTGTTCGGCCAAGTAAGAACTTAATTTTTCGCATAACCCTGTACTGTCTGCGTACGCCTCCCTCTTAGAAATTTCATGGCGATTTTTACGGATGCAATGTTAAGGGTAAAAACAGTGTGGCCTCGGCTTTTCCCTCATTTCGGGTGGATTTAAATAATACCCTAGGATTTCTAGCAATGGGAGGAATAATGGTTGGTGACACCGATAAGCAACTGGGAAAATGGGGAACAATTGATATGCATAGAATAAACTCAGGTTTAGATTCCGGTCCATTGGTTTTATTTAAACAAAATAAAGATGATGCTTTAATAATTAGTCCTTTCAGGTAAATAGGTCTACTTAAATAAATAATAATATTAACTGTATTGAGAACTCTTAATTGAATAATATTGATTGAAATCAATTAAATTTAATCACAAATGTTGTACATCTTTTTTGCTATGAAATTTTTTAAAAAAAAGCAAATAAACAGCAATTTCATGGACGTATCAGCTTATTACGACTTGGACGAAAAAGGTCAAGGAAAAGTTTCTTGGGGACTTATGGGCAGCATACAGAAAATACCAAGTGATTATGAAACATCATTTATTATCTGCTATAATGAGAGTGGTATTAAAGAAGTAAGATTCTTATAGAGATTGCATTTAATCTCTCTTGATTAATGATGAAAATTTACGTTCAAGACAATTGAAAAATGGGGTAGCACGCTTAGAAAATATTATAATAAAGACTATAGCTATATGAAAAGTGATTTTGTAAACAATTATATAGGCTATTGGACTGACAATGGTTCGTTTCCTCTTTGGCTCTATTTAAGTATCAGCAAATTTAAGTTTATTTCATTTCTAGGTGGTTATTATTATTATAAAACGGAGAAAGACAAGAATTACGAGAAAACAGTCCTTGACGTTCAAAAATATGCTAATGAAATGCAAATACCCTATAGATATGTTCAATATGACTCTTGGTGGTATCATCAAGCGCCTTTCCGTCAAGGAGTCACCGAATGGACAAGCAAATCTGATGTTTTCCCAGATGGACTCGTAGGCATGTTCAATAAAACAGGTTGGACAGTGCTAGCTCATAATCGTTGGTGGTCTCCAAAGACAAATTATGCCAAACAAAATGGAGGAAATTATGATTTCCGTTTAGAATACGATACTAATTTAGCGTTGCCTCTTGAGGAGAGGTTTTGGACAGATTTAATGATAGAAGCCAAGAAATGGGGCTTAAGGGTTTACGAACAAGACTGGTTGAATAAACAATTTGATGAGATGCATTTCACAACTCGTAACGTAGGAATCGCTAGGAAGTGGCTATTACAAATGGGACGAGGGGCAAATAAGGCTGGCATTAACATTCAATATTGCATGAGTCCTTCTCGAGCGGCCTTGCAAAGTATAGAGATTCCAGTTGTTTCCCAGGTTTATAATAAGTACAATTTTTAAAACTTGCATATATATCCTCCATTAGTAGATCCGAGTAAGTCAAGATTATCTATTAGATTCGGAACAATGGAGAATTGGAATATCATCTCATTTTGCTTATGCTTTAGCTTTAGCCCCATTTAAAGATAACTTTTGGACAACTTCAATCCAATCAGAAAATCCTTATCGTCAGTTTCCTTAATGATTTTAATTAATCAAGTGAGCAATGAGAGCTGCTTTACCCCAACAGATAAAGAAGAGCCTTATCCAGCCTTAGAATCTGTCGTAGCGACAATAAGCACTGGACCGGTGGGACCTTCAGATAAAATCGGATTATCAAATGTCACTTTAATAATGAAAAGCTGTAACAATGATGGATTAATTTTAAAGCCTAGTGTTCCGGCCAGATCCATTGACCTAATAATTAAGCACGTATGTTTTGTCAACAATACCTCACAATTAATTATCAAACAAGTCAATAGAATAGTACTCGAATTGATTTAAGCTTGACAAAATAATAAGAACAAAGTAAAGGTCTTATGTCATATTTACAGACTGCATTTGAAGGTGCAATCGGAGAAGAAATCTGGACGGCACATTCGACAATATCTAATTTCATATTCGGAATTATTTTAGCGGCAGACTTGAAAGAGATGTATTTATTGGATCCACAAGCTTGTAAATTTGGCAAAAAATTTCCGGATAGCATCGTTTATCAGTACAATAGTAAGTTAATTGGAAGATTTGGCTCAACAACGTCTATTGTTGTAGATAATTCCTGTACCCGCAAAACTTTTTGCCTCTTATATACATCCCCAATTTTTGAATTAAGGTTAATGAAATGATTAGCATTTATCATACGTCTTCTCCTAAAACGATTTCTTTCACAGAGATTCAAGGGTTTCCCTGCTAGGAGAGTTATCTAAATGGGTTCCTATATCTCCTCAGAGAATAGAACGAATAGAGCAAACGGAGAATGATATCCTTTTAAGCATAAAAGGAGCGTATAACGAATTGATCAATTTTACTGCCATGGAGAATGACAAAACGTTTGTTATAACTTGTAAATTAAATGAGAGTTTAAAAGCGATAATTAGTATTAGACGACGACTTTGTTTATACTAGAATTTCACAGAAAAATATAAAAATAAAATGATTTACAGATTCTTAAATTGAAATTTTGATTAAATTAGCTTTTAAAGTTTTTGCAGTATAATACACTATAAATTCTTCTCGTTAAAACCAAGTATTTGTCATGCACTTCTCTGACTACTTTTCGAATGATGATGCGGTATTAAGTTCTTTTCTATAGCTTCTCTTTCAAGATTAGCTAATTGCCTGTAAGACGAATAAAGCCTTAGCACATCAAAGTATATCTAATGCCCCTCAAAGGCAAAAACATGTTACCTTCTCAGTTTTATAACTCTTGATTTTAATTGTTTATCTTCATCTTTTATGTTTCTTATATAGTCAACAAGTTTATCTTGCTGTATTCTCGAGGGTTTAAAAGCAGCGTAAACGTTAGACCAAAAATTCTATTCAAATATAAAAAAAGATGTAAATTATACAAGTAAAGATTGTTCTCAACTACAAAGGATATTAATTAAGATATAAAAAAAAAACTCACTAGACTCTGAGGAGCTACGGACGGCCAGATAACGGAATGATTAGGTTCGTAAAGGGGATTCATTAAATCCCCTATAACATTTGGTTGATTTACATAAGACCATAACGAAACAGTTCTGTTTTTTATATCATATTTTCTTCTATCAAATTCGCAATTAGATAAAAACGTTCCGTATTGGGATGAATACGCATTATGAAAAAGGAGAACGAGGAATTTATCGCTAAACTCAAAAGAGCAAGGATACTGCTGCCAAATCTAGAAAGAAAAAACGTATTCACTTATATAAACTACGAAAAAAACACTTTATTTTATTGTTTATACACACCTGCCAAACACAATCAAGGAAAAGTAGAAAGACTGGTGCCTCTTGACGATTTGGCGTAGAGCCGAAAGCTATTTTTGCACACCTTTGCCCAAAAGGATGCCCGCCTTGAATCCATTCTCTTTCGATAAGGGCTTGGAAGCCTCTAACTGTTCTACAATCGGGATCTAATAATAGCTGTGCCAAAGAAGTAACCTGCAGAGTCGAATCAGTACCATCAGACCCATGAACAACCACGGAAGCCTTATCTCGATCAATACATTGAGCTACAAAGCATGCACAAGTCAAAACTGAACTCATGTGAGTCATCCAACCACTGCTCTCTAGACGCGATATCCACTTGTCGCTGGTACATGACTTGTCATTGACCACTTCTATAAGTTTCGACAACGACTCGTGCAAGACGAAGTGCCTTTCAATATTCTGATGAATTTTACGCCATTGTGAATAATGAATGTCTGACTCTACCCCTTTCCCCCTACTAGCTTCGACTTTGGAATTCTGAGCTGAACGTGTATCAATCAGAAAACCTTTGTGACTAGACGTTAGAATGGCCTTCAGTAGTTTTTCATCCTCCTTACACCTGTTATTATTCGTACCCACTAAAGGCTGACTACAACGCATCAAAGATGCCTGAGTTTCTTTATGATAGTAGCTTAAAACTGGAAAGCGTCCTAAATGTCTAAATTTAGCGATGATTCGCAATTCGTCATCGTCGATTGTTTTCGGAACGATTAAAGCTTGAGGATAACTGGGACAAACCTATAAATAAATTGAAAATTATACATCCGCTTAGTCAGTGAGCAATCGATACTTGGTAAAAAACTAGGAACTGCAAATCTTACATCGAATTCCTTGTTGACGTAACTCAAACGAAACTGATCAGTTTTATACTTGATTCTAGCAAATTCTGTCTCGACTTTAAAAGCTTCCCATCCATTTTCTTTTATGTCTGAGTTAGGGCGGTAAAAGAACGGATACAGGAATTCCGTGCTTTCTGAAGTAGTTTAGTAATTAGTCATTGATTTTCCTGCACAACAATCTACTCACCAACGTTCGATAAATTCTCAATCGAAGATGCAACATTGCTACACTCTTCAGATGATTTAAATTCAATATGAATGACCTCGAAGTTCTTACATTTTAATTTGATATGACTCAGTCCTGAACTTAATTGCTTTTCTACGACCTCGACATTCTTATGAATCAACTGCAAAGTAATTACAATGAGTAAAAATGAAACATATGTGTTATTCAATTTTACTCACTAAAAACTCCTCTTTGTCTCTATTAGAAACGATCAGGTGATGGCCAGTTACACATAGAGCCCCTTCTAGATCTTGACGTAATGGACGCTTGACAACTACACTTTGTACTTGAGGCGTTTTTATAAATTCGGCAAACTCCATTTAAGAACCTGTGGGCGTATGATTACAGAATACAAACAAATCAAAAAATTGTACTCTCATAAAGAGAGAATTTTTTTGAAAATTATAATGAAACATACCCTAAACTACTTTCTGCTAAAATCAGTGAAATTTCAGATTGAACGATTTTTAGGTTAGTAGATTGAAAAGAAAAACGAATTATGTTGATTGATTTACTATTTTGTCGTCTGCTCTTAAAAGTGGAGAAAGGACAGCAGTGAATATTTATGTCGTTTAGTACATCAGATGGCGTTGGAAATAAATCTTTAGATTTTTTTTGGCTCAAATCGATAAATCCTTTCATAATTAATCACTTATACCATTTATTCATAGTATACTTGAATTAATGTATTACTCTATAGAACACTACGCGATAGTGAGTTTCAAACCAATAAATTATTTAAACGAAATTGTACGTTTCTAACAAAAAAAAGGGAAAAAAAAGATGCAGCATCTCCCATAATTTATGCGTCTGGTAAAATTCGTAACTATAGATATTTGTAGACCATAAAAAAATTGCCTGGTTTTAGATGCATCCAGCTGTTTGTGGTTATAAACATTGGGTCTATATTTATCATTAATAAATACAAATATATTGCCTATCAATACTTTTCACCAGGGTAAGCTTTGTTTACTGCCCGGTCGCCGCCCCCGAAACAGTGAACTTCCCATGACCCGTGCTGCCTTTGAACTGTTTATGCCGTTTCGCGAGAGGAAAAAAGAACTGGCAAGCTTTTTCTGCTTTTACAGTAAATTTTATATGAGATTGGAAAGAAGGGATTTGGAGAAAGATAAGAAAGGGAAGAGATATGTCCTTTATTCCAAGATAATTTTTTATCTTGTATTCCCATAGAACAATGTAGAAATTTGATTTCTTATTCTTCTATTACAATTAAATATGGACAAGTAAAAAAGAACTTACACTTGAAGGTGAATGAGAAATTCATTCTTTCTAAATGTAGGCCAAACTAGGAAATTTTTTTGTAGGCTAGCATAGCAGAATCCCTTATTTCTTTCGTCTGATATATGGCATACATGAATTTATTGGGTTACATATTAAAATATTATGTTCTACATAATAAGAACAATTTTACGCTTGATAAGATTCATAGATAAGATAGGAAGAGGATTTGCCATTGAAAAAACTGCGTTAGAACAAAAGAAAACCATATCTATAGACTAATTTCTATATACTTATAACGTACATAAAGTCGTGTGTGTGTATGTATGTACGTGTATGTTAGTGAGCAAACGTACGTATGTGGTTAGTGTGTACACACAGACACATACACACACTGTCTTGTATAACTTGTTAGATGCGGGGCAATGCGGGATAAGGACCATTCCCTTATATGCTTAACTCTATAGATAGTATTACTAAGTTGTCCTATATATACAACACACAAATACAACACACATACACACACATTCATCTACAAACGCTCATACACATGACTTAATTAGATACAGTGAAATGAAATATATATATTCTAATCGATAAACGCGTAATATGTGCAGGAGAAAGGGATCGATTTTCCAGACAGATGCTAACGTTTTCAAATTCCATGTATACATCCTCTTTTCTTAGTTTTTAGTTAGAGATTTTATTGATTTTACAGCAATTTTATTCTTCTTTTAATACGGTAACGCCTGGAACGACCGTAATCTTTTTTTATTTATTCAGGCCTCTTTTCTTGAAGTGCTTTGCCTTTCGGCCTTCATTTTACCTCTTTTGCAGCTATAGCAAAAGCTGCAGCATTTTTTCTTCGCGTCTGCAATTAATAATGCAGCAGACTGCGGTATAAAACGAACTGTCCGCGTTCTTGGACAGCCAACAGTTCGCCCGGCGTCTGCCCTTTCCCTGCGTTCTAAAAGGCGGCTAATGTATGCAAGCCTCGCCTTTCTTTACCGGCGTTCAGTGCTGTTCAAAGTATAGCCAAACGGAAAATAACGATTTCGGCAGAGTATTCAATAATTTGGCCCATTTATGATGCCTGGACGATCGATTGTGAAAATACAGGTCGATCAGGGCCATAAAAGCTATGAACGAGTGTATGTAACAGAACTATGGCACGGTGACCGGGCATGGCACCCAAACATTTATGCGCATGCGCAATTCAAAACTATTCACAGACGCCACTCCGCATAATGTTGTCATGACTACTTCTTCGCGCATTTCACGTTTTAGACCGGCAGTCGACGCTTCTCGCTCGCCTCCCGGAAGACAAATCCTCCCGTCAGCAACTTTTCTACCAGGTTTTGACCGCCTACGGCCAGATCGATCAGCTTTCGCCTGTGTACCGAGTCCACTTTGTAAAGATGGTGAATGGTGTATTTTTAGAGGTTAGCATATTAAAACGTCCTTTGAGCGATCTTTTTGTAGAATTCGGGTGCTTTGCCACTATTTATTCGGTTTTACTAACTATATATGTGTAATTGGAATACGCCCAATCAATATGATGCCTAGATGTAATTTTAGAGCGCGCGAATAAATTATTGGCATTGCAGTAAATCAATAAGAATACGCCAGTATACATTAGCCTACCAACGACAGGTGGCGCGGAATGCAGGGCGGGTTGGAGGGTATCGCATTCCGAAAGCAGCACTACAATTGGATTGATCGTAAGCGACCTAAAGTTTTTTTTTAGCTTTTTCTTCATTTTTATTCTTATATTACAATAAATAAATTACCTTGACTTTCAAAGTCAAGTATATTAAGGATAAATAGGCCTGTTTACTTTAGGTGACATTTTTCTCTATAGGAGAGATCTTTCAACAGATCGCTCAACAGACAGCCGGCAGACACGGTCTGTCTGGAACGCTTGGTATAGTAGCGTGTGTAGAAGGAAATCGAATAGTACGGAATAATTTAACGTTGATTTCTACGTCTAGACTCGTTTTCGTGGATTTGGTAACATTATTCAATTCCGCTTGATCTAATTTGAATTACGTAATTAAACATTAGCATTTTTACGCGTACGATAACCTTGTTCTCTTTCAGAAGCCTTCCACTTATCATTTGGAACAAGAATATCAGCCGTATAGGCGTGGAACGAATCAAGTGAGGTCAGTGATGTCTTGAGAAAATATCGAGGATATTCTGACTTCACTGAACCGTTACCCGCCCTCTAATCCGGCTCACGCGAACGGAAGTGGTCTTTTTTCAACTCCCGCTCAACTTAGAGCAATTGCGTCATCAGGCCGGTGGGAAGGACAGAATTAATTATAATAAATTTATAGAGCTTGGAGTATCAAGTGAGGTCAGTGCTGTTGAGAAATTCAGACAACGGCTTTGCTCTCTACTTGAAACTTCCAGTTCTTTCTTGCACTTAAACGCCTTCATGACAATGATAAGGCTATTAGTCATTATGTCCTCAATTAATCATCATATGAACAATGCCGGTTCATCATGTTCTGTCGTTCTCTTTATATATTTATTTATATTTATCAGTCTTTACTAAATAAACGTTTTGAACGAGTTGAATCCTGTTTAAACGCCTCGGTATTAATCTCTAAAACCGTTTCCGCCTAATCGAAGAGGTGTGTTTGAACAAGTTCGAACGAACACGTTGCGGCTACTATGTGGCTACATATTTCTCGGTTTAAGTCTACATACGCTTAGATTGACCTTGAAACGCTTACTATTTCTCGATTTATCGTTTCCATCTGCCCAAGTTAACCTACTTTTATAAAGAGTGGGTTTTCTACTGACTTCGTAACCTAATTTTAATTGCCAAGCGGTATTAATAATATATACCATGAACAAACTCGCGTGCTTACTGGGTTAAAAAGTGGGGCGCATAATTTATTATAACTCTCTGTGAACTGCCGTGGAACTGTGGCGCTCTAACGCCATCTGGATTTTGGAAATAATTAATTGCAATATTTTTACCCAAGAATGCCTTGTCAAATACTATTATTAGGTAACTGATTTGTAATGACAGTTAAAACCCATAAAATAAATCTTTATTCGAGAAAATTAACTGCGGGTTGCTATTGAGAACGGAAATACAAAGATGGACGACGACGGTATGAAATTCCTTTGTTTTTTTATTCTATATTTCTGTATATTCAAATTAATCTTGCGATTTATTTTCAAAATATTCAAATGTTATGTAATATAAATCATCTCTCGTAATCTCTTTAAAATTCCCTTTGTAACTGACCCTGTACGTAAAATGTTTACAGAATCCCCTGCCGAATTGGAATTAATACCATGTGACGTTTGTAGCAGAAAATTTAATCCTGAAGTTCTAGTACGTAAATAAACTTATATTTTAGATCGTTTCTTCAGATTTCTTATTAAATAGTCCAGACACAAACCAATATGCGAGAAAAATGCAGCTAAGAAGCGTAAAGTGTTTGATTCTTCAAAACAAAGATCCGATGTTCTGGGACCATCAGCTCCTCCAGCAAGGAAACCAGAGAAAGAGAAGCCTGTAAGATATCATACAGCTCAATGAATTCCAAAACGGTATTCCTTATATTTTCCAGACACCAAAGAAAACTAATTGGCGACAAAAACATGAAAGCTTTCTCCAGTCTCTTAAGGCTGCAAGAGATGTTTCAGCCGCATTGAGCAGAGGTGAAAAAGTGCCACCACCTCCACCACCTGTTATCGATCCTGGTATAGTAAACATTAACAATTATAGTCTGTGTACTTGATGTACTTGCTAATTTTACAGATTATGTTCAATGCGAATTCTGTCAGAGGAGGTTCAATGTACATGCAGCCGAACGACATATTCCTTTTTGTAAAGAACAATCAATAAGGCAAAAGATAAAGAGCGCCGATGACAAGAAAGCAGCTTTGAATACACGAACAAAGGTGAAAACTAAATCTCATTAAAATTTTTTTATTAGGCCTTTCAAAGCTTAAGCAATTATTTTTTTCCCTAATAGTATCAACCCCCAAAACTAGGCAGTAAAAAAAGAGTGACATCTAATTCAAGAATTCCATCCGGACCAAGAACCGAAAATAATAATCCCAGCAATATGAAACGAACAACAGTTTTAGGCAATTCACCCACCGTTAATCGTTATGCTAATGGGCAAACTTATGATGAAGACGTAAGGGTTTGATTAATTATATTGTAATTATAAACAGCTTAATAAAAACGTCACAGTTGTACTCTGATAATCGACCAACCTCTGGGGACAGTAGGAGCTCATCTGGTCGACCTTTGAGAACTGGCAGAAATCCCGAAACTTATTCAAATGGGTAAGTAGTTCGAAAGACTAAGTATATACATATTTTTTCTTTTCCTCGAACAACAAAACTAATTTCAGCATCGCTATTAGCCGTCAGCAAAAGAATGTGGGTTATTCAAAACCTACTTCCCGCGGTCGTGGTCTAGCCAGCCCGTAAGTATTTTGGTGGTGAGCACCTGTCGAATGCCTTGCGATTTTATTCAGTGCGAAAAATTAGCTAAAAAGTTGATTTCCTTTCTGTTTTTTTTATACTTTTTTAAAATTTAGATCAATGAGAACGTCACTACTTCCCGTTCTCTCTTCGTGAGTCTTTTTATTTGAAGCATGTTGCGGTGCGCTTATCTTTCAATCGCCAATTCTGGTTTTGCTCGTTTTAAAGATAGACCAATTTTTCACACCTCTCCTGCTGTCGTTTTATGTCTTGGCAGCGTTAGCTTTTCAAAGATATAACTTACAAAAAGTCTTTGTTGAAAGTGCTAGTTCCTTTTTAGACACACTTTAGTCTAAATTTTGAGTGAATTATAGTAATTCATCATGGATTTCTATGCACAACAAGAAATTTACGTTGTTTTCCATAAAGTGATTTCTTTTGTGTATTATCATTAAATTGTTATTTGACATTTAATTTATGAAATCAGTGAGAAAAAAATGATCAGGAAGTTGTAAGTCTTAGCTTCAAGGAAGATTTTTGTTTGCTTTTTTTATAACCTATTTTATAGTTTGAATAATCAAATACATGTAATTCCTTTTCTTTTTAGGTCAGGACGATCGAGGCCACCCGTAGGAAGGTACAACTATTTACTCTGTCTAATTTGTTCGTCTGTTATTTACATCTTGACATGTTTTCAGCGGTTCACAGCATCAATCGAGTTCTGCAGGACCACCCGCTAAATTCTGCCATGATTGTGGAACAAAGTATGCAACGACAACGGCCAAGTTTTGTGTTGAATGCGGAATCAGAAGAGTTTCCATTCCTACATAGACACTTAGATTGTTCATAAAAACTATTTACAATATATTGTAAATACTATAACTGTTATTAATATGCAAAGGGATACTCTGTACTCAAAACATCCTCGACAACATATCACTGAAAATTTTTAACGTTTTATTTTTTGTAAGCGTCAACTTGAAAAAATACACGATATCGTTGACTTTTAATTACAGGTCAAATCATTTAAATTTTTATAATTTGTCTATTCATCTTTTTTTTCATAGAAATGGGCGAATTCTTTCGGGTCTTTCCTTCCTAATCTTGTATGTTCTTTTTCACCCCAATCGTAAATCAAGTAGGCGGCAACAAATGCTGTATTATGTTTTAACAGTTATCGCATAAAATAAAGATTGATATGTTTATATATCTTACGGGGAACAACCCGAAATACTTGGGAGTACGTTCGTTTGAAGAAGTTTGGAATACCCTTGCTCAAAATTCCGCCAAAAGTCTTCTGTTCGAAGGGTGATATCGTGTACATTACAATTCCTCTCACTTTTACAAGCTCTCCAAAGCCCTTACCCATCTGCAAGGATACGAATTAAAAAATCTTAACGAAAGTTTCACGGTCATTTGGGTTATTCTACTATTTAACTCACAAACAAACATTTTTAGAAAAAATTACTCTATCTATAGACTACAAATATTTCGCTTTTATTTGTCTTAAATTTTAATTGACAATCAAAGTTTATTTAACTATATATATACCTTGATCTTCTGTGTCCTATTCCAGAAAGAAGCAAATATAAACCAAGGATGGTAACTTGTAAGGTTCCCAACTATTGCTTTTTTTCTCTCTCTCTTTGAATAATATAGCTAAGGTATACAGTAATAAAATGGCGGCTGAATACTCTCAAAAAGTATTCTGTGGTTAGTCAGGAACCTGTACAATTCCATAAAATGCAAACTGAAAATAAGCAACAGAATACTGATAATTAGGTTATATTTTAAATTTTTTGTCCAAATTACTCTTATGAGAGAAAAAACTTGAAAATATTAAGTATACATATCGACGATAAAAAAATAGCTTTAATTGCCTCAGACAGTCAAGAAAAACTAAATTTTAATGCATTTAAATGATATTCTAAATGAATAAATGTGGCAATCTACCCTTATCAAACCATTTCATTAGTTATGAATAGCATTCGAACAATTTGCTGTTGTGTCAAGTATACCTTAAAAATAGAATTCAAACACAATTTAGTTGCATTGACTTAAATCTATAAAAGGTTTATACCCCTAACAAAGACATCTTGGGGGACTGTTTTCTTTATGTAATATAAAATATTTTTGTTACAGTTTGTCACTTATATTTTAGAAAGTGCATTTTACTTTATAGTTTACTTTAAATTTAAAGGTATGTAATTTATCGGTTCTATTTATAAACAGTAAAAATTTACATATTTACTTTCTTCTTTCATAAAAATGAATGTAATTCTACTTTATATGAAATATAATATTTCAAATGCTTTATGAATACAACTACATGCAAAAATGTACTGCTATTTTACAATTTACATATCAATTGTAATTAATAACAAGCTTTCTTTGAAGAGGGACAATTGTTCACCAGATGGCACTTGGAATCCCCTTTTGAATGCAAAGCCGAAGAATTAGGCAAAAAATGCAAGTCGATAAACAGCTTAATGAATGCATGAAAAGTGCCTCTCTTTGTAGACTTTCATGCAATAGGACAGACCTATTAACAGAGTCGTTAAATTGTTTGACATTCTATCGATTAGAGGAAGATGATGATGAAATGTGAGCGATAATACAACAATAAAAAGATTCTTTGTTTAAAAAAGTAGATAAATATGTTGCAGCCCATTATCTAAAACTGAAAACTTATCGAGTGGAGTAGTATTAAAAAGATGGCCAAATCATACAGAAATTACCATAAAATGTTCTCCTATTTGTCAGATTGAGGCAATTGATATTCTCTCTAGTCATATTTATTGTGAAGTATGATTCATTTCTACTTATTTCCTTTTTAGGAAAATGCAAAACAAAAATACAATACAAATCTCTAATTTCAATTAAATCTTCATAAAGATATTTGATCAAGAAGACTGCTATGTCACGACCGATACAGGAACAGAATTACAACAAGAAGGCAAATATCCATTATTTTTGAAACAGTATACTTTTCCAACTACTGTTCGAAACTGTCGAATTAAGGTAAACGTCAATAAAGAAGGCTTAAGAAAATATTACTAAAATAGTTGATATGGCGAGAAGTATACTACTTTGCTTGTTTTCAGCTAATAGAAAATGCCAAGCAGAATGATGGCGTGTGGATTCATTCTTTTCATTTAACCCTTGTGAAAATAGATTCCCCTATTTCCCAAAACAAATCGATGCCGAATGTTCAAAACATTCTAGCAGACAATCAACAGCAATTGCAAGTAAATTAAAAAGTTATTGCATAATTTAAGAGATTGTTCTTAATTAGCTACTTTTTTCTTTATTTTTTCTACAGAATTTTATTGGAGTAAATGGAGATATAGGGCAATTGATTAATCAATTCCAGCAAATGATGTCCTCCAGCTCTAAGGAAAGTGATGAATCAATTAAGAAAACAGAGTAAGTTGTCTTTTCTCTCTTTGCTGCTTCTATATTAATCCTCTATATAGAGAGAAAAAAACTGATCACGAGGATGTTATTAATAAAACAAAAGCAGAAGAAAAGAATGTTGACAATATAATGGCTAGAATAGATGTATTAATGGAAGAGAAATTTAAAGTTTTCAGCGAACGTCTCGAAGATAGACTGTCTTCATTCGAAGATCATCTCGTTGCAAAATTGACTCAAGCTTTACATAATTCTAAGAGCAGCAATACTAAAGAGACCTAATGTATTTGCTTGCTTATGACAGTTCGTTTAGCATAGGAAGACAAACGACTCTCTAATGTGATCATCTACAGAAAAAAGTCGCGATCGTTGTTATTTTAGAGTGACTAGAAAGAAAATAATTGATTGTTTTCTAAGGTTGTTGTAACGATGTGTATATATTGTATTTAGATTGTTTTACTCAACAACTAGCACTCAAGTATTCTTGGTTCAATCAATATTTCGTTGACTTCGGCTTGTTTCGGTTGGGAAGCAGCGTAAAAAACAGCGTTAGCTATATCCTCAGGCACAAGTACAATCTCACCTTTATCTTGCACATCAAATTTGTCACGTGCCTGGATGTCGGTACTGTGCCCTAGTAATTCGGTTTTAACATCCCCAGGTTGAATAGTAGTCACTTTAATACCCTCGGGAGATACTTCTTGCCGAAGGGCTTGAGATAGTCCCTCGACAAAGAATTTAGTCCCACTATAAACCGCTAAGCCAGGAAATCCCCTTCTTCCAGCATTAGACGTGATATTTATAATATGACCCTTCTTTGCTTTTATCATTAGAGGAAGAATGGGCTCCAAACAGTTTAATACTCCCTTACAATTAATATCTACTTGCTTGTTCCACTCTTCTACTCGAGGATTCTTCATCTCTCCGTAGAACATGACGCCAGCATTGTTGACTAGAACATCTACTTCCCCTAGGCTAGTTCTAACATGATTAACTGCTTCTTTTACACTAGTTCTATCACAAACGTCGCATTCAATAGCGATAGCTGACCCTCCATTCTTTGAAATTTCACCTGCTATTATTTTTAGCTTGTCCACTCTTCTAGCAAGTAAGGCAACTCGCATTCCGTTCTCAGCTAGTTTCCTAGCAATTGCTTCTCCAATACCACTGGATGCCCCAGTTACTACAGCAACCCGTTTATCTAAAATTCTCTCCACTGCAAAAATTATCGCAAATATTCCAATTAAGTAAAAAACAGAAGCAATAACACATTATAGAGGGTCTCAACTGACCTATGGTATTTTTCCTAACAGGTAATATAACACCTCTACTAGCCATTTTCGAAAAATATGTTTGTATAAGAGCGTGATCTAATTGTGGATAAGCTAAATCAAGCTCCCCTAGAATTTTCTCCGTTGACACGCGATTAAATATATTCTTGCACGTAAAAAATTCGTTCTTTCTATGGAATCAGGTGTATATGATGAGTAAAGTATCTAAGAGAAGTTGATATTTGATACAGTACTTAACTGCTCCATTGATAAGCCTCAATAAGCTGTTACAGAACTCAAGAGATGAGTTCTCATTGAGCCTAATTTGAAAAAAAAAATTCGATTAATTTACCAGAAAGTGTATAGATTGAGAAATGGAAGAAAACGAAAGATATAACATGATAATTACAAGCTTTCCCATCTTTCAAAGGAGACGTATCGAATATTGTAGCCGTGGGATATAAGCCAATCAAATAACCATCTCGACTTAAGAGGATATGTTTGTATCAAATGAAGAACTTTCCCTAAACCCAATACCATTTGCTTTGTCAAATTGACAATAACCTTACTGGCAAAGTCAACTGGTGTCATTTCAATTTCCCAATCGACATCGGGTGTTGCACCAACGCCAATGCAACATTGTAAATTCAATAAGTTAAAATCTTCGGGGTTCCAATATGCTTCTTTTGAGTCCCCGCTTAGATTTCCTTAGGAAAAATGTTAGAAATTGTAACACATACACATGTAACAATTTTTTTCATACCTAGTCTATAAATAGTAGCAGGTAGACCTTTGTTCATAGCTCTTTTTACGAGTTGTTCTGCGACCCACTTAGTTTGGGAGTAACCTTCCGTTAACTGATCCGAAACTTGATTCATATCAGTATTTTCATTGCAATCTCTCATGTCATGAGGAAACACGGCATTCGTACTATTTCGGAATTAGAATAAGATTACAAATTGAACTACAATCAATCTTAAGCTTTTACCTAATGTAGTGGAGTGGTTTAATCTTACTTGTACAGGAGAATGCTAAAATATTGCTTGTACCAAGAACGTTTGGGGCGTAAAGAGCCTATAAGTTTAATTAAATAATCACTATTGAGAAGATAATTATCCTTATAGAAAATAGACATTACCCTATATGGATAAATAAGATTAACATAAGCTGCTGTGTGTATTATAAAACCAATTTCGGCACACAAATAATTGTATTCATCTTCGTTAACGCCCAGTTTCATTAAGCTTATGTCACCTGTAGAATAATTGTATAGGTAAATGAAAAGATAATGAAAGTTTAGTTTTTATGGACGGTAATTAAACACCTTTAACGGCGACGACCCGCTGCGAGAATTTAGCTTCGATTACAGTTTCTTCAGCTGTTGCATGCTCTTTGTTCAAAGGCAGTATGCCGTAAGATCTTAAATTTTGCTTTATCCTATCAATCCCCGTTAAATCCGCAGTGTCTCTAACAAGACAAAATATGTGCATCTGCGGATTATTCCATGGTTAGATAATTAGATTTTACAATCAATTTAATTAATGGAAAAAACCTTTGTTTTTAATAGTAATTCTCTTATTAAGAAGGCCCCGAGGAAACCTGTTGCTCCTGTTAGTAAAACGTTGCTCTGATTCCATCTATCTCCAAATCGTAGAGACCTCCAGAAGGCTCTTAATTGCATATCCATGCCTGTTATAATCTGATCGTGTTTCTCCACTTCTTTTTTCAAGTCGACCTTTACGAGTTCATTTTCGTGTCTTCGTTCACCTTTCACCTTTAAATCTAATAACTTTCCAAGATCGCTTACAGTATTATAGGCGAATAGATCTCTAACAGGAATTTCAATGTTGAATTCCTCTTGAATTTTGTTTAAGAGTTTCGTAGCTAGTAATGAATGACCACCTAGGTCAAAAAAACTTTCATTGATGTCTACTGCGTCTAATGAGAGAACTCCACACCATATTCGCGATAATATCTTCTCAGTTTCTAAATGATGTGAATACGATATGTTTACTATATACTATCATTAATTAAATAACACTTATACCAGTTGATGGTAAACAATCCGGATCTATTCCGGCTTTAGTGTTAATTGGGGGCAAAGCTTTTTTGTTTAATTTGCCTGAGGATGCTAAAATTGGGATTCTAAGTGAGAAGAGAATTAAGTAAATTATATTGTCATGATATCTTGTTTATATATAGAAAGTATTCATTTGTTAGAGAAATACAAACTTTTCTAGAAAGATAAAATGAGACGGAATCATGTAAAAAGGTACCTTCCGCTTCATTGCTATTCTAATGGATCTAGCTGTTACATCTGTCGACTTTTTCACTATATATGCAACTAATGTTTTTTCCTTTCCCTCTTCTCCAATAACTGAACATACTGCATTTTGTACAAGGTCACTTGTCTCGAGTAAAGCAGCCTCAACAGCTTGTAGCTCTATAGAGTAACCTCGAATTTTTGCCATGCTGTCGCATCTCCCGCAAATCTCAAGGCTACCGTCAGCTCTCATAAAACCCCAGTCGCCACATCTATAAAGTCTATCACCCATGTAAGATGGGAGGCTTTTAGGGCGCTTAATGAAACGTAGAGCATTTAGATCTGGTCTATTGAGATAACCTCTTGCAAGCGTTGGCCCCCCGACATAAATCTTTTTTTTTTAAGGAACAATTATAGATTCATAAAGAATTTTGAATTTGTATAAAGTTTCTTACCTCCCCCTGGGCTCCTTGGGGCTGTACATTCAAATCGTCGTCTAAAATGACAACATGAACACCTGGAAGAAGGCTGCCAGTACCGCAATAGTTTCTCTCATCGTATTGACTCTATTAGTAAAAAAAAATATGATTATAGTATTGTATTAAATTTTGTAAACAAACAGAATTTTCTCTCCAGGATTTGCTCATATCATCGCAACTGATATCGTGGGCTTCAGAAACGCTATACAAATTAATGTATTGAATCCAGCTTAACAATTTCATACATTTCTTGAAAAGACTTGTCGTCACTACTTCACCGCAGAATAAAATCGCTCGCATAGACTTGAAAGAATTTTCTATATCAGCCAATTTACTATCCATGACGGCTTCGAGCAATGATGGCGTAAATAGCATTCTTGTTATTTTGTTGGTTTTCAAAAATTTACATAGTTCGACAGGGTCGTATATTATGTCATCGGGGATTATGTACATAGTTGTTCCTAAATTTTTTACAAAACGTTTAGATAATCCCTAAATCCTATTGGAAATACAATATCACAAACCTCTGAGGAGTGGTCTAAGCATTTCCCACACGAAGAATATATTACACGCTTCCCTTTCATCCTCACCGTAGGGGAAGGCTTCGTGCCGCCAATGATAAGAGAATACGGCTCCTCTATGCGGACAAAGGATACCTTTTTAGGTAGTAATATTAGTTAAAATCTCAATGGAATAATTATTTGGAAAAGAAATTGATTACCTTTCGGTTTTCCGGTAGTTCCAGAGGAGTAAACTGTATAAGCTAAATCATCTAGAGTTACTGTTGGTTCGCCAATCAATTTTGGATGGTGATCATTCTCTTTCACCATATCATTAGGCCAATTTTGCGATAGGACGATAACTTCTTTAGCATCTATAGTTAACAATTATACAAATTAGTCAACGTATATACAGCTTATACTTGTACACGTTATTACTTTGAACTTGGCTCTCGTTAGAAGGGAGAGTAACGACAGCAGCAGGTTCAGAATCCGACAAGATAGTGTCAATTAAGGATTGTGGATAAGAAGGATCAATAGGCATATAGGCTCCACCTTTATAGGAAAATATGATAGTAGATGATTTAAACTATTAAATAAAGGATATTTTAAGGAAATCAACCTGCTTTAAGAATCGCTATATAGGCTATAGAGTACTCCACGCATCTCTTCATGTATATGCCAACAATTGAGTTGGGTTTTACACCCTTATGTCTAAGATTTATGCTTAAAATATCTGTTAGTTCATCCAATTCTTTAAAAGTGATGCTGCCTCCATCGGCCGAAACAATTGCCGTCTGTGTTTTAGCGTTATTATATTTATTAAATTAGAAAGGAAAGACGTAACTAACATTTAGAAAATACAGTTAAATAAATAAAAAAAAAGTAAATAATTCACTTTATTTGGCGTAAGTTTGGCTTGACGACGAAACATGTCATGCAAAAGACCAAGATGTTCATATTCGAACGTTTTTGGAGGAGCCATTCCTTTTGTCTTTATTAAGAACAAATTAATGATTGCACAAGTCCAAAGTTAACCTCTTTAAGCTTTTTATCTTGAAAAATTGATAAAAAATAATCCAGATAGAACTCGTCTGTTAAAAATAGAAAAAAAAGCAAACCAAAAATAAAAGGTTACTATAATCGTAAAAATGCTCATGTTTATTCAAATAATTAAGTTTGTCTTTTATCTCTTTTTAATATAAAACGCTTAATTAACCATTAAATTTCTATATAATGTATATATTAATATTTTGTACATATAATAAAAATAGGTGATTGTTATTTATTTCAAAATATAATTATTAAAATGTATGGCGTAAACGTTGTAAAATTTATTCGTACGCCATCTACCGATAAGAAATAAAGTTGAAAAAAGAAAATGAAATATCGTATTGTAAAGGGGCGGAAGGAACGCTTTCTAAACTACGTAAACCTTTGTTGACGGTAGTGGTCCTAAATTTAATTCTATTGATTTTAATACTATAAAGAAATTGAAAAAACTCTCTGATAATGGAAAATTTCTACTGCAAAACACTATTTCCAGAATATGCTTTACATTAATGGCTTCTTTTTGACGATAGATTGACGTCATCTCTTTATGTCTTTGTTTCTTTCTTTCATATCTAATTTGATAATTCATAAAAAAAGGAAGCTTCTTGAAAGATAAAGCTTTAAAGGCAAAAGAGAAGTTAATAGTTTAATTAAAAAGAAGAAACCCTTTCTTTTAAACTTATAATAAAAGATTGTTAACAAATATAATTATATAAAAAAAAATCGATTCAATCAGCGTTTTCTTGTCAGTATGGTTTTTATTATTATTATAAAACAGAAAGCAAAAAGAAGAAGTATCAAATTTCGTAAAAAGATGAAAAGGAAAAAAATATCCTCAGCAGATAATAATAATTGTGCAATTCATTGGAAACAGAAATTTTTGAAGAAAAACAGTTACAAATTATACTAATATAAACAAATCAAAAATATTGATAGTGATTCTTTTTTTGTTCTTTCTTTTTACTGCTTCGTTAATCTCTTTCTCTTTCTTTCTCTCTCTCTCTCTCTCTCTCTCTGTCCCTGCCTCTTTTTTAACTTTATAAAATAACTATCTAATAACTCATTTTTTAAAACTCTGAAAATTATCACAATGGCTGTAAAACACTATTTATTTACTACAAAACTGTTATTTCTTCTACATTCTCTTCAACTATTGGTTCAATAGATTGAAATAAGCTCGTTTGAAGTTTATCAAAACTTTCGTCATTCTCTTCAGATCCTCTATCGCCTTGTTCTTCATTCTGAGCTGAAGATGATACTGAAAAAAGTCTTTTTCTCTTAGCCCAGTTTTGAACATCTTCTTGAGCAGTCGATATATGGGTTTTTAGCTGTTCCTGCTTTCCTTCTCTAGTCAAATTTTTATCATGGTATCTTCGATCTTAAAGATTGAAAAATTTTTTAATAAAGAAACATATAAAATGTTATTGCATATCGTGTATAATAAAGAATTATCTTTTACCGGCAGATTGACTTTTGAGAATTTTACCCAATCCTTCTACTGAAATATGTCTAGTTTTTCCAGTGTCTGTGTAAAGTTAATTTCCGTTTGAAGCGAAAATCAGAATAAAATTATTATAAGTATCTTACCAAGGGAATAAGCTCGCTTAAGCATTTTTTTAAAGCTTGGACGAGTTGTCGTGATACCATTTTCCACGTCTCGAATGGTGTTTTTTGCAGCATCTGTAAAACAGTAGCCAAGAAGGGGAAAAAAACCCCAGTAATTTTTCACCAAATGTCCTGTATGTTCTCTAAATAACAAGACGCTATTTACCTTCTAGTGCTGGATTACTACTTGTATACTTTAGGAAACCGGTTGTTGAATCTCTATGTTTATGATTATGCATGAGAATAAAATTGATGGGAAAGTAGTTAAGAATAATTTACTTGAGGGTAACTTTTTCATAGAGCTTAACCAAAGGTGGACCAGTTTCACTTTCTTTTGATTGTAAAATAGGACGACAATATCGGTTGTCGTAATATTTTAGATACATCTATAAAATAGAAAGAGAAATGAAGAAATTAATATAGATTACTTCTAATCTAATTAATTAAATTGTTTACCCATAATAAAGTATCACCATACTCGTCAGTAATTCCTTCAATTCCTGCCAGAACAGAGTCGAAAACCTAATAGGAAGACCATAAATCATTTATGTAGGTAAAGAAAAAGGCCAACTCAGTAAAAGAAAATTTAATAAAACCATCTAATTTATTACATTTTCACTCATTTCTTGGAATAAACTGTAATTTTGCCTTGACTGCATTTTTTTTATTTTGCAAAAGCCAACCAAAGGTTTAATAGTTAATCCCTGAAAATTTTCGTATATAAGTATAGATATTCGAGTAAATATTTACATTATATAATTTAATCTTTAACTTCGAAATAATAAGTGAAAACCTGAATGAAAACTGTCCAAATAATAACTCCAAAAGTAGCAGTCATAAAGATACTTTTAGTTTTTCCTTCCGTAAGAGTAGATGCTATAGCAAAGCAGACTGCTCCTCTTAAACCTCCATAAAACTGTGGAGAACATTTAAGAGATGTTGCATAAATAAAAAATATCAACAAACCATTATAAACTGTTCTTCCAAGTTTATTTTATTTTCTCTCCAATAATTAGCCAGGAAAGTTAAGCCGAATACGCCTGTTTGAAGTAATGATAGGTTTTACTAGAAGCCTAGTGACATAATAGATAGTTAAATACTTACTAATTGATCTATATATAGTGCATAAAAAGATAGACCATAGAACAAAACCCGAATGCCAATAATGATCGATAGTATATAATTCTATTCCAAGAAAGAGGAATATGATGGCGTCCATTGTACTACTGTGAAAAGAAAGGCAAAAGATTGGAAGGAGGAACAAGGAAATGCATATTTATAGACACGTTCTTTTAAATATGAAAAATACAAAATATGAATGTTTTAACCTTAACATTTTTGAAAAGTATTTTACGGTTGTTCTAGATTTTCTTGATATATTAAACATTGCATAAGAATTTTGTACTAAACCACAGCCAATACAGCTTATTATACCGGACCAATGCACCATTTCGGCAACAAGATAAGCTAAATAGGCAAAACCAAACATGCATAAGGGTTCCACTACTCTAACGTGTAATGTATGCTTTGTTATAATTGATGTTATAACTCCGAATATAATTCCTATTGACAATCCCCCTAAACTAACTGTAAAAAACGATGCTATTCCTAGGCCTATCTGTAAGTGTAATAAGAACTTTAATTATGAACAAAGAGTATAGTATAAATTATGTATCATCTAACGTCCATTCCTTTACCTGATTAGCAGATACGTCACCAACAGATAAAAATGTACTCATTGTATTACTAAGCACAATTGTTACAGCATCTGTTTAGATGAAACGAGAGTATATAATGCCAATCTTTGAATTAGGATAAAGTAAAGTGAATAACCATTTAATAATGATTCTCCGAATACCAAAAAATATAAGCATTTATTTACGCCAATCTCTTGAAAAATGGCTAGAACCTATTTTTTTTGTCACAGTTAAATAATTAAAGCTAAAGCGTATATTCCGGTTTTCAGTTTAACTTACAGCAACTGGATCAACTGCAACTATAAATGAAGAGAATAGTAAGCACTCAAGTAGGGATAATGATATATCTCCCATTGCTTTTATTTGGCTCAGACCATATAAAGTTGGACCAATAAATATCCAATTTAAGAGGGTACCCTAAAAATAAATTAAGATATAGTATATTTATATTGTGACATAATATAACAGTTGTGAATAGTCTAAGTAAATTTCTTACTACAACGGCGTAAAGTAAAATTGTACCCAAATTCTGATAGAAAACCTTGTCATTTAGACTATAGGCCGAGTCCAAGACAATTCTATATAGATTATATAACATAATTTAAATTTATACAGTTTTTATAATTTAAAGTATTAAGCTTCTTACGGCGGTAGTAAAAATAGCATAAATAATCTTGGGCTCAGGTGAAAAGTGCCCGAATTATCCGTATGACTGTATGGATTATATAAATAGTAGCATAAATATGAATGACTAAATATATGAATTTTACTGTATAACGACTCCAGCAACTAGTCCGAGCAGAATTAGAATACTAGGGTAGAAGAAAGGAGGGTTTTTCTCATTATTCTATCTAATTGTATATTCTATTCAATTTCAACTACTCACCAAGATTCTGGAAGACACGATGACATAAAGTTTGCTTGATGAAAACCTATTTTCAAAAGTCCAGCAACTATAACGAATAGGATTATTAAAAGTGGAGTTTCAACATAGCTGAATCTCCAGGAGACAACAGTTATTCCATGTGAATTGTGCGTTTCCGAATGATTTGAATGAATTGTTGTTTGCCCATTAATCCAATTGATTATTACAAGTAAAATTATTAATTTGAAGAATAAATTTCTATAAAATAGTTAAAGTTTATCAAAAGAATAGAATGTTCTACTTATAAATCTTTTCAATTAAATTTATAATTACCTTTCTAAATTCATCTTTTCTATTTTCTTTGTAATTTCTCTCTTCTCTCTTCTTGTTGTCCTTTAACCACTGGAAATTATGGCATAAATGTATTGAGAAGTACAGAATTATTTATCCTAAATCTCTTTCAATTCTTTATAGAAACGAATAAAATAAGTGTTGAATTGAAGAAAAGAGAGAAGGAGAGAGACAGAGACAGAAACAGTGATAAGCAAACAGAGGTCAACTAAATCACGTTACTGATGATAACGAAAAATATAAATACACTGCCCCTACATATTTTTTAAGTATAATCCATTAATTCAATGGATTTTATTAAGGAATGACTTATACATAATGCCTATTTAAATAGATCAAAACGTTATAAATACTGTCTATATAATTATTATAGTTATAACAAATTATACCTATGGACGTTCAATTGGGCTGTGCTGTTTCTTGTTATTTACTCTTCTGATATCATATTCTTGTTAGTTTCACTTATTATAACTTTCTAATCAATTATTCTATTTACAATAGCCTATACTAAAAATCTCAACAAAGAAGAAGAAGAGTGATAAAGCAGAGGTAGAGAGAAAGAGAAAGGTTAATAAAAAATTGTAATACAAATGTTAAAGCGTTAATTTTCTGCAATAGAAAAACGTTTTAGAAAATTAATAATTAAATCCTTTTTAGAGTCATTTTGTTGTAATTTGTGATGCAAGGATAGAAGAATCCTAGGCTAAAGGGCAGCACTAATAGAGAGAGTGGGTTGAATAAATAGGCCTTTTTTTGAATAAGTAATATAAAAGTAATTAACTCTGGTCAGGAAAAGTTTTTCCCATTGTATAAGTAGCATAAACAATTTAATGTATGCAGTTTATGTTTTTGTTTTAGTATAAAAATATAAAATATCTTCTAATCTAACTAGTTTTACGTAAAATACTATTTTATTAAGTAGTAGTAGCTGTTATTTATAAATAAAACTTGTGAGTGATAATAGGAGAGAAAGAACATTTTAGTGTTTTCAATATAAAATTTATTAATAGCTTACACGGAGAAATAGTAATAATTTAATTGGTAAATAATACTAATTAAGCATTAATTAGGGACTATTAAAAAAAACTAATGGCTTTAAGATAAGTCTGTATTTTATATGAATATATTAGTATAAATATAAATTGAATATTTTGAGATCGATTACCTGTTTTTGTTTTCGGCTTGCTACTCACTCAGCTTTATACTTAATACTATAGAAATACCATCCTCTTTTAAACTATTATGAGAGGATAGAGAGAAAAAGAGAGAGATAGAGAGAGAGAGAGAGAGAGAGAGAGAGAGAGTAGAACAAATGTAATTCATATAGTGTTTAGTAATTCCTTAATTAATTAAATAGATTGTTTAATATTCACAAATATTTTGTATTCGCATGTATAAATGAAGTTTTCTTTATCTTCCAAATGTTTGCATATGCATACAATTAATATAGAAATAGCAATAAAGTATAAAGTATTTTTTAATACTTACATAACTAGACAGCATCAAATGTAAATGATTATGACATATACGGTATGTACAGTATATATATATATATGTATATACTGTATATTGTATATTTGTATATATCGTTGTTTATTAAGACGTATCCTTAAACTAGTATTATATCAGAATAAATACAAACATACATATAACAGACAAAAATCATATTAATCAACGCTACAGCTGTATTCAATAATAATATTAAAAAATTTCTAATAACTAACGTACTAGTGATAGGGCCGGTACGAAACTTCAACTATTCAATCAATACATTCGCTGTGTCATCCTTTTTCTTTTTTAGTTTTAATTATTCCTATAACAAAACAATGGAATAGTTATTTTTAGACGCCGGCGTTTATACTGGAATCAATAATAAATAATAGTTTTTGCACATATAAATATACATATTTTCTTTATATCGAATTACTTATATGGCCTGAAACTAATCGAAAATTTCTACATAGATGATGCAAAAGATGGCGATAGTGCATCCATCAATAAACGCTGTTCTTATTACTATTGCCCTAGGCCTATGCATCGCTTTTTCTCTCCTTTTCCTGATTTTGTCAATTTCCTTATAAAGGATATTCGAGTAAAAAAATGGTATAGATACGTTTGTAAACTATTCCTGTTTAGTTTATTTTACATTAAACTAAGAGAATAAATAATACAAATACAAAAAAACAAATCCGATTTTCTTCTAGAGAAAAGTATTGGCTTGCGCAATTTTCGTTTAGACGCCAGATGACGCCTAGCTTAATGTAGACGTTGAAAATTCTATTCTTCGCCCCTACCTACATCGACATATTCAGATCGAATCGTAATAGGGAAACTTTCTGCAATGTATACAGCTTTTCTTTTAATATAGTCGAATGGATAATGAAAGAGAGATAATTGTCATTTCTTTTTTTTATAGTCATTTAGTAAGTGAACAGGATTCAGGGAGTAAGAACAGCATAGGAATCGCTTAATTACTACGATATGGCGGCTAAGGATAAATTTTATCGTATCCTTTACTAAAATAAGATATAAAACGTGCCAGTTTGAATATGCAGACTCCTCAAAAATTAAAGGTAATATTAATGAAGTGATAACTTATGAATTTTTCATTCTATTTATGCATAATCATTCTAAAATAGTCCCAAAAACCATCAAACATCACGAAAATCCATTCTGAACAATTATCAAAGCTCAAGCAAAAACATCACCACGAATATGATCTTCTAGAGGACATTCGGTAAGGATAAAAATAGTTGAAAATACCGTAAAAAATCAATGTATATAACGCGATGTACATAGACCTTAAATATAGCACGGCTTTGCCTGGCTTTCCTCTTCCTATCGATTTTCGTCTATATGTATCGATTCTGAATACTTTGCAGATCATTCAGCAAACAAAGGTCGATAATAGAAAAGGAGTATGCTCAGGTTAGTTTGTTAAAAAATAGAATAAATTTTTCACTTCTTTCTCCTCTCCTCCCCTTCCACCCCTTCTACACTTGATTTTAAACTACCCTCACCATTAATATACATTTGCACTCTATTTATCGGTAAAACTCTTCAATCTCCTACCGATTTTACAACTAAAGGACATTAGGAAAACTACATTAATCTTAACCAGACCAATTTTCTTGAAAAATTTACTTGTTTTCCTTTATATTTCAAAAGAGAAAAACCTAGTAGTTTCCCTGTAAAAACGTCATACAGTAAATAATTGATGCGCAGTCCTTTTTTCCCGACGCATAGTGAGAGCGGAAAGGCAACTATGTATAATGTAATATATATTTTATACTTTTACAATTTATAATATTACTGTATATATATAAAATTAGATATCACAAACTTTACCTGTCTTGTTTTTCATTAAAAAAATACATACAGCTACGGTCGTTTAGTAGGCTTTTATACATCATACAAATAAAGAGTACAATAAGATAAATATATAATTGGCAGAAGAGAAAGAATACAATTTTCAGTATAAAGATATTGTAAAATATGATATTTTAACTATCATAGATTTTTTCAAATTAGTACAAGACAAAATATTAAGTATAACGGACAGGTTGTTAGCCCTGACTTGTTTGTCATTCGGGTCTAAGCTTGCTGTATATCGATTCTTCACACGATTGATCCGCTCACTGTTACTGTAGTTTTATGCAGTTGTACTACTTTATTTTAATACTTACGAATATATTACACTTTATCAAAGCGAGCCCTTTCATTAGTTGCGTTAATTTAGTAATTCACACACTATTAGTAGAGATTATTAGAAAGGGTATACAGTATACAAAATACGTGCACTGAATATAAAAATTTTCAGTTTGAAATAACATCAATTTAGCTTTAGGCTTGATTTTCCTTGATAATTTATTCTAGTAAAAAGGACAGGAAATTAGTTGTTTTACATCTCTAAACGTCAATCTTTTACTGAGTAATGTTTGTTTTATAGGCTCTGACTAAATTGGCTCATGGTTATCTCCAAAAATCAAAATTTCCACCGCCTCCAGATATAAAAGAAAATCCTGAGTTCAGGTAAAATTAATATGTCAATGTAGATGTTTAAAGCGTATAAAATAGAAATGGAAACGAATATATAAACATCTTTCGTGATATATTCGAATGGATAGTAATAACTTCCGTTTTTTTTTTTACCTCCCTCTCTCCATCTCTCTTCCAACAAATACTCCACTTTCAGGAAAGGACGGTAAGCTAGTTACATTCTTTGGTACTTTGTATGTATTTTGCTTATTCTTTTACGATTAATGTTTCTCTTTTTCCAACATCGTTTATCGTAGAACTATATCTCAAGTATGGAAAACGGTGCTAGAAGTTACGGAAGCTGTTGGAAAGACGAGGCAACAGGCTGCCGAATCCTATTTAAATCAGGTTTCCGAACCGATTAAACCTATCAAGACAGCTAAAGCGCATACGGCAAAGAAGGTTCTTGACCAGTTGGCAACTCTACAAAAAGAATTACAAGGAACTGTAGGTGAATTGAGCAAGAGTCACAAGTCTTATAGTGATGAAGAGCATTTGGCTCACGACGCTAGAACAAAATATGAAGAGGCCAATAGAAAGTTAGACATTTTAAAAAAAAATTAATAATATATAATTTGTTTTTTTAAAAAAAAAATAATAATAGAGTACAGAAGAGATCGACTGGTCTATTTACGTCGATGGCGCAACTTCAACAAAAAAGTGCCAAGGTAGAATCATTTATTATTTGTTTAGTTGAATTAAATCTTATTATTAATTCACAGCTAAATGCTCGGAGGGAAACTTGCGATCAAAAGGCAAACATTGTTCGAAATGACTATATATTGAATATAGCTGCTTCAAATGCTCACCAAAAGCGTTACTTTTACGTTGAATTACCGCAATTAATGCAAGAATTGGATGGAGAAGTTTATGATAAAGCTCGCGAATTCATGACTATTATTTCGATGTCTGAATTAGAATGCTGCGGCCTTACTCAGGAATGTTTCACCAAGATAATGGCTGACTCCTGCATGGTAAATAAAATAACCTCTTGTCCCTTATCATTTCCAGTTATAATAACTATTTAAAAAATAAAAACAGATTAGTAGAGACTTTAATCTCAATTGTTTCCTGCACGAAAATCCAACCTATCAAGAGTCTATTGTTTACCCATTCGACGCCCAAGACGGAGATAAAATTACCCATATAGTTACTGAACAAACGTCTCTTTATGACCTTGAAAAAGATGGGAAAAATGCCGCCTTACTAGTCGCTCAATCGGATAGAACTATTCGAGAACAAGAACAACTACTCGAGCAACTAAAGCATTTACCTCCAGTTGATCCGAAAAAGTTTGATCATAAAAAGAGCGAAAAGAAAAAGGATAAGAAAAAGGAGGAAAGAGAGGATAAAGAGGTAAAGAAGAGAGATAAATATAAGTTGTATTGTATTATTAAGAGGCACTTTTTTTTTAAATCAAACTTAGAATGATGAAGACCTCGATCCGGAAACGAGGATGGATTATTGTAGAAATAATATCCGTAAAGCCCAAACAAATAAGTTGAAAGCGGAAGCGAAATTAGAATTGTTGAGAGATGCTGGAATTTCAGTGGATGACTATATCGCAAAGGCTCAAGCCGACATAGAATCAGCTGAGAGGGAAGCTCGTGAAAGAGCAGCTGCAGCCGAGACTGTTTCTCGTTTGAATAGTGTAAGGTCTGATAAAGAGAGTATATGTGAAGATTCTACCGCCTCTTATACTGAAGACTGCACGACTGACTATTCCAATGCCCGTGCCTCAGTTTCTAGTCAATTTCATCCTGGAAGAAGTTATCCACTAACTGCCGTAGCTTTGTACAATTTTGCAGCTTCGACTCCTGATGAATTGTCTATGCAGCAGGGGGAAACTCTGGAGATAACTGCGGATGGGGATGGAGAAGGGTGGGTCAAGGCTAGAAATTACGAGAATAAAATTGGCTTTGTGCCAGAGAATCATTTGGATATTCACGGACAAGAGCCTCAATCAGCGTCAAGTTACGACAATACTTCTGGATCACATTGCGATGACTACTCTAGTCCACCAGGAAGTGCTACTCGGCAAGGTTATGCAGCAGATGAGACTCCTTATTCACCGTACGTTGATCAGGATAGTAATACATGGGCAAGGGTATTATATGACTACGAAGCGGTCAGCTCAGAAGAACTAACTTTAAAGGAAGGCGATATCGTTCAGATAACGAGCAAGCAACCAAGAGGACTAGAAGATGGATGGTGGCTCGGGGTCATTAACGATAGAAGTGGTATGGTGCCATCGATGATAATGGCCGAACTATCTTCTGACGAATTATTGGTCTACGCCGAGGTGTCAATGGCATCCAAATTAGAAAGACAGCCATCGAACGATATGCCACCAGTTCATAGTGCATACGAAAATCTAGGTCAGTAATTTTTATTGATTTGCATTTAATTAAGGAAATGTACCTTTTGGTGTCATTAACAATTTAAGCACCTTATGTATACAGTATATAATTATGTGTATTGATTAGGTATTCATGTATTAATATCGTCTTTAGTGACGTTTTATTACTTTAATATTGTTGTGCACCAATTATGAATATTTTTTGATGGGGTGGGGAGCAGAAAGTGAATCTACCGAAGAGAATCCAATGTTGCCGGAAGTTAGCGACGATTCAGGTGAAAGAGCTAAGTTCATTTACGTAACTAATAATCTAATATTTAGTTAAAACAGAACACAAAATTTAGTTTTCTAATTATTTTCACTTAAAAATAGTTAAACTATACAAAATTTAAGATTATATTATAATCAAAGCAAAGAAAATCTTTCACACATTTCTTCCTCCCTCATTTATATTTCCTACCCCCAAATACTAAAATCAATTTCTTGATGTTAATGTTGAGCATCGTTTCGTATCGTAATAGTATGCATTTTTTTTCTTTTGTGATGTGCGGTTAGGTGTTGCGACCACGAACGGTTTAAGCAATTTGGAATCTCCTTCTGTGGTTAACGAACCGACACAGGTTAGTTAATTAACTAAACAAATCAAAGTAAGTTAAAGAAGACAACCGAAGTTAGAATTTAAAGAGAAAATGAATACAAATAACATAAATAATCAGCTTTTATATCAATTTTTTAAATATATACATTAATATCTTTTCTATATTATTATTATATATATATATTCATATCCATATATTTTGTTTCTTGACCAATATTTCTTTCATTTTTTTCTCCTCCCTTAATAATTGGAAACTGTATAGGCCGACCTGAGATGAGAAGAGTAAGTAGCAATTTTCAACAAATTTTCCTTTACTACTAATAATAAAATAATGAAACAGAAAGCCCATTCTATGTCTAGAAAATTATGGAAAAAAGGATCTAGAAAAATTCGACTCTACCAATCGTTTTCTTAAATAAAACAAACAACAAAAAACAAGCAAAACAAACAAATAGACAAATCAAATCTTCAGACTGCAGAAACACTACACAAAAAATAAATGATAATTACAATAATTCACCGTTACTAGTGCCGTAAAAAAAAGAAAAAATCAAAACAAAACAAAATGGAAAATTATGACGTAATTCTATTATCATCGAAATTAGAGTAAATTTTAAAATTCAAAAAGTCTTAGATTTAGTTGTGTTAGTTGTAGAAAGAAACATAATAATAATAATAATAATAATAATTAAAATGCACATATTTCTGATTTATATATTTAATGAAAAATATCTACAATACTTATTAAATTATATGAATTATAATAATTTAATAAATATTAAAATATGCTTATGTTACGTCATGTTTGTTTATTTATTTATTTAAATATTGTATGTACTTTGAAAAACAATAAGGAACAAATTTTTCTTGTTTCCTTTTCTGCATAATTTCGTAGCAATAACGTGCAAATATCTATGCACCTCGTGTAATAAAAACAATATTGTATATAAATAAAGTTATATCTGTGTGTTATACCGTATTCGTATAGCATTTAGAATATATCTATATGTAAAACATAATGTATACTGTATGTAATACTTATAGATATTGAATACACATTTAAAGAAATTAATTAAAAAGTTATTCTACGCATTTATATTAAAAAAAATATGAAATAGAGCAGTAGATTTACTTCGTATATAGTATCCCATTAAAGTTGAACTGACTGTAGAAAGGCCCCATTTCTTTCTTATTTTTTTCATTATACTCTTGAATTGGGTAGGTGAAATTTTAGTTGAATATAAAATGTACAATCTTTGAATATATTTCAATGTGCTTTCTCCATTGTAAATTGTCTAAAGAAAGGATATATTTGTCTAGGCCATGTCTATTCTAGATATTGTAGACACAACTACTCTAAAACATCTTGGCTTAGAAGGCAGAACTAGGAAGTTATTTAATAAAAAAATTTAGATTTCTGCTATTTTTCAGCTGTTCTCGGTAATTTTGTAATAAAGGTAAATGATCATTTCAAATTTATTCAATTGTGAATTATTATATAATTAACTTGTAAAACTAATTAACAAAATTACAGAAATTATACTCTTTTCTCAAATGAATAGGTAGCTAAACTAAGAGGTAGGTAAATATTTTTTAAAGCTAGAGAAAGAATAATCTGAATCATCTTCTTCCCTCTATCCGTATCCCCTCCTCACTCTGTCTCTTTAACTCTCGTTCTCTCTCTCTCCTTCGTTTAGGATTCTTGTGAATATGAATATCACAACTCTATCAAACGATGATGAACTAACAACGGAGAAAATACATACAACAGAGAAGAGCTTGTCAAGTAATACAAATTTAATTATTGGAGTTTCTGTTGGTTGTGGCTTAGGGGTTATTTTAATAGTTTTAGCAGTAATTATCTTTATTAAATTGAAAGTTTGTAGGAAAAGCGAAAGTGAAACTCAACGACCTCCAGGAATATTAGACGTTGTATTTGCTATTATATCATTTGATATAATTTAAATAAAAACTTTTTTGTTTAACAGATTACACCTGCAAATGCTTCAGCAACTGAAAATAACAAAACTATTAATCGTAATGATTTTAAAAATACTGAGCATAGTAGTGAAGAATCTGAATTCTCTGATGAGGATGACTATGAAAATAAGTCAGCTATTGAACATTTTCACTCTTCCCTTAGTAATCTACAACCTAAAAACAATTGTCAAACTATACCGCCACCAGTTCCGCCAAAAGATTATGTTAAAGAATAGACCTTTCACTGTCTACAAAACTTTTTCTGTGGTGTCATTTTCTAGTGTCATTAACCTGAGCGTTTGTGAAGTGAAATATTAAGAAAAACAAACAATATAACTAAACTATTAAAATAGTTTTCTTGATAATTTATAGACGATTTACAATATTCTTTCATTTTAGAAATAAGTTTCGGTAAGTATTAAAACTTAACTACACAGACAAGCCTACGACTGCTAATGTTACAATTGTCAAGGAAAAGTGGTACCCTGTTTATACTATTTCTGAATGAAACTTGGGCCTCCATTATCATATATCTGCTGTTTAGACTCTTAGTATAAAATTTTTGTTAGTAGCTTTTTCATTATCTGTATAATAGGATTATTCTTTATAAAGTTACACATGAAAAAACTTCTTTCCAGGAGATAAGATACAAAATCAATTGTCCTATCAATTTTTGCTCGTTAAGTTTCATCAACAATCTGCAAAGCAGAGTGGATAATTGAATATCAATTCATTAGTCATTAACAATACAATGATCAATAATTAATAAAGATTTTAAAATATCAAATCTTCAAAAAACTTTGCTTTCATTTATTTTCTGAAATTTTCAAAGCATATTTGAGAGTACTCCAGTATCAATTGCAGTAGAAATTTTACCAGAACTAATACAATTGCTCATATGTCATTTTTGACGAGAGGTAGCTTTATAGGACTGTTTACTTTAGCCATGCCCATAGTTAAGAAATATGAACATTGAGGTTACATATTTATCATATCAAATCTTGATGACTCAGACTATTGCATATATAGTAATAAAGCTTATAGACAATCAAGACGGTATTTTAAGATTATAATTAATAATTATTATTACTATCAAGTTAATATGCCAGCTCTTGCAGGAGGCAGATTGTTCTGGTGAGTTTGTTCAATTATTCAACTACTACAACATAACATTGTTCTTCTAGACACGTCTAAAGAATGCTAGAAAATAGAGAAAATTCTCAAACGAAGGGAATTGGGAAGGGGAACATTATCTTGATTACAAGAAACAGTTGCTTTTAAGATTATTTAGTATGCATGCAATATTTATATATTCAAATGTACATTTTTCTATTTAATACAATATATCGTAGTAGTATTTGATAAAATAGCTATTGCTAATGATTTTTCAATTCATCCTTATCTACTTATCGCGATTAGGTTTGGACTAGATGTTAATATTTTAGTAATAAATAAATGATAAGATTCAACTTGATTTTGCAATTTTTGCTTAAATGTCATATTAATTGTATTTTAAAACAAAAATACAGTAAATATATTATTTGTCATATTTTGCAACATAAGCAGCAATTTCTGGAATTTGTAGAACGTGTTCCCTTAGTTTTTGAATTCGTGGTGGGAAGTTTGGTTTCAAGTTAATACTCTTGCACCAACCGGTCTGTACGACAAGTTCAAGATCGGCCCAGGTAATCTGAAAGTGTTGGAAAATTGTTGAAAAAAGTAGAAATAAAACTCATAAGTCAAATTAAATAGAGAGAAACAAAAAGATAGATAGATAGATAGATAAATAGATAGATAGATAGAGAGAGAGAGAGAGAGAGAGAGTATAAAAATACAATTACTAACATCTTTACCAACAAATCCAATACCCTCATTGTTTTGTTCTAGAAGCTTTTCAAGTTTAGCTAAACCTTCGGGCAAAACTCTATTTTCGTAGTCTGCCGCCTTTTTCTCCTGTTGAAGATAGAAAAAAAAAGATGAACTCTTTTTTCAAATATTAAATATAACGTACGAAATCAGGGGAATCTTTATTTCTTATGTATATCACAACAGCTGGTTCAATAACATCTGACATGCAGCCGATAACCATGTCAATCCTGGTTTCTTCTTCAATATTTTTTCCATAGTTACCTTAAATATCAAATAACCTATACATCAAGACTTTTCCCTGAACTATCATATACATACCAAATTTCTTTGCCAACATTCTATTAATTGCTCCCGATTGACACAGTTTCTTTCCATCAACTTCCAAAAGAGGTAGTTGTCCGAAAGGCAAGTCACTTACTGAAAATTGCAATAGATGAAATAAACTTTTAAATTTATATAACATTTAACAAATTGATGGAGAAATAGCTAACGATATTTGGGCTTAAGATCTGCCCATTTCTCCTTAGGTATACGCTCCTCTTCAAATGGCACTTTTGCCAATAAAAACTGCCATCGAATAACTTCTGCTCTTCCAGGGAAATCAAAATAATACAATTTATAAGAAGACATAACTTGTTGCAGATGCTCTCAATTTGAATTGTCAAATAAGAATGAGGTCACTTATTCCTCATGCTATTCTTTTATACTATTTTATACTGCTATTACAATACTATATGCATATAAACCAATATATATATATATATATATATAGATATACGGATAACAGGCTAGTCAAAAATATACTAAGAATAGCCTGACCCGTCTTTGAAAGAGGCCTATTTCAACGCAATATATTACATTAGGGGATTTGTCTGTTTCAATAAAACAACACTAACATCTAATATCCTTTATTTTATTCTAGTTATTCACTTTTTTAGCAAAATTATTACAACATTTCATCAGTGGTTGCTTAAAATAGCAATACACCTATACCTTTCATTTATCTTAAGTGATATTCTTAGTAAATTGATAAGACCCTTATTTTCAATATACATGTTTAAATATAGGTTAATTTTATTTATAAACTATTGCAAAAGTATATATGAAGAGAAATACGACAGTGACAATGATTAGAGAATCTCTGTTGATTGTCGACTATTAACGACTTCGTTTAGCGTAATTTTCTCTGTATTCCTTTATCTGTGGAATATTTAGAACAGTGTTCATTAAATTCCTTAAATTTGATGGTAAATTCACAACATGTCCAGCTATTTCTAACCAAGAAAATTGAGATGCAAATTCATAATCTGCCCATGTTAGCTGTTATTGAAAATTAATTAGTTTCAACTGAAAAAAACATAACTCTACATTTTAATAGTTGAATCACGCTTACAGTTTCTCCTACGAAGCCAGTCCCATACTGATTTTCGTCAAGAATATTTGAGAGACATGCGACTCCTTCTGGAAGGGTTGTTTCTATAAAGTCCTTTAGTTCTTTTTGCTTTTTAGATCCCTCATCCATGTAAAAAAATATATGAAGACCACGATCCATTACATCGGCTATACAATCTACAACCATATCTATTCTGGCCTGCTCCAAATCATTCCTACCGTAGTAGCCATATCTTTTAGCCAAAAGTCTTCCAATTGCTTTGGATTGGCATATCTTTAATCCATCGATTTCTAGTACAGGTAGTTTACCAAATGGAGTATTTTCAGCTAAACATAAACAAGAGTCATTGGATATCGCTTGACAACTAGAATAGAAGAGAAACACAAACCTAGTTTACTATTACAATACCAGCTATTTAATGATATTCTATTATCGTGAAAAGGTATCAAATTCATAGCGAAAAACCATCTAGCAACATCACCTCTTCCTTCTGAATCGAAATCGGTTAGGGAATAAGAAGACATTTTACAAAAATGTGACTTTTTACAATTTTCTAATATAGTCAGATTAAACGAAAAACTACCTTTTATAGATGTTTGAGCTGGTTTACTGTACTAGTTTTTTTAATCTCAATAAATCAAATAAATCATTCCAATCTTGTATAACTATTAAGGATAGTATCGACCTCTATTCTTTATTTACTAATTGTGAATATTAGCACGATACCATAAAATCTACTATTTAAAAATTGAAAACAATTAAATAGAAAAGTAAGGAGAGAGAGAGAGAGAGAAGGTAAATCTTTAATACTTCAATTCAGTTACTTTTTCTCATAAAAGACAAAACTAAAAATAAATAATCATAGAATGTCTGTAATATGATAATGCAAAAAAGTCAACATTGATTTGACAAGAAATAACAAGAGAGTTGAAAGTTAAATATAACATGTTTTAAAGACATTTTATGTGGTTTTCTTTAGAGTTATTAAAAATTAGAATATAACTACTTCTATTTTATGTATGTTAATATATATGATATTTTATAGTTTTCAATAATATTCTTCTTTTAAACGATCATCTCTTCTCTATTTCCTCTCTCTCTCTCTCTCTCTCTCTATTTGGATGGTTGTTGAAAATAATAATATAGTTATTAGTGACCTTTGTTAGATGTTTCTTAAAGATTTTTCTCCCTCTACTTGTATTAACCATATTGAAATAAGAAATATACAATTTATTTACAATGAATAATGAAATATTTAATATCAAAAATTCATTATCTTATAATGGATTTTTTTGTCTCTCTTTAGCATTTTTCTTCCAAGAAAATCCAATTAGATAAACAAGCCTACAATTGAAAAAAAAGGAAGAGTAAAATTGCACGAATAAGCAAAAAAAAAAAGAAAGAAGAAAGAAGAAAGGAGAAAAGAGTCTTCAAACTATATTTGGAACTATCAGTTTTCATTATTTTTTCCAATTTATACAAGAAAAGGAGAAGAAAAGCCATATTACGATACTATAACAAAAAGAAAATGCCTTATAATTTAATACATAATTAAATGAATTATTTAAATAGTTTTATCAATTAAAAAACTTTTCATACTAGAATAGAATTTCGTTTGTTTCATCATTTTATCATAAATGGTACAAAATGTTAAAAGGTTATGTACTAGATAGTCAAACGATTATTTATAATGATATGTAATATCTTATAGATAATAGAAACAATCTCATTTTTATGGCGCGAAACTTTATTTCCTTTTAAGACTACTATCATTTTTATTCTGTATGACTAAGATGATAAGCAAATTAGAAAAAAAAAGGATTGGAAGGAAATGAAGCTATCATTCGATGAAAAATTATTGAAAAGTGCTTATTGTAAGATATGGAAAATATGGATTGTTTAATAATAGAGAAAGAGAAAGGAAACATAGGAAACTATATTTAATAAATACTCTAACAACAAGATGTCAAGACACAACGAAAAGGATTTGATTTAATCAAATTATCATGACTTTTATTTTCTTGTCACATATCAAGGAAAGTAATAGAAAGATGTAAACAAAGGACACATATCTTCGATTTCCTAATAATCTATTATTAAAATTCATTATTAAATTACTTTCTTTTCTCATCAGTTTTTACTAATTTATTATCTTAAAAAGAGAACAACAACAATAAAGAATACACATACAAATAATAATAAACATACAAAATTTCTCGCCTTGTATTAATATTAATAAATAGTGGAAGAGAGGTCTTTTTATTGTGAAATTATAGATTTATGAATACAATATGGATTTATCCTGTTGTGAACTTTTAAACAAACATTTAATAACTGTGTTTAGTATGTTTAGAGCAGTATTCCTGTATTTGTGGTATATTAAATACCGTATTCATTAGACTCTTCATCTTAGTAGACAGATTTGCATTATGTCCAAATCCTTCTAACCAAGAGAATTGTGACGCAAATTCGAAATCTGCCCACGTTAACTGTTAAATGTTAAATTAAATAGTTATTATGATATTGTATAGTAATTTTGAATATACTTACACTATCGCCAACAAAACCCATTCCTTGTTTATTTTGATCCAATAATTTGGAAAGATTTTCTATTCCTTGTGGAAGTGTTTTATTCAAAAATTCAGAGAGGTCCTTCTGCTTTTGAGGTCCTTCCTCCATATAAAAGTGAATTACTACACAATGATCCATAATATCGGAAATACAATCCACTATCATATCTATCTTGGCTTGTTCAATATCGCCTTTTCCATAGTATCCTAATCTCTTCGCTAAAAGTCTACCAATAGCTCTATGTTGACATATTGTTACACCGTCAACTTCAAGGACAGGTAGATCGCCGAATGGTGTATTCTTAGCTGTTGTAAGGAGGAAAGAGAGGGTTATTCAATCATTATTAAATGTTTATCAACATCTTTAAATGCAATTGTACATACCGAATCTAGAATCTGAAAGCCAATTTTGCATTGGTACTCTATTATCAATAAATGGTATTGAATGCATCGTAAAAAACCATCGAGCGACATCTCCTTTGCTTTCCATATCGAAATCGGTCAATTTATAAGACGTCATTTTCCCAAATATCGTAGTTTTTATATTCTTACCTATGCCAGAATGATCTGAATTAAATTTATTTACAACTATTTATAGGATTTATTATGGGTGTTCTACTGTACTATTTTTTCGTTATTCATGAGTAATCGCTAATAGTGATGCCATCTGTCGGCTAGTAGACTAGAAATTTGTTGGCCTCAGCGTTAGTGTATGGTATTGGATGCTGGAGTTGTTTCACAATATTTTTGTGATCTTTTGAAATATATTCATATAAAATTAACATTTAATGGAGAAGAATGAGATCAAGTAAATTTGGATTTCTCTTGATATTAACAGTCTTCGTAGACTTTTCCAACCAATGGATTATTCCACTTGGTATAGGCGGTTTACTCACCGGAGTTGCCTGGAAATATTTACCATGTGCCTCTGTATTTTTTGAATGCTGTGATCAGAAATGGTTTAATAAAAATAACATTACAGGTAGTGTAAAAAAAGCTTATGAGCGATAATACAATGATTATGTAATTTAAGGTCAACTTAACCTGCGTTGCTTTTTGCAGCATTGACTAAATCATTGGAAGAAAGTTTATATGGTCAACATTTGGTATTGAAGACTGTTGTTCCAGCTTTAAAAAGACATTTAACAAATAAAAATCCTCCAAAAGCATTAGTTTTATCTTTCCATGGATGGACAGGTGGCGGGAAGAACTACGTTAGTCGTAAGATTGCTGAAAGCCTCTTCAAAAAAGGAACAGCTAGTAAATATTACCACTTATTTGTTGCTACCCTTCACTTTCCCCATAAAGAAATGAATAGCATTTATAAAGATAACATACAACAATGGATTAAAGGTAACGTTTCCGAATGCCCTCATCAGCTTTTCATTTTCGACGAAGTTGATAAAATGTCGGCTGGACTTATTGATGCAATTCAACCATTCATAGATTTTCACGACAATGTTGAAAATATTGACTACCGTCATAGTATATTTTTATTCCTCAGTAATACTGGAGGTGATATGATAAATAGGCAAATGGTTAAGATGTGGCGGAATGGACTAACACGGGATGATATTCAATTGAAAGATATGGAGTCTCTTATACAGAATTTAGCATTTAATAATAAAGACGGAACTGGTTTATGGCATAGCTCACTAGTCGAGAGAAATTTAATAACTGCTCTGATCCCTTTTCTACCACTTGAAAAGCATCATGTCAAGAAATGCGCAAGGGATTATTTACTATCACGTTCGCATACAAAGATAGCCTATGACGATGATTTTCTGAACCAAATTGCCAATCAGATGACTTATCAGCCAAAAGATTCTCAATTATATTCGACATCGGGCTGTAAAAGGGTTGCTCAACACTGCGATTTGTTAATTTATAACCATAGTAACGAAGATTTATAGAAAAGTATATAAATGTTAAATATTCATTCCAATAATGTCTCTTTTTAAAGAATAAAAGAAATTTTTTGGTTTATTGGAAAATATATTTATTATTAGTAATAAAAATCTTGTATCGTTTTCACTTTTCCTTCTTTTTCTTGTGCAAAAAAATTCAATGTAGAAAAAAAAAACAAATAATATTAAATGCTTGTCTAATAAGAAAATATAAGAAGGCATAAATTAGTGAGAAAAAAAATCACATCTCTAATAAATTAATAATTATTAAATTCAAGATACTATAGCTTAAATGAGTCAAGTAAACATAAATAAATAAGCTTCTTTTATTTCGCTTTCTTCATTTTAATTTCTTATTTGGCAAAAACAATTATCATTAACTTATCTATTATATATTCTTTCTCTTTCCATTGGCTTATTTTACACAACATACATACTTTTGAAAACCACATTAAATATGTCTTTTATAACAAATAAACAAGCAGACACTAAAAAAAAAATCAAGCAACCAACTGATTATCCTAGTTATTACATATTCTTTATTTTAATTCCTTTTCTAATCTCCTTTTTTATCTTTTCCATTGTGAACTCCGTTCCTGACTGCCTCCTTCTTTGGTTTTTTATATGCCTGATATAAATAATATGGTAAAATGTAATTGATGAACAATTAAATCTCCTACTCTATAAAGATATAACTATACTTTACCTTAACATAAAAGTTAGAGAACATAGCAAAAAAGATAACGGCGTATGATAAAATCCACCATGTAAATAGAACTGGATAATTACATGGTATAAAGAATAGTTGAATTGAATGGATTGTCACGAGGGCAAATTGAAGCTATAATTATAATTTAAATATTAACTAAGATATACATATATATTTAAAATATTGTTTAAATAATCTACCAATTGCAAGCTTGTCATATACTTCTTCCACCAAATGTATTTTTGATAAGCCGGACCTAAACCGGCAATGCCGTAATAGATGTACATCATAAAATGAATCCATGAGTTCAACCATCCGTGGAAAGTACCGAATCCACCAGCAACAAATTTTACGCCAAACCACCAACTAATTGGCATAACTCCGTGATGGAAAACGTGTAGAAAAGATATTTGATTAAATTTCTTTCTTAATACAAAAATTACCTGGGTAAAAAGAATGGAAAACGAAAGTAGAACAACAACTACAATACGTCTCATTTGTTAAACTTACTGTATCCAATAGTTCGATATATTTCGAGAGGTGAAACAACTGGCAAACTCTAAGCATCTATGAAAAAAACATATATACAATGTACAGTATATACAGTTTATATACTTTTATATATATACCCTTAGAGCGTTTGGTGAATTAGAATAGTCAACAGGTTGACATCCATACGAATAATTACCAAACCAGCCGCAAATTCCAAACTGAAAAAAGTTAAAAATAATAATGTAGAATAATATTATGACTTGTAAACATATCTACACTACAAGTTTTATACATATTTACATTCAATTATTTAAATATATAGAAAACAGATAATGGCTACTTTTGTAATGTTGATTTTACGATAATAAAAAATTGTCTAGTTAAAATTTTCTATAACCTCAATTGAACTCTGAAGTATTTATTAATTTAGCCTATTTCTTAATCTAACCTTCAAAGTTCAAAAGGCTTTTATATTCTTCATTACCACTATTAGGTAAAAGTAACAAAGCTCTATACTTTCAAAGCTTTTAAATAGGATTATAGAAAAATTGAACGATGGGAATAATAAAGACTGTGGGATAGTATTATTGAATGACAAAAGGGTGTACTAGTCAAGGGAAGACCATTTGTCAACTAATTACCAATTAACTATATATAATAACAGTCTCTTCTTCTTTTCTATTTTATGTTTGTTAGTTCTTCTTACCTCCATAAAAATATAGCCGGATAATATGACCATAGCAAAATTATAAACAATCATTAATTCCTTTAATTTGAAAGGTTCCCGATTGGCCATTAATTTTGGTCCAATGACTTGAACAAAGATAACATATAAAATACATATGCTTAAACTTAACCATGGTGAGTCCATTAACAGCATTCCATCTGTTCGAGGATCTGCAACATAACAAAAGAAAACTTATTACAATTGTAAGAGAGAAGTGTTCAAGATTGTAAATTCTTTTCTATCTGTTTTATTTGTAATATATTATTTACAGGCAAAACAAGCCCATCTTATCGTTTATTTTAATATAAATCAGTGGAATATTATCACGTTTGTTCTTTGTCACGTGTACATTGATCGTCTAAGTCTTATGTAATATTAAATCAGAATTCCTTAGATACTGACCTGCCTTGGCCATTACACTCTGTGCATAGTTGACGACTTGTTCAATGAGAGACATCCTTACTCGGATATTTATTCCTTTGATTATTAAGTTTAACCTGAAATATAAGTTCACAGTTATATTAAGTTATTAAGGACGTGGGCAAAATTCTTATTCTCTAAGAAAGGGTACAGGTCAGTTTATTCTAAAGCATGTTCAAGCAGGCCAACAAAACAGTTTTCGGGCGGCCAAAAGTCTTATTATATCAATGTAATACGTCATCGTTTGATAGAAACCTTAGCGTATAAGCTAGAGAATAATACATAAGTCAATATATAGATTACCGGTCAGGTAGGAAATTTTTGCCAAACTTAATGAGCCAGAGTAATTTATGAACAAATACGTATTTTAAAATAATTATTCAAAAGATACTTACAAAAGCGCACCTAAATCAATTAATGCACACTCCCGCTATAGAACGTTACGCCGTTCTCGATAAGGCGAATGATAGCAGGCAAGTAGACCACGCCGGGGAGGACTATAACCTACGATTAGCGACGGAAATTCCCCTAATACATATGACGTCACATTAGAATTCCTTCTGGCAAGTTAGCCTATAACATTAATATTCAGTATTATTATATTTCTTTTAAAGGTAGATGGCGACACTAAGATTTTCTAGAAGTAGTTACTTGCCTTGTCCTTCAAATACCACCTTAGAATAACTCAGAAACTAGGCAACAAAGAGTAAAAAAGTATGCGAGTTATAGATTTGGAACGAACGAAAATAATAGACTGTCTGTAGGAGAAAAGGTACGTTCCTTAAAGGATGCAAGCTGTCGACGATTCTCATGAGACTGTACAGTAGTTTAGTTTAAGAAAAAGCCACAAGAACCACTTAAAGTATTCTAAACAATAAGATTTTGAGAGGAATATACATGAAAAAGTAATGTTATTATTAATTTAAAGGAAGCAAATCAGACCTATCTCTAAATATATGTTGAATAGAAAAGATAGATGGCGATACTATATACAAATAGCTTTAAAGTTTTCTTCAATTAATTAATCGATCAAGTATTAATATAAACAATAACAAAGGCTAAATAATATTTATAACTGAAAATATAAATAAACTGTTTTTTATATTACAATATAGACTGAAGAAGAAAAGATGAATTTCTCCTTGAAGAGTTTTAGATCATTCTCCATCCTTCTTCTTTTCTTAAATAGTTATATATTTTTCAATGTAAATATTCTCTCTGTCGGTCTGTCCCTTTCGTTCCTTAACCATCTTTAAAGCGTTTAAGTAGAACTCATTGATTGTATTTATGTCTCCTCGTTTCAAATGGGAATTTAAATGAGTTTTCAATATCATTGCGGTTTTATATTCATTCTTGCAAACCAAACAAATATAAGGTTTATCATTGGTGTGAATTCTTTTATGATCAAGTAACTTCCCCGAACTACTGAATGTTTTGTTACACAAGTCACAAGGGTATCTGGAAAGTGGATCGTGAATTGTTTTCAAATGTCTCTTTAAAGATCCCATTATATTAAATCTCTTTCCACATTCGGTGCATTCAAACTCTTCTTTTTTTTCATGTAAGGCAGCTATATGATTCTTTAAGCCAGCGTTTGTTGTAAGTTTTAAGCCGCATAGATGGCATTGAGCTTTTTTCACACCTTGATGATGAGTACGAATATGAAAATTTACAGCGTAACGATGATGAAACCATTTTTTACATATTTCACATTGATGTTCTTTGTTCATACCATCATGAAAGAACTTTTTATGCTTCTTCAATCCGGCTAATGACCTAAACTGTTTTGAGCATAAATCACATTTTAAAGGTGCGAAAGTCTTATGAATACTGGCTTTATGTTTATCTAAAGATGTTTTTGTGAAAAACGCTGCCATACAGGAACCACACTCAAATCTAGGAAATTTTTTCTTTGTATCGGATATTATTTTAATCGGTTTACCACTGGATTTGCTGACAATTATTTCGTTGATTTGAAGGTTATTCTGTTCTTTAATTTCGTTTAATCGAGGACTGGTACTGAGAAATTCTTTGTCTTTTTTTAGATCATTCTCTTGAAGTTCTTCTTCTTTGACAAGCATCTAAATTAGACAATGAAATATGTGGATTAACTATATTCAAGAATCTCATTTACTTACATAATTTTCACCATTAGCACATTCATATTCCATTATATCAATATTAGGTAATTCGACATCAATACTTGAAAAAGATTTTCTTTTTGCATTTTCGTATCCTTGCCGTAGACTACCATCAAGTTTTCTAATGGCTGTATCTAATTTCTCCAAGAGTCTTTCACTCTTAGAATATGTAATTATTTCATCCTTTTTTGATAGTGAAGTTTCGTCCAGCCTTTCATCTTCAGTCAATGGCAAGTCTTTTGAGAGATCAGAATGAGTACTACGAAGATGACTTCGAATTGACTCTTTGCTTGTTGTTTCCTCACCACATATTGAACATTTAAACATTAAAATTGTTTTGTAGTATTGATCTATAGACTGAAAATCACATGATCCAGACATCTTCGCAAATTTAATAACAGCATTAGGAACGAAAAAAATAACCACTCCGAAATAACTGCTCACCGGTTAAGACCGGTTTCCATCAGCAGTTTTCAAGAACAAGTAAACACACTGCAGCCTTTCTCCTTCCCTCCTTCCCCAAAAGTCTAGATCAGTATTTCATAAAATGCAGTTTGATTTTACAAGTTACTAAAGCTGATATAATTGTAAATACCTTTACTGGGAAACTTTATTCCTAATCAAACCAAACTCAAAAGTAAAATATTCGAATTATTCAAATAAGAAAAGTTTTTTTCTGCAACTAACATATTAAGAAAAAGTACAACCACAGTGAAGTCAATTATACTTATATTAGTATTATTTTAAAAAACTAATCAATGACCTTGACTTTTTTTGGCACATCATTATTTAGATATAAATTTGCTGTGATACCAGGGTAGATGGAGAAAGCCGCAGATTTTCATTACAATGCCGGTTAATACTATATCTTATATTATAAAATTGAACTATTTAAATACTTAGAAGTATATTTTACATATTTTAAAGCTGATTAAAAATATTTACCCTCCATAAAATTGATTTTGTAGAAAAAAATTTCGTGCCCTCCTAATTTTAAGTATTCTTTAAATTCGTTTATTTTTTTTTAGAACAAAATTACGACGAAGAAACAATAATACAACAGCGAGAGATAGAAAAAGAAGTTTGTAGTTATGTTATAGATAAAATATTAATATATCAATCGTTTATCTACATTTACTAGATTGCTGGGTGTCAAGATCTTGTCGGTCCTAAAGAAGATTTCACTACATTGGATCGAGAGTTTGAACATGACGTTGCATTTTTGAAAAAGATACAGGTTACATAAGATCTTTTCGCAATAAATTAGATATGTTGAAGAACAATATTCAAAATAAACAGGATGTGAAGCAACGATACAGACGATTTAGAAGAATTCGAGCCGATGGTAACTGTTTCTTTCGAGCATTTGGTTTCGCATATTTTGAAAGTTTACTGAAAAATCCCGATGAATTTAAAAGGTTTTATTAAAACTAATAAAGCAAAAATATTTTTAATTCCATAAATATTCATTAGATTTCAAGATATAGCTTTAAAAAGCAAAGATGAATTGATAACCTTAGGTTTTCCGCAGTTCACTCTTGAAGATTTTCACGAAACGGTTTATTATTAGTATTATATTAATTAATATAACTTATATTTATATAAGATTTCCGTTATTTTGTTATAGTTCATGCAGGAATTGAATAAAATCGAAACCAATAAGTCTATTGAAGGAGTCCTTCAAACGTTTAACGACTGTGGAACTTCAGACTACATAGTGGTGTATTTGAGACTAATTGTTTCGGGCTTTCTGCAGAAGAACGAAGATTTTTATCAGAGTTTCTTAGATGGCGGACGAACAATGAGAGAATTTTGCAATCAGGTGAAACATTATATTTCTTTCAAAGTAATACTCTTTCATTAAAAAAAAACAATTGTCGATAGGAAGTGGAACCAATGGGTCGAGAAAGTGATCATATTCACATAATCGCTCTTAGCCAAGCCACTGGGATTTGCGTCCAAGTTGATTATATGGATAGAGGAGATGGAAATCTGATTTCCCATGTCTTCCCCGAAGATAGTTCTCCCAGCATTTATCTATTGTACAAACCCGGTCACTACGATATTCTTTATAAAGAATAATTAACTAAAAGTTTATTTTTCCCATGTAAGAATTATTTTTTAATACTGTACTATCAAAGATTTAATAATATAAGAAAGTGTGTATTAAAATATAAATAAAGGCACTAAATCTTTTTAGTGTAAATCCTGTTTCATATAAAGCCATTTAATCTCATTACCACTAAGCTATTTTCTGAAATGGGTCAATTTGATTTAGATGTACAAATTGGATATCAGATACGCTTCGATTGAAACATCATGCATAACCTTAAACATTGTAGAGAATCCGTGCATCAGTCTCATCTTTAAGGTTTCAATAAAGTATCATTAAATCGTTTCTCTTCAAAGCTTAGCGTACGAAAATATTTTCCTTGCTAATAAAATAAGTCTGCTTAGTTTCTAATGGAAAAGAAATAGCATTAAAATTTCATGTAGTCGTATTAATTTTAAATCAAATACGGATAATTACATGCCCGGATCTTTATTTGTAAATAACCCATTTCTGATATCTTGACCTTTTCATTGAGTTCTATCTATTCCGAAGTATTTTGATCTTATTTTTTGGCGGCTAATTTATAGTTTGACCCTTTACAAAAAAAAACTACTTAAAAGGAAATTTGCATAAAAATTGAAAAGATAAATGATATTTGAAAATTGAAATGATTGCATGTGATTAAACCAAAAGTAGCTTGGAAGAAAAACACCATTCTGGACAGATGTTTTATAAACGAAAATCATTGAGGGGGTCCCTCACGAGGTCAAAAATTCAAGTCAGCAGGTGTTTTATACAATAGAAAATGGTGCTAATTTATTTTTGGAATGAACGATTTTAGTTTTTTAATGATGAAAAATGTTGCATAAGGAAATTGAAAATTCGCTTTTATTACTGTTTTAAGTAATCCTGCTGTTGCATAAAAAATTATTATTATTCATGAAAAAGGTTTTATTGAGTCGTTGTAATACTAAATTGGCATAATATAGAAAACTGGTTGAGTTTCGTTGTCAATCTTGTGGTGAATTTTTTGTATTTCTAACAGATACATAGGACAAGATGAAAGTTCAATCTCTTTCCACCAAATCTATGCATGAAAAGGAAGATTTTTTCCGTTTTTTATACAATTATGAATACATTAGATGGTGTTTTATATAACCTGTTTACAAAGCTTAATCCAATCATTTTCCAAAGGAATCTTTGAACTTTTTTCCAAAGCCTCAACTATCAAATGATCAGCGTCTAGAGTTTTTCCAGAAATGTATTTCTAAAAGTATTATTATATATAACTATTATTCAGACAAGATTATCAATATAAACTGGTTATATCATACAAAATAAGCTTGATATAAAAGTGAACGTGGAGTAAAAACTTCATAATGCTTAGTCATTTTTATTAATTTATTAATCAGCTGTCAAATAAGAAGAGCATCATTAATTTTAAATATTATTTGCTTGATATAGATGCAGGAAATGAAAGAGAGAGAAACGATGGAAAAGAGGAAGAGTAATAGTGTTTAAATTTTATAATTTAAAAAAAATTGCTAGATAATGAAAAACCTTTCTGCTTTTATCTACTTCGCTAAATTCATCCGGCATTTGATAGAGCAGTAATAAGGAGCATTCCACTAATTTTACTAATGAACTAATAACGATAATTGAATTGCTTTGAGGAAGCCTGCTCTCTGCAAAATCCCTCCAGAAAACCGCCTCATCTACACACTCTTTTCTACTGTAACTATATGTAATATGAATCTTTATCATACCATATTTATCAAAAGTATTTAAAAAAAAGTTCTCACTAAAGAGCATTAGCTGATGCAAGATAAAATGATAATTCTCCATTTCGTCTATCTAATAGATCATTTGTTATTCTTGTTAAATTTTCAATATTTTCATTTAATATGCCTAAAAACATTATAAATGATTGAATCTATTTTACTAATAGAAAAACAATCTCACCTGCAAATGTTACTAATTCCCATTTCATACAAATTGATAAGTCTAATGAGATATCATTAAACTCAGCTAATATTTCAGAAATTTTTCCAAAGCATTTTGCCATTAATAGACTGGTCATTAGGTTAGGTAAAGTTGCTAAATACAGAAAATTATCTCGTAAATCTGTTGATAATCTATGCGACAGGAACCCGGCATCCTGAGCCGATTCTAATGATCCTCTCTTTAATTCTGAATTTAAAATTGAACAGCAAACTTGAGCAACGCCAGACTTTGTTAAATTTGGATCGGATATTAGTAGACTAGCTCTATGTTCATAATTTAATGACAAATTTTTTAAATTATACGACTCAAGTACGGATGCAAAGAGTGTATAGGCTTTTGCCAACTCGTATGCATTTCCAGTTGTTTCTGCCATGTTAACCAACTTAAGAACGTCACCAATCATTAAATGACCTTTATGAATAAATTTTCTTGAATATAAAAGTAACGACAGGCAGCGAACAATCAAAATTTTATTAGGTGAACTTGAAAAGTAGGTTGACGGCTTCTTTGTATGAATAAATTGTTTAACTACTTCAACGATGCAAACAATCCAACTATAAAATCTTCTATTTGTTATATTTTCCCCTAAAAGTTGAAGAGCCCTTTCAGCATAAATTGCTGCATCTGACCATCGTCCTTCTGAATATTTCGTTTCACCTAGAATATACTCTACATTTGCTTTGATTCCATTTAAATTGACATTTTTTAATTCTCCGTCCCACTTTGTGGAAAATGCGGTCCTTTCGTTGCTTAAACTTTTAACCATTCTTTTAACGTTTCTAAGATGGTAATCTAGTTTATCGTGATGTATATTAATTAGTAATTTGGCTGTTTGTAGAGAATAATATAAAGCTCTTTCGATAAGTTTTGCTCTTTTCGAATGATATGCTAATTTTTCGCAAGTTCTTCTCACAATATCAACACACTGACATTTCCCTGAATAGCTATTTCTTAATAAGCTCAATCTATCTTTCCTGTTATCAGTTTTTGTTTGCATTCTATACAAGTTAATTATTTAAATGGTATTAAAAAGAAGATTTACGTATCATTCATCTGATTTTGAGCTTCTTCATCTGAGGTTAATACTGATAGTTTGTTGTTTGCTAGTGGAGTCGTTATCTTTATGTTTGAAGAAGATAGTCGATTAAACCTATATGGCAATGATAAACTACGAGAAATTCTTCTCATGAAACTCTTATCTGTTGGGAATTCTCATTCTATATGATATAGTTAGAAATTTTTTATACAAACAATTGTTTGTTTCTTGTTTCAATCTAGTATTAGAATACTTGGACTTTTGATCGTCGGCTAAATAATTTTTGAACGTTTGAAAAGTAGTATCAATACTTCCTCTAATAATTTGCGTATATGGAAACACTTCTTCAAGTTTAATAGCAAATGATTGAGCATTTGTTATAAAAGATGATAAAGATGACGTTGAAGTTTGAGTAAAAATACTTAATGAATCCTTAAATAGAATACAAAAATTCTCTTAAGTGGAATAGATCTCCTAAAAAGTAAGAGAAGAAGATAAGAGTAAATAGTTACGTAAGAATCCTTTTCATAAGAAAATCTTGAACTTTTATCGCATGCTGGGCATTTTTTATCTGATTTCTCGAAATAAAACACAATTTCTTTATGAATTTTTCGTCTCAGACTTTCTAAAACCCTTTTTTGTTATATAAATAGAAAAGATATGATTAGTCTAATGGATGAGAGATAATAGTCATTTATATACATTTCATAGGCGGCTTGCTGAACAATATCAGATTTAAACTTTATGGTTAAGCAAGGACACGTAGAAGTAGATTTTAAAGGACCTCTTTCCGGGTAACAATAGCAAAGTTTCGGATTAAAAGATGCTTCTTCCGGAAAATTAGCACAACAAAAGAATTCATTTTCTGTTAGATTCTTAATCATGAAAAAGACTTTATAGCTTAGTGTTAACCTAAAAAATATACAAGTTTCTCTTGTCATTATTCTATAAATATACTTGAATGATTCTTTGAAATTTCGCTGTATAATCAGAAAGAAATTTTTCGGCTATGGTTTGAAGAAGAAATCTTTCAAAGGTTCTTCCACAAACAGCTGCGTACTTTATAAAAATTTCTTCCGCCTGATTCAACCTGTCCAATTGCGCTTGTACATGAACCTGTTGATGACCTTATGAACTCTTTCAAACTTTATTCAATCTGTTTAGATTCTACTTGAATGGATTCGGGTATTTGTCCCAACAAGTGTTCGTTTATTATTATGCAAATTCTTTTATTGTCTTGTTTAGGTTTTTCCTCTTCGGTATTAATGTTTTCAGACTAGAAAAGAAACTAGAGTAAAATAAACGAATAAGTAATTTAATGGTCAAGCCCATACTTTATCAATATGATAAGATCTTTGACGAATAACTCTTATGATGTCATTAGCAAGATAATACTGAACAGATGGAGAAGAAAGAAGTGAAGAGAAATGGAAAGGACAAATTAATATACACTGTATATACTATATATATATATAGTTTGTTTTTTTATATACTTCTAAAATCTGTTCGATCCATTTAGGTATTCCGTTTGATTTTTTCACAATATGTCTGCCGTAAAATTGGAAACTATACTATTATATTCAACATAATGTGTATTACGTAATCGGCTTACTTTTCAAATTTTTCCGACAAAGCATCACAGCTCAATAAAACTTTAGAAAGCTGTACAATATGTTCACTAGATAGTGGCTTTAATGTAATCTTCTTAATTCCATTGCTTTGTAATAATTCTATTGCTTCATCACACATTTCTGAAGATGTCTAACAACATGTATAGAAAAGAGTGATTTGGAAGGAGAGAGAGAGAGAGAGAGAGAGAGAAAGTTTGAACTTTTAATTGATTGTACATAAAATATATAAATTGTATGGATAGAATTACTTTCATAAATAAGATCGTTAAGCATCTTTTAGCTAATTTAAATATGTTAATAACTTTCCAAAATTCTCTATCTAATCCATTAGCATCATCAATTATATGTAACAAAAATGTATCTTCGTTAACTAGCTATATTTTCGTAATATAATTAATTTTAATTAGTCTTAAGATATTTTTAACAGAAATGATACCTTTTCAACTAAAAGTAATATTAATTGATAGAGTACGCTCTCTCTTTCCTTTGATGATTTTAAAAGTAGTTTTTCAGATTGAAGTATCTATTTATATTATTAATTTCTACATTTAAATAACAAATTATGAATTTTTAATTAATTAAAGAGGGTTTTACTTTCGTATTTAAATAATCATTTAATAAACAAATACATTCAAGATTATCTCTTTCCTTCAGCTGTCTTAATTTATCTTCTTTTATCTTTCTATCAGAATCTAATTTAATACCTAAAAGTTGAGTTAAAATACTTTCCAGAGAATTTAATTTTCCTTTATCATTGTATTCGTTAAAGTACGTAATTATCGTTGTCCTAGTAAGTAGCGTAATGGAAAGTAATGACACGTATTTATAAAAGTAAAGTACAAATTACTTGGTATCCCACAAAGAGATCACCTTTTCTATAAAAGTGTGAAGAAGAGAGGTTTTTCCATATCCCAAATCCCCCTCAACAACAATAATATTTTCTCTAGCGTTTCCCATCTTATTCAAGTATTCTACTTCGGCTAATAAGAAGCTAAGCTCTTTTTCACGACCTAATTAATAAGAAAGTTTTATATTAAATTTTTTTGGTGGATATATCAATTAGCCAATTAGCCTATTATATTTCTATAAACATTTTCTCTTTCCTCCAAGAATTTAGGCAATTGAGAATTCCTGTTAGTTAACACGATCTTTACTAGCTATTTTTACCACCAATAAAGCAATTTTGCAACTCATTTACATGATATTTTTCTCACCCACATATTCTCTAATAATTCCCACGTTTAATATGCCTTTCAGTTCTTTTGCCTAAAGATAATTATAACTCAGAAAGTAACATAGATTTATAATTGATTTGATCATAATGTACCAACTTTAAGAATAGAAAAATGAAGAATGGGTAATTTAGAATAATGAAAGGTTTCTGAATCGCAACATACTTTTCCAGGATATTGAACCATAAGCCTAGCAGCCATGTTAACCTTTCGGCCCATTACTATAAAAATATCATCGAGCATGTTTACATCCTTTTTATGTGCAATTATACAATTTTTTTTACCACTAACCAGTATATTCTTGTCTATGTAAATGACCTACAACACCGCAGAACGTTGATCCCGTTGTAACACCAATGGATACTGTTCTAATTATAGAAATCAATTATCAAACTGGAAAAATACATAATTTATAAAATATTTAAAATCAAACTCAATATCTTGTAAATCTTCTAATAAATGTTTCACTTCTAAAGAGCATTTTAACCCATGACAACATGCGCTGTCCTCCTTAAATCCTGGTAATCCGAATATCGCGAGAAAAGTTACACCCTTTATATTTTTTTCATGAAAGAAAAACAAACAACAAATAAAAAACAAAAGAAAATTATTTTTTGTTGTTGTTGTTGTTGTTGTTGTGTTTTATTTTCATGTTAAAGATAAAGTTTCAGACTTTATCAAATGTGAATATCTTATTTAGACATCCTCCATAGGTCGTCAAGGATTTAAATATCACATCAAAAGTATGTTGAAACATAAATGGCAATTCACTTCGGTGTGTCTTTGGTGCGTAGATGTTAATAAATAAAATTGTTACGTGACGCATATCGGAGATAAGATCTATTGGTTGACCACTTTCTATCTGAGAGAGAAATATTATACGGTTTCAAAGGGAATCTTTTATTGTATATAGAATATTAGGTATTCTTGTATTCGTACTCTGTTTAGAACTGGCGATAGTATATACAAAGATAAACATCTCCATTTCTCCTCTAGATCTTTACCATTTATTAATTCATTGTCGGCAACTTCTATTCTAACTATAAAAAATTCTATTTGACTTAATATTTTTACGTTGTTATCTTCTATCAGATTACAGAGTAGAACAAACCTCTGTCCGGTTTTGATAACAAACAAGTTTGCACGTCGAACTTTGCCTTATTAAGTGAATTTTGATTGATAATATAACTTTTTTCTTCGTATTTTAATAAAGTATTTGTACTGTTGTTTAGATTTTTACTGTTTGATTGTTTTAAGCCTATACGTTAATGGAAAATTAATTATCATGGCTGTAGAATAGCGTAAACAAACAAGTAAACAACTAGAAACCATATAAATAAATCACATAATAAAATTACATTCATACAAATGTTAAAACCTATTTACAATTACGTTTCTTTTTTACAGTAGTAGCGGTTGTTGTCCTGCTATACGTATAGGAGTATTTTAAAGCTTTTAATTCCCTGTCAAGTTGATAATCACCACAATCAACTATCTAAAAATAATGTAAATTACATTTGACCAACACATAAATATGTAGCTTTTTCCTTGAGTAAACCTTTGCAAAGTTGATATTATTCGGAATGAAAGACACCTCAAGGGAGTTTAATCCCTCTAGAAACTTGAAAAGAGATTGCGATAAAACGACATCTCCAGATTCGCAAAAAGTTTCAGCCCTTGTAACTAGATTTACTGCTTCACCAACTGCCACATAGTGTCTAAATTGGTTATTACCAACGAAAATTAGGCTCACTTCTCCCGAAGCAAGACCTGAGAAAAATCGATTTATATGAAAAACAACTATGCATAATTTCAAGATATAACCAATTTTAACTTTGAACTTTACACCAACATCAGTTACCCATTCGGAATAGGAATTTTGTATTTTCAGGGAACATCTTACCGCCTATTTCGTATAATAGAATTAAAGAGGTATTTATAAAAGGGTAAATGACCGATCGAACTTGTATAATAGACTTTCCAAGAGACTTAAAACTATTCGACTTCCAAACAGCTAGGAGAGCATCTCCAGCATATTTTAAAACATCACCATCATGATCAATTATCAATTGGACAAGATAGCCGAAGAAGCGATTAAGTGTTTTTGTTAACTCTTCCGTTCCACTCTTTAATTTTACACTATAACGTTCAGTCAACGCAGTAAAGCCTATAAATCGTATTTAATCAATCGTAAACCATTAACCTGACTAAAAATTCAAATAATAAATATACCAGACACATCAGCAAATAGTAAAACCCCGTGAAATGATTCCTGATGGGGTAAAATTTTACTATGATCATGATAAACAACAATATGAGGTAACTGGGTCATTAATCTAATTATCGAATGATCCTGAAGTGCCATATCTATATAAAAAAAATAAGAATCAAAGTAGGACATTCAAGTTAAAATAATAATAAATATTATTATCAAAAATTTGTCTTAGATAAAATATTAATATAAATATTATTCTATAAATATATCTTAAGTTTTTATTATTTCATTAACAAGATTATACCTTGAATTTTATATAAATTTTTCTATTATTGTAATAATTTATAAAAAATTCCCCATTTATTTTAAGTTTTCAAATTATTAATATATAAACATAAATTTTAATATATTTTGTACTTGTTTAACTTACGTAACGTTTTTTATTAAACAAAAAAATATATTTTACATTTTCAAGGTCTACCAGGGTCTCTGTACTCTAAAAAATACTAATATTTTAATAAACAGTATTAATCTTATAAAAAGTCAACGACCTTACGTACTTATTACACTTTTCTAAATGATTTATTTATAAAATGGACTACAAAGAGAGAGATAGGTATTTTTTTAAAAACATACATACATTAAAAAACACAATAGCTATTACGATACATGTTGTTTACGTTAAATTTATTATGGATTAACTTTTTTTTTTGGGTTCTTTTAACATTATTATTTACTTAGAAAAGCATTTCTTTGTAAGCTATTTGAAATGTACTTGGAAATATGTTATTATTTGTTAATAATGATTGTGTATCGATTTCTTAGTACAGGTGTATTTTTTGGAATGTTTTTATTCTGCTTCTATTTTTTGTTTGCTTACAATTTATTTGTGACGGGGCGCCCGACTACAGACTTTATGTAGGATTCCCGCACCACATTACGTTTTGAGGTCAGGGACGCGACGCCATATTGAAAACAGACCAACAACACTATTTTCTTAAGGAAATACTGGATTTCTTCAATAATTCACCGATTTCGAGCATAATATTTTAAAATGCAAAACGAAATCGGGATTTCCCCTGTTTTACTTCAAGCCATTAATCACACTTTAACGTCATCCGAATTCGAAAGTTCAAGGAATGAAGAAGAGGCAAAGACTCCAGTAAAACATGTTATGATTATTGAAGCTGATAATAAAAAGTATATAACACAACACGAAGTACCTCTTCCATCTCAGGTTAATAATTATTTTTTGTTTATAGTGTCTTATTAGAATTTGAATAATCCTACTATGTAGATAGATCTCTCACAAGTCCTCTGAAAATATATAAAAATGACCATAATAATTTTTGTTCATCACTTTTAACAGATTTCTTTAATAACGAACATTAGCACATCTTGTCACTTTCATTTTTGACACGTGAATTATTTTTTTTTTAAAAAAACAGGAAGTCTCTCTTTCCTATGAAGATGATGAAGTTGTTAGAACACCGTCAGAATTATGCCCTATTTGTTCCGATAAAGTCTCTGGTTATCACTATGGTATACACAGTTGTGAATCATGCAAAGGCTTCTTCAAAAGAACTGTTCAAAACGGAAGAAGTTATTCCTGTCATCGTACAAATGACTGCCATATAGAATTAAGTAATCGAAAGAAGTGTCCTGCTTGTAGGTTCAAAAAATGTTTAATAGCTGGTAAATTTTTTTTCTTTCTTATCCTTTCTGTTGTCTCAATGAAAAATATTATATCAGATATAACTATAGAGTTATAGGAAGATGATTATTGCTTATAACAAATATTGAAATTTTCCCCAGGCATGAAAATCGAAGCAATAAGATCAGATAGGAGTCGGGGGGGACGCTCATCTTATGACGGAGCTCACCGATCTGTTTCAACATCCCGTACAGTGTCAGCTAGACCGTCTTCGTATCATTTATCACGACTGTCCGAAGGAGCAGAACATAGAAGACTATTAGAGCAATTATTGGAACATGATACTACTCTTATTCCTGAAGAAGAGGAAGAGTGCTGTAGGAATTTATTGCAAGCCAGTGATAACGAACCTCTTCAATCAATAATGCATATAGCAGATCATTGTCTATACAAAATTGTTCGTTGGGCTAGAAATTTACCAAATTTTTCTAATATATCTACAGAAGATCAAGTGATCCTTATACAAAATAGTTGGTTAGAGCTTTTGCTACTAAATGCTGCATGGAGGAATGTACAATCTCCAAACCGTCAGTTATATGTTGGTCATAAAAAGTGTCTATTGACAAAACAAGCCGTTGATATGGGTGTCAATACTTTAGTTCAACGGCTGCTAGTACTAAGAGATCAGTTGAAAAAATTAAATGTTGATAAAATGGAATTGTGTGCCCTGAAAACACTTACATTACTTTCTCCGGATGTAACAGCAGCTACGAAAAGTCTATCCAATGCTGAAGGAGTCGGAGAATATAGAATGAAACTAGCTATTGCTCTACGGCATCACTGCAGGCAGCAGAACAAGTATTTGCAATTGCTAACACGCACGGCTGATATTGCGAGATTATCAGCTGATGTAAGACAAGTTCTAGTTGGTCATTTCAATAGGGGAAGTGTACCAACAACTCTTTTGTTGCACGAATTACTAAAAGAAGATGAGGCGGCTGTTGGGAGTTGTTTGAGAGTTGATGAGGAGGTTGGAAAGTAACAATTTTTTTCATGTTGTAGGCTCATGTATTATAAATAAAGTGTAATCTATATACTTTTGAAATGTATTGAGATATTTAATATTTTTATACACTTATTCCAATCATACTTTGTTTGAATAATTATATACAATGTCTATATATAATTAATATATTATTACATATATTAATATATATACAAATATAAAAAAGATGTATTCCCAGTTATTTGCATTACTAAAGAGATGGAAGATTAAGAATTGGTAATTACTTTAATATCGTAAAAAAATGAAGAAAACCGCCCGAAACCTTGGCTCTCAATTGATTTTCTTCTCGTTTTTTTTCCAAACAGTTTTATTGATGTTGTAAAAGCAACAAACTTAAGTAATTCTATTGAAATTCTCTATCATTAATAGATTATATTTAAGAAAAGTAAAAACTTGAAAAAGAAAAGATATCGATTGCCGATTGGAATAAAAGCTTCTGAATTGAACTTTGAACCCGTTGGTCCATCTTATTAATTCGCAGTTTTGTGTTTTCTGAGCAAACATCAAGTATTGTTAGTCGGTTAATTGAAACATTAGAAAAATATGTTCATTGGGTACGTTATAGTGTGACGTGTAATCAAAAACTCTTATGAATTGTTTTCTTATTTGACGGCAGAGTATCAAATTATATAAAAAAAATCAGTCGGGGTTACTTTTAAAAGATGTTTTTATCTCTTAAACTATAGTTTTCTTAATAAGACTTATAAAATTTAAAATCTTGTTTTTTCTTCTCTTTTCTGTAACTTGGTAAATTCCTCTATTCTGGCCTAGTAGGTAGTGAATACTTTAAATGATAATACTCTTCTTCTCTATCTCCTTGCGTGTCCTGGGCGATCGTCAAGAGCTTATTCAATTGAAAGAAGCTGTTGAGAATAGAATCCTACTAAACTGTATAGATAAAAACTAAAGAGACGCCTATAAAGTATTGTAAATCGAATGCTATTATTTAAGAAAACGGTTTTAACATATTCAATGTTGTATTATTAAAGCTAGTTATGAGCTGTAAACGTCTGCAAAGAATACCTCAATAGTGACGTTTATTGATATATTTAAAGTGCAGTTCTGCCAATGAAAATTATTGCCTGTGAATATAAAAACAATTGCAGAAGAACTGAAAAAAAGACAACATTTATAAAACATGGCATTTTTTTTTAAAAAAAAAAGAATGACCGAGTCTGACAAGGTTCTATGATTAAAATAATTATGATCTTAAAATAAAATGAAATAAAATGGCCACTCAAAAAAAGATTTTTACATATAATAAACAAAACAAACAAAAGAAATATATATATATATATATAGAGTCTTTTTAGTGCAGATCTGTAATACTTAATAATTCTAATATAGGAACAATCGACGCATAAATATTATCCAGCACGAAAGAAGAGAGAATAGATAGAGCACATTCAAAATGAAAACCTGATCAACAACTCGCTGATTTTTGTAAAAAAAAAGAACAACGACGACGGAAAGATTATATGGTTTTCGGCAGTAAATACGAGTTTGAAGAGCATTTCAAGCCTTTTCATCAACGTGGACTATTACACCATTTGAAGGTCGTGTATCAACGATCTCATCAATAGATTTACCATTATTCATAAAACATTCGTTTTGTGTCGGATCAAGGTCAACAAATATTTCTTCAATCTCCTCTTCCGTCATCTCGGGCTGTTTATGAATAATTAAATTTTCTTAATAAATATTTAAAAGCAAGGAGAAAGAGAGAGCAAAAGAAATCAAGTATGCTTGTATTACTTACCAATGACCTTTCCCTTTTAAAGCAAGGCAAAAATAAGAGCATGACAGCAAAAGCAGCTACAATTAGACTTGAGCCACCAATATGATAAGTTACTGTTACGTCTAATTTAAACTTTTCATAAATTTCTCCAACCAATGGAACTCCACCTATAATAGCGATACCCCTGAGCATAGTGAGAATACCAAAGCCATTTGTTAGCTTTTCAAGACCGACCAGTTCACAAAGTGTAATCGACGTTAAAGATATCCATGTAGCTAAACAAAGTTTATAAAGAAAATACAGTATTACTTTTTACTATTGAATATTGTCTATTAACTCTATTATTTAGTCTTTTAAATTTTTATACTAACCTACACTTAAACCGAAAATAGCTGCAAAAACCGTCATCAAAGCATAAGTTTTAAAAAAAGTCGATATTATAGATACAGCGCCTGCTACCAATATGGCAACGTTGTGCAATAAGAGGGGATCAACCGATTTTAAATCGGCTAGCCAACCGGAAATAACTCGACCGAGGGTATTAGTTATTCCTGTTGATTGGAAGGGGAAAAAACAGCATTTTATTAATTTTAAACAGTAAATAAATTTCTTATAATTTTAAAAACAGAAAACAAACCTATGACTGATAATAACAGAGAGCTTTTTTCATCATTAATACCAAGAGGTAAACATCTTGCCTTCATATATATGAATGGAACGTAAAGTCCAATCATACCCAAAACATTGGCCAAACATACCATAGCAAATCTCTTATTAGAGAGCATCTTGAAATTAAACATTTCTTTCAATACATCAAACACTGGTTTGGGGATTCTTGAGGTAACTTTTGCAAAGAAGCTATCCTTACCACTTTCACTAGCAGCTGGAATAGCTGTAATGCTGGCAACATAACTTCCCATATTCGGTTGAGAAGTAAAATTCGCAATATGCATTATGCTACCACTATAAAATATATCCTGTCGATACATAGGTCTGGCGTAATCTTCTCGATGAACTCCTTGAGGTTTTCGAAGTTTCGGCTTTGGTACAGCCAGATGGTTTTCGGATAATGATTTAGTTCCATTTTGGGGTTTGGTTAATAGTAGTTCATTCTTTTCTTCATCTACCCCATTGGCAACTGCTGCCTTCGTGAACGATACTGTTTTAGGTTCCTTTTCTATCGCTTCAACATTTATCGTTGGTACATGACCATTAGATTGAGTGGTTGGTGGCTCCTTATTAACGATTAATGATGGCAATGAACTGACTTCCTGTTCGCTATCTTCAACTCTAAGTCTTGCTTCCCTCATTAGCTTGGCTTCCTGAACTTTTTCAGCAATTTTTTCGTCATTCTCTTCCGTAGGTTTTTCTTTTCGTCGACTTACGCGTATTCTTTCACATAAGCGATCAAAGACATTCTTCCTTCTTGGTTTTGATTTGACTGGTTCCAAGGGCCGGAGAAGAAGTCCGCTAAATATTCCAAGCAAGACTATAGCAGCTATCACTCTTAGTGCATTTTTCCAACCTAAATGCTTAATTAGGGCATTCCCTAGAGGAGCGAATATGAAAGTACCAACTCCGGCTCCACAAACAGCAATACCCGTTGCTAGTGCTCTTTTACGATCAAAGTAATACGACACGGCAATCACTGATGGTAGGTAGATTAGACCAAAGCCTATTCCACCCATTAGTCCATAAGTTAATATTAAAATTTGTATGTTTGGGCTGAAACTTGCAATGAGAAAAGATGCGGATGTGAATATTGACCCTGTTTTTGAAAAGGACAAGTAGTTTGCTTTGTGAATAAACAATTGGGTCTTAACGGTCGAAATGCGAACGCAAAACGTACCGAAAGTTTTTTTATCATTTCATCAGAAAAGAATACATATGTAAAATCACTTAGAAAGGATCAATGCCCAAGATTTATAGAGAGCACTAATCTTATAAAACAAAGCACTACTAACCTGTTACGCAAACTGATCTGCATCCGAACTTGTTAGTTAGAGCACTTGCGATTGGACCTATTTGGAATATTTGTACAATTATTTATAAATAAGTGACACACGAAAAATAAAATAATCTATTCGATACGTGAATGGGGAAGAAAAACTGATGAATTGGCAAAAAGAGACAAAGAGGCGAGAATAAAGAAATAAGATTGATAATTTTCGATAACAGATACTAATACAGATAGAAAAAGAATCATAAGGACATTATCTTATCTTAAACTCTATTATAATTGAACATTAAGTCTTCTAAAAATACATTTCTATGACAAAATGAGCAAACAATTAAAACAACTAATAGGCTAATAAAGGTTAGTTACATAATTAGCTTTTAAATAGAGCACAAATTTTCCATTTCAAGGTAACTAGGACAAACATGTGCTTTAAGCTATAGGCCTTTTTCTTCCAACATTTAAATCGAAAACAGATTCCTTACCCGCTAACAAATAACCTCCACACAATAAAGAGCTGGCTAGAGTTGTCGTCCCTTCTCCAGACTTGAAATGCTCTTTAAACTCGGAAAGGAAATTGGAAGAAGTAAAACAAATTCCATCAACAATTACATGGTTTAAGAAGCTAGCTAGAACAATTATCCAACCGTACCCGCCTGTTTAAAGAAAGAAAAACAAGCAATAGTATACAAAAGAATTAACTAAATCATATATGAAAGCAGATATAAAATATATATATGTAACTATTACAGAAAAGATACAATATGCATATGTATTCTAATATATTGAAAAAAGGTAGATTGAATTAATAAAATAATTAAATACATAAAATAATCTTTACCATCTGGAGGTGTTGGTATGTAATATGAAATAGAATCTTGGCTGAATGTCGATTCTCCAGACTTGTGACGCTGCTTAGGCATATCTGCTTCCGAAAAAGGGATATTTAGTTTTTTTTTGTATTGTTTCTTTCTTTTGTATTTTAGAAGAAATAAATTCAATTTTTTAACAAAAGAAAAAAAAAGAAATAAGAAATAGAAATAAAAATAGAAAAGTATTCTTTAAAAGTTGAAATTTTGTTCAATGAACTTTATACAATAGGCGTTTACTCTACTATATTCCTACCTTTCTTACTTGACCGCATGATAGAAAATGATTGTAAAGAATTGGATGCTCCCTTTTAAATAGTTTTTTTTTTTTCATCTCTAAATAGGTCATAAGACATATAAGGTCATATGGAATTCATTAAAATCCCTATAAGGATCCTAGCCTATTTCATTGCACAGCAGAGTGCAAAAGAATTGTCTACGAAATAACTGCAGTAAACTGCGGACGTTTGCAGAGTTCGCTAACCTTTTATTATAATGATATAGTGACTGCTAGTATAATATGTAAATGTAGGTAACGATAGGGCATTCAACGGCCTATTATTCCTATCTGTTCAAAAATTGTTTCTGCTCGATGTTTCCTTATCTAACTAGGACGGAATACATACGTATTTTTTATTGACGCCGTCCTGAAGTTAGTCCTGCATCGATCAGCTGACTGCAGAGAATGTAATAACATTCAATGGGAAAAACATAGTAATATATTTCTCTAAAACCGATGATGATTGGCTGAAAGCGTCTAGGCCATGTTAGTTAAAACAGCGTATCATCCATTAAATTATTACGTAACATATGTTGTTCATTGTAAATATCTTCATATATGCAGTTTTATATTTACCACATACAGTATATTTACCGGGTGAAGCAAGTACATCAAGGCCTAGAAAGTTATTTATGATACTAGATCAGTTCAAACTGTTGTTTTTTTTATTAAAAAACAAAAATTGCCTCTTTGTAATATCTAACTGCGGAATATTCTTCTTATTATTATTATTATAACGATTATTGTTGGTGATTCATTTAATTCCTCTTCCTTTTTATTCTAAATACAGAAATTACATAGAGCACAATTGTTTACGTTTTATTTTTCATTTACTTTCACTCTCTCTCTCTCTCTCTCTCACTTTCTCTTCCTTCCTCCTTCTCTTTCTTTTTTATATATGTATATATTAACCGCAATTCCTCTCTCTCTCTCTCTTTCTCCCCTGTTGATTTGCCGTATATCTACTCGTACTATCTTAGATTCCATACTCAGTTAAATTAAATACGAAACAAAAGAATTAATTAAACCATAGATCACCGAAATGATACAATGAATTTGTAAGAAAAAAAATGCAAACATTATTGATAAGTGCAGTTCTTAGCTCTAAGCAATCTGTATACAAGACAGATAAATAAGCACGACCTAGATCGTTCTAGATTAATTCTAAATATGCATATAAAATACAGAAAAATACAGATATTACTGTTTATTACTTATGCTTCATCAATCAGTAAATAACATTTAAATAAAAACAATATATACTCAATCTTATTAGCTAAACTTCGATAAACAATAACCTGGAATATTTTTACCGGTATTTCTTTTATCTTTGTTTTTTATAGAGTAATATACAATAATAATCAGATATACTGAGGAATACAAGCAGAATTGAGAGATTTTCTTTTTTTGGAGGGAGGAAAAGGGAGGAAAAAAGGAGGGAGGTGGGGAGGACGAAAGAGAGAGAGAATAGAGTTACAAGAATAAAATGGAATAGAGAGGGCCAAATAAAAACGATTTTTACTCTGTGTTTTACCTATTCAAATCAATAGATATTTGACTATTTTTTAACCCATAAACGAAATAGTAAATCAACGAGAAATTCTAGTACTAACCTGATCGAAAACTGAAATAAAAATGAATAAAAAATAGAGAAGCGTCGGTGCTCTGGCGTTGTAAACAGCTGATCAGTGCATGGTGAGGCGAAAAACGTCAATAATGACGATCGTCGGGGAGAGCGAAAATATTTTTCTTCAATCTTCTTTTCAGAATCAACGCCAAATGTAGTTTACTCATTGTGTCTAATATATTATTATTTTATCTTAATCGTTCGATTATTTATAGATAAGTAAAGTCAGAGATAAAAGATGTTGGTAATCTAGGTAAAAAATATTTGCTAAATTTCCCGGCATCCCATCCGATCTGCAGAGCGGAGAGAAAGGTCATGAACATTTGCAGAATGTGAGTCGGCGGGTCCATATATTTGTGTGTGTTTTTTTTTTACAACCAAGCCCATAAAAATATATTAACTTGCTTTAACACCAAATTTATATCATTTGTTATTTTAATAAATTAGATTAAGCAGTAGCTTTAACTTAAGTTTAATAATATATATGTATTCTTATATACGTATGTAACCATACAAGTTGCTAAAGATCTTCATGCGCTGGTCACGTGAAAATGTTAATTTGATCCTTCCGTTTAATGTACGGAAGTTGATTTATAATATTTCACTCTTTATTTCATTAATCGCTCTCTTTAAGTGAATAATTCTCTATAATTAAACAAAAAAAAAAACATAACCTATATATTTATAGGCCTAATAACTATGTGAAAAATATCCCAAGTTCTCTTCGTATATTTTCAAAATTGCCGCCATTGACAGTCAGTGGAAGGTCAATGTGTTTTGACTAATGTTTATTCCACTTTCATTTCGTCATGCGACATCTGGTGTAAATAGCAGAGTAAATATTATTTAGCGGCATATTAGTCTATTAATAAAGCTTTTTAATCGCTAAACTATAAATAAAGTTTAACTTCTGAAATTTTTTTATTTATAATACAACATAAGCTTTTCGGAAAATGGAATATAAATGCAATGCAAAAGGAAATCATGATTTGTTTACACAATGCATTAAAAAATCAGTCAAAAATTTTGCATATGTTTATAAATTTTAAATCAATTAGTTAGGATGCTGTTAATATATCTAGAGCTATATTATAGTCATTGTTGCCATTCTTTAATGCTTCTCTAATCTTTTGGTCGCTAAAGCCTAACTGTTTTAGACTGGAGAGGTGACGTAAGTAAGTTTTTGCCTAAAAACAAAGAGAAGAGTATAGTTATTTCTTTTGTAACCGAAATAGTAAAATTATATATTTGTTCTTACTCTATCAACATTTGCCTTGTTGACGTCCAATGCATTTTCAGCATCTTGAGAGAGAGCACCTGTTTCCTCTGCTAAAGCGTTAACCGTACATAAATAATCAACAACCTGCATAAAAAAAAAACATTGTAATATAGTTAACTTTTATATATATATATATATATGTATTTGTATAAACGTGCAAATTATATACTGTATATTTTTTGTATTGAAATTAATATATTAAGAGGAAACTTTAGTAGGAGAATCTATCTAGGATATGGTTCAATAGTTAATAATAAATAATGACTACCTTTTGTTCGTTTTTACCAAATTTTTCAATTGTTCTCACTACAGACGATCTAGGAAATCCCATTCCAATAATAGTTCTTGCTAATATTTTACACTCTTCGTCCAAATTTACCATATCATTTCCAGTTGGCGTTGTTGGAGGAAGCGGGTTATATGGATTCCACGTCTGCAGGTTGCCGTTTTCATTAACAAAAGAATTCAGATTTTTGTCATCACCACAACTTTTTTGTGAATTAGCAATAAAAGGATGAGTGGTATCCTGGAAATTATGCATGCAATAAAACTTAAGAACACATGTTGGTGAGGTTAATAAAAGATAAAACTAAATCTGAATGTGTGCGCACGTGCTTTTCTTGAAAACAATATAGTATTTACTTATATAATCTAATATATAAATAAATAAATAAAAAGCAAACAAAAAAATGCAAGCAAAATTCGACACTAATATAAAAAGAGGGTAAGAATCCAATCTAATATTTAAACAAAAATGCTGCTAAATTGGCCTATATAGTTTCATTGCTGATTTAATTATTATTAAAATTTGTAATTTTGACATGTTTTTTTTTCAGACTATGTCTGAATGACATAGCTGAAATATTCAGTGAGTCAAAGTTAGCACTTGAATTAATTATATATCAAGTTTTTGTACATACCTGTCCACTTGATGGCCTTGGGGGTGGACTTTTACTTGAAGAAAGTTGAGAATGCACATCAGGATTGGATTTGGAATTATGGACAGGCATTGAATTCATTCTACCGTTCTGAACATCAATAGTACTAATAGGTGGAAGTTTTGATGCTCTATCATCCAATGTGTAATCTTCATTATTCAAGTTTGATTCGTTCTCTTGATTTGACACATTTTGTTGAGGAAAATCCAAGTCTTTTACAGATACAATCCTTGAAGAATTTACTGTTTGTTGAGTAGAAGAGATTGTACTATAAACTTTGTTCAATTCTTCCATATCGTTTAGGCTTAATAGTTCAATTTTGTCAAATGGATCTTCCTCGTTTTCAAAATGAGTTAAGTCGATTTGACGAGAACTGTCTCCTTTTATGTCGCTATTTCCATCCTTTGATGTTGCGATTATTGGAGTTAAAATATCAGGTGTATTACGTATATTATTTTGTGAGTAATTTTGTTCGCATAAGTTCTTAGATTTAACTTTTGTTTTATTTAAATCCTCTTCTTTAATCATTTCATTATTTTCGTCCTTTTTCTTATTCTTTTCTTGTTCTTTCCTAATAGATTCTTCTTGCTTTTTTCGTTCGCCTTCTTCATGCAGTTTTACTTCCCTTAGCACTCTATCTTCTAAACTCGTATTGATCTAAAGTATTTAATAAAATGGATAATAAAATAATTTAGTTTAAATGTTTTAGTATAAATAAAATATAGATAAGTAAAGGGATCAATAATATTTTAAATAGTCTTCCTTATAAATAAATGAGACTGCCTTATAGTATAATGAATTAAAATTGTCTATAATATTTCCTACTTAATTTGCTTCCATTATACATATAAATAAGCTAAATACCACCATCTACATTAATAAACTAGAGTACCTCTTGAAACAAATATTCAGATGGCTGCAAATTCGAACATTCGGGAGGTATATCGACTCTCTCAGGAACTCTAAATTTCTCACCTAATTTCCAAGTAATACCTCTAACTGAAAGATATAATTATTAGCTAAAATCTTTAACAGTTGTATGTAATAAACGATTCTTACGTGCAGATTTGTCCAAAGCCATAACCAGTATTTAGCAGTTGAAGTTACATAATAAACTTTCAAAAGAAATGACAATTATATGAAAGATCTATGTAGTCTAGAAATTTTATAAATATAGCAATATGGTTTTGGTACACGCTTCCCAGATTTATTAGACTATACAGCGGCTATAATTATAGAATTTTCACTCAAAGATGAATCATATAACCGTAAGGTTCGCAGTGAATCTGGTCTAGCTAAGAACGGTGTGGAACATGATTTACTATTTTGTATTACTCACACGAAAAATTTACAAGTCATTAGAGATAACGCAACTTTTGACTTTATCGCTATCTTTAAAGAGGAAGTAGCATTAGTTTAAATATATGAAATATTCTTTTTGATAAGCGATTTTTGATATTAACTCTGAAACGTTATGTTGACCTGTGTACATTTTATTATTAACTTCCTAGTAGTTGTTAATGTGTTTAATTATAATTTAATTATCTAAAAGAAACATAAAACATACAGAATTAGAAAAATAATTCCTTTTTTGTATTTATTATTTGAAATATAATGATTAATTTAAATTTTTTCTAAAGCAAAAATTTGTAAGTATATATAGTTATCCAACCCGTAGAAAGCTTCTTATTTCTTTAACCTCAGAACAAAAATGTAATGTATTAATCAGTCTAACACAAAAACTATCTGAATAATTAAATATCAAATTTCAAAAGTATATCTTATTTTTTTATTATAGAATCCTCTTTCAATTTTAATAAAGCTTAATGATGCTGCCGCTATAGACAGAAGAGTAAAAAAGAGAGTTGTATAAAACAAGCTCAAGACATCCCCTTTCGTTATTTAATGTTTAGTTAATCTTAATACGTACACATTGATATTACCAACAAAAACGTAAAACCTAACTTGAAAAGAGATATTATTATACGTCAGCTGACCGGTGTTTCTATTATCCTTCATTAACAAAGGCGCCAATAGTTAAGAGATATTTTATTGAATTTTATCGTTCAATTACAGTTTTACTTCAAAAATATAGAAAATTGTAACAGTATGGAAAAGGATAAAGTTAACCAGTAATACTTTATTATTATATTTTGCTTATTTGGCATTAGTTTTCTAAATTTGCTACAAATATATTATATTATCGCTCATATATATCGTTTGTGTCATATTAGAGAATCGATCGAAGCTGCTGAGAATATACTTGTTAAAGTTCTAAAGTACTCGTTAACTATTCTTGGATTGCCCGTATTTTCGTTTTTTGCTTTACAATTTATATTTGAAAGTAAAGTATCAATATCAAACTGTTATCTTACATATTTCATAATATTTTAAACAACACAGGTTTATGCAAATTTAGTCAATCCGATAGCTACTTCTACTCAGCAATCGTTGCCGTTGTTATCATTCACATTATCCTCATAATGCTCATTTTTGAAGCAGCAAAGGTCGAAAAGAAACCACAGAAGTCTGATTAATAAAACATATCTATATGTATTACAGTGTGATAAAATTGATATGTAAAATTTGCTCTTTAGTGGTTATTTCTTATCATAATTATCAGTTGAGTTCTTATCTACTCTAAAAAAAATTTTTTATGAAATATATACCATCCTCTACACAGAGATCGTGAAGCGCAAAGCTTAAACACTTGAAATTTATTGCGATGAAGTGTTCTGTGTGTAACGGAACATGTAAAAATCCCTTCGAATTCAGCTGCTTACATAGAATTTGCAGAGATTGTTTGAAACCTGATTATAAATTTGAAAAGAAGCAAAAATGTTATATTTGCTTACGGAAATCAACGCGTAATTTTTACGTAGATATTCCAGAGCGGAAATGTTCTACTGATAATCACATAGAAGAAGTTATTCTACAATGCGAGACTTGCAACAATACAACAGTTTGTCCAAAATGCTTAATGGACCATAGCAAGGGTCATAAATTAGTTGTAAAGCCTCAAATTATACCAAGGAATAATATTAAATATACTGAAAGAGATGAAAAGAAACGCCTGTTAGATAGGCTCAATGATTTAACAGAAGCAATAAAAAGAAGTAGGGATTATACAAAGACTACAATCGATAATAGATGTAAAGAAGCTTTTTCTGAGATAGAAGAAAGACAACGAGAAATGCATGAACATAATGAAGACAAACATAAACAACTACTTTCAAAAATTTGTGAGTACATTGGCGAAATTCCGCTACTTCACTCTGGTGATGACGCTTTAAGCGAAAGGGAAAATGAAGTTAAGGATATAGAATATGGATTTAGGAAAGCAGACTCTGAAAGCTTATTTTACTTCTTAAAAAGTTCTGCTATCCCGAACGTGAATGATTTGGCTTTAAATGAACATTTTAAATGTTTCTTCGAAGATGAATATATAACAGTAAATGAAGTCGCCGCGGAAGAGACACAGCAAAGAGCATATGAATGCCCCGAGTTACCTCCAAAAACGAAGAAAAAACCAGAAAAGTGGAGTTTTTCTAAATTACTAACAAGAAAGAGTTCTGATAAACAAAATACCTTAATTGAAAAGAGTCAATTAAATGATAGTCCTAGCGTGCATCAAAATATTGTACACGAATTACAACAAAAACATTCGCAGAATGAAGCATGTGATATCCCAATTTTGCCTCCGAGAAAATCCTAAAAGAGAAAAAAAGTAGAAAATTCCGACATTTTATCTTTGTAAAGTAATAATATTTGAAGATAACGTCATAAACTTTTATACAGCTAAATCAAGTATAGAATATCTATTAATTGTTTTAGTAAAAGTATTCTGCCCAAGTATATTGTGATCCGTTACGTTGTGTTTATCTTTGAAAGCAAACAACTACGTTCTTTTATATACAATCCATTACATGTTTATGCAAATAAATTAGTGAATATCATAGTAGATGCCGACTTGAATTTCTTTTAAGCTTACTAAACGAGTTTACACTTGTAACCTTTCAAATTCAAGTTTTCCCTCTTAACCTCCCTGGATTTTTTAAATTGGACACTGCTTTAAAACACTGGAATACAAACTTTGTCCTCATTCTGGATCAATAAACATTACAATATATATACAGTACTACTATTTACCTATATAACCGTAACGGGTACTATATCTTGCAAATCAAATTGTTGAGAGTCTCGATGAAAAATGACTTGTATGAGAAAAGTTATAGATGAAATCTATGGCAAGGAAACAAAAGAAGGAGTTGGAGCCGCAGTACGTCGTAGCATCGGAGGAGGAAAGGTATAATTTACAGTGTTACGTAACGATAGATCAGTATACATATAAATAACAATTGGTGTATTTTCAGTATTCAGAATTTGATCCCTTTCTTTTGCTAGATGATTTTACAGTATCCCCACCAGCCGGTTTTCCGGATCATCCCCATAGGGGATTCGAAACTGTTACTTATATGCTATCTGGTAGATTTCGGCACCAAGACTTTCTGGGTAATTCTGGCGTTATCGGTACTGGTGACATACAATGGATGACTGCCGGACGAGGTGTTGTTCATTGCGAAATGCCTGATGGTGAAAATGGAGGAAGAGGTCTTCAATTATGGGTAAACTTGTCTAGGAATCAAAAACTCTGTGATTCAGAATATCAAGATATTTCTCACAAAGACCTTCCGATTGCTGAAAAAGACGGTGTTCAAGTAAGAATCATTGCGGGTGAATCGATGAATGTCAAGTCGAAAATCATTACGAAAACTCCAACGGTCTATTTAGATTTTACATTGAAGCCTGGATCGAAATTTGAGCAGGCAACTTTCAAAGGCTGGTCGACCTTTGCTTACATTCTCGATGGAATTATATCGTTCGGAGGAGACGGAGAAGAGAAGGATGTCTCTCGGCACAATACTGCAATTTTTAGTGATGGCGATAGTGTGCGATTCATCAACAAGGTTAGGATATTTCTATTCTATCCTCTTTTATCTTTCGTTTGTACACTTCACCCTTTTAAGGCTGTAAATAATACAATACTTCATTCCGCAGGGATCAGAAACAGCAAGATTCGTTTTTATAAGTGGAAAGCCCATTGGCGAGCCAGTTTGCCGAAGAGGTATGTTCAATTATAACAATGCGACAATAAATTACTATCAGATATCCATTGGATAATATCACACTAAACATGTATGAACAGGGCCATTCGTTATGACAACTCAAGAAGAGATTGAGCAAGCTCTTTCCGATTTCAAAAACGGCGTAAATGGCTTTGAGAATGCAAGAGAATGGAAATCAAAAGTCTAGAATATTAAGTTCGTTACTAAAATATCAATATTTCTAATAGCTTTCTATTTAAGTAAAATACTCGATTAACACTGGTAATAAAAAATAATATTGACGTGATGAATATTCATGAGAAAGGTTAATCAATTAAATAAACACAAAAAGGAGAAGAAAATTGAAAAATTATTTATATGTTTATGCAAATTAGGAAATAGAAAAGAGAATTTTTCATCTTCCTTATTCAATGTTCTGTAAAGTTATATGATCCGTTATAGAAAGTGAATCCAAGCATAATTTTAAATTTTTCCCACAGGAATGGTAGAGCCCCGTCCTGAAACCGTTTAAACAATTCCCCAAGTTAGATGCCCCTCCTTTCTTTTTATTTCCGTATCCCCTATCTAATCTTACAAATTATCGGGTCCGCCCTCTTCCTTTCTCTTCCGTTCCTTTTCCTTTTGATAAATTTGATAAATGGCATAATTTTACTAATGGTATTATTGATGGAATTAGGAAAACTTTTACCTACCAAGTCAACGAATCACCTTGTTAATTATATAAGAGAACGAAAATGAAATGAGAGAATAGACAAATTGTGTTAGTTTAAGGTGAGTGAAGAATATCAAAGTATTGGCAACTATATATCCGATTATCCAGAGAGAATAATAAGGAATTTACAACTGACTGGAAATAAAATCTCCGCCGGCTATCGACCCTTCAGGATGTAATATTGTATCGAAACACCATTACGTCACGCCACTCCATTAACCGGTAGTAATTACTAGCGTAATACCATCAATTTGTCGGCTATTCGTCCACTTTCGATGCGGAGATAGCGACGTTAGCGAGAAAATAATTAAGTCAACCGCGGGCCTGCCACGTTGTCCACCAGAGGGAGTTTCTCATTCGTTAAGGCACCTGGTGGTTTTTTATTCATTTTTAACGAGCATTTTCCTTTCTATTCTTTCCTCTCCTCCCCTTTTCTTTTCGGCTTTTTTACTTTGTTATTATAAGTTGAATCGTTTAAGCGAATATAAAAAAACAATTTCACAATCCTGCATATTTACTGTGGAACGTTCAATCAAACGTCGATTACATAGTTCTTGCGTCTGCATTAATCAAAAGTGACTTAACGCTGAAAATCTTCCTCTGACGAGACGTCGTAAGACACTTAAATCATGACTATGATGCGTGACGTGAAATGTTGTCATGCTTTTGTGACGTCGTCACTCGAGTTTTTTGTACTCGGCGCCTCTTTTACTCTTTTTTTGTCTATATTCAATTTTCCGCCGTCTTTGACGCCGACATTTTTCGTCAAAAACGAACGAACTGATAAAACGTCTGAGTACAGAACGAAAAAGACGCTCTTAAGGAAAAGCAATTTCTTTTCGACGCTCCTTTTCGAATTGACAAGGCGGAATTATAAGGTGTTATTAGATATGCTCGAGCAAACAGTTATGCATTATGCATGCACTTCGTGTATTTTCCGAATGATTGACAACTGAACGTTGACGCCGAACGTTAATGTAATTTCACATAAGCAATAACAATTTCTTTTAAAGTCGAAAACATGGGCTGCGCGCGCCTCGTAATTATGCATACAAATCGCACGTGGCCCGCTCCACAGGTGGTCATCTGCAAATCGTGTGAACTTGGCCGCTAGGCAATCTGCCGAACTTCAATCTTTACCTTATTTAAGAAAAAACTACATAAGAAATAAGTATAAAAAAAGGAGCTTAAAATATATACATTATGTATATTTACATTTGTATACTTACGCTTGTACCGTACGTCTTGTGTATATACTTGTATTATAATAGTACAGTAATAGTATATGGGTGTTTAAAAGAGAAGAGGAAATAGATTTGCTTGGCTAAAGGATAGCTTGGAGGAAGACGTCGTTCCTTGCGGCGTCCTAAAGTCCCACCCAAGAAGTAGAGTCGGGGTCAACGCGAGCGTCACTCGGAAAAGTGCTTATTTCACGTTCCACCGAACAGCTTGGCGAAATCCGATTGCGAGTTGACGAGCATTTTTTCGAGGGGAGAATGACGTGTGGTCAACGGCGGGAGCGGTAGAGAAGTCACGCAAAGCACGTCACCGCTGAAATTCTATTGAGAGACACCACATTAAGTGTATAAGATAATTATACCTACTTCCATTTACCACTTACCTCACTCGACTCTATCCATCTCACTGCCTCTTATTCCTTTTCTATAATAAACCACCCATTCTATCAGTCAGACCATCCCCCACCCTCTCTCTCCACCCACTTTATTTTTTTTCAACCAACTGTCCCCCCTATTCTAGGAGTCAATTTTTTCTTTCTAACTCGGCTCTAAAACCCCTTACTCCTCCTCTTTCGCTTCATATTTCGTTTACGTTACACGCTATACTTTATAGGAATTTCTCTATTAGATTTAGAGAAGGTAGGAGGGGTCGAATTAAAAAAAAAGAAAAAAAGAAAGTTTTATTTTACGAAAGACGAAGCACATGTTCGAATAATAAAAAGACCGGTAGAAAAAGTGGCGCCGACGGCAAACTAGCTGGTCCTCAAAGTGTTGGCAATAAACGCCATTTGGTACCCTTTTCTTCTTCGGACAAATTCGTTTTTTATAGGCCTATTTTTTTCTTGTACGCCAGAAAAACGACATATTGCGGCGTGTATGTTTTAGAAAATATTTAAATCCCAGCCTCTTCGCATCTGTGCGTTGAAGTCTCTTACGGGGCTAGGTGCGTGGAATGTTTTTGAAGTGTTTAGGACGTCAGATGGAAGGTACTTGTAAAATAAATATTCCGAAGACAGAACGCTTGATATATGAGGTGAATGGAATGTCATTTATATCATGAAGAGGAAAAAAAAAGAGAAAAGAGAGAAAAAGATGAACAGAAATCTGCTACTGAATACATAATTTCTTTTTGTTATTTATTTTAATTTATATATTATGTACGCCTTACTCCGTTACCTTTTGGAGAAAAAGAACAAAGACAATTTAAGTAACGCCTGTGAGACGGCTAAGATGCGGCGAAGCTTTAGAAGCGTTCGAAAACACTCGCACGCGCCTATTTGGCACTCAGGAAAATTGGGTAACGTCATAAAGCAGGCGTCACTTCCCATTTACACATTGCTCAGCTACTGGCTAAGACTTTGATGACACAGCAAAGTAACGCTCGAACGACTGCGGTCATTTTGCAGTCGACATCTTCAAAGACGGCGCGAACAGCCGTGTTTGCAATCTGCGTGTGCGGCGAGGCGTCACCGAGCGTTTCTTGCAGGACAATACGTATTCGTTCCACCGTGATTTGACCTTTGTCAGGTCATACTGCAACATCGACAGAGCGCACATGTGTTTCTCTATATTAAATGCTTTCTCTTTCTTAACAATACGTTTACGGAAAAAAAACCCCGTGTGCCATTCCTTTACGTATCCTTGTCGCGTATTCTTTCTTTTTAATTATGCTACACCGCGTTTCTTTCGAAAGCCGTACGAAAAACACGTCGCTTTGTAGTAAGAGGCCGATTATGTAACAGGGTTCGTATTATTCGTAAACTTAAGCACGTTCTAAACATTTACAAGAGAGAGCGCGTTTGACCATCACGTGACCATTACGCGATTATCGGCCAATCATCACGCAACGGTCGTTGTTTATGGGATTAGAGGACGCTAGTTTGTTGAGCGTGGAAAAGTAGAGAGGAGAGAGAGAAAAGTAAAATAAAGGGGAAAAAAAGAGCAGGGATTGAAGAGTAAAAAATATAAAGGGCGGTAGCTAGGATAAAGGAAATAGTGCGGCTTTGCTAAGAAGCTCAAGGCCTATTATAATTATTATTAATATTCATATATTTTCCATCGATCCGCCAAAGGCGTCCCGGGCGATTAATTATGGATTAATTACTTTTATGTCATAACCGTGATGAGTTTTCATTTCTCGGGCGCTATTTTGCTTCAGGGGATTTTAGGTAGAAAAGAAGGGAATAGGAGAGGGGGTGGGGGCGACAAGACGAAATAGTAAAGAGGAGGAGAATAGGCAAGGGTGTTAGCGAAATCCCCATAAATAGAAAGCGATGTAATTAGAATGCACGGGCGGCGCGAAAATTTATTACGGAGTATTTAACTAGTTGCTAGAGCGTGTAAGCGCGGCCGAAAGGGGTGGCGCAATCGCAATAGAAACGGCATGATAAAACAGCCAATCACCAACGACGCCGTTTTCTGATTGGTTGAGATATTTCCGTTGTGAATGTTCTATTTCTATGTCTATCTGTCTCTCGCAGTCGACATGGACTTGTCTACTAGATCTTCTCCTCTTGTTTTACCACCGATTCTTGTTCCAAGTACGACAACACCTATGATGAGCTCTTCCTACAAGACGTCTGACAAGATTTATTCATCTCCGACACCTCCGAATGCTGGTACCACATCTTCAGTTAGCTCGAGCGGAACTGTCACTCTTACAGCCGCCAATACGCCAGATAACAACATCTGCAGAACGATATCTTACAGAGGAGCGCGTGTTGCTTCTTTCACAGTTGACGGTCGGGAATTGATTTGCCTTCCACAGGCCTTCGAACTCTTCCTCAAGCACTTGGTGGGCGGACTACACACAGTCTATACGAAATTGAAGCGTCTCAATGTCATTCCAGTGGTTTGTAATGTCGAACAAGTAAGAACGCTCCGCGGCCTAGGCGCGATTCAACCGGGCGTCAACAGGTGCAAACTGATCGCGCCCAGAGAGTTCGACGTTTTGTACGAAGATTGTACGAGTTCAAGGCTAGTATTCAAATTGTAGCATTTGCGAACGACAAACAAAGCGCGGTTTTGTTTGTCGAGTATAGAATTCGTGTAAATTTTTAATTAGAATCACTCGAATAATTGCTCTCTATTTATCTTCTACGATTCTCTGTCAATACGCGAACGTCGTTGTTTGCGCTCCTAATCCCTGCTATATATGAGAAGATTATAGATAAGATAAGGCATAGAAAAGGGAAAGCATTTAGAGACTAGGCAAATGTGACAAACACGTGTTTCCAGTTATGTAAACGACTGAATATATTTTAGCATTTAAAAGCATTTTATAATATATATCGTGTGAGCGCAAGACGCGATGCCAATTCGAAAGTATTAGGATACGTACTTGGGGGAACCTTTCTCCGTTTAAAAACGTGCCCTGACCCTTTATAAACTAACCATCGTTAATACCCTCTTACGTCGCGTGATTCAGTCGGTCTTCTTTCATATTGTCATATCGGTCCATTTGTTCGGCGAATTCGAAGAATATTAAATTTCAGTAGCAGATACAATTTAGATATATAAAAATTTCCTTTTTAGCCCTTTAAACCCTATCCCACTTATGTTCTTCCTTTCATATAATTTATTTAATCCTATTATTATTTATTTTACTTGTGTAAACATAACCCTTATTATCTATTATATAGGTTATATATAGAATATATACTGTATATATGTATATATACATATACATATATATATATTTAAGTAAAAGTACTTTTTAGGTTTGCGTATCCTAATATCAAAGTGATATAAATGTAATTACACTGTAATATAATGGCCTATTTATATACTGTATATATAAATATTACATATATGCTATATTATATAGTATATATGTTTATATATATATGCATACTTTTCATATTTACATAAAAAATTTCTCTTTCTATTTGAGCTTTAAAGCTTATTCAAGAGGCGTAAATGGAAGATTAGAGAGGCATAGGATATACTCGAGCGAGTATAAACTAGATTGATGAATAACGTCTAATTACACAAACAACACGTTCGCCTGTACATGTATAAAGTTGAATACATTTATATTAATATATTAATGTATTAACAGTTACTAAATTAGGAATAGAAAAGAAGCTACTTAGGCGGGAGGGAAAAGAGAGCAAATGACTTTATATATCTCCGTTGCCGAGATTAATTTGTTTTGCTGTTTAGGGAAATTTTTTTGTTGTTCTCTTTCGTTGTTTCCGTAGATTTATGTGCACGTGTTACTTGGATGGAAATATGTAGAAATTGGCAAAATGTCGGTAACCTTTCACCTTCATACTTTACTTGAATAACGACCTGTGCCAATCGTTTTCGAATTTGGCGTAAAACGCGCGAATCGCCGGTCGAAGATAAATGGACAATGGTCAAGGAGGCTTTCACTGCTATATATACACGAAAACGGTTTTGTTATAAATCGTCGTACATCTGTCGAATTTTTTTTTGAAAGTGAAGATCGTATTTTAAAGGGTCTGCACCTGAGGGGTGTCTATATACCAGATAAACGTCGGCATTGGATAAAAGGGTTTTGTTTTTATTATCAGTCTTCTCTCCGCAACTCTTCATAGAGTCTACTTAATAGATTATATATATGAGATAGAATAGTCACAAATGAAAGTTTATTTTTTAAGACTCCTCCCATTTTTTAATAACCGATAAAAACTGAAAATAATTAGGAGCGTCTCTTTGATGATGCAATGCGGTTTTCACCACCTGCGAGTTTACTTTGCTTTACTTTGATCTTTTGACCAGAAACCGCTTCACCTGTTGGTGACGGTGCGTAATCCGAACGACGTCACGACGTCATTAGGAGACGCCGATTAGCGACCTTTGACGATTTGTATATAGTATATCGTAATTATATTTGTGACTTATCTCTACGTTGAAGATATTCCATGGCGAAATGTGTTTGGTAAAGGGTTTTTAGACTAAAAGCAAATATACATTGTATAAATGAGAAGGAAAATAAAGTGGAGGATATGAAACGCATCTGTTGCGGGCGTTGAAATCTTCAAAAGACACCCAGCGTAGGGTTTCATATTTCAAATTAAGACGCGGTAATTTACAAATCAATTGAAAACCGAATCGCTTATCAGTCGCATTGAAGTCACCGCGATCGGAACGGCGCGCAATTGTTTAACTAAGGCAAGTGTAATGAAAACATTGGCGGTTTGAGTAAAGAAAATGATATTTATTGTTCGTCTTTGTTTGTCGTACGATTTGCATATTTAAAAAGCTATAAAGAGAGCAGCAAGCGTTCAGCGAGCAGTTATTATAATCCGGCTATATGTATTTAATCGACTTGAGACGCCGAAAGACATTCTTTATATAAACAAAGGTAAATCGATGGTGCAGGAAGTCAGTGACGCAGATTTTAAAAGCTTCCGCTTTTGCGCCGAGCGTCTTCTGATTGTCCCGTAATCGATGCGTCATTGGCTAGTGACGGTCACATGACCTCATCATTGATTCCGTTATTGGTTGGCATAAGGATCACGTGTCTTCGTCACGTGGAAAAGATTGATGATTGTTGCTGCTGAGTAAATAAGTAGAAAGCGTCCTTCTACTCCTGTAACCTGAAGCCGTTACCTGGCCGCAGATTAACGCGCACCAAACAAAGACATCGTAAATTAGAAGAGCGTTACCCGACCTCCGTAAACGGATGTCGTCTTTAGCAGCAGATGGTGCATTTTTCACGTCAAAATTCATAATAATTTTGCCGGCGGCTACAAAACGCTGGTGCGGTCTTTGTCGAGTGCCGCCCTTCCATACACTGATCTCATGCATCGCTGCCAAATTATATAGATATATATAAAAATACAGTTCTCTTTATAACTTTATATATACAGTTCGCGTCCCGGCAGACCGGCCAAGCGAAGCTCGGACAGCGGGAACGGCGTGGATTCGGCGTCACCGATGGAGCGTTTCAAGAAACCGAGACCAGAGCACTCCGACATCGCATTCCCCAACCATCCGCACGACGTTAACCTGCACGGTAAGTTAATTGTAACAAAATAGAACGTAATAGGTACTATAGACCAAAAGCATACACATTTAATAGTTAAACTGTACACAATTATTAATATTAACGCTGTCATTAATATTAATATTGAATAAGAATATATCTACAGTATATATATCTATATCTTAATATCCACATATACATATGATATTAAGGATCGATAAATACCTTTTAACTGTTCGAAACATGTCATCTGTGTTCTGTTATAAATGGACTATGGTAAACTAAAGATCGTATTACATTTGTTTAGAACATATACAGTTTAGGAGCACTAATTGTAAATGCTACCCATTTTTGGGGACGCCCGAAATTGTTTATAGTGACGCCTTCGGCCTCTTTCTATTATAAGTGAACCCAAGAGTGTCATATCATCTTCATCTACGTGATGAGTGCCTTATTGTCCTTTCGAAGCCACGCTCCACTCTCATTCGTCATATTTAGTGACTGATGTTTGCTCTTTCCTTTTGATATATATATACAATACTGTATAGTTAACTGAAAGAGAAGAGAAATATTCTACACAAGCTATAAAGTTTTTTTTGTCTTTTCTTCTTTTCTCTCTCTCTTTCTGTCTCTCGAGCTTACAGTTCGTGAGGAAGAAAAGAGGAAGAGAGAAAGTATTTTTCTCTTTTCTCTAAAGTACATACCGCTTTTACCAATAGCTCCTTTTTCGATCCTAGTAATTAAAGACTAATCATTTAATTATCCCAACGCGACATCACGCCAGCGGCCCTGTATACTATTTCAATTATAAATTAAAAGTTGCGTTGAAAAAAATGTCTTATATTGCAATACGTTCAGGTAAATATTAATATAATTAAATACAAAGGATTTAAATTAATTAGATAGATTTTTTTCTAAATATAATAATATTGTATTGTTAAATAGAACGAATAAACACACACACACACACACACAACACACGAAGACACGCATGCACAGATATAAATATACAGTATATATATATATATATATATATATATACTGTATATTCATATATTTAATTATTATATATACTATATAAATGTACTATCTGAGTTAATGGAACTACAGTTTCCTCTATATAGTTTCTTAAAGCTAGCAGACTTTCATAGATTGCACGACTTTAATTAAAGAGTCGGAAGGGTAATTGTCCAGTTCCATACTGATCAAATTGCAGTTCTTCTGTTGACTGGACAATTTCGAGTAGATTATGTTACATGGCAATTGTTTTCGTTGCCAATGATTTACTGTTGCTTTAGCTGTTCGACTCAAGTGGGAATTGTTGCAGATAAAAAATCGCCCCTCTTCAGTAACGGCTATAATTTCCCACCGCACCTGGCTGCCGCCTCCCTACAACCGTTCATGCCGCTCGCCCATCCGGCCATGATGGCCGCCATGCATAACCTCATCCCGCCCCCGGCCTTGCCTCTACGACCTTCGTCGCCTCGACAAGAACACAACAATAATCGGGTCAAAGATGACGATGATGACGACAGTAATCATGCAAACGAAGGTGGACTAGTCGATTTGTCCATCAAGTCCCGCGATAGATCTCCCATCAGCGCTGGAGAAGAGATGAGTGACGATGAAAGGGATGGATCACCGAGCCCTCAACCGCAAGAGACGAAGAAAAACGCCTCCGGCTTTATTGGAATCGGTGGCATTTGCGGTGGTGGCAGTAGCGGAGGAGCGGGTAGCGGATCTTTTTCCCAAACGAGAGGACGCCTTGGTGTTGTACCACATCCAGGACTTTTGCCCGACCATGACGTACCAACGAACCCCGTTGAAACTATCTTAATGAACATACATGGAATGCTTAAAGTGGCAGCCGAAACTACTCGTCACAACGAACGACAGAACAACTTCGAAAAAGGTTCGTAATTAGGCCGTAATTAGCGCTGAACGTCATTAGAACAATATGGGAAATACGAGTAGAGTAAAGATGAAAAAGGAAAAAGGAATAAGCTAATGATGTCGCGAGCAATTAGCGACTAGTCACATCACGTAAAATAGACAGAAGCGACAATCGATAAAGCAAATCATTTCTCAACGCGTCTATATGTGTGTATATATATATATAAACGTTCAGACAAACAACGCCTTCTTTTCATATGGCTACGTACTCATGTTTAGACCGCGACCCCTTTTATAGGTTCGCCCTTAATAAAAGCGAAGCATCGTGTTCATCGCTGCTCTTTACAGAGTAAATAGGTGATTTTGTTTGTACACCGCGTGCAGCCCTTCCTTTTCTCTGTTCGAGCGTTTTTTGTCGGAGGAGCTTTGTGCAAAATACACCGATAACGATCGCTTTGCATATGGCGCGATAATGACATTCTCTTCTATATTTTACTCGTCTCATTGTATTCTCTTATTTACATTGTATGCTATATAGTTACGTATTTAATCATATAGGTGAATTACGGGTGGCTCTAAGTAGAGAAAGAGAGCTTCGAGGCCAATTAGAAAACGAATTAGCGTCAGAGAAGAGGGCCAATGCTGAATTAAGAAAGAAGTTGAACAAGGAGAAAGACTTGCGTAAACAATTCGAGGAGCAAGCAAATGCGGTTAACGTCGATAAAACGGCGGATGAACGGTGCGAATCGACCGGTATGTATATTGCGTATTCATCGCTTTTTTTTCTTTTTTGTCCTTCAAATGTATACTTAATTCCATTTTCATTCTCTTCTTATTCATTCGCTAATGTTATACAGGTTCAATGGAATCCGGTACGAGTGATTCGTCGGACCGACCGCCAACTATGGTACCCGGAAAGCGTCTATCAGATCAAGCTATTCCAGGTAGGAATTGTTCTATTAATACAAAAAAAAAACTTTTTTTTATCCTCATTCCTTTTTTCTCTTTCGATGATTTTTACTAATTAAAATATTTTCTAACATTTCTCTCTAAGAACGAGGTCATCGCGAAGTAATGCAAAGTATAGTAGACGCTTATTTGGCTCAACAGAAATGCTCCGTTCCCAATGGTTATCCACATTCCACCTATATGAAACCAACAGAAGCCGTTTAATTAATTAACTAATTGTTTCTTTTTTGTTTGTTTGTTTGTTTTTTCCTCTTCCTTTTTTTTTTTTAACTATTTTATTTTTTTTTGTGCTGCAAGCTTTTACCTCCGATTTTAGCTGTTGTTCAAATCGTCTCGAAAATATGTCTTACGTCCTATGTATACATATATACATAAATAACTATATAGCATATTGTTGTGTGTACATTGAAGAAATTATATATTCTATATATGTATATAAGGAGAAAAACGTATAATATGTGTTGTACCCGGAAATTATTATTTAATTACCTTATACGAATAAACAACGAACTAAAGACGGACTACAGTCGGTACTATTAAATTTCAATTAAACACCGTCTTACTTCAAACAAGCACTCGACATTCTCTATAAAAGATATAGCAGTTCGTGTAAATTCGACCGACTTATATTTAGAAGAGGGAAGGGGTGTTCGGCTGCATTAAAGTCGCCATGAAGTCTATGAAGTGACGGGTGTGACGATGCAAAATACACAAAGCTCTTAAACACGAAAAGCTTTAGTAATTTTCTCAGCAAACACAAAATAAACAATTTGTGAACATTTGCTCTTTATACAGTCCCGATCCAGTCCAGCGGCGATAATATTGACAGTAAATAATTCGCACAAACTAAGAAAGGTTAAATATATGTTTATATGCGAAAGAGCGATCCTAATTACGTTCGATTGCCCAGTTCATATTTGCCTGTCAGATTTATGCAAGGGGAGATTTATTGCCGCGTCGTCTATTTGTTAATATTCGCGAAGAGCCGTAAAATCTATATGGAATAAGAAAACCGTTAGAAGTATCTGATACATTAGCGTTATAGAGTCTTTCTTTCTCTCTCTCTCTCCTTATTTTTTTTAACATCTATTCGGTTAACATAAGAGAGTACCTCGATCGGTAAGATTATAAAGAGGAGAAAAAAAGAAAAAGAAAAAGAGTCAGATAAGCAAACAGGACGCCACTCAACACGCGGCCCTAAGGTACTTTACAATGACGCCCTTTTCAACTGTCCGCGGCGAATGTAAGCACTTACGCGGCGTTAGGCGACTTGAATGCAACAGTACAACTGCCGGTTCTCAAGCCGATTTCGATTGTTGAAAAGACGAATGATACGGACAGGTGTGAAAAGCTACGCGGCTCGGCAGGCAACCGTCATAAATCAATCTGGTCGAACGGTTCACTGTCTGTTCGTCTGTGTGGGCTGACGACAGGAGGAAGAACGACCGTATACCAACGTTTTTTCGCCTGAAAAAATGCAGAAGACTAACGACTGCATGATAAAATTTGTATGAGGCGAAAAACGCCGTACAAAGAGAATGAAGAACGACAATAGCTGAAAAAGGCCATGACCCGACATTAGGCAACAGATACTCTCAGACTGAGAGCTTTATAATGAAATGACAGTCTTTACGCTTTTCTCCATCAATGTTTCATCTAACCTAGAGGCGATGCAGCGTTACAGCTTTTATATAATATACGATCCCCCACCGTCGTTATTTATTAATTATTACAATTTTTTCCGTTTCGCTTTTCTTGTCAAACGCTCGCCGACATTCCGCGCCATCTGACGCAGTATTAAGTTTTGCGGTGGGCGTGGCTCATCCACTGTTTTATGTTTTTTATGTTATCGTTAATTTCTCTAATGAACAAAGTCTTTATTCTCAGCTTTAACCTTTATTAAATTAATTTCTCTAACAACAAGACATACACAATCATTATGCATAATTTACATATCAATTAATTACTGGTAGGGGCGGGAGATGGTGCTGGAGCTCGCGAGATGACAAACGCAATAAACTTATGGACAAATTTCCTAATAAACTCAGGACAACGATAATCGTAAACCAAACGCTCAGCCGTAATTCTTAACTCGTAAAAGAGTTGTCTGCGGATACAAAGTACTTTTAGTGATAAGTTATGAGGCATGTGTTTTGACCCTCTTACTTTGAGTATGGATTCCTAACGGAGGCGTATCTTAGCGACAAAAATCGGTAGTAGAGGAATGGAAGGAAAATCATAGCTTTCCCGCTGTTGATTTTTCAAATATAAATATTTATGAAATATATGATTAATGTCAATATTATAAGTATGCATAATTAATTATACGAAAAAAAAAGAAAATTAGTTACCTGAATATCATAAAGACGACTAAAGGCATTAGAAATATTTCTGTTACCGCAATAAATCTTAATATAGAGACTTGTTGCGCTTGTAATTTGGTTAATAGATTTCTTATAAGAGGCATTGAATTAGGTCCGGATTGCTGTTGAATATGTTTGATTAATAATGGAATTATTATTAAATTATCTTATTTTAATCATTACGTTCATCAAATCCACGGTAAATTTTGCTGAATGAAGGAGAGCGAAAAGAAAGATTGGTACCAAGACCATTGTGAACGGACTGTTGCTCATAAATATTAGTACGAAGAATAGATAATGTGCAGAGTCCTCCGCAAAAAGTCTCCCAGCGAATTCTCTACTGAATTGAATTCTAGGCAACCTTTGGTGTAATCGTAGGGCTGATGTCGCTCCAGCCGCTAGTAAAGCTTTATTGTAGTGTTGAACAGGATGACCTCTAATTTTTAAACAAAGAATGAGCCTCTATACAGATGGATATTTTAATTTACAAACCCTATGATTGGTATAAAATACATCAGTGTGAAAAATATTGTGAATATTCGAGTTAGCCACAAAACTGAGGATATTTTGTCTCTCATCAAGAAACCCTGGTTGGAAATAAATAAATTGACGTCTGTAGTTGGAGAACATATGTAAAATTACCAGTAGACCACTCTGCTGTCTGTTGGACGACTCTTGCGAGTTTGTTCCTTGAGAATCATCCGACATTATTATTTAATATTGTGTATAAGTCGACTCTAATTTCGTTACTACCAAAAATAATTGATTTATTGCACAGAAAGGCCGTCTAACTGTTTAATTTTCTTTGTCGTAAAATACGCAAATCACCAAAAGGCTCTTTTGGCATGTAATTCCGGAAACGGAAAGTTAGTATATTTTAAAGCAAAACTGGTAAGTAATTCTCGAAATATGCAACCATCGTGCTCTACTACCCATTCGGTAAACACGTCGTCGTTGTTGAAATTAAAAGTAAAGAAATCTCTTGCTTAAATGGACACAGAAGTGCAAAAGGTCTTGGAAAGGACAAAAGCTGCTGTAAGTGGGGTTATAAGTTAAAAAAGTGATTCTCATAGCATGGTCTTATCAATTTTTTTTAATCATATCATTTCCCCGAAACTTGCATCAGCCTTTAAATATCGAAATAATATTTCCCTAACTGAGTCATTTTCCCTTATGAGATGAAAAAAACATTTTTTTTAAAAACTTATTTTTATTAAATTGAGACCAAATTCTTTCATTAAAGCTAATGTCGTCAATGACGTTGAAATTTCTTTTTATATCATAAAACAGATTAGCGTAAGAATACAGTAATTTCAATAATAGAGAATATATATTCCAGATTATCTATGGATAATGAACTTGCTCAATTCATTTTCTTATGTCAAAATATGTTTGCAACTCAAATACAAGCAATATACCACACACGATTTCGAATTTCATTTAATAATAGAGTTGTGAATTATTTTATCTCAACTAGATTATATACTACATGTCATATTTCAAAATATTTCATCAGTTTCTAATTCTCTATAAATATTTTCAGGAGCAGGAAATCAACCATTTGGAATCCGAACTGAAAGCAATGCAACAGAATAGTTCAAACGATGAAAATGATCCAGCAATAGAGGCTTTGAGGACAGAGAATTCAAAGTTGAAGTATCAAAGGATGCATCTACAGAGGGTAAAAATCAATTATAATTTTCTTACTAAGATTTTATTGAAAATTTACTGAATTTTTTATGCAGGCGATAAACGAACAGAGTAAAAACTCTGGCAAAAATATGACTAGTCTGATAAAAATATTGAAAAACTTCTTTCAAGAGTCATTAAACTCTAGCTATCCTCAGCTATCTCATTGCACTGTAGATGTAACACCATCAACTAAAATAACATTTGGTGATTACCAGTGTAATAGTGCTATGGCTCTCAGTGGGGTTTGTATACAAATTATTTTAAATAGTTTTTTAATTAAAATTCTTTCCTCAATTAGGAAATGAAAAAGTTAGGAGCAAAAACAGCTCCAAGAGAGATAGCACAGAATCTTGTAGCTAAGCTTCCCCTATCAAGCTCTGAAGTTATTGAAAAAGTAATTTTCGATTCATTTTGTTATATAAATAGAAAGAGTAATTTGCTTTTTCTTTTCATCTTCTTAATTTAGACTGAAATTGCTGGACCTGGATTTATAAATATTCACTTGAAAAATTCTTTTGTTTTAAGTGAATTAACTGCTTTAATTACTAAGGGTGTTCGACCACCCTACGTTGGTCCAACCAAGCGTGTTATTGTCGATATGTCATCACCAAATATCGCTAAGGAAATGCACGTTGGTCATCTCAGGTATGACTCTTGAATTCTTGCTCTAAAAACTTATTGGCAATTGAATAATAGTTATTTTTTTTCATTAGATCAACTATCATTGGCGATAGCATTTCAAGGTTGTGCTCTTACGTTGGTCACGATGTATTAAAATTGAATCATTTAGGCGATTGGGGAACTCAATTCGGAATGCTTATAACTCATCTTATTGAGAAATTTCCGAACTATAAAACTGAAATGCCACCAATTTCAGATTTAATGGAATTTTACAGAGTTAGTTTAATTTTCAAATTGAAATTCGCTCTATATAATTTCTAAATGTTTCCAGGAATCGAAAAAGCGCTTTGACAGTGATGAAGAATTTAAGAAGACTGCTTATCAGAATGTTGTACGCTTACAAGCTAAAGAGGAGGATTATTACAAAGCTTGGCTTCTAATATGTCATGAAAGTTTTAAAGCTTTTAATAAAATTTACAAATATTTAGACGTGCAAAATTTAGTAAATAGAGGAGAAAGCTTTTATCAAGATCTTATGAAAGATACAGTAGAAATGTTGGATCGAAATGGAGTAACAGAAATAGACGAAGGACGTAAAATTGCTTGGCCAACCGGAGAGAAAGGTCAGGGTGTTCCTCTAACTCTTGTTAAATCGGATGGAGGTTTTACCTATGATACATCTGATATGGCTGCGCTCCGCCATCGACTCTTCGAGGAGAAAGCAGATTGGATTCTGTATTGTGTTGATCAAGGCCAAAGCACTCATTTCGATGCCATATACCAAACCGCTCAAACTGCCGGATGGTATGATCCAAAAGAGAAAAGAGTGGAACACGTTGGTTTCGGTCTGGTGCTGGGTGATGATAAGAAAAAATTTAAAACTCGTTCTGGCGATACAGTTCGACTACAAGAATTATTAGATGAAGGCTTAATGCGTTCCGAAAAGAAGCTGAAGGAAAACAATCGAGATTCGGTTCTAACTCCCGAGGAGTTCAAGGCAGCGAAGGAGGCAACGGCATTCGGCTGTATTAAATATGCCGATTTATCCCATGTTCGAACTCACGATTACGTTTTCAGCTTTGATAGAATGCTGGATGATAAAGGCAATACGGCAATTTATCTATTGTATGCCTACACTCGTATCCGATCAATCGTTAAGAATACAAATCTATCAAAGGAAGAAATTGAAAAGCTCGCAGCCAATGCCACTGCCGAGAGTTTACCCATTGACCATCCGAGAGAAATACGACTTGCAAAATTTTTGCTTAAATGGCCAGAAGTTATAGAAACCGTATACAAAACTCTAATGGTGAATTCATTATGCGAGTTTCTATACGAATTAGCTGGTGTTTTCACTGAATTCTACGAAAAATGCTACGTTGTTGAAAAAGACCGAACAACAGGAGAGATCGTCAAGGTCAATACACACCGTCTATTGTTGTGCGAAGCGACAGCTAATGTGATGAGAGCCGGATTTGACATCCTCGGACTACAAGCTATTGATAAAATGTAACTTTTTGGCTTTGATAAAAGAATAAAAAGAAAAATAAATTATTGAAACATTTCTTCAGCAGAATTTGATAAAAAATTCGTAACTCGCGTTAATTATGCCCCATGATAACAAGCCCCTAACTGCATTTACATGAACGCCTTTATATATACTTCTTAATGAATTCCCCCTTTCTTCTATAAGAATACGAAAAGTAGTTCGAACATTGACAAACTCACCGCCCAGTTTACTTTGCATTCGAGTTTTTATAACATTCACAGGATAAAAGAGAGTTCCTGTCATTGCACCCAAAACAGCACCGCAAAGAAAGTCGTTCAAAATCGCCCTTATGTTACTTGTAGGCTGTTTAAAATTCAGAAATTCTCCTAAATGTTCTCTAGATATAAAGAATACAGCATTTGAAGGTCCATTCCGAAGTAGAATAGGCACGAGTCCACGATAAAATTCTCTATATCCAAAACGATTATGCATCACTCGCATTGCGTGTACAGTGTTTTTAAATCGATTATGATATGCTTTATCTTGTAACAGAGTCTGAACTCGCTCCAAAGGCGTGAGAACAGCTTCGCAGCATCCGGCACCCATCGCAGCAATAGTCTGTTTAAATTCTTTACTTTTCGTGAAGTTTAAAGAATCAGTAATTAAATAAAAACGTTCATAAAATCCAAACATCAAGCTGAGCGATAAAGATTTTTGTATCAAAGGTGGAAGAAGACCTCTGTACAAATAGAAAGCTCCTTCTTTTCGTAATTGTTTTAGAGCTCTTTGCGTTGTTACTCCATACAATTGCTGACGGAACATTATCTTATTTATGGGAAATGTAGCGCTCACATTTACGAATGCAGCACCTAATCCACAAATAAATTCCCCAAAAGGTCCAGTTCTGTTTAGGCGTTTCTCAACAGTCTTTACCATCTTGCTCTTTTAATGCTGTTCCTGAGCGATAATAAGTCAGATGACGTTATATAGATTTATTTAACACTTTATCTGCCAGTAAAGCTTTCGTTAGCAACTGGAATATATCTGTTACACAATGAGAATCGTTGTAAAGCCTTGATATCACTTGGAACTCAATTAGGGGCTGCATTCCCAAATAATTTGCTTCTGACCGGTCATACTCACCGGTTTAAATAGTCAATAGGTTACTAGATTAAAGTCACTTGTATACCGAATTTCAACACAGAAGATATACAAAGTTACTAAACCTCAAGTTTACCATAGAAATACCTTAAAACAGCTAATATATCGTTTAACAAGAATATCAAACAGACAATTACAGTTATACTTTGTTGAAAAATAAATGAATTTTTTCAATAATTAAAAAAGAAATAAATAATATTCTTACGTTTTGTTTTCCTTTTGAAAGTAAATAACAACTTTTATCTTTTAAGTGCTTAAAAAACAAATAAAATTATCATCAGGGAACAAGGCAGTATAATGGATTATTTATTAACAGGATAATCCAGAATGAGAGTAGACAACTGTTTTGTTTAAAAGGAATTTTCGGATTTTAATTTAGTTATATAATACAAAAACAGAAAAAATATTGTAAATTTCAATCAAAATCTTGATTTTTATATTTCGATCTTTTCTTGTTGTGAAAACACTTTTTTTTAATTAAATTTTCCTAACAAAAGTTACTTTTTTAATATTTATAAATAAATTACATAATGACTAATTTGTTGATGCTAGTTTTAACTTTCTCTCTTTCATTTTTCTTTCAAAGTATTCTTTCATATTTTCGGCTGATTCAACAGTTCTAATACCCTTCTTTTCCTTCTTTTTTCCTCCGAACACGCATGATAAATCAGCTTCTGATTTGCTTTTAATATCCTTGCTCTTTCTTACTTTAACGTATCGACCGCGATCCGATTTCATTTTCGGTTCTCGTTTTTTGTCTCGAGCTTCTTCTGATGATTTCGCAGAAATTGAATGTAAATCGTTCAAGTTTTTTAAAATATCACAAAATTCTGTTTGATGACTAAGCCATTCATCCGAAGATGCATTATCAAAGCCCACACCTCTAGTATCCGACTTTGCGCTAACCTTAACATGTTCGGCTCTTCCTTCTAAATTAGCACCTAATCCCTTTCCTTTCTCCCAACCCATCTTCTCAAGCATTTTCTGGCCAAATTTGTCTTCATCTTTACTCCAATTATTACCACATGGATTAGACGATATCGTTTGTTTCGATTTCTTGCCATTCATTGTTTAAGATATTAAATTGCGCTATAGATTTCTTAGAAAACGCAAAATACTGAGCAGCACGTGTCCAGAAAGCAAGGAAGGAAGTGGCCAATAGTGGCTATAGAAACTGGTAGTATATATATTTCATGTTTGAATTATCGTTAGTATGTTGTAGACTCCCGCCCGTTTATAACAATCAAGAAATAGAACGAATTTGTTAAAGTGACAAATTCGTTCCAAAGTCATCTAATCGTTATGACATCTCAAGACGTCACGGGTAAAAAAAAGGCGTACGTAGTTTTTTATTATTGTCAGTTGTCACTCGATTATGACTCACTAGTAGACATCTCTGTAATTTTTCCTTCAAATTGTATTAAGGTAGTTTTAAAAGTTTATTCGAAGAGTATTATAGTAATTATTGTTAATATTATTAAGTATACATTTAAATCTATAATAGAATCTATAAGTCATTTTCTTATAAATTCTTATTATATGCTAATATATTAGTATTTTTGAGCATGTTAACTATATGACAATAGCTAATTTGTGAGTTATTCTATTCAGCTACATTATAGTAATTCGTTATATTTAATAGCTAACTTCAAAGTAGGTTAATCAATTCTTAAAAATATGAAAGAATAATTTAAAGGAGATTACATTTATTGGATAATTCTTATTTTTAACATAACGGATCATTTAAAAAAAAGAACTTTTATATTTTAATGTATTCTTTTTACAAAGAAATTTTCAGAATATTTTAAAGGTTCTATGTTAATATCTTATAGTAATGTATAATTCTTATTTATTAATATTGTACTATTAGAAACGTAAGTTACCATATGGTAATGAATCATCTGGAATAAAATGTCATCAAAAAATTTTATCAAATGACGCTTAATCATTAAATTTTGTATGTTTAGAGACTATTTTTTTATACTATTACGTAATATTAGTAATCGAAAGTTTATTATAGAGATTTAAAAGTTGTGATATTGGGTGCTGCTAATGTTGGGAAGACCACACTTATTCATCGTTACGCTAAAGGAGTTTTTTCGGAACATCCAAACACTTTAGGAGCTTCGTTTACGCTCAAACAATGGAAAAATAGAAACGTTGCCATTTGGGATACTGCAGGGGAAGAACGGTTTCAAGGCTTAAGTAATTTTTACTGTAGACAAGCAGGAGCAGCTATTTTGGCCTACGATGTAACGGAAAGGAAGAGTTTTGAAGAGTTAAAAACAAGGTTTACTCAACTCTTAGCAGCTGCTGAACCGAATAGACTGGCAGTGGTAGTTGGCACTAAACACGATTTAGTTGAAGAAAAAGGGAAAGCTGTTGAAAGGGAAGAAGCAGTCCTGTTGGCTAAGCAATTAAATCCGAATATCTCCGATTATATACCAATTTTTGAAACGTCCAGCTTGAACGGATTAGGAGTAACTGAAGTTTTTGAAACAATATTCGAAAAATGCCTCCGATTCGATGCTATAGCAACACATTTAGTTAATAGCACTATTGATCTATCTGCACAGAAGAAGGCCGGTAGTAACAATAGTAAAAATAACTGTGCTTGCTAAAGTCATTATTTTCAAGAAAAACAAAATGCTTTATATATACATTTTTAAGAAAAAGAAAAAAGTGTCAAAGATATAATTATTAGCAAAAAGATATTAATGATTACCATTTAATTAAATCAACAACATGTACAGAACTAAAGAAATTGTTGTTATATAATGAAATGTAATTGTTCCAAAATTGATATGGGAAATATATCTCACAAAAACACATTTTTAATATTAAACTATTCGTTTGGTTTACGTTCTATAGTTATTTTTACTTATCGTTAATTTTTTTTTACTTAAGACAATATTTAAATAATTACCTATGCGAATTATTTGTGGAGAGCAAAATAATATTGATTCTACTAAAATGTATCAAATCTATTATTATGCAGTATAAGAGGAAGCTTAGAATAAAGAATGCTCGTCTTGTTCATTCAACCTGAAAGTTATTACGTTTTTCATTTATTGCCTTTTTTTTATATTTCTATTTTTTTCCATAATGTCTTTCTGCTTCCTGAATTGTAAGCAAAATAAAAGAGAAGAATATGTATTGGAAAATTTTCTCTTTGAAATTTGACTACGACTAGACAGATAAAACACTAATAAACATTTACACTTGTTTTTGTTTATTATCATTGAAACTTAAATTAGAAGATTATCATAAAACTTGAGTTTACTTTTTGTCAATTAAGCATTTTACTAAGTTCATTTACTAATCCCAAAAGTAGTGGATTACCTCCCAATTTTTCAATATTTTCGATAATTCTAGTTAACAATAAAATAACTTTTTTTAATAAGTCATGTATAGACAGAAAGATGGAAAATATATACTTACTGTTTTTCCAATTCTTTTAAAACTTTAATGGTATAATCAAAAGAACCAGAGTCTTCGATTAGCTGTACACAATACTTTTTTACATCAATATCTTCAGTTCGTTGCCTTAAAATGTTCATTATTTTAGATTTATTCTTATCAATATTTAAGGAGTGAATAATTGGAAAAGAGAATTTCCCTTCAGTCAAATCTTCCGCAAAGCCTTTGTTCTTTGAATACTGAAAGAATAATGAAAGGAACGTGAAATTCTCAAAGAAAATAGTCTTGTAAAAACATAGTTACTTCATTTAAGCTTAGATTAGCGTAGTCATCTCGAATTTGGAAGAAAAGACCTAAATTATCTAATAACGGTTTCAGATCGCTGATAAATAGAAAACGTTAAATATTAATAATTGTAATAGTACCATGTAAATAGGAAATATGAATAATTTTGTTGGCAAAAACTAAAAGTACCTCTTGTTACTGCTAAATAATTGCATCAACCCAATGGCTAAACCAAATAATCCGCCAGTTTCTAAGTCAACAATTACCTTATAAATAATTTGGTAAATATATATATATTAGTATACTCACTTCGAATTACCATCGTTCGATATTCATCTTCAGTTGGACATGTATAAGAATCCCTCCAGTAAATATCCATTGCTTGACCTCGATGCAACTCCAGAATTTGTTCTATAGTTTAATAGATAGTTATTTTCCGTTTTATATACTAATATATTTATATACTGTATATACTATATACAGTATCTAATATTAGAAATAAAAAAGAATTTAATCACTTGTAAATATTACGGGAACCTCAGGATGATTTAGTTCAATAGCTTTTTCTAAGCTAGCAAAGTACATATAATTAGCGGAATTAATTGCAGGAGGTATACCGAATATTGAATGAGCGACTGGAACACCTCTCCTTAATTTAGAATTATCTTCGATATCATCGATTCTGCATAAAAAATAGAATAATTTTTGTATAGTCAGTCTTAAAAATTCTTTGTCGAGCTATTTCTAGCTTTCTACAAATTTAGCTAGCTTAATAATTAAGTTTATACTGTTATTGACAATTCTGTAAAATAATACCATTGACATTTTATAGTTGGACTTTATTTAAATAGTTAGTTTTATCTATACTACTGAATAAATTCTGTCGTTTGATTGATGAGTAATGGATAACTATTTAATATCTCGTATGTCATGGGAAATGTTATCAATATTCCTTAAATTTAGTACTTACATTTTTGCTTTTTTATACTTAGAACAATAAACAGAAAAAGTAAAAGTAATAAATTAACTTACATTAAACTTGCGTTATGCAACATCTGAGCTGTTTCTGAGATAATCGTTAATTTTTCTTCTGATATTTGTAGCCAGTAATTGAACGCTAAAGCTAATTTATTGCGTATATTTTTTCCAGGAACTGTGGCAATGTGACGATACGGGGCTTGAACTATCTAATAAAAAATTGTATTATAATATATATACTTTACTATTTATATACTTTTGTCAATTATTAATGTAAAAATAGAAAAAAAATTAGATATACAAAGATATTAACCTCTTCGACCATATCATCGTGAGATTTTGGATTAAATGGAATTTTTTTCATCTGTTAAATAAGGAATACTTTAATTTTTACTTGACAGAATTTACTAGAGATGTTTGCTTTCCTTTGTAATTATTGCAACATTTATTAACAGACTTATGTAAGTTATATGGCTCTTAGTGGACATTTCCTTATTTCAGAGTTATTTATAGCGACTTGAATACTCTCTTTCACTACATAGGTAAAAAATATAAAAGCAAAAGACCTTTGGAAACTATTTATCTAATCACGACGACAATTATCTAATGTTCATCTACAGTTTACGATTGAATGCACGATATCTCATTCTCTTTCTTCCTCTTTTAGAGATTATTTCATTCACCCAACGATTATTTTCTCCGTCACATTCTATATTTCTTCTTGCTCTACATCCAAGATAGTTTCCCCTATAGTCGACTGATGATCTTGCTCTTCTTCTTGGAGTTTTACATTCGCCCAGAAGATGTGGCATATTTTTCTGCGTTGACCACGAGAGCGAACATCCGCAATGAAGTGGGTTTTGTCTCAAATCCATATCAATAAGTTTAGACAGATTTTTAACGATGCACTGATCAATGGAAGTTATAAGATTTCCGCTAACTTGCAAATGTTTCAAATTATTCAAGTATTTAAATACACTGGGACGCAATTCTTCAATTTTAGAATCACGTATGTCCAACCATTCAACATTCTTCGCTCCAATAAACATTTCCGGATGAAGGGTTCTGAGGTTAGTATGAGCCAGGTGTAATTCGACCATTGATTTCAGCGACTTCAAAGCCCCATTAACAATTAAAACAAGTGGATTTTTAGATAGATCTAGATGTTCCAGAGATCTCAACCCTACCAGATTTTTACGAAAAAGAGCAGGTAAACGATTATTACTCAAATCTAAATCTTTTAAATATCTTAGACGCACAAAAACTGATGGTTGTAAATCTCTCAAATCGTTATGAGAGAGTGACAGGAAAGAAAGTTTTCTTGTTGGATAGAACGCTCTCGAATCAAGCCACCAAATAAAGTTAGAATCTAACCTTAGTTCTTTTAAACTCATTAAACCTTTCAATTTGTCCCACCTTAAAGATGTCAGAAAATTATTCGATAGATCCAGATGTGTTATCTGTGATGAACCTTTGAATATGCCATTAGGTAGTGTCCTCAGAATGTTGTGCGACAAATCAATACTCTTTAGTTTCCTCAGAGACCGAAATACACCCGCCGGTAAAATTTGAATTAAACTGTTTTTCAATGAGAGATGTTGAAGACTCTGTCGAACACCCTTAAAACTTTTCCTTGTTAGGGTTAGGGGAACTTGATTATCAATAATTCGTAATTCTTTTATACTGGAATTTTTGAGAGAAGTTTCCGGTAGGCGTTGGACTTGATTGATACTTAAGTCGACAAGTAAATAGGATCCATTAAGGATAGGAGAACGATAAAGATTAGCAGAAGAACAATTTAAAATTGATTCCGTTACACATTCACATCGAAAAGGACAAAACTCAGCAAATATCCCAAAAAAAAAATTAAAGAGAACGCAGATACGTATGTACATGATGACGGCTCTCGAATGACGTCGTTGGCGATCCTATCGCTTTTTAGCCGTTTTCACGTTCGATTGACGTCGAATTCGTTTCGTTTCTACGCATCGTCGAACTAGCTCTCGTGGGAGAATGCGCAGAATAAAAACAGCAAAAAGCACGTTATCTATCCTCCCTCTTATTTATTTAGGATTCTATCGAATGAACCCGTTTTAATGCATCGCAATTCGATATAAGGAGACGTCTATAAGCTTACAGCCCGACAATCGAAAGCAAACCATTCGACCGGAAGACAAAATTGGCAGGCGCCTAATTTCAGAACGAATGTTCTAACGCAAGAAAGTCACGTTCGAAATACAAATAATTTCCCGCCTAGTTTGTTTGGTTTCTAGATACCCTTATCGGATGAGACAATTTGAGCATAGGAAATTAATGGCAGAAGATCATCTACTTGTCGGAAATCAGTCAGCTGGTTAAGTTGTAATTAATGGGATCAGAATGTTCTATTGACATGTACGCCTCTATAAAGTTCCCAACTTCCAAACATCTCAATTTAAAGTTACAATAAAAACTTACCTTTAGTGAACAAAATAATTCATACTTACACTAGAATGCATTCTGAACTGATAAATTATACTGCATGTTATTTGAATTTATAGTTCCAATAAACAATGATTTATCGTTTGACAAGTGGCAAGTTTTACGTATAAATTTCGAAATTTAGTCTAATATCGTTCACCGCGATAACTATGTGAGTAATGATTCAATCAATTAAGCGTAAACAATAAGAGCCATTTTACATAAAACATTCGTTAAGTTAAAAATAATTCAATGAAAACTCATTTAAACTCGAACCTTTTTCTATATTCAAAGAACAAAAACCGAGCTTCAATATCCTATGTGAACGGAAAGTATTCTGTAGAAAAAATTGAAAACTGGTATTTGATTCACCTCACCAGTAGAGTTGTATAAACTCATAGGATGCACAAATTGTTTAAATAAGCAGATGTGTTTTGAATTCAGTTTTTATTATAAGCAATCTTTTTTGATAGTTTTTTTAATGGAAACGAACGGGAATTTCCCCTATAAGGTTGAATGTTCTGTACTTTTTAACAGTTCAATGGCAATAAAAAATAGCCTATAATATAAATGCTCCCAGGAATATAACTTAAATAATAGAAAAGACTTTCTTTAATTCCACAATTAATACCCAATCACTTTTTTGCATTTCTTCTCGGAAACATTCTTTAAGTGCATCAATAGAATCACGTGATATCTAAAATAGATGTAAAGTATCTTTTTAGTCTATTTTGACAAACATGTTAAAGGGACTTACTTTAGACACAAGCATATCTTCTGCATCAAAATGACGCCCATACAATCGAGGAGCAACACCAGGAAGAGGTTCTATCTTTATACAGACTTCGTCTCCTTTCTTCGCAGAATCAACGTTAGAATGGGATTTTTCTATGCTTACCACTCTTCCGAGTTCGCAAAATTCTTTAGTGGGAACACACAGAGGAGTACCAACTTTCAGGGTGCCCGCTTCAATGATTACACCCATAACAATAGGATCTCTCTTGTTAAATATATATTGTGGTAATATTTTTAGCTTGCTTGGGAATACAACTACATCTTTTAGTTCTTCTCTTCGTTTCTTTTTCAAATCATCAAGATACTTATTAAAAGAATCATACAAGTGATATATTATGTCAGCGGTGAAAATTTTTACACCAACAGAATCCGCTAACTCCTGAGCTTCTCTTTCAACCTTAACGTCAAAAGCAAGTATACATGCCCACTGAGGATCATGTTCAAGCATTGTTGATGCTTTTACGACATCTCTCTTATGTAGAGGTCCAATATTTATACCAGCATACGGAATTTTCGAATCTCTGAAAAATTTTAGCAAAGCCTCCATGGAGCCTAGAGTTGAGGCTTGAACGTAAACACCTCGCTCCGATAGTTTTATTTCACTTAAAACATCTTGTAGCATCTTTGATAAATGAGATTTATAATATTCGATCTCATCCGGATTTTTTGTTGAATATAGTGGTAAACCGGCCAAGGCTTTGTCTAGTTCTTTGGCAATAATTTTTACGCCTTGAGCAGCATTAACTATTTTATGCCTTTCATAACTGCTTTTAACGCGAAGTTCCTTCAGAGGTTGTGGCATCAGTAGGCCACGTATTTGGGTGACTATGGGTCCATCTGACCCAGCTAAAATTATACAATCTCCTTCTTTCAATTGACCTTGAAGCAAAATTACATCTAGGGTTGTGCCCAACCCGTGTTGTTCTTTAACTTCCATAACTGAAGCACATAATTCCTCAGATACAGCCAATTCTTTGGGTATCTGATTTTGTCCTAATTCACATATTGAAGCCAATAAATTTCCCATTCCATCCCCGCTGTGAGCGCTGGTTGGTACAACAGAAATGTATTCTTCAGGATTTTTATTTTCATGAAAGAGAGCAACGTTTAAACCTTGCTCCATCAGCTGAACATAAGAATGATTCCATCTTTCCTCAAATTCATGTTTTGTATGTGTTTGCATTTTTGCTAAAGTGTTAACCACATCTGTATTAGGATTTGGTCTCCAGTCATACAAACGATCAATTTTGTTTAGAGCTATCACGAACGGAGTTTTTTTCTTTTTTAATAACTCAATACTCTCAATTGTTTGTGGTTCAAGGCCATGCATTATATCAACAACTAAAACTGCAACATCACATAAACTGCTTCCTCTATCTCTTAAGTTTGAAAACGATTCGTGGCCAGGTGTATCTATGATTAGTAAGCCAGGTAGCTTCAGTTCCTGCTTTGTAAAGTTCTTACACATTTTAGTTTTATCTAAAATAGCTGCCTTTGGTACGTTTGTTGCACCAATCTGTTGGGTGATACCACCAGCTTCTCCCAATTGAACATTAGTTCTACGAAGTTTATCAAGTATTTTTGTTTTGCCAGTGTCTACGTGGCCTATATAAATAATAAATTATATGTTATTCAGTTTTGATAATTAAAATATTATAAATTTTACCAACCTAAAACGCACACAACTGGAGCACGTAATACATCAGTCTTCCTTTTGTCTTCATAGTAAAAATGCTTTCTCTTTACTCTCTCCTTGCCTCTCTCTATTGATGTCATACCCTTCATAGCATCATCTTCCCAATCTTCATCAGAGCTCTCTTCGTCCTCTTCGGAACTCTCGTCTGAAGATTCTTCGGAAGACTCTTGTCGATCCACAGACTTCTGCTCAACAATTTTCACTGATTTTTTATTAACTTTCTCAGAAACTGGAGGTGTCTTTTCGTCGTCTGAGGACTCAGCCCAATCCTCTTTAACATCTTCATTTTCATCAATTTTATCAGAGGAAGGAATTTCGGGAGATTTTTCTTTCTCCTCTGCAGGTGTTTTGTCCTTTGGCTCTTCAACAACAGTAACAGGAATAGCGGGAAGTTTTTCTTCTGTAGGAGTTTGCTGCGGCTTCTTCTTTTTAGTGTAGATTGGCTTTTTCCTTTTGATAGGTTCCTCTTCTCGATTTTCTTTTTCCTTTCCAGTTATACCAAATGATGCCAGGGCTCTCTCCGAAACCTTGCTTTGCCTGTTTGCTTTCTGCCTTTCTCTCTTCAATTTATCCTTCATTTTTTGTTTCTCTTTCTTTTCAGCAGCTTTTTTGTCTTGTTCTTCTTTAAGTCTCAAAGCTTCTTCTAGCCTTTTCTCTGCCTCTTCAGCTTCCTTTCTAAGCCGTTCCTCTTCTTGCCTCTTTTTTTCCTGTAGCTCTAAAATAGCTTTTACTTGGGCACTTTTCTTCTTCTTTGGCTCTTCTTCTTTCTTTTCTTCCTTTTTTTTCTTATCTTTCTTCTTTTTTTTACTTTTTTCTTTATCTTCCGCTTCTTCTGGTATGGGTTCTTCTGCAGGTTTAGGTTCATCTTGTTTTTTTGCTTGCTGTTCCTTCTCTTTTTTCTGTCGTTCCTTCTTTTCCCTCTTCTTTCTTGCCTTTTCTTCTTCTTTAGCCTCTACTTCAGCGCTAGGTTCCGCACTTTTGATCCCCATCTCAGCTAAAATGGCATCCAGATCATCTTCATCATCTTTTTCTTTTTCTTTCCCTTTTTTCTTTTTTTTCTTTTTAGATTGAGACTCACTTTTTTGTAAATCTTCTAAATCGTTATTAGTTTCAGCATTATCTTTTTCTTTCGTTTTCTTTTTTTTGTCTGGTTTTGGCGTCTCCTTAATTTCTTCGGATGGGCTAACATTATCGTCATCTTCGTCAATAGCATCATTCAACATTGAGAAGGCTGACATAGATTTTTTGACATTGTTAGTTGGAGGATCATCATCGATATCGTCAATTTCGTTTTCAACATCATCATCGTCATCATTCAGCAGTTGTAAGACTTTATTATTTTTCTTATTAAAAAAAGGAATAATACATTTTTTAACAATACTTTCTTCTGATGTAAGCTTAATATTTAAATTTCAAAGTATTTCTTATTTATAGAATTATGCAATCAAACCATGCAGTATAGTAATATTATACTCTCATGAAATTTATATATAAATCCGGCTTAAAATTTACTTTCCTCTTCTCAATGTTGTGCAATATTAGCAAGCGTTCCTTACCTTTGCTTTTTTATTCTTTTTTACAGTGACAATGCTTTCCTCCTCGTCGTTACCATTTAAGATAATGCCATGATCTAACTCGACATCTTCTTTATCCGACCTGAAATTAAATTATAATACAGTATTTCGTTAACATACGTCATGTTCTTTTTGACACGTGTTGTAAAGAAAATATGCTTTAAACTCACCAATCGTCGTCTGTTCGATTTTTTTTGCCCTTTTTTGGCTTGCCCATCTTGTTTTCTTTTTAACAACATGAACAAGAGATTTACTGAAACAATATGAACGTGGAATATCGAAATAATAAGTGTCGATATATCAGTATCGAGGAAAATACCTTAGAGTCGAATGAGCGACACTTTACGAGATTTCCGGTAGGTTGGCGCGTGCGCACTTAACAGACTAAATCGAAACTTTGATATTCTATTTTGGCTTTGAAATTTTTTAACATAAAAGAAATTAATACATATCTATGATTCCAAATATACATCCAGTATTACAAACCTGTCTGGGTACAGCCTTCACATGGGGATTAACAGCTGTTGGGGCAGCTCTTGTATTTGTTTTCTCGGGAGGACAGGTATTTTCATCTATTTTCGCCCAAATATGCTACGTTCTCACGTTCGATATTTTTCTTAGAGGCGAGTTCTAGATGGAAGTCTAGGATTTGCAGCAGGCGTAAGTTGTGGAGGATGAATAAAAATCTTGACTTACTTATATCTAAGATTATTTAGGTGATGACAGCAGCATCTTTTTGGTCCCTTTTGGCTCCTGCTATTGAACTTGCCGAAAAATCAGGTCTCTATGGAGAAAATGGGGAATATTCGTTTATTCCAGTAGCTATTGGCTTCGGCCTGGGTGCTTTATTTGTTTACGGAGCAGATATATTCTTGCCTTTCTTGGTTAATATATACATTAGTATATAAATATAATTAAATTAGCTCTCTATTTTCAAATATTGAAATGAATGAATTCTATCGTTTGCTTCAAAAATTCTTCTAAAAGATTTAAAAATTTATATGAGTGAACGTTTTTAATTGTAGGGAATAAACGATCCTACCTTGAGTTTAGCTGTAGCAACTTCTGATAAAGTCAAAGATGATGCAGATGCTGCAACGTTTTCTATAATTACCAAAGATGATAAGGCAGGTACATCAGGTAAATATAAATTATGGGCTTGATTAAATATATTTAATCGGAAATTTATCAAGTCCATGCTTCTTTTTAACAGATAATTTAACAAGACGACATCAAACAAGCGGTGAATACGATTCAACATCAGAGAGGGCTTATACAGGAGACATACCAACCTCATCACAAATCAATTGGAAAAGAATTATGCTACTAATTATTGCTATAACAATTCATAATATTCCAGGTACACAGTAATTAATGAAAAAATTATGAACGATTAAAATGAGTTTCATAACCTTTCTTTAGAGGGACTAGCAGTAGGTGTAGGTTTTGGAGCCGTAGGTAAGACTTCATCAGCAACTTTTGAAAATGCAAGGTATATACACTTGTTGAAATAAATATTCTATATTGTTCTGCCCACTTTATATGTAATTTTTATATTTTACATTTATAGAAATTTAGCAATTGGTATCGGAATACAAAATTTTCCAGAGGGTTTAGCAGTTAGTTTACCCTTAAAGGGCTCTGGAATGTCAACGTGGAAATGCTTCTTGTAAGTAAAATTCTATTATATGTTGTTGCTTGGTTTGGTTCTTTTTTTCAAAAATTACGTTTTTAGTTATGGGCAACTAAGTGGTATGGTAGAACCCATTGCGGGCATATTAGGTGCTTTGGCTGTCGTCTTAGCGGAGCCAATATTACCGTATGCATTGGCATTTGCAGCTGGTGCTATGATATATGTTGTCGTTGATGATATTATTCCAGAAGCTCAGTTATGGTAAGCTTTAGTAAGACAACACAAAGATTCTTGAAACAAATTTCAAGATTTGGCCTTCAAATTCTTGACTAAACTTAATCTTTTAATTTGAAAATTTTTTTCTTTATAGTGGTAATGGAAAATTAGCTTCCTGGACAACAATTATCGGATTTATTGTTATGATGATTTTAGACGTTGGTCTTGGTTAAAAAATTTTGCTAGTACTAAACAATTATTGAATTACAAGTATGTTTTTTTGGGATGTTTATATGTAAAGGAAGAATGATTAATTGGGAATTAGGTGATATGAACATTAGTAAAAAGATATATTGAAATTAATAATTTTTAATAATCAATTTAATTCTTTTCTGTTGAAGACTTGTTTGCGATTTATTGATATTTTCTGATAGGAAATGTAGTTTTTATATCAACGTGTTGTGTTTTTTCTTATTTGTTATGAAATTTTTCTTTTTCTTTCAAAGATTTAAGGACCAAACATGATCATAAATACAAATGTTAAATAAAAATCTTACAGACTGGGTTTATTATTCGAGCTTAAACAGAAAAGAGAAAATACATATTCTAAAATAACCTAATTAGAAATGTTGTTATTTTTCTCGCTTTTTAATTCTTCACTTCTCCCATTGTTGGTGGTCTATTGATTGATAACGTAATATAATATTAGTATAATTAAAGTGTTCGTGCTTAAAGGATTTTTATGAAATATATAAGTATACCGTCGATGAGGCGATATTGGAACAATGTCCTCAGGTAGATCTTCTTCGTTGTCAGACATAACTTGATTTTCTGAATAGTACGTAAATAAATTGAGATACACATCATTAGTGAAACAAATGAAGTTATCTATTTTTTATGTATGAACCTAACTTTTACAACAAACTGCTTTAGTATTATTATTTAAAAATAATAGCAATAATAATAAAAATAAAAATTAATTAAGTGAAATATCTACCGTCTAATCTGGAAAATATTCCTGTTTGCCTTCCGCTTTGAGCGGAAACTGTATAGCTAATAAGATCTTGAGAAATTTTCTTCTCCTCAGATCGAGAAACTGGAGGCTGAAAATTATGGCAACATTTGAACAACTAATAGTTGTGTAAATAAGGCATCTTACTAATTTTCTTTGACGGTTAGGTCCCATAGATTTAGTTCCCATAATTCCGTCAGGCGTGTCAACCTTTAAGATTATTTACATGTCAATAATGTAGGGTACTGTATAAGATATTTATTGTTTTTCATTTTCTACTTACCGCGTAACTAATTGATGCTTGGTGTAAATTTGCAGCTTGCTTTTGAAGATTTTGTCGTAGATAACTTTCATCTTTGAGAGCATGCATACTAAAGAATAAATTAGAGTATAATTAATTATGACTAGTTAATACAGCTTTATTAGGAACAAAATAATTATTAAAACTCCTCTTTCTTTGATAGGTTTGAACTTAATTGAGGATAAATGCTAAAAAGCAGAAAAATTACCTTTGCTTCATTATAGCAAATTTCTTTTCCCATGATTTTTGCATCTTATCCATTTCTCTTTTCAACCTATTTACTTCTGCTTTGAGACGATCTTGCATCATTCTCTCATGTTCCATACTTCCAGCATCTTTAGCAGCCAATCTGGATTTTTGTTTCTCCTGATTTAACATTTGTTGCAGTTTAGTAATTTCGCTTGTTAATTGATCATTTTTCAAACGAGCTTCTTTCAAATCAGAGTCTTTGGTGTTTGATAGAGATAAATTTTTAGATTCTCTTATAGCATCAGCAGTTTCTTGCTGTGCCTTTTTCAATTTTTCTTCATATTGCGCGATTATTTCCTTTCTAATTTCTTCCTTTTCTTTTTCCAACTATGGATAGAAAGTGGAAGGCGTAAAAATAGATATGAAACTAATTACAGGCTATTTCATAGGGATAAGAGATCGCTTACCTTCGATACAGCCATCTTATGATCACCTGCCATTGAATCCTGCAGAAGCTCCTTTTCAGAGTTTAACTAGATATTTTTTAATTTTGGTTTACAAAGAAGAGTTTCTTAGAAATTTTATGTAAAATAGAAAAATAGATTTTACATACCTGATGTATAGTAGCCTTATTCTGTGTTAACTCTACTTTCAGCTTTTCTATTTCCCCCTCTTCCAGGAAAAGTAATAATATATAAGAGGTTTTATAAAGTATATGATATGTTAAAACATTATTACTTAGAGCTCTATTCGAATCTTGTTCGGCTTTAATATTAGCTAAATGTCTTTCGTTTAGACTTCTTTCATGAGTCAAACTCTCTTTTAAACCCTGAACTTCAGCTTGAGCCGCTATTAGTTCTTGATTCTAGTTAATTAATAATTTAATGATTAAGAGACTACTTAGAAAAATGTGTAAAAAGAGAAAATGGATACATGGAGAGAAAGAGAGGAAAAAACAACTCTTTTAGCTAGAAAAAAAACATTAGATAAAAAGGATAGTTAAAAAAATCATGCAAAAACAAAAAGCGGCATTCTTAGGTTCAAAAATTTTGTTCAAGTGTCTTAAAAATTTAGCCAAAATTGTAAAATCTTTCTTTACATTATTCTATTTTTGGTTAAAAACAAATGTAGGTAAGACACTCTTATGAAATTGTTAGCACTCTGTGAACCTCTTCCGATTCCACTGTAAACTCGGATTCATCATCCATAGGATATTCCAGACGAATTTTCAACTTTATAATATATTAATCATTGTAACAAAAACAAAATTCACTTCAAATCGTGCTTTTCTTTATATATTTTAAGGTTATTATAAAAATTAAAAGATGTATATAATTGGATATGAGGATTTGAAATAATCGAATTCTCTAATGATTATTAACAAAAATCTCGAATGATTTTTAATATACGGGTATCTTTAAGAATTACATAATATATAATCCACATATATATACAGTATATACATATATATAAAAATATTATTTCCGTATATTTTGAATATCATTCTCCAGGTAAAAATATGTCATTAAAACTCTCTTGGTTGGAATTAGAATGCAAAAACATTCGTGCAGGTGCATTCATTTTAAAAACAAAAAAAACAAATAGAAAACTTGTACTAAAGGCCCATTATAGGGTAAGCCATTTAGTAAGGCGTACCACTGGAGTTGGTTCACGAAATGCAGATGTCCTATCCGGTTCGGTTGAAGGTGTTATGGAAACAAGTTTCGGTACGCTGAGTAGCGCCTTTACATATAGTTATTAAAGAATTTTGTTTATAATTTTGTCACCATCACCAAGATATGTTATTTTATTTAATGAATTATTATTCCTATTACGTAATTACCCTATTAATCTATTCATAAATACACAGTATATATACATATATATTTAGTATCAAAACCATTGAAAGTATGAAAAAATTGAAAAAGCTAAGTATAAGTAAGTAGTAGTAATAATAATAAGTAATTGTAATTTACTAATAGCTTATATTTTGTTTACTGGTAATAAACAAAATTGAAACAAAAAGATCCGAAAAAAAAGAAAAATTATGAAGGTTTATATTTTTGTTTTGTTTGTTTGTTTATATACCGTAAATGATATTGTATGCTTGACTCTTTTCTCCGTTGCAGCACTTGCATTTCTTATTGAAATCTTTTTGTTTACACACATATATACAAGTATACACAGTATATATATAGAAATATATAGAAATTTCTTTTGCTGTTACTATATAATATTATTATTTCTATAATAATATTTTTAATGAATAATTAATTACTGTATAAAAATTAATTTAATAATTCTTTATATATCAAGTAAATAGATAAATAGTTAATAAAATTTTTTATTAATTGCTTACCTCGTCTCTTTCTCTTTGTAATTTTTCGCATTGAAGTTGTAACATTTCCATGCTAGTTTCGTTTCTCTATTTAAAGTGAATTAAATGCAATAATAGACATTCTATTGACATTTCATTCTTTATTCTCTTTCTCACTTACCTGTATCACATCTTTTAATTCTTTTATTTTATCTTCTAAATTTCCAACTCCTTTACTTAGTTTTTCCTTTTCTTTTCTCATTTTTTCCCTTATTCTCACCTATGATAAATTATCATTCATTTCGTGATTATTAACTATAAATTCTATTTTTTATATACAGCATATAATTTGCCTATTCGAGCTAGAGCATCTGCTAATTGTTGCTGGTAAGCTCTCCGAATCGTTTGAACTCTGTCTTCGTGTTCTCTTTTCATGTGTGCTAGTCGATCGTTTATTCTTGTATATCTAGTTAAAAAAGTTAAATATTAGTAATTTGCTATAATTATCATGTAATAAATTATAAAATATGACAGCATTAGATATTTTAAATTAATAATTGAATATTTTTCCTTCTTGTTATCATTCTATGGATGAATAATAAAAATAAAAACAGTAAAAACAGTCCATTATTAAACAATCAACAATCGAATAGATCGAACAGTAGAATAGATAGTATAGACAATCATCATAAAGTAACAATAATATATTATTGTATACATCTTTAATTAAATTAATTAAAAGTTTGAATTCAGCTTGAGGATATAGCTTTCTTAAATTCTACTATTAAGAAAGAAGATGTTGAAAGGCAATTAAATTTTAATAAAGATAGTAAGTTAATAGTTACATTAGAAAATATCCTGTAGATGGCATATTTTATTTCGTTTCTCAACTTTCTCTCTCTCTCTCTATTTTCCCCTCTCATCTACTTACTTAGTCACTCACTCGTTCGCTTACTCACTCATTCATTTTCATTCTTCCTTTTGCATTATATTTTTTTACAACAGGTCATATGTAAAAGTATCATTTAAGAACCAGCAGTAAAATCAAATAATGCGAAAATGATTTATTAAGAGTACTATAGATTTATAGATAAGGCATATAAATAAAAACTATGAGAATTTATATATATATATACAGTATATATATAAGAATCTGTCTGTACATTTTAAACTTGAATAGATTATTATCATTTTTATTGATATATTAAAATTACACATTTCACGCTATAAAAGTAAAAAAAGAATTGATATTATGAACTTTTTATTGGTAGAAAAGCTTTTTCAGTTAAAAGTCTTTTTTTTTTAACTTTTTACTTGAATGATAATGTTCAAATATATTAACTTCGAAGCAAGTTATAGCAAAGCATTTATTCTATTCTATATAAACAGAACCAGTTATAATATATAGAAAAGATCTACACAATTCCAAGTATCTAAAAGTAAACGCTCTGCTACAGCCGTCCAAAGCATCGGAATTCGATCGCGTAGCTTTTGGCCTAACTATTAATCCTTCAGGCGACCTGAAAAACTGGAGATTGGCGGAAGATAAGGCGTTGAGTGCTCTTAAATACGACTCCTTAGTGAATAGAACAGCGGCTGCAATCGAACTATTGGACGCTATAACAGTTCAGGGATGTGATTCAGAAAGGTTTTTCTTCTTGTTTAAAACTCTATCCTTTTAATAGTTAATTATGACAGCAATGTTGATTATTACTAATATGTATTTCTTTATATCAAAGCAATCTTTGTTTTTTTTTTCAATTCTTCGTTCTCCCCTCCTTTCCTATCCTTTCCTCTTCCTTTCAGTGAAATGTTCAATAGGAATTGTAAAAATAAGGAATGATTGTAAATTTTATAAATATCGTTATTGTTTATTAGAAATTACAACTAAATATAATATCTTCTTTCTGCGTATGGGAAGAAAAATTAATTGGCTTCCTGAATCACATCCTAGGAGAACGAAAAACGTAGACAAATAATTGATAACCTCCAAAGAAAGTTGACAATTGTTGCTAGAAGTCGACGAATCAAGCATATGAAAAATAGGACTACAGGGTATACGAATAATTCAAAATTTAATTCAGTAATGGCAACCCTTTGGGCTAAAAGACGAGAGCGAAATATAGAAAATATTCTACTAAATACTCCTACTGTACCTAATTATGCTAATAATTTAGAAATATTCAGATCTTCTATCGACTATGGTAGACCTAAATCAGCGAATTTCCTTCTTACAAAAAAGCAGCAATATAAAAAATATTCTAGACCTAATAGTGGCTTTTGTTCAACTAAAAATAAGTACACGTCAATCAGCGAAACTAGGAGTAAACCAAAGGAAAAGCCAACTAATATAACGAATAATAAGAGTAGCGAAATGAGAATTATAAAGTAATAATAAGAATCATTTAGAGCCTAAAAAATTTTACTTTCAATGATAAAAGTATGCTATATTCATATGTTTAATACACGGTATAAATATATATAGACAGTATATATTTAAACACGTAAATTATTTAACTACTAAGTGGTGATAAGTTCTTAAAGAACTATTCTTTTTATTACTTTAAATCAAAGTAACAAACTTTCTATAGACTTCAATGACAAACGAACAGCTATAAAGGATACAATATCTATTTGTTCATTTTCAATTATCTCTCCCAAATCGAGTGTCAATGCAGAGCAAATATTAAATAGTAAATCATTGAAATTGAATAAATCTTCAAATTCTTTGAATCAATCAACTACATCGACGAAACATAATGGAAAGCACTTTAAAAATACTATATTAAATCTGGATAATTCTAAGACGACTATTAAGAAGAAAAAGTCATTAACAAAAACCAAGAAAAATACAGTTTCACCTGATCATATAGAACCAATTGAAAAAAAGATTGTAGACCATTCAAATTTCACTCAAACTTATAAAGATAAACTTGTTAACAACGATATTGATGATGATAATGATAATGGCCATGATAATGTTGAAAATAACTCTAAATTATTGTTTAATGATAAACAGTTTATCTATGACAATTTAAAAGTAAAAGGTGACACAGCTGTTGAATTTTTCGAGTTGAAAGAAGACAACAAGGATATTGCCAAAAATTATTTACTGAGCAAAATTCCCAATCAAAAGGAGTGTGATGAAAAGGAATATGAGAAAGAAGGGGAAAACAAAGAAGAATATGAAGAGGAATTTACTCAATCTACAAATGATCCATGGGTTTATCGGATTGAGGAATCGGATGAAACCTGCAGTTCAGATCTATCTGACCTAAATTCTGTCCAAGTTAATAGGGATATTGATAATTTGCAGAGTTTTTTAAAAGATGAAGGAGAAATGGTTAGAACTTCGAGTGAAAATATTCACGAAAGTTTAACTGATAGAAAAGAATTGCTTAAAAGAGAAAAAGTAATTACTGATGAGAAATCAGTTGGCTTTAATTTACAAACTGGAATAACTCAATATACAAAAGAATCGAGCGAAATATTGAATAATCTAGAGGCAAACGATAACATAAGCGAATTTTCAAGGAAATCGTCTAGAAATCGTTCTAGCCGAGCTTCATTTCCGAAAAGGAAAAGCTCTGATTCTGGATTTTTAGCTTATAAGGTAAATCGTCAGATAGAAATTTTTCCTTATCATTTATATTAAAAAGTACAAAATTTATAATACATTAGGAACTCATGGGTAAAGATTTCAAAGTAATTGAAAAGTTAAGGTGGCACGATCTTTCAACTTATTCCCTATCAATGCAGTCATCAAGATTTGAGTTACCCATAGATATACAAAATTTAGAGGGTTTAAAACCTTTGGAATATCTTCTGGAGTTTACAATTATTAGCGAAAGGAGAAGTGTCATTTACTCTAAAATCTTTTTCAAATATAGATCTGGTTTATTTGGTGGTATTACACCGAAGGTTTGTGAAACTCTTATTACTTTTATCATACATTTGTATAACCTATTCTCTTCTATTGTAAAACAAAAAGGATATTAATAAAGCAGTGTCGGATGTTTTTGTATCAGTTATAAATGTAGAAGAGCTAATGGGATTAAAGGAGATAACTTTAGCTGGTGAAAGCTATATGAATCAAAGAACTTTTGGGGTATTTTGCGCTTTTGCGGAGAGATTACTTTTCATAAAAAGAGCGTAAGTAAAAAGGAAATTATAATGATTCTGCTTTCCTATCAATTCACTTCTAATTTTCTTTTTTATGTTTACTTTAAATTCGTTCCTATCCTAGCTTATCTGGTATAAAATACTTTGGTTATCCTCAAAGGCCTCACTTAGAGCAAGCTGATTTTTACAACTTTAAGAAAACTGTTGAAATAATTAAAATTGATGAAAATCTTCAATATCTTTTTGACATTCTCAATAATCCAAACAACGTTCCAGTAGAATTGCTATCCACTACCGAAAAATTGATAAACTATACTGGCGAAGGGAAGTTAACGGGTTTGACCTCTTTAACAAATAATAGCAGACCGATTCCACTCATATGGAAAAGGAACCAATGATTAACATAGAATAGTAGATAGTCAACGTTTTTTTAATATTTTTCATAAGGTTTATAAATTTGAATTGAGAGATTTAAATTGGAAGATTTTAATAAAGTTTGCTTTTTTCCTTTATCTCTATCTATATTGTGTTCAACTATCTGTATCTTTTAAATGTAAGAAAGTCTATTCTACAGTTTAAATTCAATTATAAAATTAAAGAAAAAAGTATAAATACTTACAAATCTATAGATTTTGCTGTTAATTTATCACCGAATTCTGCTCTTAAAGCTTGTTTTGCAAAGTATACGTCCTTTTTCATTTCCCCAACGTCCTTCAATTCGAAAAAGAATGTTTAAGAATTGTTCTTTTGCAATTAAAGTTATTTTCTTTGTTATTCTACTTTTCCCTTACCTCTACGAGACCTTCTACTGTATCCATAGTATCGTATAGATCTAAAATTTCCGAAACATCCGTTTGACAAACTTTATCTTGGCGAAAAAAACCAATTTTTTGATCATCTGCCAATGTAGGCCTAAGCATTTACGATAAAATTTTACTTTTAATAAGAAAATTTTCAGGTAATTGTAAATTTAATCTACCGTATTGCATAACTAGCTTGTTTATTGTTATCCTCGAGAAATTTTCTCTTAAAATTATCATCCTCTTCGTCCGTTTCGCTAAAAAATCCGTCAGATTGAGGGGTATCCTCTTGAACGGCCGCCATCTTTGTTTATTAGCAACAGAGATATATACCATTAGGCCTACTACTGTCCCATTGGTGATTTTGTAGAATAAAGTTATTTAGTAGAAAATTTCGAAAGAAAAAAAAAATCGGATCAAATGGAGCTATGTAATTAATTAGTAAGAGAAAAAAGAGAGATTGCCTTAACAATGGAGCGAATACTTGTTGATTGATAAAAAGATCTAGGAATCTTCATCTCTAATTGATGATAAATAGAAATTTTTTGTCTATCTATTTCGCAAAGTAATGACATATATTAATTAATATATATAAAAAAGATATATATGGTTTGAAGAACACAGAGAAATTGCAATCTTTTAAGTAGAATGACCCGTCCTCTCCGTAGTACTTTCCGTTTTTAGACACTAAAACAAGGATTATAATTTATAAAATTTAATTTTAGTATATTAGATAAAGGATAATTAGATTTTCTAATATTAGAAAAATGATAAGGAAAAGGTCTGGATATTTGACATTCAACTATATTATCAGTTTAATGAGTTAACAACTTTAACTTACAAAAGTCTTATTAATAAGACACTTGGGCTTGTATATTACATTTCCAGTCATAATAATGTTAGATAGTTATTAAAGTACTTTATTAGTCAGGAGAGGACTTTAGTAAACAATTGTGGCAGAAGAAGCGATAACGTTGAACGATTTGAACATTTTTTGAAAATTTTGTTTATGCTTGTAAATTCGTCATTTAAAATTTCATTTAACTCTTTTTTTTTGTGTGTTGATATATTTTAGTAAATAAAATACAATCATATTTATCATAGATACATAATTGTATATATTTTTGCGAAGAATACACGAAATAAAACCAATATATATGTGGCAATTTATAAAAAAAAAACATATAGTTCTGCTCCTTTCGGCTAAACTTTTTTTTTAAATTTATTCGTATGAAAGTATCATATCAACACAAAAACTTCCATGTAGATACACAAAACGGATAAAAATTACACACGCATAAAATCAAAGTCACTACGTCGCATATACATGAAGTGAACTTAAACAGACAACCAATTAGGCCTATAAAGTATAACTTAAGAAGTACATATGGTGTTCAATCCGTATCTGCAGTTACTTCAATGCGTCTGTAAATAACAAAATAATAATTATGGTTCATAACCAGCATTGTTCAAAATTATATTGCGTATTAAATTAGCGTTTATGAGTTTAGAAAGCAGACGTACAGATACAAGACGTTGATCATGCAACAGAATCAACTTGTTTTCGTTACTTCTTCCCACTAGACTTTACAGCTATAAGGCAATTAAAAATGCAGGTGTACCACAACCATTTAAACATTGTCACTACTTACCATCTAGGGCCTCCAGCGCATAAAACTGTACGTCGTAATCTTGGTCATTTTTCATTCGTTCTAGACACGGTTTTATTTGCGTGTTTACAACATTGGCTTCTAAATTTGCCACCATCTTTTGCAGTGCTTTAGCCACATTGAAGCGGACATTGGCCACAGGATCATTAGCTAATTGAATTACAGCTGGAACCAGTTGGCGAACGCAAATATCGTGACCAACTGGCTTAGTCAGTAACTAAAAATATACAGATAGATTTTCTTTATAACGTCAAAAAACTATAAAACTTAATGCTGAAACTTACAGTTATACAGTTAAGACAGGTTATTCGATGTAAGTAATTCTGATTTCTTGCTAAGTTCAATACTTTAGGTAGAACATGAGTTAAACCCCATTCAGGACCGAACTTTTCAACTAAACGTTTAACATTGGTAGTTGCTGCTTCTCTTATAGCAAACACTAAAAAGAAAAATCCAATCAAAAAGACAAATAACTCGAGTAAACTCAACTCACCGTGATCAATCAACCATGTTAAACACAACGAATTTAATTTTTCATCAAAAAATTCAACACCCTATTAATATGAAATTAACTATTAATCTTTCTGTTAAGAAACTGATTAAACTTACCAATTGTCCTGCTAAAAGAGGCATATATTCGATAATTGCTAGACGAACTCGCCATTTTTGATCTTCGGCTAACTCAACTATCGCTGGCAGTAAACTCTGAGATAACTGTTTGATACCAATAACCTAAAACAAAAACATCTATTAGATAAATTCAGATTACAGCAGAAAAATTATTTGCAGAGATTTATTTGCTTAAACACGAAATGATAAATGTAAAATCATCTTTCAGTGATAAATTAATATTTCATATATTTACTTTAGAATGATTTGTTTAATTAAGCTAAAAGTTAAATGTGACATCTTCGATAAATTACCTAACTAATATAATTACATATATACTTTTACGCTAACCTCATTTACTGCGTCCAAATTCGAGATAATATTCAATCTAACTTCAGCACATTCATCTTTTAGCTGTTGAAGAAATAGGGGCAACAACTGCTCGATCGTGCTGTAAATCAAAACTTTTATATAGAATTACCACGAGCTACTTGTATTTCTTACTTGTCTTTGCCCAAAATAGGACTAAGGCCCATGATCACGCTTGCTAAGGCTGATTTTACATGTTGATTAGCATCGTTAACAAGCTCCTTAACACAAGGCATGATTGAGGTCATAATTATTTGTTCTCTAGAATCCACTGGTAGCGCTTGAGCGAATTCTATGTACGTAAAAAGAAAACATGCATTAGAAAATATACGCGGCTATAATAGTTTACCTTTGAGTTTGTGGCATGCTGCAGATCTTACTTCACCCTCGGAATCTTTCAACAGAGCCTGATACGCTGGTACTAAATCTTGTTTTGTAAGATTTGGGCCAATTGCTTTTTGTAGCTATTTGTATATAAAAAACAACAATAAGCAACAATAATGTAATGGTGATATAATAGACTGACTTCTGTGAATTTGTCGGCCAACATATACCGAACACGCCAGGATTTATCGCTGGATGCTTCTCTCAGAGTTCCCATAATCAAGTGTTCGATATCACTATGACTTAAAAGCTGAGCGATAGATGAGCATGATTGCACAGCCAGTAATCGAACAGAATCTTGTTCATCCTGAGCTAAGGTCGTAAACAATGGAATGAGGTCGTGCTTGACGTGCTCTGGTTCCAAAACAGCCGCAAATTCCCCTAATTTTGCAGCTGCAGCTCTTCTTACCATAGGAGTATCATCACCACACAAACTCTTAAAGCTCCTATTAAGATTACGTAAAAGAGTGTAACGATATCGTAATCTAAACGATAATAACTTACTGTCTAAGTTCAGCCTTGATATTGGGCGAGACTCGCGGGTAAGCTACACTGAATAAACCGCATGCACTAGTCCTAGATGTAAACCAGTCGCCGGAAGCTAAACGTTTCAATAATGGAACAAAATGATTATCCAAATCAGTTGGTGAATGATCCGGTGCGATGTTCCTTAGTGATTCAACTGCTTTCTCTCTTACGACAGTTTCTTCAACTGTAGCCAAACTTTCTAGTGGGGGCTAATATTTCAATAAGTTAGATTAGTATTTACATTTCTTGAGGATTAAAAATATTTATTTACTTACCAACAAAGTATAAGCGAATTGAGGCCCTCCAACTAAGGGAATAAAGGATCCTAACTGTTCAGCTAAAGCCAATAGAACTTCATCCTCATCATATATAGTGTCTATAATTTGATCAATAATAATTTAGCAACCTAGAGATAATTTGGCACAAAATATACATTACCTGTTAAAAATGGTAACAGTTCCTTCCTAGTGCGCTCAACACCTAGAGCTAGAGCAATAGTCGATAGCTTCTTTATGCTATTCAATCTCAGCTGCAAGATCAGATAAAATTAGTCCAGACATTGTTTACTTCATCCGGTTCACTTGGATCTAGTGAACTAATTTTACAAAATACAAGACTATTCCACGGACAAGCACTTTTAGTCGCTGTTTTTTGGATACATTGTTAATGAAAGAATAATCACCTGGACGTCATCATTTCTTAATTCGTCGATTAACACGGCAATTGGGTAAAGAGCTTCGTCACCACCACTATCGCTTGACGCCATTTTGAATTTTTCTCTGATCTCGATTTTTCGTAAAAGAACGAGACTTTCGAAGCTTAGTGCTGATTGGCTGTTGAGTATAATCTTGTGAATGTAATGTGAAAGATAGCGATAATAAAGGTTTTCTGGATAACTCAATTGAATTTGAAACTTGAAATATATAAATATATTTGTCAAAGTCTTTAATACATAAGTTTAATTAAAAATGATTATGTTCTGTCCAACTTGCGGTAATATGTTGATGGTAGAGGAAGGAACCATGTGTTATAGATTTGCCTGCTCCTCGTGTCCATACATTCATAACATCACTCGTAAAGTAAGTTTTTTTTTTCGTTAGAAACAAAATTTCCCTACTCAATTACTCTATTTTGTAGATTGTAAATAGGCAATACCCGAAACTAAAAGAAGTTGACGACGTCTTGGGAGGAGCTGCCGCCTGGGAGAATGTGGATCACACTCAAGGTTTAATCAGAATGTATTGCAACATTATGTAATAGCTATTTTTTCTGAATTTTAGAAACCTGCCCTAAGTGCTCTCATCCCGAGGCATTCTTTATGCAGATGCAAACTCGCTCGGCGGACGAACCTATGACGACATTCTACAAATGTTGCAACATGTCTTGTGGCCACCAATGGAAGGAATAATACACTAAAGCATATTGTTTTGCTTATTCAGCAAAAAAATTTTTAAGTACATTGATGGATGTTTCCCAGTCTCTAATCTCTGCAATTTCCGAAATGGCACAAACATTATACTCAACCGTCGATTAAGAGAGATGAGAAGACAAAAACAGATTGGTGCTATTGAGCGATGAACGTCATCTCATAATCATTTTAATGATTTTGTTAAAAAAAACAACAAAAAGAATATTTCATTTGTTTGTAATAAACAAACAGCAGACTACCTTTTTTTAATAAAAAGCAAACAAACAAATATTCTTTTGAATGTGTTAATAAAATTTTTTAAAAGTGCTTCGTTCAAATAAACAATAATGAAAAATATTAACGTTACGCTCTTACTTTGATTATGAAAACACTCTTAGTCTTATTAATAATCTTTACAAATTGCCTTTTTTTGAGATGTTGGTCTTTTTTTGTCTGGTCCAAATGGAATGAGACTGATAGTGAATGTCGTAGAGATTGTTCCAATCCTTTCGGATATAAGGTTTATGTATTTAAAAAGCTCCAAAGACTATTTAAATATACATAAAATCTTCTTTTTTATATTTATAAATATAGAAAGCAATTAGATATTGTACACAATGTGAATATACTGAAGGCGGTAAGCCCCTTTGTAGGATTGTTAGTAGTGAAAAATGCGAAGGTGGAAAAGCTTCATCAAGATCGAATAGTGTTCTATGTTATGATGCTTTAACTGTAAACTATTTATATTATAGTTTAATGTAAATAAAACTATTTTCATTAGTGTAGGGGTTGCGGATCTTATACCGGTCAATGGTCAAAATGGAAAATTGTTGGACGTAATTGCCCTAAAAGTACAAGCTATTGCGGTATGAAGTCGGTCAGATATCGACGAAGCTGCCATAATACAGAACAAACTGAAATTGTTGCTCAAATATGCAAAACGACATATCTATATACTTACAAGTAAAAGAAAACGTAGCATCTCTCTTAAAAGGTTTTTTTATTCAAGTTCCATTAGTAAAACGATATTTTACTGTAAATAGATGCTCTTCGGAACTGAGTGACTATGATTATGAGAAGATAGACCGTTGTCCTTGTAGTTACTTGAGAGACGATAAGACTGATATACCTAGAGGGATATTTTCGCCTTGGACAACTTGGCAGTGTTCGAAGGATTGTAAATCGAATAGCGTAGATTACTTAGTCGAAAAAGTTTTAAAACTATTTTCATTAATACTCTTTGTATGTAGAAAACCCTCGCAACTAGAAAGCGCTTTTGCCGACGTATTAGCGAAGACTTTGGCTGGTGCAGAAATTTTAAAGGGGAACAATTTGAGAGTGAAGAAATTGAAAAAAGACCTTGTCTCTCTTCACTGAATAATGAACCTGTCTGTGTAAAGTCTTGGAGTCAGTGGGGCTCCTGGTCGGAATGTGATAATTCTAAATGTCGAATTGTATACGCTCAAAGGGAGAGAAATTGCACCGGTTACGGTCGTAAATGTTCTCATCAAGGTGGAACTAACAAGGAAGTGAAGGCCTGCTTTGATGGTAAATAGACAACCTTTTTATAATTGGCTCTCGTCTACAAAGTTTTTGTGCTATGATACAGACAAAGGAGAATACATTGGCCAAACGTGTAAAAATATTGATGGAGAGTGGGGTCCTTGGTCTAGGTATTAGGTTTATAATTTGCGATTCTAGTTAACCTTTGTAAGTTTTGATAAAGATAGTTTTTCACACTGTGACAAGACGTGTGGAACTGGGATTATGGTCTCAAAAAGATATTGTAATAACCCAAAACCTCAAGGTTTTGGAGATTATTGTTATGGTACAAATATAAATATTAAAGCATGTGAGACTAACATTTTCTGCCCAGTCCATGGCAACTGGGGTCCGTGGACAAAATGGTTTTGCTCAAAAACATGTGGAACACATGGATATGGTGCATTTATATGAATATAACATTATAATCTTTAGTAAAAATTCATTTTACCTAAAATTAGGGGAAAGATTTCGTAGTTGTGATAATCCTAAACCATCTTTTATGGGTCAAAAGTGCCTTGGTAAAGATATGGAAAAGCGAAATTTTTGTATTCAAATACCGTGCCCACCTGAAAGACCTAATTATTTGTCTGCAAGACTACGCGAGTCAATCAGTAGATATTTAAATGTGTCAAGGAAAGCTTACAATAAAAAGAAAGGCGAAGATTTGAAATTGAGTCCGTTAGTTGTAAATTGAATTTCTTAAAGCTATATAAATATAAATAAATATTAGTAATGGGAAAAACGAAATGCTTTCAGGCCAAATTCGTTAACTTATGCGATCGAACGTGAGTTTCCAAAGACAATTTACGAATGGCAATTTGGCAACGAAATATTTGAATATAATCGTGAAATTCCTAAAAAGAACTGGCTTTATGTAAATTCAACTTATGAGTCCAAGACACTTACGGTCACCAACCTTAGCGGAAGTGATTTAGGAGTTTATGTTGTTTGGGCTCGCTTCGAGCCTATGAGAAGGACAGTATTGGACATTATGTCCTTGTCCATTGATGGTTGGGACAACGATATTAACTCTGAAGAAGGCAAACCTCTTAGCTTGGACTGTAGAAGTGGTTATCTTACGCATATTTTTCCAAATGCCTACCTTGTTTGGATGCTAAATGAAACAGTAATTATAAAAACAAATACATTTCATGGAGTAAAAGGTTATTTTACAGTTATTTACCAATTTATCGGGCAAGGCTTCTCTGCCAGAGTCATTTCTTTTAGAAAAAACAAACATCAATGTTCACAGTGGCCTTTGGCAATGTGTCGTTTTCGACTCTACTGCAATCCGGACCAGCCGAACTTGGATAACAAATAGTTTCAAGGTACTTCCTTTCTAAATGTTGTCTAGTATTATGTAAATATTAAGATACTTAAAAAACTATCCATCAACCAGCTTACTGTTAGAGAAGAATATGATTTACTAAAGTTATTAAGAATGCCAGCTTTTTGGGCTGTTATTGTGGGTGGTATTATCACTGTGACATTTATGGCATTTTGCTTTGGCTTGCATAAACAAAGGGTGCTCCAAAAGAAAATAGAGAGAGATCAAAGGTACCTTCTAGAATACTTTAGACAACGAGAAAAGCAACCACTGTTGCAAGACGATTACATGGAAGAAGCTATTATTTATTTAGCTGAGGGAGGCATTTTACACAGTGGAACATATCAAATAGTGCCACCTCATAAGTGGATATTAAAAGAAGTACCAAAAGATAAACCAAACAGAACAATTACTTCCAAGACGAATAACTTAAAAATATGATCTACATTGTGACAATTTTTTTTCGTATGTATAAATCATGCAATTGTGCAGTACCTAATAATTTTTAAAGCTCCTTAAATTGATAAATATAATAAATGTTAATAAGGTAGCAATTTCATCCATTCAAAATTAAACTCCTCCCCTTTTTCAACTTCTACATTTCTATTTATATCTGCTTTCTCAAGTAAGCACTTTGGTAACATAACGCAACGAAATTCGTGAATTATTCTCTCAAAACGCAAGGGAGGTAAAATAACTTTGTGATCTGCATGCATTGCTTTAGTAACGTAAACTTGATCATGTTTGCGAATAAGATATAAATTTGAAATTCCAGATGTACATTTTAAAGTTTCCTCGATTTTTTCTACCGTGAACGTCCATGTTAGGTCCAGAAGGTTGCAGTTGTAGACATTAAACGTTGTAAAATTCTCAGACTATCATGTAAAAATTTCAAAATTGCCAAATAGGTCATATGTTAAAGGCTTGTCCTTTTGCTAACCAAAAGGAATTATTTATGGCACTTCAATTGCTTACTGAATAGACACTATAGCGTGATTTAAAAACAATTTAGTAATATTAGCAATTTTGAAATTTTTACCGAGTTTATCACTAAAGTTATTCTAAAGTAAGTTTGAGAAAGATTCATATAAACTTTTAAAGTGGTTTTGGCAAGTGATAGAAGACAAATTGTGCCTTGTCCATTTGGCTTATGATTACTACAAGCGCATTTTGGATAAGGAATTTTTATAAAATTGAATGGATATACATTTTTCCTCAAAATCATATAGCCCTTCTCTTCTTGGTACCAATTTTCTGACAGTACTATATGGCTTGAGGGTCCACCAACAAAAATTAATTTTCCCTCGATTATTGGTAGATTTTCAATAGTATATACAGGCCAAGGTTTCCATATAAATTTTGATTTGACCTCCTTTAATTTTACAAGTCTCATTTCTTGACCATTTCTTTGCAAGCAGATATACTTTCCTTCGCATATACCATAAGTTACATTTTTCCAATTATTATGTTTTGGGGGGCTTACTGTCTCTTTTGGTTTTTCTTGGTCACGAATGTTTACTGCAAATAATTGAGACCCCGTCTTTTTCCGCACAAGCATTTTGCCTGATTTGAGGGCACCAATGGGAAACAAGTCGTCTTGAGAGCATTTTAGAGGAAAACTAAACCAATTATTTAAAGTCGGAGAGTAAAACATTATTGAAATTGAATTAAGATTGATGAATACAAGCATTTCTTCCATTGTTTCATTGGAAGAAGTATGTAAGATTTCCAGATGCAACCTCCTGTTTAGTAATTCGGAAGCGTGGGGTAAGTTAGACGTATCTATACCGTATGAATCAGCTAAAATATGTAATAATATATCGTAATCTTCTTGACTCCCTACGCCCTTCAACCATTTCATAACTGCTTCTACAGTGAAATTACTGCAGCTTTGAAATACTTCTTGTTGAATCAACCATAAAATGCCCTCAAACGGGAGACATACAATCTGCTTTAAGAGATTCTCACTGTAAGATAAATTGGATCATTAGACAGGAAAATTATAAGAATCATTTAATGAAATTTTATCTAGATTAGTTTCGAATTAAATGTTATAGAAGTAATACTGTTAAATTTTTATAAAAATCATTTAAATTTTAGAAGAATTAAATTGACCTGAAGAGAAGGGTTTCTAAAGCCGTAGAAGTAGCTATTTTCAATTCCTCTAATTCAAATACATCAGCCAAGAAAGCCATACTTAGACTATTTTTAACGGTTAGAAAGTCCAGCAATAAATATTCACATTCTTTAACAATCTCTTCAACTACAAGCATTCTAGCTATTGTAACTAGGGGGATAACATTTTCCAAATCAACTTCTATTGTTCCGCTATAAAAGAAGTATAATATTTTACGAAAAACTTCGAAGTTCTTCAGAGAGCTAGATAAGTCGATAGTTTTTAGATTTGTCTCATTAAAATTGGTAGTAAACATAGCATTAAAGTAGGGGGACGCAGCCGCCAATATTATTTTATGAGCTGAAACTTTTTGATAGTCCAGAGAAAATGTAATATCACAGAGAATAGATTGTTCAAAAAATTCACAGAGCTTTTCATTTAGAGGACTTAAACTCTCCTTCTTATCTATAGTTCTTGTCGGTTGCCTATCAGTACTTTCCGGTTCAATACTCTGCACAAATTGCAATTTAACTTTTAATAAATATTTGGAAAGCTATTTTAAATTATTTTGGTAGAAATCAAATGTTTAAGCTTAAGCGAAAAGTCACATATTAACTGCAAAGTAAAAAATAAATTTAGCCGATATTGAAAACATTTATTAGCTTAATCTGTATGAAGTAACTTTCTGTGTTTTGATTATTAGAAATAGCTAACATGTGCTCTTAAGTTATTAAAATTGGAAGTGATACTAGCACATGTTGTGAATGTTATTTACCACATTTTCGATTCGTTCTGCCTTACTTTGATGAAAGCCAGCGTTGCTAATCGATTTTCTTTTTCTTCCCTTAAAATTTTATCGAAATTTTCGGTCGTCATCCTCGATTTTGCTTTAAAACCAAATTTCCATAAGAACACTATATCTTTGGAACCTAAAAGTTCTTAGGAAATCTTCAACCAATGAGGAATACACGTTTGCGCACGCATTAAAACTGGTAATAGTAATGCTGTATTTCACCAATAGATGTGTCTTATAATATCGCAAAATTTTCATTTATTGCGGAAAATCTGGAAATTCTATATGATTTATTTAGTAAATTGAAATTATTAACAAAACAAATGGAACAACCTAATTATTCAACTGACATTGAGAAACATGAGCAATGGATATCACAGTTAATTTCAGATTTAAATTGGGATAGAAAGACTCTACTGGAAAAAGTATTTAAAAATATAAATGAAAAATGCTTTTGTACTGATTTTTTGTATCATTTTCTCTCAAGGACAAATTCACTTGTTGTTCAAACGAAAAAGGGCATAGAATGCCAGATAAAAGCCTTAAGAAACACGAAAATTATTGCCTCATTCGGGAAAAAGGTTATACAGACAGTGAAATTGTTAGTGTATCAAATAAACTATCTTGTATTAGTGAAATTCTACTAAATTTCTTTTAAAGGACGAATTAGCATCGGCTGAATCCAAATTTGATGATTTTCAACCGCAAAGAATCCCAATAGGTTTGAGTAATAAAATTGGTAAAATACTTTACTGTTCAATTTCCTTAATTTTAGATTATACTGAAGTTATTAGGATCATAAAAGAGCATCAACCTGGTGAGTTCAATTTATATATGATAAATTAATCATATATTAATTAATCTATGAAATTAAAAAATTATCATTTTTAGATGAAATTTGTTAACTATTGATTATTTTTGCAGTGAGAGCTGTAAATTCGTCGAAATTCGTGCTTTTGTATCCTTTGTATATACCGTTTATAATTAATTCCATTTTCTATTGACTTTTTATGATATATACTTTAAAGAAAGAAATTTGATACAATGAAAACCGATCAATCTTATATTATTTTATTATACATCATTACAGGTTTGGATATTACGTTGGGGAATATAAAACAATTCTTAAGAGTAAGTTTTTATTTTGAAGTGGATAAAAATTTGTAACTAAATTTATTAACAGCCACCTGGAAATGAAATTGACACTGCTTTGTCTCAATCCACTCAACTCGCACTTTACGATTATTTTATGTCTTTGACAGAAAAGAACGAAACGCCTGTTCTCGAATTCAATCAAAATGATGGAAGTAAAAGTAAGATACAACTTAAATAAAACTTTCATCTAATCGCTTTGTTTTTTTTATTAGAGAAGAAAGAAAAATCAGAATTAGAAATTCTAGCTGAACTGCGAGATGCAAAGAGAAGAAGGCAGTCGTATAAAGGAAAAAGCACACATACGGGATCTAAAAATTACAGTGAAGTACGTAAATGCACTTTCCTTAAATATAACAGATATATCTGACACAATTCAAAAATAGATCATTAGAGAAGTAATCGCAAATCAGATGGAATTAGTACAGCATGAATGGGAAGCGTCATTACCTGAAAAAGAGCATAAAACATCTAGTCGCTATTCATTCGAGAAAAAGAGAAAACATAGCAAGACTAGCGATTTCAGAAGAGATTATTATTCGAAGAGAAGAAGATAGCTTTTATGATAATTGTTTATCTACATGAGCAATTAAAACTATTTTTACTTATCTTTAACTACATTTTTAACTCGCGTTTTTTTTTCTTTTTTTAATAAAAAAGCAAATAAGACTTTTTGGGTTGGACGTATTTTTTTACAGTAATTTATAACAAACATTTGCCAAAAATACAAGGTAACAGCCGGCAAAGGTCATTTTATTTTACGCTTTATGCAGGCACTCTATAACCTTTTTTTCTCTTCTAATATACTTTTCACTTACTAAATACATTGGGCGCATTACTTCATGCTTGTCAAAAATATTCGTTCCGTCGAGTGCCGATCAAGCTAAGAGTTGTATCAATAGCAAATTCACGCGGGAAGTTCATTTCGTATAAATTTCTCATCAATTAAAATGGCAACGTTTAATTGATTCAAAACTAATAATAGGGTAAGCTATTCGATAGTTTTTTGAATGAAATACAAAATATTTCCCAAGAGTGAAATTTTATAATAAAAAAAAGAGAGAAAAATAGTCTTTTTAAGTTATCAGCGAAAACTTTACGTCTAGATCATCTTTTTGATGTAGTTTCTCTAAATTTTTCTCCTAGAGTCACGTACCAATCATAAATTAGATACAAAGGAAGAAAACAATCTATAAGTCACGCTTGCCCATTAAATGAGATTTTTCACCGTGAAAAAAAAAAGCCTGATTTAAACTCGCTTAGCGGGAATACTTTGTACTCTTTGATTTAGCTGCGACATCGATAACGATTGAGCTCTCACCCTCACGACAAGACCTACTATTGGATGCAAAACAGGCAATATGAATTATAATATAAACTAATATTGCTGCTTTATACTACGTAATTACAAATTTCTTTTAAGTTTATCTCTTATTATTGTTGTCACAGTTGTCTGTTTCTACAGCCACGGTACTTATATTAATATAACAATATATACTATTATTTGATTGTAAAACTGTCGTGATAACTACATTTTTCTCTTTCATGAGAAAAGTTCTTTTATAAAAAGGGAATATCTCATCCTCGTGCAACAGTATTACAATTTGCGAAATCAACCACACATTACGCTTGAAGCTTTTAACGATTGACGAATAATTCTAGCACTAAATTTTCAATATATTTCTAATGTATATATATAGATCACTTTAAAACATTTAAGTATGTGTTTGTACTTGTTTAATTTATGTTAATACTCTTTCCAAAAATTTTCTTTCATCTACTTTACTTTTTACTATAGTTAACGTTAGTTAATAATCTCACTTCGTTGTTGATTAGATATTCTGGTTTTAAATATCTCAAAGTGAAACTATCACCAACTGATCAGATACTATACTCCTTTGATGAAGACCATTAATTTAGAGACAAGTTTTAAAAGAGTATATAGATAATTAGGAACATTTCGGAAACACTCTAAAAGCTATGAAATATATATATATTTTTGATGAGACAGCATAAATGATAATTAAGTAAGTATTTAATATAAAATGATTATAGAGTATATTTATTATAAATGAACTGAGTTATAGAAAAAAGGTAAAGGGAGGGGGAGTTTGGCTTGGCAAAGCGTCCTTGACCTTACGTATAGTCGGGTAAATAATTTTCCGAACTGTTATTTCATCGATTAAAAAAAACATACCGAAATTATCGAAAGAAGTGTTTGGTATAAAAATTATCATATTTTTAAAACATAAGGAAAAAAATTGAGGGTAAATTTTTTCTTGATAATTCGGTATTTATAAGAAACCCCACATACAACATTACGACTCTGCAGCTAGGCGGAAACGATGCAGCAGCAACCGCAGCCACAACAGCAGCACTACGAAACAAGCAGCGTCGTCTAATGTTCGATGTCCGTCCACTGCAATCCAATCTGTTTTTCGAACTTCTCTGTTAATGAAATTTGGCGAATAACTGATAAGGATTGTAGGAAAATATTTAAGGTAGATAACCCAGCGAAAACCCTCCTCTAGGAAAAATGTATCTCTGGTGGGAAGAGGGAGCCGTTCGTCGAAGCGATTGTGTCGTTCATAGTGTATCATGGATGGGTCGTGTGCCAGACAGCGTTCAATCGGATGGCGAAGGATGGGAAATAGACGAGAATCAGTATTATACACAGGGCTGGTTAGCTACCGGTAATGCTAACGGCATGATTGGTGTAACATTTACTGAAACCGGCAACTCTTCCAATGCTTTTGATACACCAAATAGAACAAATTTCAATCTCCGTGGACATAGACATGAGGTTTGTTTTAATTTTTTCATTTCAAGTTCTCAGTATCATATTTTCAATGGTATGCGACGCCTATTATGAATATTTGAAGTCAATTTATATCAACTTGGTATAATTGAGTATGCTTGTCTTCTTCTAGTTTTTTTTTACCTAATCTTGTTTCCTTTCGCTTCGCGCTCTCATCGATTATCCCGATACTTGGAACAGCACGAAAAAAGTGATGAGTTTAAGAGAAGTCGAGTACGAGAGCTTGATATGTATCGATTAGGCAAATTGCTAGCAGGGTCTTGGTAGAAAAAAATCGATTTTGTCAGTGCATTCGTTTCTATCTAGTCAGAGTGGGAGATAAGCGGCTTTTGGTTATGTCCATTTCACCGTTTTCCCTCCCGCATTCCAATTGTAATACCCAATTGGAAACGACCAGCATCTTCTCTCTGCATTTCATAATTACTGGTTTTGTTGTCAATACAGCTAATTTTGAAACGATGACTTCTTTTGCTTAATTCCCTAGTCACGTCTCTACTTATAGTTTGTCAGCCGCTACTCCTTTCCCTGTGCGCTATCACTTCTGTGGTTGTTTAGAAATACACAGGCATATATCGTTTGTCAATCCTTCTCCAATCGATTGGTAAATGCTAAATGAATGTTTTACTGAAATGACGCCGTTGGCAACTTTAGTTGGGTACTTAAAAATAGAATTCGATTATTAGAAGTTCCTTTGTTCTGTTAGGTGGCTAAAAAAATCAGAAAAAAACGTGCTTGTAGGTTTGTTTTCCTTTCGGCTCGCTTTACAGACGGACGTTGACTGTTCTGCAAACGACCGATCTTATCGAATGAACGATGCGAAATATCGAGCGTTTGGTCGTCACTAGAATAAAAAAAGCTTATCGATCGGCTTTATCCCGTGTAAATATTAATATTTTTCCTTCCTCCTTTAGGTAACCCTCGTCCGATGGAATGAACCATTTCAGAAGCTTGCCACTTGTGATGTCACTGGCGTCATCTTTGTTTGGATACGGCATGAGGGACGTTGGTCGATTGAATTAATTAATGATCGGAGTTGTGCAGTAACTGATTTAACCTGGTCGCACGACGGCCGTATGGCTTTAATTACTTATAGGTTTGACAGAGAGCTTTATTGTGCGAACTATATTTAATTAAGATTTGCTTTTCATTTAGAGACGGCTTTGTGCTTGTTGGTAGCGTTACTGGTCAACGCTACTGGTCTAATACTCTCCCGCTGGATGGGGCGGTTATTACTTGCAGCTGTTGGAGTCCAGACGATCAAAGAGTGTTGCTGGCGACTTCGAATGGGGTTGTTTTGGCTCTTACGGCCAGCGGAATTGCTTTGGGACAGATATCCACCTTGGGAGATGGAACAGAAATCACACATTTATCATGGTCTTGTGAAAAATTTGTCTTGAAAGATTCTTCCAGCTCATCTGCTAGCAGTTCAGGGACTGATGTCATAAATCCACCTTCATCAAGAACTCACGTATTAGCCATTGTTTTTAAAAATGGTGCAATTCATTTAACCAAAGATCAAACTGACGCTACTTGGGCAAAAATTGTACGGACACTGTTTAGTGGAGTACAAGTTGATTGGTCACATGATGGAGAAATTCTTGCGGTAGCTGGATATACTCGTTTGGTTAATTTAGAATGCCAAAGTCAGGTTAGACTCTATTCAAAAGAAGGTGTTTTACAAGTTTTTGTTCCTCTTCCAAATCAACCTGGCAAACCAGTTACCTGCGTATCTTGGGCACATTGTGATAGGCGGTTGCTAGTTGCAGCTGGATGTCATGTTCATACTGCTTGGGTTTTACCAGAACCACCTAAACTGCAGACATTCTGCTGTCGTTCTCTGCAAAAAAGCGTTCAACAAGAGAAAGATATTGCTAAATTACCGATTCCGGAATCACTACAAAAGAATGTTAGGGTATTTTTTTCTCCAACAATTCGAGGGTATATACCTGATGCTTGTCGAATACGTCAATTTGTTTGTACACCCCCACCGGCTGACGAACGTCTTTATTGTACAATGTTACGAGTTAATTCCACCGCTGAAGATGATGAACATTATATGCTATATGTTGAATATATGGGTGGCTTAGTGCCGTTACTTAAGGGTAAACGTGTTTCTAAACTACGACCTGAATTTACTATTTACGATCCAAAGTCTCAAACTAGTTCAGACGAATGCGAAGACGTATACAGCTCGCCAGCAAGGCGAAAACGATCAAAGAAAAGGAATATGGTACTTGTAAACAGCGAGGTTTTATATGACGATAACCTACCAGAGCGTAATCGAATGGTACATATCACTTCAAATCTGTGGGGAACAAGATTTAAAATTCATGGTCTCGCACATTTTCTACCGGCTCAATTGGCTTCCGTCACTTACAAAACATCTGTTCTACACCTTCAACCTCGCCAAATGACTATAAACTTGATAGAATTAAGTCGAGGTGACTTGAAATTTGATTACGGGAAAAGAGATGTTAGTTGGAGTGAGAGCGATGACGAAAAAACGCCTGTCTCAACAGGACCTCTTCCACCTATTCAACCCGTTAAAGATGCACCTATATCACCCGAACCCCCAGTGGCGCCGCCACTTCTTTTAGCACCCAACGATATCGACCCATCAGCAGTTTTGTCAATGGCTGCACATCGCCTCATGTCTAGCGACCTTCAATACATAGATGACGATTCGATAGAAGATTCAAACGAAGAGAAAAGGATAGTTCTAACACCGTCTTCACAAAAGAAAATTGATTTTGCTCTTGATTCGTCAAATTCTAATACACCAACCATTAATTCACGTCCACAAACACCAAATGCGACGCCTAGACGGCGAAAATTACGACATTTACTGCATTGCGGTAGTCTGGAACAATTGCAATCTCCATCTGAAGTTGGTCCAACTTCAATTTTATGTTCCGCTCCTCCATCCCTTCACGGTTCCCCTGTTAAGAGAGCCGTCGCTCGTCTAGCATCCCCACTCTTGGGCGTCAGACGGAGACATAATCGGCAAGGGGATAGTTCAGATGAAGAGGCTGGTGACTATAAGGACTTGGAATCTTGGCAAAAGGCTCGTTTACATAGGAAACTGCGACGTTCAAGGGGTCATAGTTGCTCCAGGTTACATTCCGTAGCGCCGGCGGTTGGCGGTTCTTTGCAACAGAATCAACAGTGTCTAGTCATGCATAATAAAGCTCCGTTATGGAACGAAAATTCTCACGTATATCAATTGGATTTTGGTGGAAGGGTGACTCAGGAAAGTGCAAAAAATTTCCAAATTGAACTCCGTGGAAAGCAGGTCATGCAATTTGGACGAATTGACACAAACGCATACACCCTTGACTTCGAACGACCCTTCTCTGCCTGTCAAGCATTTGCAGTCGCCCTCGCCAACATCACTCAACGCCTGAAGTAATGAAGTCGTGTATTAAGATCTACTCAGGATTTTTTTGCAAGCTTTTATCTAGTCAAAGCTGATATTCAAAATTTTTACATGATATCATCTCAACCTGTAGAAAAGTCTAGACGAATACTTTTTTCCTGTTGTAGTCTTTTAGATTAGAACTAGTCGTCCAATATTTATTTATTTCTTTTTTTAACAACTGTACAAACTATATTGGGATTTTATAAACTTTTAGTCTTCGCCCTATAACTGCCTAAAATGAGTTATTAAAGCTAAATAAATGAAATTGACAAATCAAAAACTGGCGCCTAATTACGATATTAAAAGAGTTTTGAATCAAAAAGTATTCAGCTGCGCGGACACTGCCAAGCGAAAATGTCTTTTTTCGTTGATACTGTAATTGCTCTATTCTTTGCTATTATCTCTTATAATAAAAACTATTTGTAACTCGTAAAGATCTTCGCTTAGAATGCAATTTATATTCAGAACGAATAATAGCAGTTTTTTGCTGTGTTTCACACAAATCAGAAAGTATTTTCTTATTTTCGTTTGTTACGTTATTTTCGCAGGTCGATGATGCAGAGTGGAATTCGTCGGAAATAAAAAATAAAATAAAAGGTGGGGATCTTTTCAATGATGATGATCCTACAGGAGAAGTAGGTGGTTGAATTCGAAAAATTTCCAATTCTTTAAAATTACTTTTTTTTACGATTTTAGGGTTTGCGCTTGACATTTCCTGATAATAGCAGGGAATATAAAGGTTAGTTTTTCTTGACAATCATAGCTTTTGAATTGAATGAATGTCTGAATTATTTAAAGCTTATGTTCTCTATTGCTTAAAATCTTCAATTAAACAAAAAAAAACAAATAACCAGCTACTAATTGTTAATATGTGCTGCCCAGATGTCGATTTACACTGGGAATCTTCTAATTATACTGAAAGCTCGGCTTTAACTCCCAAACCTGCTCTTTCTGCTAGAACACGCCCTAATAAAGGTTGCATGATGTTTCGATTGATCTATATTTATGAGATATTTTGCCCTTTGCAGACACAGAGAGATATGGAATCTCACCAGGTTGTTTTACCTCAGAATTGTTTAAAATTTATAAAGGCTATTTACCAAATCGCTTGAATTTTTAAACAGCAATTACTACATTATCTGATCAATCTACTCACTCAATGTCCTTGGCACAGTCGTCTCTCATAGAAGCAGAGAATAGAAATAAAAATCAAAAATTAACTATGGAAAGTAGATTGATGAGCCCTCCTCCATCAAAAATATCCGAGACAATTCTCAACATGTTTAGTGGAAAAACATATTTACTAGAAACTTATAGATCGTTAAATGATAAGTTAGAATTAATAAGACATGCAATAAGATCAAAGGATTCAAATATAATAACTGCAACAACGTTACACTTTAAAAAGACGGTCCTACGGGAAATTTTTATGAAACATATCGTTGATTTAGAATTCAATGACGCTTTGAATCACTATATAAGTTATTTAAAGCAAAAGGAAAAAAGGGAATTAATAACTTTTTACGACGAGTTGGAAAATCATCATCCAGACAGTGCAAGGGTTGCCGAGTTTCGCAACGAAAAGCATATATTAGTCTATCAGTTAATGCATAAAAAAGAATAGTAAGAGTTTCATTATAAAATCGATAATGTATTATAGGTCTCGTAAATTTCATTAATAGCCCAGAATACCGAAATCCCGATGCTCTCTCTAAGATTTTCAATCATAATCGGCATTACAGAGACCTATTCCAGAATTATCAGAGGTTTGGAGAGGATTCTAGGAAATTGGTATATTATACTTTATGATAAAGAACCGTCTAGCATTCCCTTTTCTCTCTCTTTCTCTTCGTAAATACATATATATTTTTATTTATAATTATAGCATGAAATTTATCCCGAGAGACGTTCCTTCGCAATTGAAAAAGACAGTGTTATCGGTTTGTTACACTGGTTGTGCTTGAATCATTGGGATGCAAAAAGATATGTATGTCTAAATTGCTTTAATTTTAACTTAATAAACTTTAAAGGTATATTATAATATTACCAAAACAGGGACAGAATACTTACGATCACGATTTCTTCCGAAAAATTTATAATGTATTTCTTATAAATATTCTGCGAATTTTCTTCTTTTTAGCTCTTAAAAATATTTCTTTAAACAGATTATAGACAAGCATTACATCATGACAGCTGTTAGGGCTCTTGCTGAAAGGGGCCAATTTGAAGTTATAAAAAGCCTGTTTATAAAAAAGGTTCACCTTATAATACTTGGAAATTAATCTTAGTAAAAACTCATATATCATTTTTTTTTACTTTCTTTTTTTAGTCATTTCTTCGAGGAGAAAGAGTACTTTCGAAATTGCATGATTGGGACATTGCTAATGTGTGCATTATGATTAAAATGAATTGCCCACAAGTCACGGAGAGGGTAATACTTGATTAGATATTTCTTTTAGTTTTTTTCATTGTCTTTCTTTTTATTCTTTTTCACCTCATTTCTTCTTTCCGCCTCCTATCACTTCTCATACTCTTTCGTTTTAATTAATTTGGTACAGCTAATTTTTATTTTATAGGTTTTACAACCATTTTTAGAAGCTGTAACTCCAGTTTCTAATTTATTATATATTGCGGAGAGATTACACTGTCCTGCAGTTATCATTAAGGTTTGTTTTTATTGTTATTGTTAATTGAAATTACAGTGTTCGGTTATTTTGAGAGTATTAATGAATTATTGTGTTTGATAGACTCTAGTCGAAAAGAAGAAAGATTATGAAGCCTTAAGAAGATACTCTGCCACCCTCAGACATGGTACACCAGAGAAGTTTTTAGCCAAACAATATTTGGATAACGTTAGTATTTCATTATTCATTTATCATAAAGCGTTACTAAATTTACATTCATTTCCTTATCCTCCTCCCTCGTCTTCTCTTCTTACATAGCCGAACGAATGGAAATAGATAATTAAGTAAAAAAATATTAGTATAAAACTGAATTGTTACAAGTCCACGCTGACGAATCACAGTGATATTAGAAGGTATTACGGAGAGAAAATTCTAAGGATTATAATCATTTAAAGTAAAAACATTCCATACAACATTCCTCTGATTCTATCTTCTTATGCATTAATTAATAGTGTTATTTATTCAATAATTTCTAATATTCTATTTACAAAAAATTATCATATAAATAAACCTAGAAACTATATTTATAAATAGAATCTGTCAAATGATGTAAATGTTTCTCTAATTTGTATGCATGATGCGTTACTTCATATATTCGGAAAGGTTTTTGGAACGTACGATCGTTGGCTACTTTCTCTATTTCTTCCAATTTCTTTTATTGGTGCTTGTTATAGTATTAAGGGGGAGATTTTCTTGAAAAATAGTTCGCAAATAGGTTTAGAAGATAAATTTAATTTTAAATCCTTCTAATCATCCAAAAAGTCAATGATTCCATAAGGGAATATATAGGAAAAGAGTAATATATATTTCTGTTTTCTCTTTCGTATATTAAACACGTTTTGTTTATTGGAACAAAGATGAAAATGAATATGTGAAATAGCGTGTATAATAAAGATAAATATGAAATTTGTATAGTTAAAGTGTATCTGTCTATAAATGAAGAAGATATTTTGATGCTTTCATTTCGTCTTGTATGCGTGAATTGTTAGCCTTATGAAAATTTTATAATGTTGACTATATAAATTGGACGATATTTCTACAGTAATTAAATATAATTAAGCATAATTCAATGTCGATCTTATATTAATTGAACATGCGGGAGGTATATTGATATTTATCAATTGTTATTTAATGTTTTTTCCCTCTTTCTAGAGTGTACTTTTACCCCAGTTTTCATTATTAATTATTAACCTCTTTACTACTTTTTCTTTTAAAGTTCCCCCTATTTATATTTAGAATTTATAATCAAGGCCTAAAAATTAATCGCGCAAGCGCAATAGTTAAAAGAGGAAGTCACGTGCCGTAACAACGGTATCTAAGGTCATCATTTCGAGTTTGCCGAAAGGCTATCTTCTCAATAGCAATTAAATTAAGGTTTGCTTTTTATTAGTTTTATTTAAATCATAGAAGATAAATAATTTACATCAGATTTTTATTAAAATCAAATAAAAAAGTTATTTATTCAATATGAAAATTATTAAAAATTTCACTAAAGAAAAATATATATTGTATATAAGTGTATAGTTTTAATAGCATTATGGTATTTAAAATCATTAATAAGTAGTTTTTATTTTTTAAATTAAGCTTAAGATGAATTTTGATAAATATTCTAAATATAGAGAAGAAAATAATAGATATCAGCTCTCCAATGGAGAGTAATCAGAGAAGGAGAGATTTAAAAAATATTAAAACTAATACTTAGTTATACTAATATACTAGCAAATATAGAAAGAAGTATATTATGGTACAGCCAATCTAGATTAAAATCTATAAATAAACTATGTCTCTTCTCTCTCTCTCTCTCTCTGTCTATTTTCCTCTTTTTCTCTCTATATCTTATTCCTCCTCTTGTTTAAGAGATGGCAAGAAAGAAGCAGGAAGTTGCTTTACAGAACGAGATTGAATCGCAGGAAGAATGGGAAGAGGCTCTCGCCAAAGAGGGCTTAACAAGTGATATATACTTTTCTATCAACTTAATAAATCACTTATTTTTCTAAATGATCATTTGCATCTACAGTCATAGACGTCTATCAGGAGTGGTGCGGTCCATGCAAATCCGTTGTAGCCCTATTTAGACGTATAAAGAATGAAACTGGAGATGATTTGTTACATTTCTCAACAGTTCGTAACTTTTTTCTTAAACAATACTAGAACCTGTTCAGAGTTCATGATTTATTATAAAAATAGGCCAAATGTGATACTGTAGACGCTTTAGAGAAGTATCGAGGGAAATGTAAACCGTGCTTTCTGTTTTATGCGGTAAGTTTATTAAGGAAAAGAAAGTCTCCAAAGAGGGAGCTACAACATCGATAACAACATAGATAAACTATCTTAACTTAGGAACTTGTTAATTTTTAGGGTGGAAGTCTAGTTAATGTTATACGAGGTACAAATGTTCCACTCTTGCAAAGGAATATTATGGAACAACGCGCGCAAGAAAGGAAAGTACTCGACGGAGAAGAAGAAAGAAAAGAGGTTTATTTTTACTTTTCGTATGTTTTTTCAATAATTTATATTTTTACCGTTAATTTTTTAGATTCGAGATCCGGAAATTGTATATGACGAACCGGAAAGGGGCGAAGAGGACGAGGATGAGAGTGAAAAGGATGAGGAAATCGGTAAGAAATATTTTATATATATTTACATAGTAAAATTCTCTGTAAAAAAATATTATAAGAAGAAAAAAGTACCAATATCTCCATCTTGCATAAATTATATACTCTACCGATACAGATATCGTTTATCGTATGTATAATTTATATAAAAGCAAACAAATATATTGTACCCTTTTCGATGATTGCTATAATTTCGCTTCATCACGTTTTATTACTATAAGACAAGGATAAAAAAAAAGAAAAGAATCAGATGGAAAGATAACTTTCAATTTCACTTTCTTACCTATCTAAACAAATATTTTTCTATTGTTTCCTATATGAACAAAAAAGAAGTGAAAGACCATGACGAGCACGGCGATGAGCAAGATGTTGTTCGTCTCAATGGAGAGATTGTTTATTTCGATAGTTTTCCTCAAAAGATCAAGGAGGAAGGTATTGAAATTAAAAAGAAAAAAGATAAAATTGAGCACCTACTTACTTTTCATTCAATCAATATTGCATTATATATAATACCAAAAGCAAACAGATGTTAATATTTTGCAAACAGAAAAATTGATCCCTTATGTTGTCATCTTCAAAGCAAACACCTCAAAAAAAAACAAACATAATAATTGCACTTCAATCTTTACGGATAAATTTTCCTCTTTCCACACCCTACCCAAACCCTGCTCACTTTTAAGAATAACAACTGTTTTATAGAGCTTATCAGCCTTCGCTTAATGGATTCCATTTACTTTTCATATTTTTTTTTCCTTATCATTAATTCTTTGAACGAAAATCAATGAAATTGGCGATTTTGTTTTCGAATTATATTTTACTTTAAAACCAAATTTCAAGTGATTTTTATAATTATTACTTATAATTATTATTATTACTATTGTTACTATTATTAATATTATTATTATTATGATTATTAATTATCTTATCTGATCTAATATTAGTTTTCTTTTTGTTTCTTTTTTCGTTAATATTGAACAGAATCCATTCAAAAGGAAGTTACCGTAGCGATAATTAAACCTAATATTGTTGCTGCTGGACGGGTTAGTGAGATCATTAAAGAAATGCAGGAAGCGGGAATTGAGATACTGCAGGAGGAAGAGCGTCTTATCACAGAAGAAGAATGCAAAGAGTTCTATGAACACAAGAAAGACGAAGTAAACGTATAATTAGAAAAGCTAATTAATATATTTATCATTAAATCTTTTTGCAGCCTTACTTTAATGATTTGGTAAAATATATGACAGAAGGACCAAGCCATATATTAGTCATTAGCAAAGAAAATGAATCTGGAGAGGGTGTACTAGAGCAATGGCGCCACATGCTAGGACCTGCAAATGTTGACGAGGCTAAAGAAGCGGCACCGGAGAGTCTTAGAGCTAAATATGGTGCTGATGGTTTTATGAATGCCTTACACGGTAGCGATAGCAAGGAGAGAGCTGTTCGAGAGTTAGCCTTCTTTTTCCCCAACTTCCATATTCCTACAACTAGTAGATCTGTTGGAGGAAAGCCTAAAATCCAGAGAACTATAGCTCTTATTAGACCTGACGCTTATAATCAACGTAGAGGTTCAATCATGGATAAAATAACTGAAGCCGGCTTTAAAGTAGCCCTAAGCAAAGAAATCCAATTGTCCAAGGACCAAGCCGAAGATTTCTACAAAGAGCATAAAGAACAACCATATTACGAAGAATTAACAAATAGCATGTCAAAGGGACCTTTATTAGCCTTAGCCTTAGCCAGGGAAGATGCCGTAACTGGTTGGAGAGAGGCAATCGGTCCAACCGAAATTGATAAAGCAAAAGAAGAGGCACCAAATAGTCTCAGAGCGCAATTCTCAATTGAAGGCGTAGGAATCAATCAAATTCATGGTTCAGATAGTGTCGAGAAAGCTGAAGAGGAATTAGAATACTTTTTCCCATCGCAAAAGACCGTTGCTCTCATTAAACCAGATGCTTATCAGACTAAGGATGAAATTATGGAAAAAATTAGGGAAGCTGGTTTTAGAATTGCCGCAAGGAAAGAAACAGAAATACCTAGGGATCTTGCCGAGCAATTATATAAAGGTCAAGAGGGCAAAGACTTTTTCAACGATCTTGTTGATCATGTTACGAGTGGTCCTACTTTATGTTTGGTACTTAATAGAAATGACGCTGTGGAAGGATGGAGAGGACTCATGGGCCCTACAGATCCAACTGTTGCGAAGAGCGACGCTCCAAACTCAATTAGAGCCAATTTCGGTCATGATATTTTAAAGAACGCTGTCCATGGAAGTTCCAACATAGATGAAGCTAATAAGGCTATTGAATTATTATTTGGTGAAATAGATGAAAGTCAGGGTAAGTTAACCTTTATATATACTTTTTAAATCAATTTTTGTTTGGCATTGGTTTGTTGGAATTGTTCTCTTACTATCTTTTCTTTAGCCATCAATTGTTCCTTTTTCTTTCAAGGTCAAATTTTTTCGATAAAATCAAAGGGGCATTTTATTTTCATATCTTTTCCCTTTATTTTTTCAACATTTCATATATCTTTTCAACTAATCAATTCTTTCTTCTTTTATAAATCTTTACGCTTTCCTAACTGATATTAGAGCTGGATAATAATAAGATAGGATATCCTAATAGTGGAAGTCCTACAGTAGACCATCTTAAAGATGGCGAAGAGTTAATTGGTTCGGATAACCAAATTGTAAAAAAAGAGGGAGGAAGCGAAGGAGAAGAAGAAAAAGAGGATGAAAAGAACGAATATAATGAAGAACCCCAAAAGGATGGGGAAATGCAAAGAGTTGATAAGAGATCTAATGAGGAGCTTGAAAAAGACAAGCAATCAATTACAAGTAGGCCTAATAGTTCTCGGAGTAGAATATCTGTTAAGACATCAGGTACGAATGGTTCCAATCCACCCAGTATACGCAATAGTAGAACAAGTCTACGCAGCGTTAAGGAAGAAGATAAAATTTCCATAAAGAGTAGAACGAGTATACAAAGCGAACGAAAAGACAAATTAAAGAATGATGACAATCAATCAATTAAGAGTAGTTCAAGTAACAAAAGTAGAATTAGTCGTAAAAATGAGGATGGACGATCAATTAAGAGTCAGAAGAGTTTAAGTAGCCAACATTCAAGGGAAAGGATAACGAAAGTTGAAGAAGAAAAAGATCAAGATAGAAAATCAATAAGGAGTCATCGCAGTATTAAATCAAAGTTATCCGATAATTTAGATAATCAATCAATTAAGAGTCGAACTAGTTTAAAAAGCTCCGAATTTACAAGAAAAGGTATAAAATAAAGTAGAAGAAATGAGAATGTAAAATTTTTACACCTTAAAAATGTTGTATTAAACTTATTCTTTATTGTCACCTTGGTAACGATAAAATAATCATACAACAGCACGAAAGCCCTTATTGTCATAGATAATTTAATATTGTTACATCTACACATATATATTATACATTTAGAATTATGATTACTGTATTGTTGATATCTTTTTTTTAAGATTAGCATTTGCAATCTTCCCCCAATTTGTGTTTTTCTTAGTGAAAAAGCTATTAATTAGAGGTTAATTAGAGTACGAAACGGACAAGTTTAAACCTATCTTTGTTATTGCATGTTGGTCCTAGAGAAAAATAGTTTTTTTTATTAAAAAAAGAACTAAATATAGATTTCTTTTTTTAAAAAATACAACTTGCTAATCGATAGAAGATGAAACAATTGAAAAAATACAACCTGCTGAGGAACAAAAAAACAATGACGAGGATGTGGTAGATTTTAATTTGGGTACTGTACACGATGCCCTAGTTGTTGGGGAAGCAATTCTTCAAGCCACGGATGAAGGTGATAAAAGCGAGAACAAAGATGACGAGCAGTCGCAAAAAGATAGTAATGAAACTGAAAATGCTAAAAATGATCCAAACGAAGAGCAGGTAGAAGAAGAACAACAACAAGACGAAGAAAATACGGATGACGCTGATAATCAAGATATGTCAAATTTAGATAGAGAGGAAGAGCGCGAAGAGACAGCTCAGACTATTACTGATGAAAATCATGAAGATAATGTCTCAGATAATCGCGATGATATTCAGGAAACTAAACAAGAAGATAATGCAGATGATTATGAGAAAGATGGTTTTGATGAAAAAAGTGAACAAGAGGAAGCAGAGGAGAGTGTACGTCAAAATCAGGTAGAAAATCTAGAGCAGGTGGAGCAGAATCCAGAGTTAGAGCAAAATGAGGAAATAAAACAGACAGATACTTTAAGCGTGCATAGTTCTTCTTCAAAGGAGGCCAAAGATAAGGATGAAAGCGATAAAGTATCAAATAAAAGTCAAAATGAACAAGATAATGAAAGTCTTAAGCCGAATGAAAGTTATGATGAAAACGATAATGATAACGATAATGATAATGATAATGAAAACGAGAACGAGAATGAGATAGAGAATGAAAATGAAAATGAAAGTGAACATGAACATGAACAAGATGAACACAATGATGATCAAGACTATACAGACACATTAGGAGGTGATATAAAAACCACTCCCAGATTCCTCCCCTATTTTTCTCCGAAGACGATTGCATTCCAGATTATCTCTATGTGCACTATAATTATATGTTAATTAGCTTGCATCATTAGCTTTTTAATCTAAAATTTTTTTACCCATAAAGCTATATTTTGCACATGATGTCATTTCTTATTCTTTAAAGTTAATTGAATGTTTATTTTTCAAGCTGAGGATGTTGCTGAAGAATCTAAAGAAGCCGAAGAAGACAAGCCTAAAGAGGATGATGAGGAAGCAGCAGCTGAAGAAGGAGAAAAGGCTGGCGAAGATGAGGCGGAAAATAATGCTGAAGAGGGTGAAGCGGAACAGCAAGAAGAGGCTGAAGCCGAACAAGAAGAAGAGAATGCAGAAGGTTTGTAAAATTTTGTTTCTCTCTTTTTTCCTTTAAAAGGTTTGTAGGCGAGGAATGTGAGGAATATTATTATCTATCGAATCACTCGGTCTGTCTATGTAAATATATTTCAATCATAAAATAATATGAACAGAAGAAAAGGGTGGTGAAACTGAAAAACCAAATGATGGTCAAGGTGATGAAGAGAAACAGGATGACAAAGCCGAAACCGCTGAAGACGAACAAAAGCCTGAGGAAGAAAATAAAGAAGAAGGAGGGAATGTTAGTCAAGAAGGGGAGCAAAAAACGAAAGCAGAAGAAAAAGAGGATGAGCAAGAAACTAAAGAGACAGGAGATGAAGAGAAAAAAGAAGAAGAAACAAAGCAAGATGAAAATGCAGAGGAAAATGAGGAGGAAACAAAAGAAGACACTAAAGAAGAAACTAAAGAAGAAACTAAAGAAGAATCCAACGAGGATACAAAAGAAGAAGCAACTGAAGGTCAAGAAGAAGAAAAAAAAGAGTCAACTGAGGAAAAACCTGAGGAAGAGAATCAAGATGAAAAACCAAAAGAACAAGAGGAACAGGAAGCAACAAAAACTGAAAAGCCTGAAGGTTAAAAATAAAAGTTGTCATTAACAAAAGAAAAAAAAAGCTGCACCTAATTATTCACAATCACTGATTGATAACCTCTTCTTTTATTTTATTATTAACTTTAACATTGTTTTAAGAACAAAAACCAATTGAAAGTTAATATTTCCCCTTTTCCATTTCTTTTCAATAATTACATTTAGATATATATATATTTATTTATAATTTTCTATCTTTAACATCATATATTAAAGCCTTTTCAGCTATTTAATTAATACTATACTTATTTACATATATGTTGCAATTGTTTATGTATTCTTTCCTTCTTTCTTTCTTTCTCTCTCTCTCTCTCTCATTTTATTTTTTTTCTAATTTCCTACTGTTTAAATAATATTTTATTAATTAACAGGTGAAGACGCTCCGACGGATGCATAATCTCGAATCACAGTGGAGGTCTAAAGCATTTAGTGCTGACTCGAAATTTCGATTAACTTTCTTGATAACTTCTTTAATTGGATTTTGTCATTTGAAAATGAATTGTTTATATATATATTTATGTTATTTTGTATTTAATAGATATAAGAAAATTTTTTATCAGAATATGTAAATAAATACAATAAATAAGAAAAGATTCACTGTAACAATTAAATTAAAGGATATATAAAGATGTTAGGAAATAATACTTTAGAATTGTAGAATAAAAGGTACTAGAGATTGACTTTAATTTCAATTAAATACAAAGAAGGGAGAAATAAGACGAAAATGAATGAGAGGAACTTGAAGGAGAAGAGAAGGCAGAAGGAGACGAGAAAATAGTTTTTAGAGAAGTGAAATAACAGGAAATACATCAATATCAAAAAAAAAGTATACTTGGCAAATGTGCTATAATAGTGAATTCTATTGTTTATATAACAAGCATATTTTGCAAGTATTAATTGAATTATTAATGAAACACATATAGTTCCATACATTAAGTCTACGTAAAGTCCTACTAGGGGTAACCGATGCTTTAGACACTTTTTAAATAATAAATGATGATGATATAATACCTTATAAATACTCATTTAAATATCTGATTACAAAAATTATTCTTTAACCTTTGACCTCTTTTTATAAAAAGATTCTTATTTCCATTTCAGAATGTTTTATATTTTGGTGAAGTTATTTTTAAAAAAATAGAAGAATAGAGAAAATTCTTTATTTGACAAAAGTTAAAAGATTGCATCTTTAATTTGACTGTGTTGCTGAGTTTAATTAAAAGAGGAAGGAAGGGCTAACCAAATACGAATTACTTTTCCCTTCCAAATCATTAGAGTTTTCTATTTGCTTATCCGTTCAATTTTATTCTAAAATAAATAAAGAGTCCGATAAAAACCCTTTTTACTACTTATAATCATTTACCAGATAAAAGCAGTCGGCTTTCCGGAAACTATTGTAGATAATTCAGATAGATAACAGATAAGATATCAATCATCAACCTTTCTTGGGAAAGAGAAGCCACTAACCTGGATTTAGCTAACCTTTTCAATTGTAAAGACTTGAAAGAACTGGAGCTTTTTATTCAAATTCATAAATCTGCATAGCAGTCTATAGAGTATATATATATATATTTATATATAGTATTTCGATTAGACGAGTAATAGTATTGAGTGTTTCTCATTCGTTTAGTGTTTATCCGCAGTTGGCGTCACTTATATCGAGAAAATTTAGCATTTGGAAGCATCCTTAAAGCAAGTAACGGAGTTAATCGATCAAAAATAAAAAGAGAAAATAACAAACAAATAATAATAAACAGAACAACAACTAAACCAATTAATTAATAGAAAAGGAAGAACATAAGGTAAAGAAATATTAGTAAATCTATTTATTAAGATTATTATTATCATTATTATTATTGTATGAATATGTTAATTTTGTTAAACAAAGGTTATTTTAAATGATGTATAGGTATATAGTCTATATTACATATTTATCTATATATATTTATATGATATAGATACTGTATAAATTTATACTACGTTTATTATTAAGAGAGATAATTTAGGAAAAGATAATCATTTAAATTGGAAAATATTCCGCAAAGATGACTTAAAGAATTGTCTTAATAAACTAGTAAATGATATAGTTTATTCTTATTAAAAGGAAAATAAAATTGATTTTGTCTATAAATAAAGACATAAAAAGAACTCGAATGGTTATGAGTTTGTGTCACAAACAACGAGAGATATGACCACACTACAAAGCTACAGTTATCAACAGGAAACTTTGCATACACTCAACTACGAAACGTCATTAATCATCTCTTTATCGTTTTACAGGTATTGCAGTCTGCACAAGCCGCTATGGGTCCGCACTTCGTCGCTGTAAAGCAATCTAGAAAACGTTCAACGCCTCAGAGGCAAGATTCTAGTAATGAGCGACTTTTTCAATCAATCTTCCATAGAAGACCATCACTGGGAGAGAAGGAGATACATTTTTTAAATTCTGTTGAAACTGGTAATTTAAACGCTGTACGAAATTTTTTATCAAGGAATGTAAATGTAAACTGCAGGTTTGTAAATAGTCTCGTATTATTCTTTTCCTCTTTATTCGATATATTGTGTATATAGCAATTAAAATAAGAAATTGTATATAAAAAAATTAACTAGAAAATAGACCAATCGTCGTTAATGCATTAAAGAATTATCAACATCGATAAAGTAATTTAAATGAAGAGGTACGTACCGCAAAATATAGAATGGAAATAATCAACTAATTCCTAATTCTAAATCTAGAAATACTTGAAACAATTATTCAAGTAATTCACTCAAAAATACTTTTATATATACAGTATATATTTAAACTTTGTATACGTACGTTTTATAATCGATTATCGTGACCTCTATTAATAGTTGTTACTAGAAAAATTGTCCAAAAAATATTTGGTACAAAACTCTATATAGTTTTTCTTTTTATAAAAAAAAAAGAAAGAGGTAAGTGAAGTCTTTCAGTTCATAATTTTATTATTTTCTATATTTTTTATTTTACGAGCTCGTCAAATAGAACTAGACCTATTTACACTTAAATACTCTGTAATCTATATGTACATGATTTAATGACCTTATACGCCTATGCCTATATTTATACACATATATAAAAATACGTATAACAGCGTATACATATATTTTTACATACTTGTATAAAAAGAAGAACCCCTTAAGAAAGAAACTCATTGAAATGTGTAGTTTGTTCTTCACTTTTCATTGTTTTTCTTTTCTTTTTGTAAAAAGAAAAGGTTAATTTAAATTATTAATTTATTATAGAGACGAATTTGGCAGATGTGCTTTGGAATTAGCCTTAATTGGATGTCACGAGTCCATTGTTGACTACCTTCTCCCAAGATCAAATGTTCAATGCGTTGAAGATGCTCTTTTCTATTCTATCGATACGGATAACGTAAAAATGGCTGAATTGATACTTTCTCACCCTTTATATAGCTCGGCAAGGATTGATTTAAGTAAGATGGATGCATTCTACGAACACGATATTGATTCACCACGCCCTCGTCAAACTGCGAGTCCTTTGGCTCTTGCTTCACACAGAAATAATTTCTATTTAGGTAGATACACACATATCTATATATTAATCCATAAATTTTTGATACTATTTTAAACTATATTTCATATACGTATACATTATTAATATATATATATATAAATTATATATATAATATATAGTTAAAGCACCACGTAGATAATTAATGTACGCCTATTTACAATTTACTATTTACTTTCTAATAACAAAAACAAAGTTCAACTTCTACTTCTACGTGGCTGCCGAATAACTGTTCCTCATGATTACTTTTGCGGATGCATTGAATGTTCGAATCAAAGGAAGTTTGACTCGGTTAAATATTCAAAGAGTCGTTTAAATACGTATAAAGCTTTGGCAAGTTCTGCTTATATATCATTAGAAAGTGAGGACCCAATTTTAACTGCTTTTGAACTCAGTCACGAACTGGAAAGATTAGCGGATATTGAAAAGGAATACAAGAGTGACTACCGGAAGTTATCGAACGACTGTAAAGACTATGCTGTTGAATTATTGGACTTGTGTAGGTCTAGTGACGAGATTATGGCAGTTTTGGACGAAGGTACAAGCGATGACTGCAGTAATTCATGTAACCATCAACTTAGCAGAGTAAAATTAGCCTTGAAATATGAACAAAAAAGAGTAAGAACTTTTAAACTGTATATTTTAGCTATTTGCTCCTCTCTATCTCCCCTCTCATTCTAAACTTTCATACTCTCCCTCTTCCTTCCTCCCGCTCTCTTTCTCTCTTGCAGTTTTATAATTCAAACTACATCACAATACTGTACACGAAATATATACTGTATATTTGAGAATGTTGTAAATAGACAGAGAGAATCAGAAATTACTAAATGTAAATATGTTAGCAGTTATAAGATGATTAGCATTTTTCACATTAACTGGACATTCTTCTTCAATAACAGTTTATCGCCCACGCTACATGTCAGAGAGAGCTTATATCTCTATGGTATTCTGGCGTTCCATGGCTCCGACACCAACCCACCCCCGTCAAATTCTTATCACTTCCATTAACAGCGTTTCTACTGCCGTTTGTGGCAATTCTCTTCCTTTTATTACCTAAATGCTTTGTAAGATATTTATCTGAATGATTTATTTAATTAATTAACATACTAATATTTTTATGTAAATAACATAAATCAATTATTTTTAGATATCCAAGTTGATGAGAACGCCTTTTGTCAAATTTCTCAATCATACATGCTCTTATATAATCTTCTTAATTCTTGTCTTTATCGCAACTAATCGTGATGGATCTGGAAATCCTTTTCTGGATGCTTCATGTTCAAATTGTCTATGTTCATTGAAGAGTATAGTGTCGTTATTAATATTTATTTGGGTTCTTGGCATGTTCTTTCATGAGTGTAGACAAATGTGGAGAGAAGGTGTTAAAAACTACGTAACTGATTGGTGGAATTGGATGGATTCGGCTTTAATAGCCCTATACTTAGCATCATACGCTATTCAATTATTCACGTTAATAAAAATTCAACAGTATTCCGAAAAAGATAGAGCAACAATATGCTATTTTTTTAATGATACCGATACAAGATCCTGCAGGGAACTTCGTTGCGAAGTTGATAGGCAATTGAACAATTGGACAGTATGTTCGGCAGGTAAAAGTAAGTAGTTTCATTCACTTGTTTACTATTTATATTGTTTTCCATTTTTATTCTCCTTTTAATAGCAACCTCTTGTAGTGGCATTGATAACTTATATAAGCCTAATTTACAACGAAATCCAATTGATAGAATTTCTGAACAGAATCAAATGTCAGATATTTTCTTTGCTCTAGCCAATGTCCTTTCTTTTGCTAGAATAGCTCATTTATTACCTGCTAATGAAGAATTAGGACCCTTATTGGTTTCATTCGGTAGGATGATCCACGATGTTGTCCGATTTGGAGTAGTCTTCGTCCTAGTATTCCTTGCTTTTATGTGTGGGTTGACAAGCTTATATCGTCTTCATCAATGTGAAAATCAAAGCTTCAGCAGATTAGACTTGTCTTTAATTTCCCTTTTTTGGGCAACCTTTGGTATGGGAGATACTGGAGCTACAAGATTAGATAATAGGTGAGTAATAAAAATTTAATTGTATATATAAATATATATAGTATATATGCTTGTGTTTGTGCACACTCTCCTCAATGACTCAGACAAACGCACATTTTGTATCTCTTTTCCTCTTTTCTTTCGCTCTCAATCTTTCTCTATCTCTTTCTTATTCTCTCTTAATTCTTTTAGATACTTGGGTTCTGATAAAAGGCTTATAACCACTCATACAACTCACATTAATCTAACCGTATTAGTTGGCTATGGGCTATTCTGTTCGTATATTGCTGGAGCAGTCGTAGTTCTATTAAATATGCTCATTGCTATGATGTCTAACTCTTTTCAAGAAATTTATGATGACCGAGATGTTGAATGGAAGTTTGCAAGAGCTAAATTATGGATTGACTATTTTGAAGATGGTTGCACTTTGCCTGCTCCTTTCAATCTTTTACCAAACCCTAAGTATATAGTAAAGCTTTACAAGTGGATTAGGAAAAAATGCCAAAAGAAGAGGGAAGAACCACCTGTTCGTATGGCCTATATTTACACGGTAAATTACCCAGATTACCTAAAAACAGCAAGACAGCACTTCTTAATTGTTTTTAAATTAAATAGAGAAGAAAAAACGGTATAGTTGGTGAAGATGTTGAATCTATAGAATTACCCCAAAAACCTATGACTGTTTATAAGGTAGATATCTTCTCTTTTTTCACATCATTTTTAAAGTTTTGTTTTGCAAAGAACGCCATCTCTAGACGATTTCTTTTGCTAACAAACTCCCTCTACTTTACTTTAATTTCTTTTATAGCAAATATCTAGACGCCTAATACAGAGATACATATACAAGAAACAAAGCGAATTAACGGAGAAGAACGCCGAAGAATCGGCAATGAGTGATCTGAAAAATGAAATAACTTCAATATCTTATTCGGTTGATAAACTTCGTTTTGAAGTGAATACTGTTAGCGAAAAAATTGAGAAATCTTTGCAAAAACGTAACGGATCAATATGCCTTAATACTGAATTGGTTCCGTCTTCTCTTGAATTAAATGTTTAAACGGGAAGTAGATTGTCAGCAGCAAACTACTGACCTCCCATATCATCCCTTCCCGTCTACAACAAGTTCTTTTAAAAGTATATGCAAGCAAACACTCATAGAGAGAGAGAGAAAAAAAAGCAGAGCAAATATTAACTTTCCTTTTTTCTCCTATTCAAACTAAAACCTCTTAATGGAAAGTTATATAAAAAATCTATATAGTTATAAAATAATTATATGATTATTGTTATATAACAATAATAATAATGATTCCGGAATAGGATACCAGTTTAAATTGTGTTCTTAAGAAAAAAACCGGAATGTTCTTTCGGTAATAATGGTAATTTGTTCCTCATTCATTTTACTTGAACTAATATTATTGCATCATTCTTTTGTTTAAAAATCATAATAAAAAGGTTAGAAAGATTAGTAATAAATCGCTTTTTATTATATATATTAACCATTTAGGGAGAAATATTAGTTCTATCCTTTTTTGTTCGAATGTTTATATGTATATATAGAAAGTTATATTATATTTCGTATTCTATTCATCCTTTTATCTTACTCATAGGTTTTTTTATCTTCCTGCATATACATTTATACTGTATATACATATAAAAAACACTATAATAGGACTATTCGGCATAGACCAATATCTAACAATATTTTACTTCTAACAGTTAAAGAAACTACTATTAAAAAAATATTCTACAAAGTATATTTTTTGTCCTTCAAATAGAATAAAAAACGTTTCTTCTTGTGAGGAAATATAGCTCTATATATGTATATGGTGTGTAGATTGGTATATGATTTATACATCATTAATACATATATAAATAGAGAAAACAGTTTGTTTTATTTCCTTTATAAAGGAAAGTGTTCTGTTCGTATGCATATATACATATATACAATGATATATACTCTATATTATCTTAATATTTTTTCGTTTGTCTATTCAAACATCTTGAATTTCAACACTATCTTCATTCGGCAGCTTTGCGATATGTAACTTCATGACAACGTAGCATAGATTCGAAGCCAATTTGAGTAAATACGGTAATAAAGCAATCAAATGCCTATAATCCTCATGTGCCAGTCCCAGTTCGTAACCGAATGGCTCATTACAAAGCCTACTATCGAAGTCATCTGAAACTCCTTCGATAAGCCTAGAATAAGTTTCCATTAGTGACTTGTAAACTCCTGGAAATAGTTCCCTAATAGGTGTTTGTACGGCATCTTCGATTTCTTCGTAGAGCTCAAGGAATCTTGCCCAAAAGTCCGTAAGAGTTTTTATATTATTGATCTTTGCCGTAGTAAATGTCATCTTGTCTGCAGCTTCTAATAAAGTTTTAAATTGATTTCTAGTAGTTAATTTGTGATTAACAGGTAAAATTGCGGAGCAGGATATATGCAAAGATCGAAGTGAATGAACAAAACTAACGTTCTGACGATTCCACCAGTCCATATAATCTAGTTTCAATTTATTCAAGCGTTTCAAAATAGCCGACGCCGAATGCCTTATAACGTTTAATTCATATGAAAACGGGAGGCTGCAAACTGATGATACTGTACTATTCGTCCGACTTGTGAACGCCATGGTTTGTTGCTAAGAAATGAGCAAATATAACGGTTGAATTGATCATTTTAGCTATGTCATACGGTGACCGTTTAAGATTATCGCTTTCTTTTTATTGTGTTACAATTGATTTTTTTCCTCGGGTAAAATAAATAGGCCTATCCCAAGTATTATGTTTATACAAAGAGAGGGAATGTGATTGGGCGTAGATTTATGTTGTTCGAAGGACAAGAGTTATTGAATCTCTATTTCCCGATCGTTCACACGAAACGTCAAACTAAAAAAAAACGGTTAAAAACGCTTTGTAAAACTTTATTTATTCAATATCCTAACGCTTACTTTCATTAATACGCCCCGAAAGCTTTTGAGCGATAACTTTGATAATGAAACGATTTTTCATACTATACATTAACATAGAAAACATCAAATGGAAAAAGAAAGCATATTCAAAAGCACAGTTCTTCAACTTCCGGATTTTTCTTTTATTTACAATACAACTTAATAAATTAATATTAATCATAAAAAGAAGATTATTTACTAGGATAAACGTAACTTTATCGTATCAGTTGTAGACAGTTTAAAAGCGTTCTTATTGAGCGTCCACCTACTTAAAGATTATAGAAGTTTTTTCCTGTTTTCCTTCTAAATCCGTTTTCTGCTCTCTATAAATATTATTATTCACAGTTTTCTTTCCACAAAATAGTTCAATTTTCGATCTATCAATTCTTTGATATTGACATTCATCATTCAATTCGCCAGCAAATATAAATATAAAGACACCTCAAATAGCGTATAACTTTTAAGGTAATCAATTTATTCCTATTTAGATTTATCTATACAGGATATATATAAATAAGTGTCTATATATTATTTATATAATTTATATGTACGAATATTAAAAACCATCTGAAGCTCCTGCATTCGACCAGATAAATAATAACTTTGTGCTTTATGTTCTTTTTTTAAAAAAAACAAACAAAAACAAACTTTAAATATAACTTCTATTTAAATTATTAAATTTTAAATGTAAAAGTTTAGTAATAAATTAAAAAATATGTCAAACGTAACATCTAGCTCTTATCTATCGATTTCTTCTTCACAAGCAATAAGCGATGCAAAACAAATTCTTTTAAATAGTTTATTGAATTGTTTAAAAGAAAAGGATAACTCTAAACACGTAAATTTAGAAAAACGTCAATCATTTATAGACGCTTTAAATGGATGTTTAGAATTTCAAAAAGTTCCTAAGGACAAGTATCAGCTAAAAGAAAGGAGTGAGGTCGAATCGAGCGGCCGAAAATTAGATGATTCATTGTCTTTTGTTATGGTAACCGATTCCAGTGAGGAGTCTAATGATAGTATAGAATTTAGTAATGAAAAAAGAATTAATGTAAAAGATGATGATAGGTGTACATTAGATAAAAGTAAAACTAGAGAAGACAACGAAAATAGAAATGAAACTTTACAACGTTTAATTAAAAAGTTTCACACAATCAGGGACAAAGAAATAAATAGAGAGGTTCTTAAGGATTCAAAGTAATATATTATTAATAATTGGTTAAAATAAGCTAATTCTTTTACAATAGCTCCTGACTTAACAATTTAATCCTCGTAAGAAGGAGAAAGGGTAATTGTACTTCCATTAGACATTAACAAAGTACGATTAATCCTCATCATTAACTATTTTAGGCCTATTGAAATATATAAAATACATTTAAAAGAGATAAGACAGTAACATTTATATTTATATAGGAATAGTGTGAAGAAATCTAACAAGAGAGTAGACGAAGATAGCTGGATTAGTTTTGAAGAGACGTCAGCCGTTACTTCTAACCCCCACTCAAATCAAGCTTTAAAGAAAAGTAAAAATGATAGAGATCAGCTTTTCGAGGAAACGACATCATCTTGCGATGAATCGAATACTTTAACTAAAACTACGACCAATTCAAAATCATATACACCTATAAAGAGTCACAAAATTAATCGGGAAAATCCTAGAATTACAGCAAAGAACTATTTGAATGAACAGCTTTCAAAGACAAATTCAAAAGATAATAAAGATTATCTGGATTATAATCAATTATCAATTGAATCACCAGGAATTAAATCAGAATCCGTAACACTGAATGAAACAGAGCATATTGACATTCTTAATAGGTTGCATAATAATACAGTATCCGGTAGTCTTCCTCTTTCTATAAAAAATAAAAAAAATAAAGTAGAACCTTCGACGGATGATACTGACAACAGTGTGACACTTGCTCTTAATCAAAGACGCTCTAATAATGTTAGAGAGTTACAATCGAAATTTCAAGTTTTGTCAAATCTTTCTCTACACTATTTAGATTATATGATGTCGTTCTTTTCGGCGAAATGTCTACGCTTTAACGATGTTAAACTAGCCTGTCTTCGTCCAAACGGAAGAAATCCCATCAAGATTCATATCGGCTCTAGTGTCGATGTATATCTTGGATCTCTCGAACCAAAAGGTTATATGGTTGCCGTAAAGATGTACAAGAAGAACTCTAATACAAATTTAACAAATATACTTCAAGAGGTTCGCGTTCTTTCAGATCTAAATGATTGCGAAGATGAGCCAACACCATACTTTTATGGTCTCTTGAATATAAAATCAAGAAAATACCATTCGTATTGCGTCGTTAATCAATTCTTGGGTGATCCATTATCATTTCATACATTAAGATTAATTGATTACCTAAAACAATGTAAAAGAGATAAGAAACTGTGGAGATTGGGACAAGCCACAGGTATTAATAGAAAGATGCTTTTAAAATTAGCAGAAAAAATAAAAATGATCCATTCAAAAGGTATTCTTAGATTTGAACTGGTTCTATTTAAGTCATTTAATCAAATATGTAGGAAACTTAGCTAAACATAGCATTCTAAAAATATTATTCAATGGATAATTGATAAATGTTTAATGTATGCGCATAGATGTATTAGCAAGGAGTGTATACAGTATGTATTTATACACGTTTATAAAATACTCAGAGCAGACAATTGTTGTGTCATTATCTTACATGACTAAATCATTCATATCAGAAACTGGAATATACCTTATTCCCTTTTGTCTAATAAGTACTCCTGTAATTATCCTTGCTATTTAATCAAGTTTCTATTCTGCTGCTTGCTTTATTAATAAATACTAGACCTAATTATATAGTCATGTTAAGTATGTCTTGTGGAAAAGTGATGATTAAATGTCCTGCCTTTTCCCAATAACCAGTTTCTATCTATGAATTGAAGGTGTTCTGATTAATAACTTGACAGCTGCAAATGTCCTTCTTTGTTGGAGAAACGGTATCCTATTACCGTTTGTAGCAGATATGAGCCACTCTACTTACATTAGGGAAAATGTTCTAAGTAAGTCTAAGAAGGAGGAGGAAGAGCGAGGAAGAAGCGAACATCCTAAAAATAAAAGCTATTTGCAGAGTAAAGCATGGGGGCGAAACCGAAAATATTCCAAATCTTTTGATATTTACAGTTTTGGTGGGATAATCAAAGTATTTTGTTACTTATCAAAGAAGAATGACACACAGTACAAATGGTACAACGATTTGAGGAAGATGCTCTTGTATGAAAATGGCAACAAAAGCGTTAATATTTCCCAAATTATTAGTTATTTTGAAAATTATCTGCTATAATCAGGAAGTTAAAATAGAAAATAGAAGCATATTTATTATATCTCTTACTCATTTATACACGCTCTCTCTCTCTCTCTCTCTCTCTCTCTCTCTCCATGTATCTCTATCTCTCTCACGCACTCACTCTCTTTAATTTTTATCCGTCTTTTTATCCTTTCAAGAAAGAGAGTATACCTTTTTTTTCTCATTTCAATAGAGATGTAAAAAATGGCTAATACAGTATCTATGGAGGTATAGGCAATCAAGGATGTAATGTAAAAAATCTTTCCTTTTCCATATATTTCTATACTCTGTTTTGTTTTTGACAATAAAGAATATTGTATTATTTTATATCCGTTTAGAAAAGGAACGCATTATCTTCTTACCAATATCAATCTGTAATGAATATTACAAAACACTCTTGTGCATATACAATACTTGTATATACTATATATACAATATATATATATTTCTCTTAATTAAATGGCTGTTTTTATTTTCATCCTAGATCTAAACGAAGGGAGAAAATATGGAAAATAAATAGGGGGTGGGGGGAGAGAGAGAGAGGGGGTGGGGAGGGTGTGAAGAAACTGGTTGTGATTGAAACGATTTCTTTAATTATGCATGCTATTAATAGAAGTCTTATTAAAAGGTTTTTTTTAGTTTGTTTTAAATTATAGAATAAAGAGGGCGTTTGGGTAACAGTAAATATATGATACAGGGTCTAGCTTTATAGTTTATTAGAAAAAAAGCACTGGTTACTGTAGGAAAGTTAGCCGAAATTGACTAGATGATAAAAAATACTTTTAATAATACCAATTTATTATTAGTTAAAGCGGTTAGTTACTGCACGGATATTAATTAATACTCTCATTAATTATTAAAAGGTATAGTATACAGTAGGGGTTGTTTCACTCATATTTAGTTTTTCTCGTTATTTATACATATACAACACTAGGTGCACGCAATAGGATAGTTTTAAAATTGTAAGTATCTCTTCCTTATTTTACGACTATTAGAAACGAAATCAATCATTCAGTTATCTGATGAATTGGCTTTATATCTAGCATTATACCATATATATATATATATATAGAATATATACATTTATATACTACTGTATAGTACATAAACTCTCGGTGTCTATTATTCTATCATTAATTACATCATCGTTTAACGTGTGCATGTTGTTTTTCTCTTTCTAGTTTGTTTATAATGATAATATAGGAAAAATGGAAAAGCTGTCTAAATCAAGGGAAATCTTAAGCTATTTTTTTTACGATGTATGATAAACTCTTTTTTTTTATAAAAAAAAAGGCAATAATCTTCAATTACACTTCCCAGATAAGTTGCTTGTTGCTGTGTTTATTAAAAAATTATATACTAATTGTAGAAGCTTGTATTGTTTTTCTACAATCATTCAACTAGCAAATCATATCTTTAAGGAGAGAAGAGAGTGAATAGAAATCTCTCTAGAAGGCTTAATTTAATCATTTGAAGGTCTATTTTAAAAAACTACTTTACAATATTTACAACAGGGAATACTTTTCTCTCCATTATTCTCAGTTGTTTATCTGCGTAGTTTAATATGCGTGTGCGTATGTGTTTTATTACAGAAATATGTTAATTTTTACATATGTTTCCTTCAAATTCTTATGATATATATCAAAATCTTTACATATACATATACACATATATATTCAGTATCTATCTATATTTATATTTACATACCTGGACTGCTTAAACCCATAAATTAGCAAGGCTTTTTTTTTTCTTTATCAATGCGTCAGACATAATTGATTTGTTAATTGTTTATCAATTATTATGCTTTTTTCCTATTTTCCAGGAACGAGAAGATTGCTCAATTTAGAATTATTTCTTCAAGGTAAAAAATATATTTACTTCAAAACTTCTAAAAGTACTTTATGTAGTCTCTCTCTCTCTCTCTTTTTCCAATTTTCCATATATATAAAAATTATATAATAACAATTCAAAAGACGGCATTAGTTTATATATATATATGGCAAAACACTTCACATCTATAGCGATGGTAGAAGGTTATTTAAAAAAATAGATGAATCTCTTCGTAAATTAAATAAAAGTAAGGTAAGGAAAATAGCTTTAAAAAACAAGGGTACCACAGGTTTTCAAGAGCAGCCTCTTAATTAAATAGACATGTAAAGAAGAAGAGAGACTTTTCTTTACTACTTAAATGATTAAATTATTAGTGATATTGGGGGAGTTTTTAAAAGTAGTTTACTCTTCCCGCCAAAAAGTTTAAAAACCAGTTTTTAACACTTTTTTGTTCGTATTTAGCAGACTAGTTAGAAAGGTCGAATGTTTAGTTAATAAAGAATGACATTATCGTTAATATGTCGTAAATTACGCCTAAATATTCGACGTTAAAACTAAGCAGATCAATGCTAGTTGAATTGATATAAATAATAGATAAGGGTGTGTATAAAATATTTTAGCTCGTAGATGTCGCTTTTATCAGGCGCTTACTTTCATTTCGATCCATCGGATAGGCAATGGGAAAATTACTGCTTGGAATCGATATTGGGACAACTTCCGTTAAAACTGTTCTGGTTGATGGAACGACTGGAGAATTAATTAAAAGTCAGTCGAGAGAGACGCAAGCAACCAAGAATACATCTATTGCGGGAGGTAATGAACAAGACGTCTCTAAGATTCTTACTGCTCTGCAATTCTGTCTTAGTACTTTACCGAAGGAGAAGCTACTAAATGTTTATAAAATAGGCGTTGCTGGTCAAATGCATGGTGTTGTACTTTGGAAAAGTGACACTTCTTGGTCTCGAAACTCTTACGGAAGATTTGAGCTATCTTCTAACAATGTTTCTTCTCTATACACTTGGCAAGATACTAGAGCTGGACCAGATTTTTTAGCATCATTACCGAGGCCCGATTCCCATCTAGGCCTATCGACCGGTTACGGTTGTGTAACGTTACTCTGGTTGAAGGAAAACAGAGTAAATTGTTTGGAAAATTACGATTGCGCCGGAACTGTACAGGATATGGTAGTTTGCATGTTAACAGATTTGAAAAGACCAGTAACTTCAACTCATAACGCTGCCTCTTGGGGTTATTATAATGCAGTCGGCAAACAGTGGAATAGTGATATGTAAGTATGGAACGGCAATAGAAAAGCCTCCCTCTTTTCTTTTTATCCGTGTTTTTATCTTGTATAGATAAAAGTTTAATTAAAGAATACGGCCTATTCAGATTAAAGCGGCAAGGATTACGGGAGGAGCTCCTACCGGATGTCAAGGAAGCTGGAGAGGAAGCTGGAAAACTTTGCTGCAATTGGTACGAAATCCCCGAAAATACTCCTGTTGGGGTAGCGATGGGCGATCTCCAATGCTCAATTAGGGCAAGATTATCGAAGCGGTCGGATGCGGTTCTAAATATAAGTACATCCGCTCAGTTGGCTTTCGAAATGCACGATGGGTTCGAACCCTCAGTGAAGAAGGAAGAACTCACATCGACAGTAGATTATCTACCGTATTTTGGTTCGAGATACGTTGCTGTTGCGGCGTCGCTTAGTGGAGGAAATGTCATGGCGGCGTTTGTTAGGACACTGCAGCAGTGGACACACGAATTAGGCGTAAGCGTTCCCCAGGCGAAGATCTGGACAACCCTTTTGTCTCAAACACCCCGCGAAAGTGATTTAACTGTCGTTCCAACACTCTTTGGAGAAAGGCATTCACCGTCAGTTCGTGCCAAGGTAGATAATATTACAACGGATAACACTAGTTTGTCATCGGTCTTCTCAGCAATCTGTAAGGGCGTCGTTTGTAATTTGCATTCGATGATGCCCAGGCACGTTCTTCTAGCAGCAGCCGTTAAGCGAATAGTTGGGTCGGGATCCGTGTTAGCTCGAAATCATCTAGTTAGGCAATACGTTGAGGGAATCTATCAACTACCTCTCGTCATATCTTCGGATACCCAGGCAGACGCAGCAGTTGGTGCTGCTTACGCCGTTGGCAATTTCTACGCTAATTAAGACGAAATAAACACAAGAACGATGTATAGAAGATAGCCAATTCGATAATCGCTCTTCTACTTCACTCGTCGAATAATCGATGTTTCTCCCATTTAAATTAACGAAGGTAGAAGACCAAACTTCTCTTATTAATTATTGGTTTTTGAGAAAAGAAAACATATACTCATAACCTCTTTATCTTTTAACCTATTAATGAGCTTTTTGCGGCTTTTACGAGTGCTCTGTAAACTCGGGGATTATGTAAAAGAAATTGATAAGATTAGTATTGCTGACGTTCCTTACAGGCGTCTCTGTTGCTACTGCCATCTGTTTCTTTCTTGGCGTTAAAAAAAAACAATGCACTCTATTTTTTTTGTTTTATTTTGCTTAATAAAACTATAGTCTGCATTTAGGTCATATTTTAATCTTCATAAAACAACGGATAATTCCCAGATAGATTTTTGTTTGGGTTACAAAATACGATTGTAAATATTTATAGTAGAAAGTTATTTCCATTCAATACTTTTAACAATCGTCCTTGACAATCACTTAAAAAAAACGTTCAAAATTGATAAGAACCTAACAGAAAACAATATCCATTCAATAATTAAAAGTAATAATATTAAAAAAAAAAAAAGACTATACTGTAAATAAACAAAAGAAGGAATATTAACATAAAATATCTTTCAAGTAAAACTTTACAAAAACAAACAAATAAACAAACAAAAAATTTTTATACATAATTCTATTATTTTTTTCTTTTTTGTTTTTTTAAAAAAAAAATAATCACTTTGTTTTTGTTTTTCCTTTTTTTACTTATTTTGACCTGGAACTTTTACTAAAAATATAAATATAACATAAATAATGTAGTTTCTTTTTTTTTCAATAACGTTAAACAAAATACTTTGTTATTTCTATTATTCGTAATTTTTATTAAACAACTGCGTAATTATTGATTTATTTGCTGTTTTTTTGTTGTTTTCAGCGTTTTTTCTTTTAGTATATATACAGTATATAGTTCTAAAAAGGCTAAATAAAAATTTTTACTAACTTTCTGTTTTTTTAAAAAAACAAAACAAAACAATAATTTTTTATCACGATTTACAGCAACTTCGTCGTTTCTTTTCAGGATTTTCATTTAGTTGTAAACCAGCGTTTCTAACGCTAATATCTTCGTTAGCGGCAAGTATTCTGTTGAGTGGAAAATACTAATTTTTAATTATCTATTTTAAAAGGCTTTTGCTCTCTTTCATTTCGTACCTTGATAATTCTATAACAGCTTCTTCGATGTTCTTGCCATTTTTTGCGCTTGTTTCTATATAGAATGCATCGATTTCCTGTGAAATTATATAAAAAAAATTCAATTTTCAGTTGAGTTATTTCACTAAAAGGCTAACAAACTTACTTCAGCCAATCGCTGACCTTCCTTAGTGGTGATGAAAGTTTTTGAAGAGTTCCAGGCATCTGTTTTGTTAGCGCACAGTACGATGGGCAATTTGTTAATTTCTTCGATTGTACTTGTCCAGTTTCTAACGTTCAAAAAGGACTCTGGATCAGTAGAGTCGTAGAGTAAGAGCACTCCATCAGCCTTTTTAAAGTATGACCTTGCGACGCTTCTAAAACGTTCTTGTCCTGCAGTATCCCATATTTGAACGGCTATTGGTATACCGTCTAGTTCAATAGATTTTGTTTGAAAATCAACACCAATCGTTGAAGATGTCGCGTTCGGTCGAAAGATGTCGTTGCATAAACGCATTAAGAAGCTGCTTTTACCGACATTTGAATCCCCTGCTAAAACTACTTTAAACATTCTTTGAGGTTCGCTCATGCTAATTATATGATGACTCCTGGTTGCTTCAAAAACTGAGGATACCGAATCATCCTCTGAAGTATATTTCCCGCTATCCATATCGTCCTGAGCTCTGAAAAAATCGGTGGACACCGGACTTCTTTTGACCTGAAACAAAGTCAATTTAGTTTGCAAACGTCGATAATCATATCCGAGACAAGTAATTTACCAAATAAGATTTACGACTCCTTTCTGCCTCAACAGAGGATCTTAGCTCTTCGTTAACGCCGTGTAGACGTCTATTAGCATCGCTGTTATGATAAACGCGTAAGGATATTTCTGACATAAAAATAAACAACGATCTTACTGTAGCGAATGAATTTGATGAGATAAATTTTCGTGTTCGCTCATATATTCGGTCAATAATTCTTTTTCACTTAAAAAGCAAGTAAGCAGATATTAAACTAAAGAAAGATAGAAAGAAATAAGGAGGGGACCGAGAAGAGACGAAATAAAAAGAAGGAATAGATTCTCTTTTTCTCTATATCTCATGTCTTCTTCTCCTTTTTCTTCTTCTTCTTCTTCTTCTCTTTCGTCTTCTTCTACCTCTGCCTCTCCTCCCTTTCTTAAACTTGTAACGAATAAAGGATACATACTTTTCTAATTCGAAGCACTTATCCTCGTACTTTTGTTTCAAGTGCGTAAAATCCGATTTGATAACAGTTAATTGAGTATGGGCATCCGTTAAGCAACTCTTCAACGACCTAATTTCATTTTTCATCTCTTCAAAATTTTCTTTAGTTATCCCTAAACGTCTTTCACCCCATAATTCTGTCTCAACTTTTTCTAATCTCCTTAATCTTGCTCTCAATTCAACAATTTCACTAAAATGGCTATTTTTTGATAAATAATTTGCAGATTTTGTTAAAGCGTCTTGTTGTAAATTTCTTTCTAATTCCGTGTTTGAAATTTTTAGGCGTTCGTCTACAAAATATTCTTTAGGTTTAGCAGCCTCGTCCCGCTGTTTGTAGGCCTGTTCAATATCTCTGATAACCGATGATATAAGGGACTCGAATAAATTTAACACGTTAGGTCTGTTATCGGTAAGTAATAGGTGGTAGAGTTCATAGATTTCATCCTGGCTATATATATAATTAAATTAACTGTTTGAATTACTTTTTATGAACAATTTACGACGTAATATTACTATTAGTAATCGATTATTGAGTATTGTTTTTAACCTATCTTTATAAATATCTAATATAATTTATAAATAACTTACCAAGACAACACTGAAAAATTTGTATTTAAATTATCAATAAATCCACTATTGTTATTTCCTTTTTGATCAATTGAGGAACTAATGTTGGCGAAACCCTGTTGAAATTCCTCTATTGATATTCTTCCATCACCATCTTTATCCAATTGTAGAAAGACTTGACGTGTCTCATCACAATTTAAATTCGGACATATTAAAGATAATTGTTTTTCGTTAATGTAACCGTTTCCTTCAGTGTCGTACGCCTTAAATATTGCTAATATTTTACCGCTTGTGTCCATGACTTAAAAAAGTATGGCCATCGCTACATTCGTACTCTTTATTATTCCACCGACACATTCGATTTTATGTTTTTCTAAGCATCTGTTACACTTTTTTTTTATCCCTGGTCCACACGGCTGTTAACTTGTTCACGTTCAATGCCCGGTGTTATTTTCACTGGTACCAGTTTTAATTGGCATTTACTTTGCGATTTTATAGCAAGAATTGAATTGTTTTCTTTTTTTAATGAGAATTAAACAGATGTATAAAATACCAATCAGCTTTCTTTTTCTTATAGATATATAAAAATATATTTATATACATTTTTTTTTTCATAGAAATAATACCTAAAATTCTATATCTTTTCAAGTGTGAATAACAGCTGCAGACTATTCGCAGTATGATACTTTTAAGCTTTTGAAAAATACCCCGCCACATTAGAATAGTCCCGCACTTAAGTATTTATTCAAAATCATGATAGATGAACAGCTTTAGATAAGTATGTATCATTTATTGCACTATAGTATTAAAATGAATTGCAGAATAGTTTGGTTACACATTCAACGCGCAAAATGTGGTTGACAAATGAAAGAGGAACACTGAACATCATGCTAAAGTGTATCTATATTTATATAGCTTGTAGGATTCTCAAATAAAAATGAAATGAACTCTAATTAAAGTGTTCATTTATTTGTAATGGTTATAAAAATTTTAAATCTTTTTAATCATGATATACAAACTGTTTAATACTTTCAAGTTTAATTTGAATTTAACAGATAGGTTTGAGAATCCCGCCAGATGATGCGCACCTGGCATGCGCAGAGAGCGTCTGTTTGATTAAGCATAAATTTTCGCTGTTTAATTGGGCTTCTTATTTTAATAAAATCATTTTCGCCAAGACTGCAAGTTAGAAATTATGACAAGATCTCTCTGCAATCAGAAATGGATAATTTTAAACAGCGATCGGCAGTAAATCTGACTGTTTAATTAATTATTTTATTTATTTGAAAATTTTCAAAGGTGAGTCTACTCATTTTCCTTAGCTCTAACATTAATTAACGCTTATTTGCCGAATTCAAAAGCTCTACTTATTGCTTGCAGGAGTAGATATTTTGACAATTAATGATTGACTATTACTGTCGCTAAACTGATGAGATTATAGTTTGTCAGAAGCAACGTGCAGCATCTGTCAAATCTGTAATCAATTGCGTTATTACGCTTATCAAGTATTTACTAATTAACAAAATTTATAGTAAATATTAAGATTTACACGTTTAAAATATATTTGTATAAAAGATATGGAAGGTAAAGCGGCAAAAAATAATATTTAGGGCTTTCAATCTAAAATCTAGATTGTTAAAATTTAAGGATTCTGCAATCGCGAGTTTGCTCCTCGTCTTTCTTATTAGAATAAATAAAAAATATTTAAACATAAAAAATGAAGTTATACGTTGCTAAGTAGTAGGCCTTCTCCAGGTCATCATGAGCAACGTTCGCAAACCGAGTAGTTGCGCTGGCGCTGGTGCGGGTGATTCGGCCAGTCCTCCTCCAAGTCCTTCTCCAGAAGAATCTGATGCTCTAACAGCAAATTTCGAAGCTAGTAGGGGATCATCCCCTCTTCCCACTGAGTACTTCAAGGTAGATCAATTTTTGGTTGTTTAATGTTTTATTTTTTTGAGTAAAAGAAAACCAACATGCTTGTGAATTGATTGCATTGAATTTCTTTATCAAATGTAGTTGCTTTTCTTTTACGCACTTTTTTTTGTTTTTGCATGAAAAATGTGCACGTTATCTTTCTTATCGAATCGTTGATTAAAGATAATAAGTTGGTGTAGGCCTAAAACAACAACAACAAAAAATATCACTCTAAGAATTATATTTGAGGTATTTTTCTGAGCATATGTTGCGCAACTGGTCTTATTCTATTTCATAGACGATGTAAGAGGCGGAGTCTATTGACGAGTCAAGTTCAGCTAACTACATGATTGGTATAGATGCCCTGGACGAGATATGAACAATATGTTCTATTTGCTTTCAACCCTCGATAAAGATTTTATAATTTGTACTATACACCAAAAAAAAAAAAAAAATAATACAAAATTGTTATTCATCATTAATTAGATTCTCTTTCTCTCGCTCCCTCTCTCTCCCCAGATCACCTTTCTATTTACCTATATATCTTTTTATCTCTTAATACATTTCATTATGGCTTTTTTCTTTAAAATGTCAACTAAATTAATCCCAACATCTCATTTTATCTTATACGCATGCAAAGCAAGAGACGTGTACAAAACACACCCTTTTTTTTTCCCACTTGAAAATTATTTAAATAAACAAACATGTATATATATATATATACTAATACATATATATATATATACAGTATATTTAATCTATGATTTTTTGCATTTGCATATGAACATTCTATTATTTCAATGCATTCTTTTATTTCTATGAGCAATAAAATAGCATTTATATATGTTAATTAGTAATTCTCTTACATCATTTGGTTCTACTCTTTTATATTTGATTTTTATTCTTTGTATTAAATTATTTATATTATATTTGAAGTTTGTCAATTTTTTCTTATATATCAATCTTTTTCATTTATATAGAAGAAAGATAGTTCGGCGTCCATTAATATGGAAGGTAGTAGTGGTGGTTTAGATAAAAATCGTAAAGTTTACGTCACTCAACCTGGTCATCATAAGCCAAAACCTACTGGACCTTCTGGTAAAGCGTCGAAAGATAAGAATAAAGCGGATATAGCTAAAGAAATACATAAATGTAAAGAAGAGAACGCTTATCGTCTTGATTTATCTAAACAGCAGTTATCCGTTTTGCCAACAAGCGTTAAGGACCTTACGCAAATTTGCGAATTGTATCTTTACGGCAACAAATTGGCGTGTCTACCCCCAGAAATTGGGGTACTTCAACAACTCAAGACTTTAGCTCTTAGCGAGAACTCCCTGACGAGTTTACCTGAGACGCTAGCGAGTTTACACTCCATTCGTGTCCTGGATCTAAGGCACAATAAATTGACTGAAATTCCGGAGGTCGTTTACAAACTAACGTCACTTTGCACACTTTTCCTTAGATTCAATCGTATCCGCTTTGTCGGCGATGAAATATCTAAATTGACGGTGAGTTATTTCTTTTTTTTTAATTACAGACGACTGAAACATAACACCATTAATAACAATTAATTAACAGAAACTGGGGATGCTTAGTCTAAGAGAGAACAAGATTAAGCAGCTGCCCACAGGCATAGGTTGCCTCGTTAAATTAGTCACCTTTGATGCTTCTCATAACCAGTTAGAGCATATACCTGAAGAAATTGGACGATGTACTTTACTCTCCTCCCTCGAACTTCAGCACAACGAACTTATCGATTTGCCAGAATCGATAGGTAACCTCGTTCAACTAACACGTTTGGGCTTAAAATATAACCAATTGCGGGATATACCTCGTACACTATCTAACTGCAATCAATTAGAAGAGTTCAATGTTGAAGGAAACATTATACCTCAATTGCCCGAAGGTTTATTATCTAGTCTGACCAGAGTAACTAGTATTACTCTATCGCGGAATGCATTTGGCTCGTATCCGGTTGGAGGACCTTCACAATTTTGTTCGGCAGTCGTAAGTATTTTTTTGTTTTTCACTGGTTGTTTGTCGCTAGTTCACTAACTAGAGTTCAAGGTTCTCTTGTACTTGACGCGCTCGTTGTTTGTGAGAACTCGAAATCAGACATGTTTCTCTTTCTATATACCATATATATGTCTCATTTTACTTTCCTCTTTCCTTCCGTCCATTATTGATTCGTTTTATTAAATTTCATTTCTGCTTTCTCTTCCCAGAATATAAATATGGAGCATAATCAAATCAACAAGATACCTTTTGCCATCTTTTCGCAAGCAACTTATCTATCTAAATTAAATATGAAAGACAACAAACTGACGTCATTACCATTAGACATGGGCCACTGGACTAATATGACAGAATTAAACCTGGGAACAAATCATTTAAACAAGATACCTGATGATATAAAGCATCTACAATCGCTAGAAGTTCTCGTACTTTCGAACAATTGCCTGCAACGATTACCAGTATCAATCGGCCATCTGCATAAGTTACGAGTTCTTGATCTCGAAGAGAACAAGCTGGAGGTGCTGCCAGATGAGATTGGTCACTTGACTTCATTGACCAATCTCGTCGTTCAATCTAATCAGCTAACTCAACTACCAAGGGCTATAGGACAGTTGCATAATTTAACATACTTATCAGCAGGAGAAAACGGATTGCATTCTTTACCGGAAGAAATCGGCAATCTCGATTCTCTGGAATCGTTATACATCAACGATAATCCGAACCTTCATCAATTGCCGTTCGAGTTGGCACTCTGTTCAAATCTGATAATAATGAGCATAGAGAATTGCCCATTATCTACCATTCCAACAGAGATTGTAGCTTCTGGACCGTCGCTTATCATTCAAGTAAATAATAATTACATTTCGATTTTTTTTATTCTTTTCTTTCTCGTTTATAATCTGTAATTTAACGCTCTTTCCCTTCTTTTATATTTCAGTATTTAAAGCTACAAGGTCCCTACACAGCTGGAAGGCATTAATGATAATCATACGTTTAAAGAAAAAAAGAATCATGCAGACGTTCTAAATGTGTTACAAATGTGCTCACGTTATGCACTTACACAACACACCTTGTTTTCTTCCGATCGCCCAAAAATACGAAGTCGTTATAAATTATTATCCGTGTATAATCCTGTTGATCTTTTATTAGTTATTATAATAACAACTACAACAAATATTCCATAAAAAACAATATATTATAGTTATTGCCTACCAATTTGTCGTCGATAAAGTGGTTGAGCCGTATTATATTTTTATAATAAAATAATTATTGCCAGAAAACAAACAAAACAAACAATTTAAATGTCTTCTATTAAAATACAAACAAATTAAAAACAAAGGAAAAAATATTCCGCTAGATGGCACTTTTGTATATAGTATACAGAAGGAACAATCCATCTTTTCTTTTCCCGCGTTAAATTAATAATTACTAAAGTTAAATAATGATTTTCCTTTCACTGATTGAAAAGGAAATTGTATAGACTTTTTAAATAAAAAATAATAGGTATCACTACAGCGGGACGTAAGTGATATATGTGAACCAGCAAATGTGAAATGTCGATAAAAAGCGAGAAAGGATTGTTTTCGACATTAATTCTATTGGAAATGAGCTTGACGAAGTTTATTATAACTATTGGCTTGTTAGCAAGCTCAATCGACGACTGTCAAGGGAAAAGGGGATTGATTAAAGGTAAAATATATTATTAACTCATTTTTCTTTTCCATCAGTCATCTTAGTTTTCCCTTTAGTTTTATTTTTTTTTCTTTACCTAATTTCTAGAATGTAAAGTATCCGATGTCGGATTCGATTATCAAGGTAAGGAATTTCGAAAGACCACTTCCGGTAGAGATTGCCAAAGATGGGATTCTCAGGAACCTCACCCACACGATTACACAGCTGAAGACTTTCCTGAATATAGTACAGTTTATCTTTGCTTTTGTTTTCACAAAAAATACTCTGTTATTTACAATTTATTGTGAAAAATAGGTCTAAAAGAAGCCAGCAATTACTGCAGAAATCCTGAAGAAGAAGAGGACGGCCCGTGGTGCTTTACCCAAGATCCTGATGTAGAATGGGAAATTTGCAGTGTACCTAAATGTCATGATAAACCCGAATGCCGTTTTACGGAAAAAGCCGTTGAATATAAAGGATCCCTCTCCAAGAGTTGGGACGGCACTGACTGTCTGTTTTGGAATGAACTTTCAACCTCAATTGAGGGAGTTAACGAGAAAGATAAGAACTTCTGTAGAAATCCGAATGGAATGTGGGAAGGTCCAGGTTGTTATGTTGCTGAAAATGTATGGCGACTATGTGAAATTGAGTATTGTAAACGTAAGATAATTGTTTATTTGTTTCTATTTCGGATTGACCCTTTTTGTTTAACTTATCAATCTTTCACAGCCGCTACTCAATGTAAAAGAACTCAGACAGGAGCTGAATACAGCGGTTCTTTAGCTGTCACTAAATCTGGCAGACCCTGCCAAAGATGGGACACGCAAGCTCCGCATAATCACTCGTTTAATAATCCTGAACAATTTCCAGAGGAAACCTTATCAGAAGTTTCCAATTTTTGTAGAAATCCCGACAACTCCCCTGATGGTCCTTGGTGTTTAACCCTAGACCCAGATATTATAAGGGAATCGTGCCATATACCAATATGCGATAATTGCGCCCCAAAACAACAGCCAAGAGCCTATTTTGGAAATAAAAAAACAACTTCAACAGGTAAAGACTGTCGATTGTGGAGTTTGCATTATAACGAATCCGAATCGACAAGATTTCCCGACAGTAGTGTTAAATCGGCAGAAAATTTCTGTAGAAATCCAACAAATAACGGTAACGGTCCATGGTGTTTCATTGATGCCGATGGGTCAACTGAAAGCTGTAACATTAATACATGCAAAAGTAGCGCTGTAGTTAAACATATACTACATATTGGGCTGGATGGATTTAAGCTGGACTGCGTTCCACCCACCAAATATCCCAATCTTAATAATTTGAAAAAAACAGCATCTTGGACTTACACTAAAGCTAGAACAACAATTCTGGCATCCTCAGCACCTGGTTGGTCGGAAGCCTTGTGTGGAATGTCACCAGAGAGGACAGGTATATTATACAATGCATGGCTTCCACCATGGCAGGGTATGATTACTTCGATTCCAGTGACTCCAACCTCTGGAGCAGATTATCCAATACCGTGCGCATTTAGGGTTCTTCGTGAACACGACGAATATATTCAAACTGGCGCTTTGTACGGTTGGGAATGGATAAAGAATATTGCAGGCACAGGTATGCCTGGAACAATGCATAAAGATGAATTCTGCAAGCCTCAAGGTATCATATGCGACAGAAATATCACAGAAACTCTCAAAGAGTATATACCGGAAATAGTTAAAGCATCTGAAAGGAGCTATACTTTTGCTCATCTAGATAGTCTTGACGGTGCTGGTCATAGTCATTCCTGGTGTTCAGACCAATATTTTGATGCTATTGAAGAAATAGATAAACTTGTTGGAGAATTACTCTCCATTCTGTCGGACGAAGTTCTTCTCATAATTAACTCTGATCACGGTGGGGTAGGTACTGATCACGGTAATTATTTTGATGATACAATCCAAGTTCCGCTCTTCTTCCGTGGACCTGGAATCAAACGAGATTACGAAATGAAGGCTTCAGCCAGAAATCGAGACATTTTACCAACAGTAGCCCATTTATTGGGTATTCAAGCTAACCCTCATTGGGATGGTCGTTTATTGAAGGAAATATTAGACTTGTAATCAAAATAATAATAAAAAATCGCTCTTTATATATATATAGAAAAAAACAGAGTAATAATAAAGTAACTCTAATATGAAAACAATTTCAATAATGCACTAAATTCAGCAATGGGAAGGGAGCTTTTTCTTTTCAGGGAAGCTTTATAAGCAGTTATTTTATTGTTTTTCATTTTTCTAATCATCCTGTAAAAGAAGAGAAAAAGGAAATAATGAAAGACAATCGTCTAAAAATAAATGGGATATTTTTTGTCTTAATTGCAATTAACAAAAGTAATTTATTAAGAGTTAATTGCTAAGCAAAAAAGAGAAGGCGGAAACAATAAATACGTGAATTATTGTTTAAGTGATAATTTCAAATTAGTTGTATTAAAATTTTGAAAGACAGAAATACGTGCCCATTCTTGGTCTTCTACACCTTCCATTCCATCTTGTTCCAAGCCTCTATCAGTGTTAACTTTAGAACTAAAAGATTCGAGAAGCTGTGCAGAAGTAGATAACGTATAGGATTATATTAATTAAAAAAAGCTGAAAGTCATAGAGTTAAGGTTAAGTGTCATGAGGGAAAAGATTCCGGTTTTAGCGTCACATGAGCTAATATATATTATAAATATGTCTATTATGAATAAATTACGTACAATATTTACGCAAATGGCTTAAGAAGTAGCTCTGTTGGGTTTTAGCATTCATTTTGAACACATTTGATGACATAATTACTTTATTATAAAAGTACTTGTCAAGAGAATTTTAGTCAGGTTTAAAGATAATTAAATAACTTACTTCATCTCTCTTTTCGGCATCAGTTTTCGTTTTAACTTCCGATTCAAACTTATATTTGCTTGCTCTTGGCTTATCTGGATGATCGCTAAGATTATCCATATCAGTCGGCTTTAAGTCGATTGTTCTGAGAGGTTTGTTTCCACCTTGTTCCCACTCATCAGGTGTCATAGAAGGCTCCCACAGAGCTTTTGTTGGAGGAAAAATATCGTCTTGGAAATATTCCATTTTACGCCTAGGAACAGTAATGGGAATAGGTTCGATAGTTGAACGCGTAAGGCGTAAAATTCTAGCAAATTCGACAGCCTTAACATTACATTCAGTTTTAGGTAAAAGACCAAAACCCTGATGGGCTCCGTCACCTTTTATGTCCGATAAACGAGACAAGTAGGGAGCTTCGTTAATTGCTTCAAAAGCGAATATAGTTCCATCACCCTTTAACAAAAGTAAAATTTAATCGCTACAACGACAAACCAAAGAAGCTTACTCGGCCAGTTGCGAATATTGTTCGACTATCTTCGTCGTATAGCATCATAAGCGTTGCCGGCGATACATCTATTTCTTCGCATGCAAGACTAACTCCTTGCAAATTAACAGCATCGAATATAGATATATTTCTTGTTTGTTGCCTTGTGAAGTTACTAACAGCTAGTTTGTCACCACCACAAACATATTGGATTCTTCCCCCTCGGCTATTTTCAATTATTGCGGAAGCTTGCTGTTTAATTAAAACCGGTCTCCTAAATAAACATAATTAGCAGGATTATATAAAATCAGCTTACCTTCACTGGATCTACAGATTTCCTTGGCTCATAAACCCTGATTTTCGAATCTTTACACAGGGTAACACACTCTGAACCATTCGGATGCCATGATAAGTTGAAGATAACATCCGTGTGACCATTTAAAGTGTGTGAGCAAGACTTTTTGTCTAGATTCCATATTTTCACTGTAAAATCGAAAGAACCACTAGCTAAAACATCCTTCGCTAACGGATGAAATTTGATGAAGTAGATCTTGTCGGAGTGATCTAAAAGGGTAAAATGTTAAAAATAGAATAAAGTATACTGTACATGTATATATATATATATATATATATATATATATATATATATAATTATTACCCCTGAGGGAAAATTGTGGTTCTTTCAAAGTCTCTTCTAGACCCTCTGTAGGAATAGTCCAAATATTTATGGTAGATTCTTCAGTACCAATGGCAATTCGGCACTCATTAAATGGATCGAATGCGAGGTCAGTAACATTGGAACCGTTGTGTAAAACAGGAAGACCAGTTACTGGTAGCTTGCCGTATTTTGACAGCTAATAAATAGAGAAAGCAGATAGAATATTTATCTTCAAGAAAAATGATAGTAATTTGCAAGTGTTAACCTCTAGAACAGCTACACAACCTCCAGGACCATTCAATGGGAGAGCACAACGTTTCCTGTTAACCGAAAATCCATCACTCTCACCAGGGATAGTTTTGCTTAGATTTTGTAAGTTTACAATATGGTAATTTTTGTGTAATGGTTTTCCTTGTAAATGTTTAAATTTTGAGATTCTCTGAGTTTGAAACTTTGCGCCGCCTGGCTTTTTTACAACAGGTGTGACATCATTTTTTATTTCAACCTCTGCTGTTTTCTCGGCTGCCCTTTCCTCAGACTTTTCAGGCGCTTCTGCTTCCATTCCAACAGGTTTTTTCACGTTCTTTAATTTAATTTGAGCAAACGATGGCTCTAATTGTTCCACATTACTGCCTTTGTCAGTCACAGCAACGGAATGTCGAAGCTTAACATTAAAAGGTGAAGATGATCCATTACTTTCTGAATTTGGCTTTTCCCTGCGGAGTGGATCGACATGGCGAAGTTTTACTTCTTCTACCGATTGTGTCTTTTGCAATTTAGAATGCGAATTCTTGTCAACTTCTTCTACAGTCTTTGTAGGAGGTTCCGGCATTTGTTGATTTTTCTTTGTTGGGTCTAGACTTATTTTGGACAATGGAACAATAGCTCCTGACATCCAAGAAGTCGATGTCATAGATGGCACGGAACAATTCGTATCCGGAAAGATATCAGCATGAAAGTCGTAATACGATTTTCTTGGAACAATGTAAGGTACAGGAATGATGTTGTGCGATGCCAGCAACAATACGCGATTAACTTCACCGGACATAACATTCATAGACTTCTTAGGAGCAAGAGCAGCTCCTTTAAACTGCTGAACGCTGTCAATAGACGCTACATAGGGATATTTTTACAAATTTAATAAAGCCGTATAATAAAGTAACAAGTAATAATTATCTGTTAAGTTACCCTCAGTTAAAAATGGATCTTTTTCCTGAGTTTCCATAAAAGAGATCATAGTATCACCCTATAATATAATAAGAATATTAATATTAACAATATTAAACTGATGGTCAATTTTAATTTCAATTAAATGAAATATTGATCTGTATTAAAGTTTACCTTTCCGGCTAGGAAAAGCATATTCGTGTCAGGATCATAGAGTGGAATGAGAATTCTAAAGTGAAATAATAATACTGTTTAACTATATTTTAATAAAAACAAGGATATGGAAGAAAAATAGTATAAAATAGAAATAATATAACGAACCCATTATTATTTCCTGCTTCACGAGTTATTAGAGGAGAGTTAAATTTTCTAATATCATAAATATTTACTTCCCTTGACCGTTTCTATTGAAGAAACATAAACAACAAATGAAATTAGATAATACTATATTAAAAGTAAAAAGAAAAACAACCTCAGAGAATCCTGTGCTTATGGTATAATTTCCGTCGCCGCACCAAAGACTTCTTGAATCTCTGATACCTGCATGTCCATTAGTTGAATTTGCAAGGCAATTTTTTCGTGGATCAATAATTCTTATTTTTCTATCCTTGCAGGAGCTTACAAGTAAACTTCCGTCTCCTTTCCAAGATATACTCTGTACTTGGTCGGTATGTTCATTGAACTCTACAATAAATCAGGAAAGTTAAATGGCCACTCAGAGTATATATATAACGTAACAGTATATTACCGAAAAAGCATTTGTTGGCCTCTACGTCGTAAACCGATACAGAATGAGCAGAGGCGGTAGCAATAATATCACTTGCACAAGGATGCCAAAGTATCCTCTCAATCCTCTTGGAGAGGGCGCAAAGTTGTTTGTGGGGGTTACTTATACTCTCGGTAAAATCCTCTTGTGGTAACTTCCATAACTTAGCTGTACAATCAGTCGATGAAGTTGCCAATAAACAATCATCAAATGGTGAAAAATCGAAATCTGTGACGAATTCTGTATGAAAAAAAAAAGAACGATTAGTCAAATAAAAATAGAGAAAAATAAAGAATAGAAAAGATAAATAGATATTTTTGAAAAGGATAGAAAAGGTTTTATAAAATATATTTTCTTTTATACCTGAATGTGCCAGAATTTCGTGAGTGGTCCTCTCTACTTTTCCAGTATGTTTTAGGGATACTACACCCAATGAACCACCACCTTGAATAAATCAATTAATAATTAATAACCTAAAATTGTCAATATGGGTGTGTTTTATAATAGAATATTTACAGATATGTATATACAAATATAAATATAATAGATTATAATGGATGTATTTGTAAATATTTGGAATATTTGTAAGGAAACTAACTCGATGTGTTGTAGGCAATATACTTGGCACTGCATTGAATGTGATTACCAGCACAATTTAATAAATTAGCCGAGTTTACGTCAGTTATCCATTGCTGTACATAAAACGGAAAGTAGTCTTAATATAAAAGCTATACAAGCACGAAACAATAAATTATTGCAGTGTAGTACGTGCCGATAAAACGGTCCATACTCATTAGCAATGCCAATTTATTGTTTTATAATCTAGTATAAACAATTTTATAAATATCGAGGCACTTACGTCCTTTTTTGGAATCTTTGGAGCAGAGTTTTTAAATTTTGACACGTTTCTCCAGGCCATTTTTCTCTTACTTTAAAAAATAAGTTTAGGTCAACACAAAATAGACAGCGCAATAAATTTATAAATAGGATTCAAGCAATTATATAATCGTAGGCCGTCGTAGAACTTCCGTAAACAGATCCCAGGTGACTTGAATTGCCAAGATATAAATTTCCTTATCCAAGTTCTCGCTATAGTTTTTAAACTGCTATTAACGATTCTTATCGTCAAACAATAGATTTCCCTACTTATTCGTCTGTCTTGTGATGATTCATGTGAGGCGGTTCATGAATGAGCGATAATCCAGCGATTTGACCCGAATTGACCTCTTTTGCATTGATAAATGGACAGGGATAAATTTGTAGTTGTATATACTATTATCTAATCCATTTGTCAATAAATTATGCAATAAAAATTTAAATTTTACATATCTAAAAAGTCGAATGATATCCCTTTTATCAAAGTATCAAAAAAATGGCGATCACCGCCTAAATTTGAATTCATTCATGTCAAAGCTTGAATAGAATATTATAATTGAAAAGACTTCAGCGTTGATTGCTTCTATTAAATATTTATAAGAAATCTTTAAATAGCATTTGTAGGTAAATAAATACGAATAACCATACATTTCCAAGATGAGAATAATTGGAAAGCAATGTTTTCAATTTCAATTTAGTAGAAAAATAAATAAAGTTAAGATTTGTGTATTTTGGAAAAAGCTAATATGACAAATTAATTCTAAATCAAGCAGGGTTTTTTTAGATAGAATATAAACAGAATATCAGATAAGACTTAATTGAAATAGCTTACAAAAGAACATTCGAAAAAGAATACATATTGTATGCGTTACGATACATTATTCTTTTGTTCTTTTCGTGTATATGGTATGAATCAATTTTCGTTCCATTTTCTCCAATACTCACATTAGTAGTTATTTAATAAGTTGAGAATAATCATCTTAGGAGACTCTTTAAATTAGTAGATTAATTGGTTTGTGACAGTTTTAGTCTATATCCATTAGTTTATTCTCCAGAGTGAACTTCTACGTCCCAACTTTACTTAATTTACGTTTAAATCTCAAAATCTCTATAGGATTAAGTTTACGGTAAATTTACCCTTGTTTTTTCCACCCATAGTTTTATATTTCTCAAAAATTCTTAATGATTTAGGCAAAAAGATAGCTTTTTATCTTTAGTAGAATTTTTATTTTATTTCTTATCGAGATAAAAGAGCTCATTCATCTCATTGGAGTTTTATCTTTATATTTGTTACTAAATCATCGAATTTTTCTAGGATAGAATCCAAGATTTCTTAGTAATATTATTTAAACTTCTTATGTTTATTGACTTGGAATTCTAAACAGTGTTTAAGGGCTGTTTTCTTTATAAACAAACCGAAGCTAATTTGGAGCATCTTTTTTAAATAATTCTATTTTTACAAAACTTAGAATAGAAACATTCTTCTTCTGTGACCTATTTTAAGGTGCATTAACCTAAACAGGATACAATTTTATCCTTAGTGGCATTGATCTATGATTGTTAGTTCCTTATCTATATATTAATCGACTGATGTGTTCATTTATCAATTATGAACTTTAATCTAACAAAGATGGGATGCTTGAAACTCTTTTGAAAGTTACTTAAAATTCCCTGGTGATGATTGGTTAAGAAGTTTGAAAATCTTTTTTATCGAAGTTCTGTTTGGTTTGGTTATTTGTCTTTAGAGAAATATGCAAAACTGAGGTAATTTTTTTGAATAAAAATGATGGTTAATAGAAATGTTACTCCGAGCGATAATATCACATTAAATGTTGCAAATATCAGCAGAAACGAATTTCAGTCCTGTACGCCACCTATAAATTCCAAACTGGAATGTGAAGGTCACGCAGCCCTACCTTTTCACTTTTTCATCATTAAGTCGGTCTAATATGACGCTATCGAAGCTCAACAAATTAAATGTTCTGGAGCAGGGATCTCCAAAGAAAATTGCGGCGGGAGCCGCCCTGGCTATTGTTTCATATTATGTTCTTAGAAAGAAATTGCCTCTTATTTTTAGCTTATTGAAATCCAACAAGAAACCTTCATCAGATAGCACGAGGAAACATATAGCAGTCAATAAAGAATTCTTTCTAAAATTGAAATCCCTAGTCAAGTTAATGATACCAAGTGTTTTTAGCAAGGAGTTCATGTTACTAATGTTACACACTGGATCTTTGGTCTCCAGAACTTTTTTATCTATTTACGTTGCTACACTTGATGGTCGAATCGTAAAGACAATCGTCGAGAAGAATTTAAGAAAATTTATTCTAATGCTTTCAGTGTGGTTACTTATAGCAGTACCAGCTACGTTCATTAACAGCTTAATAAGATTTTTAGAATGTCAATTGGCACTTGTCTTCAGGACAAGACTTGTTAAGCATGCATACAAGAAATATTTTAAGAAACAAACTTACTACAGAGTTAGTAATTTGGATGGAAGATTGTCAAATGCAGATCAGTGTCTAACAGAAGATATAAATGCCTTTGCCAGCCATCTAGCACATTTATATTCTCATTTAACGAAACCATTTTTGGATGTATCATTGATGACATATAGTCTTCACAGAATGTCAGCTAGTAAAGGCGTTTACAGTAGAACACCAGGTTAGTTTTCAAAACAACTTAGTTTGATATTTTACCTTCTTTTTTTTATCTTAGTGTTTCTTATATTATCATAGGTTAATCAAAGTGCATATAATCTTGATAAAAAGGTCAATGCAGTTCCTTTGTATATCTTTTTTTATAGTACGAAACTAAGTACATAAAAATATTTAGGGAAAGGTTATCCTTGTAAAAGCTTCAGTTTCATGATTTTTATCACTTTTCTACAGCAATGCTCGGTCTCATTGTTATCATTATCACTGGTAAGGTACTTAGAGCCGTATCTCCAAAATTTGGAACTCTGGTTGCTGATGAAGCTCAGAAGAAGGGTGACTTACGCTATATGCATTCCAGAATAATAACTAATGCTGAAGAAATAGCATTCCTTAATGGTCATAAAGTAGAGCATAACCTTCTTAAAAGATCTTATACGGCCTTGATAAAGCAAATGGATAAAATTTTCTGGAAAAAGTTATGGTACGTTCAGTTAGAGCAATTTTTGATGAAGTATGTTTGGTCAGCATCTGGATTAATTATGACTGCAATTCCTATAATGAATTCTAAGGCTAGAAGGTAATTTATACAGGTCTATAACTATCTTAAGTATTATCTAGATATATTCTTAAACGTGATTATCGTATTAGTTAATATACTGTATTTACTATAAAGTACTCTAGCGTAAAATACTGAATGGGGATTTTAATACAGATCCGACGGTCGATTAATCGATGACGACCCAGATGGAGGAGTGTCAGAAAGAACAATGAACTTTACTACAGCTAGGAATTTATTGACAACTACAGCAGATGCTGTAGAAAGAATAATGAGCTCTTACAAAGAAATAACTGAATTGGCCGGTTACACTGATAGAGTATCGGAAATGTTCTCAGTTTTCTCTGATGTAGCTGAAGGTCGTTACGTAAGAGAATCTGCAAATCAACTAGTCGGTGGTGGAACTGTGATTGCTACCCATGATGCTATAGAATTAACTAATGTACCAATAGTCACACCGAACGGCGATGTTGTTGTTCCTTCTCTGAACTTGGAGATTCAAAAAGACATGCACTTATTGATAACCGGTAGTTTAATTTTTTTCTTCTAAGTTCAACCGTTTTAATTAACCTCTTTCTCATATTAGGTCCTAATGGCTGTGGAAAATCGTCCCTATTTAGAATTCTAAGCGGATTGTGGCCAATAACTGGTGGTTTGATGAAGACACCCCCTCCAGAAAAAATGTTTTACATTCCTCAAAGGCCGTATATGACAATTGGCACTCTCAGGGATCAATTAATTTATCCATACACCGGCGAAGATATGAAGAAATTAGGAATAAATGACGATAGTCTTGATGAAATAGTAAAGATTGTAAAACTTAATCATGTAGTTGAAAGAGAAGGCGGCTGGGATGCAAAGGCTGATTGGAAAGATGTATTATCGGGTGGAGAGAAACAAAGAGTGGGCATGGCCAGAATATTTTTTCACAGGCCTAGGATTGCTCTCTTGGACGAGTGCACATCTGCCGTTAGTATAGACGTCGAAGGAGATATTTACGAACGAATTAAGTCAATGGGTATTACTATGCTTACAATTACCCACAGACCCTCTTTGTGGAAGTTTCACACTCACGTCCTTCAATTTGACGGAACTGGTGAATGGCAACTAGAGAAACTAGATAATTCTAGTAGATTGACCCTAAACGAAGAGAAAAAGAAATTGGAAGAGCAGTTAAGGGATATTCCCCTAATTCAAACCAGATTAAAGGATGTTTGTACTATGTTAGGCGACGATATTCCAACCCAATTAACTGAATAGTAAATAATAATAATAAAAAAAAAACAAATTTTAGGATTTATTTTTTTTCCTCCCGTTTAAAATAGCAACTTTTATTTATAAAATCGGATTAAAAGGCAACTTTTATAAATATAAATACTTCTACCCGGCTTTAGGAAATGGATTACCATTCAATTTAATACAATTCCGTTTTCAATTTTAAAAAAAAATGTGCTCACGTGCCGGAGATTATAATTACTTTACATGATTTAACAACTGTTAATTTGTATTGAATGTATTTTGGTATTGTGATTGAATAAATCATCAATTGTTATTGCATGATAAAAAAAAATATCTCGAATTAGCTCTAAACGCCTCGTAAAACCGATGTAATAAATAACAGGGGGATTTTTTTTTTTATTACAATCATAATAGGTATTGGGAGAATAATTATTTGTCCTGAATTTAGATACCCTCAAGATTAATTTTTCAATGGTCTAGCATTATATAAAAAAGTAAATGAGATTGTGAGTTTATCCAATAAGATTTGTAACTAAACTTGCCGTTTAAATTAAGTCTAGAAAAGTAGACTAGAAAAAAATCAATTAAACTAGCGCAATAAAAACTGGAAAATAAAATGAGAAGGATTTAGTATAGACTTAATTTTAACTGGATATTTTTGATGTATAAATTAACGTTAGGGAAGAGGAGAAGGGACTAAATGAGTAGAATTATTGACAAAACAATAGTAGAGCCAATAAGTGTTCGTTTTTTAATCCTTCACTTCTATTAATAACTTCAGATTGGGTTTCGATTTTTTAAATGATTGCTAAATTATTTCTTGAACGGTCTCTGCCTTTATACCTTTTTTTTCATTTGGTAAACGACGGGAGACTTTTAAATAGCATTTTCGCACAAAAAAAAGTGTTTATTAAAGATTGTATAAAGAATAAAGAGGAAGAAAGAGTAAAAGAGAGAAAAAAATAAAAGATCCCGATATTCAATTGAATAAATCTGTGTGTACTTGACCATAAAAATGAGGAAGAGGAAAAAGTAATTTACTCTTTCTTATAGCTTACTAGTGAGTTTTTGAGACTTCAAAACCAATTCCAAATCTCTGAGGATTCTATCCAGTTCTCTGAAAAATACATCATAATTTCTATTGAATTTTTCGCTTTTAAGAGCATGAATAGAAGATTATTTACTACCTGAAAGGAACGTTTTTATGAACGGGGAGATAGAGAACGTTGTCAATCAAATGTTCCGCTTCCATGGGCTGTCTGACTAGGTATTGTCTGCAAGTTAACAGTTGATTTAGATCTTCCTTGCCTTGAACGTAATTGAGTTGGGTTACTCCTTTATATGCGTCAACACCCATTTTTGCCAAATCGTTTATTATTTTGTCAGAGTTCTTTAAAAAAACTGGATATAACCAATAGTGATTATGGAACGATTGTTGACCGTAAAATTCAACGTCGCGTAATCGTTTAACAACATAATCTCCCTTCTTTTTAGTGAGTAGCATTCCGTCCTCTTTCCACTCACTCAATCTTAAATATAGCATGTACAATAGAGCATCACAAGGCCTCTGTCGTATGCCTTTAATCCAGTCGTTAGGAAAACCCCTAAGAAGGCCAGCTATGCTTTTTTGATAATCAAAATTGATTTTTCTAAAAAAGTACATAAGTGGCTTTTTAAGATGAACGTTATTTAAAGTCGCTATACAAATGACGGTTTTCAATAGTTTTTTTGCAAAGATTGACGTCGGTTGAACAGGTAAGGAATTTTGAAGGGAGTTCATTTGTTTAAAAATTGATTCATTCTTAATTAATGATATAGCTCCACCGAGCGCTGTTGAGGATTTTATTGTCCCAAAACTAAATAGTGATATGTCACATGCAGGATGGCCCCAATTCGACATGGACGTAAAAGATTCAGCGCAATCTTCGATAACGTCTAATTTATATCGTTTAGCGTAAAATAGCACCTCCTCCATATTAACAATCTTACCGAAGACGTGAGCGACTAAAATTGCTTTAGTCCTCTCTGTAATTAAATCGGGCAAGAGACTAAAATTCGGTAAAGCTGTAGACGGATCAATATCTATTGGTACAACTTTTAAGCCTTTATGATGAACCAATTCTACCATATTTGGAATGTTTATCGCTGACATTAGTACTTCAGAACCGGAAGGATAATTCTTTGCTGATAGATATAAATCTAGTCCAGTTCTCACGGATAGATTAACCATAGGAAGTCGGTTTCTACTTTTAACTAGGGATTCAATTTTTGACAAGATTTCATCACGTGACATGGGTGGTTTAAAAGCGCAGGCCTTCGCCGCTTTCGCTATATCAGACACGGTACAATCTGTTAACAATTAAAAATATGTCAATAATTTGATATATACATGTGTTAACTTTCGAAAAATTTTGAATTATTTACCTATAAATACCGAATGGTACGGTAAAAGATCTTCGTAATTAGTCATTGTGATGAAAAATTGATCACGAATGTCTTTCCTCTGTTGTTGGTCAGTCAAACACGTGATATAAGGCTGTAAATTTTACTCTTTATCGCCCAACTTCCTAAATGTCAGGAAATAATTTGATGTTTATACTTTAAATAATGTAGCCTCTATAAATTAAGAGTTTAGAAAAAAAGATCGATCTTATTGATGAATAATTCAATCCTTTTTGAACATTGATATATTGTCTATAGGAAGTATTGCAAAAGTTAACAACGCCATCTATGTAGTCGTCAAAGCAACGGTATAAAGTTTACAGGCCTACGAATCGTCCGGTTAGAGGATAAATTAATAAAGGAGAGATGCATGTAATTGAATTAATGAACCCCCGTTCAGAAACGTGGGGGAAATTGGAAAAAGGAAACTGACTACGGATAATCAATCTCCGTTCGTTACTTGTTTACTTTCCGTACGATTTTTTCCTAGTACGGGCAAGTAAACATTTACTGTAGCACGATTTTCAAACAGTTTACACAATCAGCATTAGCAGAGCATTCACTGCAACAATACAACTAATTCATCTCTATCACAATTTGACATCCCTTCATACAATAGTAGGATTAGATCCGTCGATTGACCTCTCTTATGACGTCTAGAAAGGAATACTCTAATATTAAGAAAAGGAGAAGGGTGGAGGTAAATGCTTAGTTATTAAACGAATAACCGTAAATAATTAAGCGATCGTAACCGATTTTAGAGTGATATATAAAAGGGAGAGAGATATGTATATGATATATATATATACTGTATGTACAAAGTTTATACGGTAGATACAAAACTTGTATACATGTTTTATGCAGTAAAGTAGAAAAGGCTACAGGAATGGTATTGAAAGTGAAGAGCTTGTAAGAGAAAAGACGGCTAGACAATGCTGTTTGAAGACTTGGACATATATAGATGATGATTGATAGTCCATGCATAAAACTTGCCAGAGTTATTGTGGCATTTATTTTAAATATACATAGTATACATAGTTTTTTAGAAACACAATCGCTTTCTTTTAGCACGCTGATATTCTTCTGAAAAAAAGATAAAACGAAGAAAAAAAAATAAAGAAAAAAAAATAAAAATAAAAATAAAAATAGAAAAAAAAAAAAAAAACAATTGTACTAAATACAAACAATGCTCAGTGGTTTGCCAAGTTTCTTAGCCGAGAATTTATACCTCTGCAACGGCACAGTAAAATCTCTTTAAATGGCTGTCTAAACTCCGTGTTAAATCGGGCATAGATTATGGGGTTGAGGAAAGAATTAGCGTAGCCGAGCCATTGGAAGAACGAAATCGCCCCTTTTGGAATACATTGCCTGCATAGGGGGTCGATTAGGGCAAGTATAAAAAATGGGAGCCAACAGGCTGTAAAGCCTCCCATAATGACGCCCAATGTTACAATAGCTTTCCCTTCCCTATTCGATACATGACCTGACTTGCTCTTCTTCGACGATTTACTACCGCCGCCACTGCCGTTGGCGGCCGACGGCTCCTGAAGGGGAATTTCGATGTTATTTAATTGCGGTTGGGAGCGCTTCTCTCTTTTAGCTATCCTCGAACTGACGGTGTAAATCCGATAATAGATAAATATCATAACGCCCAAGGGCAAGTAAAAGGCGAAAATTGTTGCGTAAAACTGATATCCAATGTCCTGTGTAATGATACAATGTCCTTCTGGAGGTTCTGTTTTCCAGCCGAAAACCGGCGGAATGGAAACGATGGCGGAAATGAGCCAGACGGCTAGGATCATTAAGCCCATTCTTGTGGGCGTCCTCTTGAGCGCGTAGTCGAACGGTCGAGTGATAACCAGGTATCGGTCGATACTTATGCAGCATAAGTTGAGAATACTGGCTGAGCAAAGTAATACATCTAAAGATGTCCAGGCGTCACACATCATTCTACCTAATATCCAATAACTCTCGACTTCGTAGGCCGCAGCATAGGGCATGACGAGTAGGGCTACGAGAAGATCGGATACGGCCAATGAGACGATAAGTAGATTAGAGGGCGATTGAAGTCTACGAACTATACCGACGGCTATGCAGACGAGAGAATTGCCTATAACCGTTCCGACAGTTAATACGGTTAGGAAGAGACTAATAAAAACTTTTTGCCAAACTTGATATTGTTCGATAGGAGCACTCGTCGCATTCGACGAGTTACTGACGTTCATATTCGACTGCTAGAATGTGTTCTGTAGGGCTTTTTGCAGTTAGCTGGCGCCTCTTTCGCCCCGATTTTTTCCCGCCTGCAAAACTTTTTCCAATCAATAAACGAAACGGTCGGGCCGACGGATTAAAGACGGCTTAATACGAAGATAATACGTATTTAATTATTTGCCCGGCCAACACGCTACTTTTTTCCCATTTAGAGCGTACACGTAGGTTATATTTCGATAAATCGATGACGAAGGGTGTGAATTATGTATTCTAGAATCCGTAAATCGGTAATGTTAAAGCGTTAAATAAATATTCCTCTCTATAGGGGCGCTAAATCGAATTGATTCCCCGTCAAAAAATATTCTTTTCTTTCAAAATATCCTTCTTATATACACCTAAACGAAGTAAATATATATAATCTACGAAAAATATCAAAATGCCGACCTGCTGCTATCCTCTCTCTCTCTCTCGCTTCAGCTGTATATCAAAATTTCCTCTGCTCAACCCCTTTCTTATTCCCTCCCCTCTCGCTAGCTTGCTCTCTCTCTCTCTCCCGCTCACTCGCTGGCTCGCCCTCTCTCTCTATCGTCTTCTTGTATAGGAGTGAACTCGCAATGAAAAGCGCAAAGGTCAATCTATAATTACACATGCCGGTTTCTATAACGACAGACTTTAACATTTAACAAAGTCCTAAGTAATTTATTTCATTTTTGCTTAGGAAGATGACAAATATAGAGAAGGAAGCCATTTGACTATATAGAGTGATAAAGTGCATTCGATGTCAGTCACTATTCTCACGAGATACCCTACAAAGTCACTCCATTTAATTTTCATCCGTACTCCTACTTAACAAAACTTGTCAAAAAAAAAAAGTCCAGTTATATTCCTAGAAGTTCAGAAGTATCGAAAAGGAGTAAGAAGAAAATTGAAGGAGGTGAGAGAGACGGTATGCCTCTTTACCTCACCAAATATATAATCTCTTATATACTTTGTAAAGTTTATATATACTCACTAGGAATATTTACAGGAATATGTCAAACACCAAGTGGATTCGTATTACCAGAAAGCAGCGGTTGATATATTTTACTACCACGTTATAAAAATCAATTCCTGTATTATGCGACTACAGCCAAGATTAAATTCATGACCTATACGTAAAAAGTAGGATTATCTTACTGAAACCGAAAAAAAATTAAGGATATATTGAAAAAGGCAGAGTGTAAATATATGAAAGAATAACTTTGAAAGTTAAATTTCTTACGTTTCGACACTTAAATTGGAAACACTTACTGACATTTACCAAGAAGCTTAGCATTGAAATAAGGAGAAGGTTTAGGAACCGACAGATGACGCTCCTTCAATTCCACCAGAAGCTAACTGAAAAGCTAATACTAAGCGATTTAACGTAATGCCAATATTTAGGTGGAATATAGAGAATGCAACCGTCGGTTAGTATACATTCTTTATAGGGAGTCTGGGTAAATAACGGAAATTCTTCCTCGTTCACATTTTCGACATCTACTCGTGAAGTATTACACAGCATCCGCTCGACATGAGGATAAAGGGATGAGGATTGACTGCTAGAATATAGGCGAATATACTTTGATCCCAACACTTGACAAAGTAGATTATGTTTTGGATCGTGATGTAGAGGAGAGACAGTTCCACTAGGTCCAAACCAAGCGTTTATATCTACATCATTATTTTCGCTGTCAGTAATGGAGCAATAGTCAGGGATAAGAATATCATCTTTGAGTTCTGGAACTTGATCGAAAAGTTGATGCTGAGCTAAGTAGCCTACGGTTTGACAATCTCCTACGATATACTTGTCAATAAATTCCCCCACGGTCATTAGAGACTGACTCCAATCTTCTTCCGTGTATTTAGAGCCAACTTCTATAGGTACTGTTCGTTTTCCAGCGACTTTTTTAATATAGTCAATAGTCCATAACCTATTGGATCTAGCCGGCCACAAATCCATACAATTTTCAATTATTACCGGTTCACTGAGATCCATAAATTCTCTTTTAAATTTTTCTAATGATGGACAGACCACACGGCGCACGGCCTTCGATGGATCTATAGTTACTGTTGTTTTGCTCTCGGCAATTACTCTTGGCACTTTAGATGGGGGTTCATCGCTAATTGACCCTTCATTAACTATTAATATTATTTTCGAGAGAATATTATCTAAAATAGGAACACCCATCAATAAACCCATGTCAAAACTTTTTGTGGCCTGTAAAACTGATTCATCATCAAAATTCCCTAAGGCCAATTTAGAGACGCCCAAAAAAAGTGAACCGTAAGAAAACAAATATCTCCAACTCATTGACACATTTTTCCAGTGGCCACTGTTTAAATGTTCCCATGTTTTATCTAATAGAATCTCGCTCTTCGACACGACAACGCTCCATTCGCCCCGTAAATAGCTTTCAGTTAATATCTCAAGGAGTTCGTATAAAAATGGTCCTAAAACTCTTTTTTCAGTACAATTAAAATTAAACGTTCTAATATCAATCGGTAAAATATATTTTAGGCGTTGATTCACGCTGTGAAGATTCATATTTTTCAAGCACGATTAAAGAAATCTCTTCGAAAGCAGGGAAGATACATATAAGTGACATCTACTGGATAAAATTGGAAAAGTGTTTAATCTCCGCAAAAATCTAGACATTTTGGTAAAGCACAAAAACGCATTATATAAACGACTAGACGAGAAAAGCAAGGACAAAGTGACAGTTTTATGCTAAATTATTTAGTGTTTTTTTCATAGAGTGATTGAGTACAGAAAAAATATTTTCTTTTCCAAACTTTCATACAGTTCTTTTACCGTCATGGGTTTTGAAAACCAGTGAAATTGAGCCTCTAAGGACACTAAAAGCCTCAAACCTTATACGTTGGCCTTAAAACGTAAAAGTTTTGGCAGAATTTACACTAAAATGGAATGACAAAAGTCAGCACTGGTGATGAGAGATTCGTGCAATTATCCATTACATGTACACATTACACTTACAAGCACCGTTGAATGCTTCATATTACACAATCATAACAAAAACAGAAAGTAAAAATTAAACGTAAAACGCTGGCGATTGACTACGACAAGACTTTATCGATAAATTCCAAAAAACGTTTCGCATATTGTTCAGGTTTGACTGTACTAATTTCGGCATTGGCTCCATGTTTTACAGCTTTGGCCGCTTGAGCCGTCCTTTTCTTCATGCCGTAATGGGTGAGAATGTCAATTAAAGCCAAAAAATAAATTTCTTTCTTTCCCTCCCCAGCTGCAAAATAATAATATCAAATAAATGTATCAATTCATGTGAGATACAACATTTCTCACCGCATTGAATCCCATAAATATCATCTTGAAGGGGATTTTCTACGCTCTCGGAATATTGAAGTCTTCCTGGAGAAATAGGCGATTCCGGTGGAGTATTTGTATGTGCACCTAAACAATCTTCTTCTGAACTGAAGCATTCATCTTCTCCCTCTTCAGCCTCGCGTTCCCGAGTTTCCCTCTCTATCTCAGCCTTCTCAATATCATGAATTCCAAGTAACATACTGTAATCCATTAGGTTTTGATCGGTGAGAAACTATGAATTAAAAATGCAACATTTATTGAACGTATAAGGCAAAATCTATCTTTATTGATATTACTGTTGTGTCCTTTTTCAAAACTTCCATAATACGTTGTTTGGCATTTTCGCCAACAATTAATTGTACACCATCATTGACAAAATCGTTATCTTTAAATGTAGGAAGATCTTTACTCTTTTCTTTATCACTTGCTTGTCGATCAACTGTCGATCCCTAAAATATTGAACCAGACCATAAATGAGTACACAAATCATTAATTGTAAAAAATAACATTAATTGCACTTTTTTACCTTTAAATCGTACTTTCTGTGTATCGTCATTCTAGGACTAAATATGTTTCGCATAACTATTAAATACGTTTCAGCATCATTCACAGTTACTCGATACATTCCCATGTATTGTGGCAGTAAAGTATCAGCGTGCCTTTCGACGATATACTATCAAAATAGAAATTGAAATGAAATTTAAGCATTGAGTAGTATGAACGTAAACCGTAGCCTGAAAAACCAAGTTCATTAAGCATTACAATCTACCTCGTGATAGGCTTTGATCACATTATGGACTTCCGCCACCTGATATGATTCGATAGTCTTCACTAAAAACAAACCGTCCCAAGAATTAAAGCGGCGAGTGGCGCCTTTAGCACTGGTCGAACTTTCCAGATCGATCGGAGGCAATTTCGTAAGCGAATTCTGAAGCGAAAATCGTACGACGCCGTACAGAAATCATAGTTCGAAAATCTTGTAAAGCTTAATGAAACAATTGGCCTAAAAGAGACTACAAAATCGCGCAAAATCACTCCTTTGCTTGCCTGGTGGTATCCTTTAAGAATGCACAACATTTTGTCGATTTCTTCTGACATAAGGCTTTTGATTACAAATCGTCGATCATATGAAAGAAAAAAACGAGCTCCGCTCCTACCAGGCGAATCCTTTCCTTGTGGACTGCATGCGGTCAAAGATTTCTGAAAGAAGCTTGTTAATTTGCCGATGAACAACTATAATTTGTTGTACGATAGATAAATTTGTCATAGAAAACGGATGTGTGGATGTCTGTTTTATATCGTTTTTTCCTGATTACACTAATCAATAGACTTACTAGATATTGTTGATCTTCTACATGAAACCTTTCCCTTAAATTTCTAAATACCAGTGGGCAATACTCCTTGAATTTGAAATGGCTTGGCATATTCTCCCTATAGAAATTGGAGATGTATGTCAATCAAATTATCAATGCGAGATGAGGAACATACTTGTTAAATAAATGATTATCTACGCGAACTTTGCTTGATGCTTTAAAGTCATCTGGCATAAGCATTACCGGTGGGTTAACATGTGCTAATTCGTTCAACTGAATGCAAAAATCACGGTTATTAGTCATTTAAAAGTTGTCTTGAATAAAGCGGAACTCACTGAATGATTGATGCCCCACATGAAAACACTAAGCAGCGGTTCCTTAGCCCTAAATAACTTGCGTTTCTGATGAACCGTCTTGATGTGCTTCTTCTTTGATTCGATCCTCGACATTGTGTTTCGTCGATCTCTGATTCCACTTCAAGAGAAAACTAATGCATTTCGACAGAAAAGAGAAAATTATAGAAATGCCCAACCAATCCCATAATACATTTCGAAATCCGGACTAGACTGGATCCTCATTCGGATATGTAGATACCAGTTTTTTTTTGCAATTCGAAATATTCAGCTCTATGGAAACAGCGTCTTCATACTATTATTAGGCCTAGAATGTTCTCAACTGCAACTTTTCACACGGTTATTCAACCATCCGAATCACCAATCGAATTTTCAAATAGTTTGCCAGAAGATAATACGTGTGCTAAAACTTTTTGGCAGGCGATTGAACTCAATCCTCCGTTTGAATCGAACTTATTATCAGCCGATGTTAAGCAGAGGCTAAGAGCAGCACCCCATACCGGTACTACAAGATCTCAAGCTCAGAAACAAGAGGAAACCAGCTATCAAAATAAAACTGAAGAATTCCTACAAAAGTCTCAACAAAGAATATTAAAAGATGAACGAATAAAAATTGTTCAACAAATTCGATTTAGGGAGAATGAATTATCTAAAATGAAGATTAAAAAATCGACAAGGGAAAATTAACACTTTTAATTAAAATTTACTGTATAATTTTTATTTTTTGATTGGCCTCGTTTTCGATCAAAATTTAAAACCTATAGTCAACCAATAAACAAATGAAAGCTTCTTTGTTATCTATACCATTTTTCTCGTCTTTCTAGTGTTTCTTGTTTAGCCACAAGACCATTTTCTTGATAAGCTTGTATTCTCTTTGGTGTATTTGTTAATAGAGTCCTCTCAGGATAAAGTAGGATTTTCAAAGGTTCTTTTCGAGCTCTGGTAGACTTTGTGGTAGCTGAATATAACCTTTCACTGATCTATTCACATAAGTTACCTTTAAACCAGGGATTCATTGCAAATTGAACAAGAGTAACTTACTGACTGTGGCTCCCCTTTACCTCTAAATCTCTCCTCTAATCCTTCAATTTTCGGGCACATCTTAAGGCCAAGACCAGGTTGATTAGGAGGTTCAAAAGCCCTGGGCTTGCAGTCTGGCTTTGTATGAGAAGATTTTATACGAGTTGTGTGTAGGCGATTCGAAATCTCTGATATACTAGATTCATCTACAGGGCCTTTACTTATCGTATCCTTTGCCTCGAGTGGTGGTGATGTTTTCTTACAAACAGAATCAGAAGCCATTCTTAGCTAATTATGTCAAAACGAATACAAAAAATGCCTAAGCGTCTAATAACGGGTATAAATATGAATTGTTGAAAGTGCAACCATACAAATACAAAACCTATTGAATCACGAAAAAACGATCGAAGAGGATTTCATCGAACTAGAAACGGCTTCTATTGATTAATAAATTAAAGGCCTTTTAATCTCTTTTTTTTTTACTGTTATAATCTTAAAGGGAATTTTCAGCCGTATGCAAACAATATTTGATTATTTTACCCGATTTCTAGTAATTAAACCTCTTTAAATATATTAAAGAATGTCAACATTTAGTCTAGAATTATATCTATCGAATATTATATTACATAAAAATAACAATATCTTGTTTGTTTTCAGTGTATTTTCTCAGCCTATAAAACTCAACTAAAAACGTGATATAAACAAAAATATGATTAAAGAAAGGAGGGAGAAAGAGACAATCTTTACACAAGATTTCTCTTTATTAATTATTATGAGTAGTTTAAAGAAAATCTATTTTTCATTGATTCGTTGAGATCTTATTCTGCTTGGAGGAATTAAGATTTTTGGACGTTGAGTGCACTAAAGGTAATTTTGCCTGAAGGCTCAATCTGACTATCTAAAAGCTCAAAAGTTTTTGCGGTTGATAAATCTTATATCTCTTTGTTATGAAGTATACTATATAATTCAATGAGATAGAATAAACAAAAAACCAGTGCGATAAATATAAATAAAGATATATTAATAAAATATAATTTGGCCTAGCTACTCTAATAAATAAAATTACTCTCTTTTTGTTAGTCAATAGGAGCAAAATTTTAACTATTTATATATTGTATTCGTCACTGTTTTTGATCATATATATTTCAGAATACTTAAAGAACTTCTGCAAAGTGCTAATAGGCTTATAGGTAATTTTACTAAACTTCTTATTTTGACCAATCAATAGTTTTAGATTTCTTTTACATCAATACTCTCAAGACAAGAAGCTTTATACGATTCATTCATCCGAAAGAATAACGTAAAACTCACTAATAGATTAGTAGCCTGAGGACTTGAAATTATTTTAGCAAACGACATCTGGCGTCGATTAATTATTCGCCTAGAACTTAACTAGAAGCGACGGTTTCCCTAATTAATGATTCTTTTAACAGAATAAAAGAAAGTCCCCAATATTTGGTTTATTTAAAACTAGAGTTTCTAATTATAGAACCAGAGTGGCTAAGGGAAGAAAAGAATGAAAGAAATTCAAAGTTTATTCTTTTATGATAAAGTTTTACATTAGTAAATATTTATTAGCTCAAATATGGAAAAGACGTTGAATAAACACTGCTAAAAGCTTAATGTTCTCTCCTTCTTTTAATATATTTTAAGAAATAATTGAACTAAACTATATATAATATTTATATTTCCAAATCTTGTTACTCCATCTGTTGGCCAACGTACAACTAACAGTTAACTTTTTGTCGAAGAAATTGGTACTTTTGGTCTTTAACCTTATCACGATGAATTAATTTGAGTTAGTAGTTCAAAGCCAACCGGACAAGTACAATACCATATACTTTCACTTTCAAATGATAGATATAAATAGAAACCTATAACAAAGCAAATAGAAAACAAACATAAAAAACAGTTCATAACATATATTCATCAATTAAGTAATTAATTATTAATGTATTATTAATTCTATATGTATATTTGACTCATACCTTTACAATCCCTTATATCTTCCTTAGGATCCACTGAAAACAATGATCCAAAGTTTTACTATTGGTATTTCATTTTCTTAAAATTATTACTTACCACAGGAATTAACAGCATCAAAATCTGATTCATATGATTGATGTATCTGGCATTTTTTGCCTTATTTATATAAAAAAAGGACAAAAGTTTCTATTTTTAGAATTGTTATTAAGTTAACTAACCATTAGAGCAACTTTCTTTTGCGCAAAGTTGGAAAACTTTTTGAACACTTAACACTTTTAGTTCTGGAATTTGAAAAAAGTGATTTGGGACTGAAAAGAAATTATCAATATATATTATATAAATAATCATTAAATATATTACAGTTTGAGGTGCGTCTAGTATTATAAGATTTTCCATCACAAGCTTCGTATTGTTTATGAGCTAAATATTGAATGGAATGCAATACATCTAATACAGTATTTATATTTATTACAGAAATATAATAAATATAACCTTTTATAGTTTTACTTTCTTGGCACGGTTCGTCCTGAAGAGAATTTGGTGAAAATGAACATTCGCATTTAAAAGTATTTCCAGAAGACCAACAAGTACCAGCTGATTTTGAAAGTATTATTGTAATTGTTTCTCTGAGATTTATATGTTTGTTATATTTATTTTATTACCATTGCCACAAGGTTTTCCATGACACGGACTAATGGTAGTGTTAAGATTGTTAGTTGGACAGGATCGAAAATATTCGCAACGGTCACCAACGTAATTTTCTTTACAAATACATTTAATAGTCATATCACTGTAATATTTTAATACTCCTACAAAAGTAAGTGATCGTAAAATTTAGGAGAAAAACTATTGACTCTTTTCACCATTGTTCATGCATATCTTTAAAGGGTCTGAAAAAAGAAACCAAAAGTTTTTATTACTGTTTTAGAATATTTTGAGAATTATAAAATATTCAAATTACCTAGATCAATGGGAATTTTATCGTTTGTATCCCTTCTACTTCTATGAGGCTGTGATTGGCTATCTAAGATAGAAGAAGAATTCAAAAAATTTAAGCAGTCGAAATAGAACAATTAATTATTTCACCTTGTATATTAATTATACAGTAAAAAACAATCAAAAAGTTTTGTAGTTTAAAACTTATAGTCATGTTGGTCACGGAAGAAGATATTTCATCTCAATAGATTCTTATTCTTACTCTCATTTTTATAGCTATACTTCTCTGATGCTTGAAAGGAGCATCGAATAAATAACATTCATCTATCAACTTCATCTGTTAAATAGGTATGAATGATTTTGAAAGAAAAGTAAAGAATCTTATTTAAGGGAATTGATAAGATGATAGATTGAGTACATGATAGAGATTGACATCAAATTTAAGGGGTTTTTTTATTATATTTAAATGTTATTTTTCAAATAGTAGATGCTATTTAACGTTCAAAAGGTTGCAGTTAAATGACCTAAAAAAGGCTATATTTATAAAAGAAAATTTCATTCCCTAAAACAAATTAGTTGCTTTTCAAATATTTATATTTCAATAAATTAATATACACGATAGTTTAATTCAACTAAATCCATTTTATTCTACAAACAAAAATGATCTTTTAACACTTTGAACTTTCAAATATTCTATAAAACTGACATCCTAAATGCCGAATAACGTGCTGGCAGTGTAAAAGCGTCTATCATATTACTTGTTCCACCCACTGTTAAATAAGTGGAATGATGTATTGAATATACGTCTTTTGCGTTCACCTCAATTGAACGATTATGTTCACCGTTTATACTCCACTCGTGAAGCTTTCCATCATCGCCACCTGAGTGAATAATTCCGTCTTGGGTTCTTATACAATGAGTTACAGAATCACAGTCGAATGTTGAGGCAGGAGTTGAAAGATTTCTTAGGAACCAGACAGAAATGGGAACGCTACCTCCGCATACAATCCAATCGTCGGAGAAATCACAGGAAGAGAGCCATTTACCAGTCCCATTTTTTACTAAATATATAAAAGACAAACTTAGACTTTATATAATCTATTCAATTTAGAAGACATACCGTGCTCAAAAGGTCTTATTGTATCAGTAGCCTTGCCGTTCGCTATATCCCACAATTTTAAAGTTCCATCTTCTGATACCGAAGCTAATCTATCATTTTTCCAGCAAATAGATAAAACAGACTCCGAATGACCTTCTAAAACTTGAATGGTTTTATTTGTCACCAAATCAATCTTCCTTATTACTCCATCGCCACAGCCAGCAAATACGTGTCCATTTTTATCAATAGTCATATCGTTAATTTCTCCATCTTCAGAAATGGAGAAAGATGAGACACTACTGCAAGCATCGTCAGATGGTAGATCACTCCATTTCCAGCATGATAAACAATACTTTTTATTATCCGTTCTACCAGAACTGACCAGAAGATTCTCAAAGGTCAGTAAAGAATAAATAGGACTTGAATGAGCTTTAATAATGGACTTTGGTTCCCATTCGCTCTTCGGATTTACCTTGTTTGATAGTATTTTAGACGTATCGAAAATGCTGATATACCCATGGTTCGTTCCTACAGAAAGATAATTGCCGCAATCTGAAAGTGCTTGATCATAGACAGTTGTGTATTGTTTTTGTAGTTCGGAAACAGTCATTTTTAGAATAGATGCCTATTTTTTAATAAAAAAACAAATTTCTTTTATTTTAAGTGAAGCTCCCTTAGCGAAATGAATCCCAAGACTATAGTATCCACGTTTACTTCGGAAAGTTTAAATTATCGCTCAACTGTTTTAAGTATGTCTTATCAAGCACTTGTTTTTTATTTGTATGTTCTTTGATATGCTAAATACGCATTTACTTTTATTTCAATTAAGAGGATAGATTTAGTTTAACTTATCTTTGAAACTAAAAGTGTGTTTGTTCATCATCTTATTGATGTTTCAGAGTACTTGCAAATTTTCCTATACTCTTTCAAAAGCTTATTCCATTCGTTGAAGAAAGGCTGGAATATTTGAAAATATCATCCTCATAACAATCGATTTATTGCTTCCAAGATGGATTTCGTTTCCACTTTCAATAACCTAATTTGCTGCTGCTATATTATGTTTCATCAAGAGATGAAATCTTATATGACGGCATTATAACATTTATTTATAAATAGATAGTAAGAATTTATTAAAGAATAAAAAAAACAACAATTCTTTCATTTAACTAATTAATGAAGTATATTTTAAGAAATCAGTCAATTTCTTCCCCCTTGTCCCCTCTTTTCATTTGGGCTTTTGTTTAATCTTTTCCTTTTGATGACGTAATAGTAGTCTTTCTGATCAGTAAATGTAATGTTTTCCTTAGATCAGATAATGGACTTTGAAGATGGTAATTTTTTGTTTGTAAATATAACTAAAGACGCCATATTTTGAAGGAAGAGAATCGAGTTCATTAAATAAATGTGTTAGAATCTGTAAAGGGTCCCATATAACTTGGCCATGTTTGATGTTCAAATTTCTTTGTCTTACAGTCTTTACAGTCGCATGTCAATTTAATTCGATAAATGGTTGTCTGACCCATATGCAAATTATAAGGATCATATTCTTTTTGGAACTGTATGTTCGTACTTTTATTTGATTTTTTCAAGCACTCTTCAGTAATTACTCTTTCGTATCCATCTCTATCCATACCGTAGTATTTACCCGATGCAGTGAACCGTCGCTTCTCCAACTTCATTCCTTCGTCAATACAAACTTTATCCTTAGGAAACAGAACAGAAGTTTTAGCCGGATAAAACCAATATACAGCAAATAAAAGGTGAATAGAATTGTCAATAGAATTGGATTGTAAAGGTGGTGCCAAAGTGCCACTTGAAATATATCTTTGAATTCCTTCAGCGTCGTGTAGGCCAATATGACGGCGTTTTCTTTTGTGAGGCATATCATCGCCAAAAAACGGAAGTTTCGGTTTATTTCTTTCAAGATAATCCAAAGCCTCCTTAGTTGTATTTACCCAAGCTGAATGTTCCTCTTTAAATCTTAAACCTGAATTTTAATAGAAATTGGATCTAATGTTCCAGATTGAAATAGAAAACGTTTTTTAATTACATTACTTACGAGAATCGTATAGAACAGAGAAGTCCTTCATTACATCTGACATACCGATAAGTTCTCCATACCCAGTTTGCTTATGCTTTAATTGACAAAAATCAGATCTACTTTGTTCATGAACATTAGTTCCTTTGAGAAATTCAAATTCTTCTTTGTAATGCAAGGATCCGTTGCGTGAGCAATCAGCCTTCCAAAAGATAAAAATATCTTGACCAGATTCTTCGAAAGACCAAGTTAAAGGAGATGATTGAGTAGCTATTTCCGATTCTACAAATTTCGTAAGGGGCTTACCATTTCTACCATCAAGAACTACACTCTTTGCTGAATAATATAAAGGAAAGCCTGGACCAACAGAAAATTTAACAAGAAAGTCAGGAACTGAGTCATTGTTGTAGTAGCCAACAGATGGAGTACTATAACTTTCCGTACCTTTAGCAGTAAAATTCCAAAGCAGGACTGTAAGGTCTTTACCGTCGAAAGCTAAGACTGATGAATTGAAAGATGAGAAAATAAGGTCTTTAACACCATCATTTGTGATGTCTGTGATAACCGGAGGTGTCATTAGCCCTTTGTAAGGATCTGTATAAATCTTATGAGCCTTTTCAATCCGCCCCTCCACCAGGTCCGCAAGTGCTATATACCTGAAATTAATTAGAAAAATAAGTAAATGTTTACTCTTTACAATTTCTAAAGTAGACTGACAATAGAAATTACAAAATTTTTAAAAAGTGTATATACCATAGTGAACCCCCATGAGTCTCTCCACCGGTGCCAAATAGAATTGTCCACTCTTTTCGATATTGAAATAAAACTGGGGAATAGTAGGATTCTCTTTCATCAGGAACATTTACCCATTGTAATACTTTTCCGGTTCTACCATCTAATAATATTAGCCTTCCGACAACTCGTGTCTTACGACCGGGCTCTCCAAATGGATCTCCTCCATGTACTTCAAGGACATCACGAGTTCCGTCGAAATTTAAATCAGGCACAAATTGGGCAGTGTAAAAGTTCGACTGCCAGAGCAGTGAAGCTGTATCATTATAACGCCATATAATTCTCTTTCGTTTAGGCGAAAAGGCAAGTAATGTCTAATAGAATAATCAACAGAGTCAATGTATATTTTATGAATATTATCACATTAAACTATTTACCGCTCCCCTACCACCACAGACGCAATCTTTCCAACTGTCTCCATCAAGATCTTCTTGGCAGTTTAAGGCAAATATTTCATGTTCAGTATAAACTCTCCATATTTCCTATATTAAGTATATAATAAAATTCACATAAAATTTAATAGAACTTTATTCAAATGGTGTACCTCTCCGGTTTTACCGTCTAGTGTCAATACACCACCGCCGCATGGCTTTTTACTATTGAAATAAATATCGCATACAACGGGGTCGATAAAAAATGCTTCTGCACCGGTACCAAAACCAATGACAACGTCTAAAATACCATCACCATTTGCCTCAACCATCCTGAGGGCACTTTCAGTTGTCAATTTTGGTATACCTTTCACCCATACATCCTCTACAGTTATTTTTGAACAACCCTTTCTGACCTGAAATGTTTATTTGGCTATATATGTTGTATAAATTTATATATATATATATATATATATATATATATATATATTGTAGTTACGGTCCGAACAATTCAATCGTAACAATAAATAATTAGATAAAATATTCAAACAAAATATTACCGGTTCGGAATAAGTAGAAACGAAGTAGACAATAAAACAGGCTACTGAACCTAAAAAGGCAGTAAAGAGAAGTAAATATATGAAGTTCCATACAAATTTTTCTATCCTAGATCTATATGGCGTTATTCGAACAGATCGAATTCTTGCTTTTGGTCTTGCAGTCATCAATGGCTTTTCACTATCTTCAGGTTGTTGATCGGTTAAATCTAAGCTATCAAAAACCAACTCTTCTTCTTCAGATGCCGACTGCGGTTCATCAGAAGAAGAGGATGAAGATCTTCTCATGTAATAAACATTAACGGGAGTGTAGACAGCCTGACTGCGTCCCGTTTTACCAGACGTAAACAGAACTTGCATTAGTTTTTTTACGCTTACTATTTATAAAATGTCGAGAATATCATAAATCTGTTTAGTAGACGCCTTTAAACTATGCTTGAGAGACTTTTGTCCTTCACATTGAATATAAGGTTTGCAAATAGCGACGCCTGTTGGTATGCTGACATAAATGACAAGGAGACGTTATGTATACGCCTACATTTTAAAAAAAAATATCAATTTCAACGAAACATCCTTTACAAATATCACATCAAATAGAACATTTAACGACGCCAATTATATAGAATCCCAGCAAAGCTCAACTTGTTAATTATTTTACGCGATCTATCGACCTTAATTTCCATAATACACCTCAAACTGACAGCAAGTCTAATTAATTAAATGAACTCTACTTATTAACTAATTAATGTAGATTACTGTAGTACCTTGAAATTTATGTTTGGTAACTGATTTTTTTCATTCAAAGGTAAAAAAGAAAGATGCTTGGGAAGTTAGTTAATCAACTGGCAATTCATTTTCTGCTCTTTTAATTCCACCTATTTAATGTAAAAATTCGTTCACCCATTACATTAATTGGTTCCGGTAAGGTTCTTCTATTGTAATTGCTTTAAAATTTCCTTAGACATTGATTTAATCCAGAGTTTTTTCCTGCTTGAAAGATTTTCTCCCAGTAAAGTAAGCCTTTTTAAATAATGGTATGTATCCTTCGAATTGAGTATAAACATATACCAAATTGAGAAAGACAGAGAGCGAAAGAGGGATAAGGGACAGATTAATACTTTAGCAAATAAAAATAATGCAGATGGCGTCACTACAATATTGGTGATAAAATAATGCTTTGTAGTTTAGTCACGAATAGGGAAGCACCTTCAATTATCAGAGCAGAAAAGTAATTAACGACTCTTTTCTGTTCCTTCTGCTCTCTCCCATCTATTATTTTTCTCTAAAACGAATAAAAGAAATATTCGAATTAAGCCATCAAGTCTTATCAAAACAAGCTTACTACACCCAAGAGATACTGGAAGCCAGATGGTGAAAATTGGCTAAGCCTAATAGTCACAAAGGGACATTAATTTTCCTTAGTAAAGCTGAAAGAACTTCGGCTGGTGCTCACTTGTCTTTTGACTATACTCCACCCATACTACCTATTCTTTCTTGCAGCGCGTGTCGCACCTGTTCGAAACAAAGCGCCTCAAAACTATACACACTCGAAATACAATCACTTTTCATACTCCAGTACACTTTTTTCTTGACATCAAAGCCATTGCTCGATGCATTTTTCCTCTTATAGATTTTTTTCATCTTCCCCGTCTGATCTCTCTTGAACATGTTGAACAGTTGTTTTATTTTTTAATTTTTTTTTTTTTTGTATTGAAAAAAATTGGCGGATTAACCTCTGTGCCAGCTGCCTGAAATCGAAGTAGACTCTATTTGTAATTGGTCGCTAATTATCTAGCAAATTATAGTTACAAGAAAGAGAAACCTCTTAAAATACGAGCGGTGAGAAGAAGACGGTAGAAAGCTGACAGATGAAAGAAACAATTTCGAACGAAGGTCTTCTAAAGGCAGACAAGAAGCTGGAGGGTAAAGGGAAGAGACTAGGAAGATGCTTATCCCTTTTATAACCAGAAAGGGACTAAGATATTATATAGTGTAGATAAAAAAAGAAGACTGCAAAACGGCTCCTATGCCGTGTTGACCTTATGAACTACGTTGCTGTAGGGCGTCATTTGTTAATGGATGATTTTCTGCTCGCTTTTCGACACTCTTGATCCGTCAGCAAACTCATTACGCAATTGGAGATGCAATGCTAATTATACGAATAGAAGTCGAAAAAATCCGATTCATATTCCTCACACGATTTCCAAATGCGTTTCGACCCTTTTTACACATTCGTCGGTGTCCCCACCGGAATTCAGACTGTGGCCACTTCTCAAATGCTAATTGCTTTTTTTTTTTAAAACAAAGTATCAAATACAGCTAAACTTCAAAGCTATTAATCCTTTAACCTTGAAAGATTAAACAGGTAAAAATATGGCTGTCATAAAATAAACACATATGTATATTTAAAGAAAGAACTCCAGTGTAAACGCATAGTTAACATTTATGCATAGAGTATGCGCATAATGTATGTATAATGGATGGACGATCAGAGTTATAGTGACCGCCAACTCGTCGCCGACTAATTAAAGTTGACAGGCTAAGAGAATCACACTCTTCACATTATTGCATTTCGAATATATTTCATTTTCGTATCCTTTAATGAAAAAACACTACTTCCCTTTCACGCATACTTCGTTCTTTATAAAGCTTCGCTGTATTGGACCGCATGCCTATTCATTTCATGCTTGGTTTGAAGTGAATATTATATAGTATATATAAATTTATATATATATATACTGTATATATTGTACATCTAAATTGTATATAATCTATATTAGTTATACTGTTAGAATACAATATATCTCTATAATGTGGAAGGCATCTGAAAGATATTAAATACAGAGCAGAGGTCGATGGACAAAATCCTCTTACTGTTGAAAAGAAGTTACAGTTCCCTACCCTGGGTGTATGAAAGAGGGTCATGGTTCGGTCGCACAAGGGCTATCATCTTTTCTTCCTTCTTCCCTTTTCATCGCTATCGATTATCATCCATTAAACTCTTTCACGCTGCTTTCCGTTCTGCTTATACTAAGGAAAATGTGAAATATTATAATTATTCATAGATAGATAGGTAGACAGGCGTACAGAGACTTAGCAAAGAAAAAGATAGAGAGAGAGAGAGAGAGTGGCGGAGGGAGAAAGAGAGAAAGAGTAAAATGGAGATATATAAAATGTGTAAAAGGAGAGGAAAAAAAGAGAAAATTTCAAAAAGAAAATCATAAAGAAAGACAAAAAAAATTGAGAAAAAAAAACTCAGCAAAAAAACAATGTTCATATGATTATTACCACTGTTATTATTATTATTATTTATGACTATGTAAATTAGTTTACGTGAGTAACGTGACTCTCACACCTGCCATTAGATATACAGTTACGTAATTGTGGAATGTAGCGAATGGATAGGAAAATCTATTATTTATATTTTTTCTTCTACTTCTATCTTCCCGCTGACTGATGGTATTCATTTGTTCAGGCATTGAGTAAAGAATAAGATAGTGGAAGTTTTAAATAGCCCAATTAACTGTACAATTCCGGTTTTCGATCTTTTCTTTATTTACGACCCCTTCGTCGACAAACAACGTCGCAATATGTGTATCGACGCCGTTCATTGTTCAGCGGCAATATGATGATCAAAAAAAATTGCAGGCGCCTTGATGTCTGTTTTCTGCCGACTTTATGCACTACATATTGATTTTCAGTTATGTACCTATATTTCCTTTATATCCTCTTTTTCACAATTGGTGTATATGTGAAGAAAACGACGTGTATATAGGCCTGTAAAGTTAGAATTACTCGACATCGTTTGCCACCTGAGCCCATTCCTTCTTCGACTTCTCTCGGAAATTCCCAAAGGGTAGCTCAACAGAATAATGCTTTCGTTTTTCCCGTGCCCTTCTACGTCGCCTCTTCTGTCTCAATAACGCCCCTTCCTTCCCTTTCCGCCCTTCCTTTCGATCAGAGTCGTCAGAAATTAGACGTTTGTTATGTAAGCCTATAGGTAGACAGGTGCAGCAATACTGCTTATTGACGATACTTAATCACGCTTAAAAGCGAAGACGTTTTCCATCTGCCTTTCTGCACGATTTACTCCTCCATTAGTCTTCCCTCTAATGGGGATTTAAACGAAATAATAGTTGGCCGCGATATAGGCCCTCAAATCAAAAGAGCATGCACGTTGCTTTGTTACGCAATATCTAGTAAACGGGTTGAAATCCATTAATCGCAATTGATTCTCTTTCCTATTTATTTTGTTATATTATAAGTTAATTACTAATTAAAATTGTCGGTGAAGGAACAAATATCATGCTTGCGCGCGGCGCTGAAATCGTTAATGAAAACGCGTGCGCGCGCCAAATCTGGTAAATCATTCGTCGTCCGAAAATTGAAGGATTCGAATAACTAAGGATTTTCTCGTTTATCTACTAAACTAATCTTTCTATTCATTTGCCTCAGGTAGGATTAATATTCTATGGTATTTTTACGGTATATTAACTCGTATTTCGCTGAAATTCGTTTGTTAGTCAGCTTCTTAACGGATTTTCGAGCAATTCTTTTTCTTCGTTCCCGTAATCGTTTAAAAATTTCGTTTCTCTTTTGTTTCTTTTATTACTTTATAGTCCTTGTGTCGTATCGATCGAGAATAACATAGAAGAACACCTGAGCACCTTGCCGGCGACATCTGTAACCTTTCAGACTTTTTTAAGGGAAACAAAAACGGGTAGTTTTTGTCAAAGCATGCCTAATAGGGTACGACCTCTATACTAATTGGCTGCATTCTCGGTCAATGCTTATCTTTCTATAAATCTTTACATTCCGGCGCACAGCCCCCCGACGGTTCGAATTCTTCAACGAGATTATCGTTATCTCGTTGTTCTTCTCCAATCTGCCGAATGGAACGTGTCCCATTAACAGTCAAATCAAATTATAAATCAGGTCCCGAAGACCTGACAACAGTTTTTATACAATACGTATCGTCAATAAACGGGCAATAAATCGTAATTTATAAAACCCCAAATCGAATAGAAATGTCAACAGCCGAAAGAAGCTTTTCCGCTGTCGTAAAATCCTTATGGAAAAGTATTCCCAAGTCGTAGCGTTTTCTTCTATATATAATAAACTTATCTAAAGTCAAACTAAACAAGAAAAACTCTACATCCAATTATTTTCTATTTCTTATAAGAAGGTCGTTAAATGAATAAATACTACTTCAGCTATTTCTTTTTCACTCTTGTTTCCTCTGTCTATCTCTATCTCTCTGTTCTCTAAAAAAGAACAAAATAATTGAACTTTCCGTAGCCCTTGTTCTATTATTTTTAGAACGCAAGTGTAAATACGTATTTCTACTTTTACTACTTTTGTTACAAGTGTGTGTGTCCACCTTAATCGGATATCGGAAGCGAAATCGAGAGCTGTCAGCCCGAATGGTTATGGATGCGTGTAAATAATGAATATTAACGAACTTGACAAACAAATTAAAAACTGAATAACAC